ATGATAGGGTGAGCTTTACCATAGATCCTGTATTTTCCTATGAAATCAATAAGGTATGCTTTGAAGAGCAGGCTCCTATGTGAGAGAGCTGCTCATGTCCTTTTCAATCCATGTTTGAGTTCAAAAAGTCAGACAATAAGGATGGCTGACTTACAAATAAGAAAATTTTCAGTTATAATCTATAATTATTAAGTTGCTGCAATCAATACAATATAAGTGAGCTTTCCTCTAATTATTATTATTATAATTTTCTCATTATTCGCTCCAAGTAGTTATATAAATAAAAATTTACTAAATCTTTTTGTTTTAGAGATTATTTAAACTAACTTAAAATATATTTTATCATCAAGAATTTATTTTTTGTAAAAGAGAGAGCGATAATAAGAATAAAAATAAAAAAGTAATTTAGCATAATTATTACATAAAAAAAATCTCTGAAATAAATGAAATCAGATGTAGAATGAGATATTACGTTAACTATTTTAGTGAAATATTAAATAATGTATTGAATATTTTTATTTAATATGTAAACTTATAATTAATCATTTTCCTTATTAATAATCATTTTTATTTATTTAAAATCCTTACAAATGATTGAAATAATATTTTGTTTCCTATTCGATTTTCTCTTTAACTTTCTTTTGAAAATAAAGATCAATCTATAAACAAATTAGAAGCCAAAATTATACAAAACATACTTATATGAATCCATCCAATTAGGATAAACTTATCTTAACTTAATTCAAAACTATATATTAGAAATGTACCTGAAATGATCATCAATAAACATTATCTACATATTAACTTGGTGAGTTCAAAATATGATACCAAAGGCTTAAATTTGATTAAGTAGACCAAGTACAATAATAATTGAATAGAAAGCAATATTGACTAAGCTTCTGGATAGTTTATTAATTTTACAATAATTAATATTTAAAACAAGATTCGATAAATTTAAAAAGACTTAATTTAAATAGCCCAAATTAAGTTTTTGTTTCATTAAAAAAATGCTTCCATTTTGTTTTATTTTTTATTGTAGCTGATGTAATTGAAAGTAAGTTTAAAGTAGATATTAAAATAAAAATCAATCCGAAAAAAGCATTAATACTGTTGAAAATTGAAAAAAGAGAATCAAATTTGTAATTTGGAAATGCTAAAAGTGCACTGAACATAAATTAATGAAGTATAGCTAAATAAACCTTAAATATTCCTTTTGAGAAATATTCTATTTATTACTTTAAGCACTTTTTCTGTATCTTTGATTAAAATATATTTATAAATTTAACGATTTTATAATTATGTCTATATTTTAAGAAGCGTTCGAAAACTAATTTTTATAAGCTTTTAGATGATATTAATCGATAAATTATGTAAGTTAATATAGATGCAAAAATAGAAAAATAGCAGCTTTTAACATTGAACAAATAAGGTTATTTTAAAATATATTTTGGGTCTTATTGTAATTTATTCTTTATTTGGTTTGATGTACTTATTCCAATTAATTCATCTATCTATAAATAATCAAAAATAGGCTGCAATGAAACTTTAGTGTAAGTATTTAAGAAATCGTTCAAATGTGGTGGAAATTAGCATTACATATATCTCACATAAGATAATTATTATAGTAAATCTAATAAATTAAAAACATAATTGCATTTCCAGTTAAAAAAGCCAAACTTGATACTCCAACCATTGAATACATCATTACATCATTTAATTAAACTATATTTATTAATTATTATTTAGTTGTTTATGAGAGGACAAATAGAGTTCCAAGATTAATAGTCTTTTTATTTTCCAATAAGCCTAAATCATAAGTATTGAATATAGTATTTTTCTATATGTCGACTTGTAAAATAGGATTTTATATTTGTTCAATAAATTCAATTTATATTTCATATTTTGGATCGCTTAGGGTAATTGTTAAATTTGAAATACAACTAATTGTTAATTGATATCGAGTTTAAGGAAAGATAGAAAATACTATGATTTCTTTAAAATTTAAAGATTCCTCTAATTTAACCTATTAAGTAAAAGTTAACTCTACAATTTTTATTTATTTAGCATTATCAGATAAAATATTTAAATTTAATTTAGGAGCTATAATATATGTACATAAACTTAACGAACCTTCCTAATTTATACATGTATATGTATCTTCAATATGACAATAAGCAGAGCATCCATCTCCTCCATAATTATTACCATCATCGCATTCTTCATATTGATTGATTAATATTCCATTTCCACATTAACTTATACATAAATTTTCAATTAAATTATAATTTTCTCCACATCTAAAATTTGTATAAAAAATCAATTATAAATTTGACTTCTCAACATCTTAAGTATCATCATAAATATCATAATAGTTTTCCTTTAAACATTAAGCTGTTTGAATATTCAATTTATATAAATAATCACATTTCTTGCATTATTATTGCTAACATTCAATACAAACCTTCTGAACATTAAAATTCACACCAATAACAACCATCATATGGGATATCATTACCATCATCACATTATTCATAGGGATCAAAAACAATGCCGTCTCCACATTATGTAGTGCAAATGTTATATTGATTAAGGACCCATCCTGGCTTAATGCAAGCTTTACAAATTCCATTTTCACATTAACCACATTATTCTATACATGAAAATTTACACTCATAACATCCATCATATGGAATCATGTTCCCATCATCACATTCCTCTAGACCCAAGACTAATTAATCTCCGCATATTGGTATGCATTTTTAATTACTTAATTACCAATCTTCAACATTACATTCTTTGCAAATATCTTATTCACATAATGTATATTAGACTTAACATTTTATTTAACAATCAACACAGCCATCATCATCTTTAATATTACCATCATCACATTCTTCTTCACCTACTATTATTTAATCTCCACAAATAGAAAAACATGGTAAATTATTTCCATCATCATAATATCCAGTTAAACATAAACATTAATTTCTCTATGATGATCTTTTACACAAGTAAGACAATTATATTAAGAGTCACCATAACAATTTTCACAACATTTATTGCATTAAACACAATTATTTCCTTATAAAAATGTTAATGGATTACATAAACATATTCCATTTATCAAAATAAATTAATTATTAACACATTAAGTGCATTCTTCTATACTTGTACATGTATTGCATCCAGGTTAATTACAATTTTTGCAACTATAATTTTCAGTCGATGAATCAAAATCTAAATATTAATTACTACCACAATTAGGACCAGTATATCCTACATCTGAACATGTATTTAAACTTGTACAGCTAGAGCAAAAAGGAGGACACTAAATCATAAAATTAATATACATAATGAATAACAATGAAATACTCAGATATTGCACAAAATTCCTTAGTTATATTTGTAATACTAACATCACATTTAAATTCAATATAAAGATTATTAGTATAGAAGTTTGTTAAACTTACATTAAAAAAACGAATGCTTTCTAGACCAGTACGACCAATCAAATTTAATCCTCCTCCAGGATTATTAAAAGGTCCTTAAAATCCAATACTTGAGGTAGAACCTATCTTATAATAAAAGGATCCAGTATAAGTGTCTCCATAGGTTAAATTAAAATAGATCGTAGCTGCATAATGAGGTTTTTAAATAATCCATGTTTTAATATATGATCCATCATTCCAAACCAATAAACCACCTAAGACGATTTTATTATTAAAAAAAGAGAATTTTTATTTAGTCGATAAACTAAATGATGGATCAGTTGTCTAATCATAAAATTATTAAATCTCATCAAGAGTCATGTTTAAATCATAAAATCCTTTGGCTAGGTATCAAGAATCTAAAAATTAATTTATAGTTATTTACATGGAATGATTTCTTTATAATCAATGCAATTTGATGAATGAATGGGACAATTCTAAACACATTTATTTTGATATAATTTATATGTTGTATCACACTATGTGCAGGAAGAGAAGTCAGAACAAATTAAAAAAATTTTTTAACAAAATCCTTTATCTACAGTTATATTTCTTAATCCCCAAGATTCATATTCTTATTAAAGATATCCTTTAATCAAAATAGTTGGATTAGAATTAAATAATTAAAAAGTCATCTCTATTCTTAATAAAGTATAAATACTACCACAATTTTCAATTTTTCTCAAATATTTTCACTAAATAATCAACTTAGAAATCAGATGACCCTTTTATAATTCTAGATTGTATTCTATTATTATGTAAAATGTAAATGGTGCTTGTTTCTTAAAAGTTAAAAAAATAAAATGTAATACGAATTCTAATAAACTTTATAGTAAAGAAATCCTTCATTAAAATATAACTTTCCAATAAAACTAATCCCATTGCAATTTTCATAATTAAATCAGAGTTCCTTGGATTAAATTCATCTTTTTCAAATATTAATGGATAATATCTTTAATTTGATTGAGGGATGCTCTCACTTTCAAATAGTGTAAATTTTGATCTTATACTTTTATCATTAACACATATTTTATCATAATCTGCAATTGAATAATCCCTACTGCATTCTTAAAGACAACCTATATAAGTTTCAGAAAATTATTAATCAGGTATACAATAACATTTCCCTCCTTATACACTTTAATTACCAAAACATGATAAACATTATGTTTCTGTAGGACCATTACAAGTTAAACAAGTTGGATGGCAAGAATTGATATATATCAATAAATTTTTAATACCTAAAGACACACAACTTCTTCTAGGATTAAAACAAATTTTTATTTTAAATTAGTTAGTATTAGAATTAGCAATAGTACTTACAACTGTATAGAATTCAAAATCTCTCCAAGTACTATGACAAATTCGAACACTGTTTTAATTTAAATCAGATTATTTATAATTTCTCCTATACAATAATTATTCACTTTTTGAATCTTTATTGCTATCATAACTAACCTTTAATGATGAATCTATATCATTATCAGCATCATCAAAATAAGCATCAAATATTACTTGAGCCTGATAGCTTTTATAATTAAATGATTTATACATATATCGTCTATTATCGTCTAATAATACATATTGAATGTAATTCTAAGTACAAGTTTGATAATTAATTGATCTCTCTGAAGAATCAATACATCTATCATTTATTTCCCAATTATTGCTTACCATTTGCAACTCTGTAAAACTCTAATCAACAAGTCTCCAGTTGGATGCAACTTAATGCATAAGTAAAATCAACTGCATACAAGTTTTAATTTGAAAAGACATAATAATTCTGTTTTAATGTAAAAAAAATAAAAATAAAAATCCTTATTATAGAGTTATAATTTTAGTCTATCAATCAATTTTGACTTATTCAATTGTTTTGATATCACAATTATCGTTATAAATTCTGTTAGATTAAGGTAAATATGTTAATTTTTTAAGTAAATATTTATCTGTCTATATTTTAATCAAAAAGAAACAATTAATATATAAAATATTTGATTAAAATAATCAAAAAGATAGTTTTTCTAAAATATTATCCTATTTAAGAATTATTCACTATTATATAAGTACTAATAATAGAGATTTTTAGAAATGTAATATTTGTTATTAGAATTAATATATAATTCAATTATTCTAATATATATAAGTGGTGATTATAAAGAAAAGGATCTAAGGTCTCATTATACATAAAAATAGAAAGAATTTTTATTTGATTTATTGTTAAATGAAAAAATTATAATAAAACTTAATTTGAGGTCAATATTCGTAATGTTAAGGCAGTTTAACTTTGAGATTTATTTTATTAGTGTATTTACTTGCCTTTAAATTAGACTAATCATATTTTAAGATGTTTAGAATTAATCAATAAAGCAGAAAAATCTAGAAATCATAAATCCATATAAATTATGCTTTATTTAATATTAATATTATATAAATAGTTTCGAAAATAAATGAATTAAAATTATTAAAAATTGATTTTTTTTGAAATTATCTTATTTAACTATAAAGATAAAGATTTATAATCTAATAGATTATAAGAAAATATATATTGGATAATAAATTTTGGAATAGATTCCTATGTATAATTAGTTGCAATTAACTGAAAAGAATTAGAGAATTGAAAAAGTTAATCCAGAAAATTCCTACCTCTTTCAATCTTGTTAATAACTTAGTTGAAGACAGCTTTCAATATCAATCATTATTAGTATATTGTTGGAATTGTATACATTAAATAGAATAAGATTATCAAAATTAAAGTTTATAATTCTTATAGGCAGAAATATTAGAAAGTAAAATATTTTGATAGAAAAAATCTTTCATCTAGATTTGATCTGAAAAAGATGTTAAATTAATAATCATTTTATATTAAGGTAAAATATATCATATTTATTTTTATGACTATTTCCTAAAACAACTGTTTGTTTCATTCAATGTCATACACTAATACTAATATTAAATATGCCAAATTTATTTATAATTCTAGTAATTTATTATTTACTAGTTATTCAATTACATCACCTTAATTTAACTAAAAATTATTAACATATAATTTTCTTTACTTCAAAATCATAATATTTGAATAATACTCAAGGAGCTAATTTAAAAAAAATCCCACAAATATATTAAAATGCTCCTTAAATTTATATAAAGAATATTTTTCAGTGTTAAAATAGAAAATGAAAATAAAATGGAATTTATCCTTGTAATTATCAAATTTAATCTCCATAAAAAGGTTTTTCTTCAAATTATGTAATATACTTAATTATATTCAAATATGAGAATGATTTTTGGCCTTTCCCTTCAGAGTCTAAAATTTAATTTTTCTTGAATTAAAATTATAATCTAATCAATAAAACTATTTTAAATACTAAAACGTTCATGCAACTAATGAAAATTATTCTAACAAAGTTTGTGAAAAGTTACGAATTTCTCTTTTAGAGGTTTTTTTCTTCTTCATCATAATATGTCATTTTTATTAATAAATACTTACTATTATATCCTAATGAAATTATTTAAAATAAATTAATTTATAGTATTACATTTCACTATTTTAACAATTTTTGATTTTTTTTTCTGTTAAAATTAAAATTAAAAAACATTTGTTTTCTAAATTAAAAAAGCCTAAAAATGAAAACTTGTAAAGAATTGTATTCTTTCAAAAATTCTACTTCATTTTTGTTGTTCTAAATTCTAATGATTTGTATATATATTACTTAAATTGAAGTATCAATAAAATGTAATTTTTTTTATTTATTTAACAACAATAGATTCCTATTGAATAACTTTTATTTGATTATTTTATATAGATATCAACAGAATTGTTAAATACTATGGGAAAAGTTTAAGAAACCATAAAGAATCCATAGATAACATGATATATTGGTCAAATATAGAATAATTATTAATAATATATTTAGGATAATGTTTGCGTCATCAATACCTGGAGTCACAACTTAAAGAACTATAACATTTATCCTATGTTTTTTCTAATACGTATTTATTCATTGCACTCGATCTACTTGGAGTTATGTTGCAGGTGACATGGTGAAATAAGGATATTTTTCATCTCATTACCTAGGCTATATAAATTTTGCTTTTTTATTTTTTTATGGGTTAGCCATATCTTGGTATAATAATAGCTTAATTTTAGTTTAGGACAATTTGGGGACAGAATGAACCTCAGAATATTTATTCTAGCAGGAACTTTTACAACAAGTGTGATTTTCACAATTATTGGTGTAATGATTTAGATACAGGATAAAAAGAATTATTTGTACCTAATACTATAAATCATAAATGGTATCTCATAATCAACAGCATGGCCTGGATTATTAGGTAAAATAATTATAAATTTAGCTATTCTTAACAATTGGTTTGTAACAGATAAAAAAATTGTACTTTTAGGTTTCTTTGCTGCAGGTCCTAATGTAGGAGATATATTTGGAGATATATATTCAGGTTCTTTAATTGGAAGAGATCATTTACCTTTGTATGCTCCTGTATATTTAGCAGCTGTTTCTTTATTTATTATCAGTTTTTTAAATGCCTTCTTTTTATAAAATGCACCTTCTGTAGATATTAAAAGACTAATGATTGAGGAATATGAAAAAAATAAGGCAAATTAACTTAATGTGGATAATTAATAATTAACTATAGCAATGATTGAATAAAAATTTGAACCAAATCTAAATACAAAATTAGATGATAACAAAAATGAAATTGTAGTCATAGTTAAAAATCTATTAAGAAAAAGAATAATTAAATTATTTTACTGCCTGGTTTGTACCAAATGTTGCTTTTTATGCATTATCATTTGGATGTGTTAAAGCTGTATATTATATTCTTACATTCTGGCTTCCTGCTTATTTAGATTCAAAAAATGTTCCAGATGTTGCTTGGATTACTGCTTAAACTGATGTTGGTTCTATTCCTGGAGGAATTCTAGTGTGGTTAGATTTTATATTTATTTAGTTTAATTGGATTTTATTTTAATAAAAGAGCTGTAATTATAGTTCCATCTTTATGGATTGGTACAATTATTATGATATCAATTAATTACAGTGGCTCATTAAAACATGAAATTGCTGGATATATTTCATTAGTTTTTCTTACTGGATTATTTATAGGTGGATGTTACAATAATATATCAGCAGCATTAACAGTAGAATTAAGCAATTAACCTGAACTTAAAAGTAATATATATATTTATATATATATAATTTAGAAAATAAATAAGCTACTACTACTGTAGTGTCAGTAATTATGGGTTTTGGTGCCATGTTTGCAGCTATAAATTAATTAATTGTTCCATATGTAGAGAGCTATTTATTTCTATATTGTGGAGGTGTTTCAATAATTGGAGGAATTATTTTAATCCCTTTAGTAATTAGAGAAATTCAAAGAATGAGATTGAATTCTTTGAAAAAATCATTCCAATGATTAATATTAAATAAATTTCCAAAATTATAATAAATGCAAGTAAATATTCTTTTCATGATAAAGAAACTTGAAATAAATTGAAGATATTAGATTATTTAGAATTTCTCTTATTATTATAGTAGCTCTAAGTCTGCAGAATATTAAAACCTAAGTATTTATTAATATCATATTTTTATAATCAGAGAACAAGAAAGATAAAAATGGTTTATTTCATTTTTTACAAAATTTGTATTATGTATTATATTATTGCTAGAATTANAATAAGGATATTTTTCATCTCATTACCTAGGCTATATAAATTTTGCTTTTTTATTTTTTTATGGGTTAGCCATATCTTGGTATAATAATAGCTTAATTTTAGTTTAGGACAATTTGGGGACAGAATGAACCTCAGAATATTTATTCTAGCAGGAACTTTTACAACAAGTGTGATTTTCACAATTATTGGTGTAATGATTTAGATACAGGATAAAAAGAATTATTTGTACCTAATACTATAAATCATAAATGGTATCTCATAATCAACAGCATGGCCTGGATTATTAGGTAAAATAATTATAAATTTAGCTATTCTTAACAATTGGTTTGTAACAGATAAAAAAATTGTACTTTTAGGTTTCTTTGCTGCAGGTCCTAATGTAGGAGATATATTTGGAGATATATATTCAGGTTCTTTAATTGGAAGAGATCATTTACCTTTGTATGCTCCTGTATATTTAGCAGCTGTTTCTTTATTTATTATCAGTTTTTTAAATGCCTTCTTTTTATAAAATGCACCTTCTGTAGATATTAAAAGACTAATGATTGAGGAATATGAAAAAAATAAGGCAAATTAACTTAATGTGGATAATTAATAATTAACTATAGCAATGATTGAATAAAAATTTGAACCAAATCTAAATACAAAATTAGATGATAACAAAAATGAAATTGTAGTCATAGTTAAAAATCTATTAAGAAAAAGAATAATTAAATTATTTTACTGCCTGGTTTGTACCAAATGTTGCTTTTTATGCATTATCATTTGGATGTGTTAAAGCTGTATATTATATTCTTACATTCTGGCTTCCTGCTTATTTAGATTCAAAAAATGTTCCAGATGTTGCTTGGATTACTGCTTAAACTGATGTTGGTTCTATTCCTGGAGGAATTCTAGTGTGGTTAGATTTTATATTTATTTAGTTTAATTGGATTTTATTTTAATAAAAGAGCTGTAATTATAGTTCCATCTTTATGGATTGGTACAATTATTATGATATCAATTAATTACAGTGGCTCATTAAAACATGAAATTGCTGGATATATTTCATTAGTTTTTCTTACTGGATTATTTATAGGTGGATGTTACAATAATATATCAGCAGCATTAACAGTAGAATTAAGCAATTAACCTGAACTTAAAAGTAATATATATATTTATATATATATAATTTAGAAAATAAATAAGCTACTACTACTGTAGTGTCAGTAATTATGGGTTTTGGTGCCATGTTTGCAGCTATAAATTAATTAATTGTTCCATATGTAGAGAGCTATTTATTTCTATATTGTGGAGGTGTTTCAATAATTGGAGGAATTATTTTAATCCCTTTAGTAATTAGAGAAATTCAAAGAATGAGATTGAATTCTTTGAAAAAATCATTCCAATGATTAATATTAAATAAATTTCCAAAATTATAATAAATGCAAGTAAATATTCTTTTCATGATAAAGAAACTTGAAATAAATTGAAGATATTAGATTATTTAGAATTTCTCTTATTATTATAGTAGCTCTAAGTCTGCAGAATATTAAAACCTAAGTATTTATTAATATCATATTTTTATAATCAGAGAACAAGAAAGATAAAAATGGTTTATTTCATTTTTTACAAAATTTGTATTATGTATTATATTATTGCTAGAATTATCGTATGAGAAAAAAATGTGCAATATCTTTGATACATACTTAATTATACTTTCATTGACAAAAATTGAAAAACTAAACTTAATTTATTCAATCATATTAATTAATGAGAAAATCATTAATTAATATTATAAGGATTTTCAGTAAAAGTTGATAAAGAACCTTCGTTATTATTGATTTTTAATGAGAATATAAACAAATATTGTAAAATTAAGTAATAAAGAAAGAGTAACTGTATTTACTCATTTCATAAGATTATTTTTTTATGCTATAAATTAATTTACTTTGTTGTTTGTAAATTTTATTATCGAATCAATATTTATACTAGACTTCTAAATTTATTGATTTGACTATTCATGTAATTTTTATATAAAATGGATTCAAAAAGGAGAAATATATATTATAAGATTAATCTTCTTATCAAAAAGATATTATTAATTATTAATAAATAAATTATAAAAACAATAATGATAAATAATAAAATGATTGAAAACTCTATCTAAGAGATATGCTAATATGTAGAAGTATAATATTCATTATTAATATATAGCTTTCTTATGATAAAATACTTAATTCGCTTGATTAACTTTTAATTCCTTAGTAATTTCCAAAATTGATAATCAACTCTCCAACTTTATATTCAATACCACAAGAAAGAACATTAGTAATAAATTTCGCAAATGAAACTGTATAAGAAATTACTCCACTTATTGATTAATTTAAACTCCTCTATAAAAAAAAGTAAGAATAATTAGACTTATCACAAATTAAAAATTCTGAATTACAAAACACTTTATAAGAATTCAAAGAAATTAAGAGGAATGAGTAGAATAATTATGATCAGCTGCTTTAAGATACTTAGAATTTATTGTAATAAAAAGAACTAGAAATAAAATAATTACACCAAACTTAAAGTGAAATAATAAAAGATTAATAACAAAAAATTTAAGAACTTCAAAAGTAAAAAGATTATTTCTTGATAGAAAATGCTAAATAGAAATAAGAAGATATCATTTAGAATGAGTAATTACAACAATCTATTTTATTAAATTCTTTTACTTTTTCTTAAACTTATAAAAACTCAAGTTGTTAGGTATCTTAGAATGGAAAGCTATTTTATAATAAGGGTCTATTTTATTCATGTTTATGCGATTAAGCTATCCCTAATCAAGGTATTGTGAAATTTGGTTATTTAATACACGATATAGGTACTAATTAGACTATGGTTGGAATAGGAGCAAGAGAAATAATTTCTAAATTTGGGTATTCGAATATACAAGATTCAGGTAAAGGGTAAATAATATTTATAATTTTAGAGCCTATCTTATAATGAGTAGTGGCTATTGTTTTAGTCATCATCAAAAAGAGAAATATCATAATTCAATACCTTTCACTTTTACTAATAATGATATTATTATTATAGAAGTTGACATAGAATAAAAATAAATCAAATGGATAAAAAAATCTACTAAATAATCTTTTGTAAATTTTTATTAATATTTAGCTCCTTGAAATAGATCCAAAATATGAATATTATCCATGTATTAATGGTCCGGGAAAAGTTGAAATTTTAAATGAAATAAATCCATGAAATTCTAAATATAATAATTGATAATTTATCTTTTTTCTTATTAATCCATATTTCAATTTACAAATTTTTGTCTAAGACCTCTTTTTTTTTAATGTTCTCAATATTGTTAAAATACAGTTTCAGATACGATTTTGCAAATTTATTTATATATTGATACTCATATATTTATAACAAAATATCAAAAAACATAGTAGTGTTTATTATTATAATTAACAGAAGGAACCCCTATGATAAATAGTGTTTTAACAACTAAATACTCATATAACAAATATTCAGAGAAATTTTTATTTTTTTAAATGTCGAGTACAATTTCTTTATATTTTGCAACATTAGAAGTACCTAAGGATCTAATGAACAAATTAAATATAAATTAAAAATTGACTGAATAATAAATTGTATAGATAACAAATAGACAGGGGCAATTAAAATTATTGGTAGAATCTTTTGATTTTTGGATCCTTCATTATGTGAAATCAATACATTTCAAATACTATTTAAATTTGACTTTTTCTTTATTAATCTCAAAAAATTGTATTATATTAGTATTCAAAAATTTTTTAGGATTGAGAATATTGTGTTGAAATATATAGAGATTTTTAATTTGATCATGAATAGATTTTTCAAAATACTTGTCTATTAATTTATTTTATATCATGATTATTTTATATTAAAGAATTAGAAGCAAATGTTAGAAAATAACACAATAAAATTAAGAATACTTTAATTTTGAATAAATTACTAAGATGAATAAATAAATAAATTCTTATATGGATTTGCTTTACGAAGCCTATGACCTAAGATAATTATTTTTTTGCTACCTTTAAGAGTATAGTAAAATGCATCAATACTATGTAAATGATAATTTGAATTGATATTATGATTCTCATCTTATTTACACAGTATGATAATACCAAATATAATAAATATAATTAAAAGGAAATCAGTTATTTAGAATAGGAACACCCAAAAAAATAACTTTTTCATTACCCAATTTGATATAGTCTGAAGAACCTTCTACTATCATTACAGAAACTTATTGACTTTTTCAGGATAAGAGTAGTTTTTTATCTTGAATTAACAGATTAATTTGTAAAATAAAAAAAGAATCTTTTGTCTAGCCTCAAAATCTTCAGGAATTAATTAATTAATTCCCATCTGCATATATGCCTTATTAATTTAAGTAAAATAGCTTCCCTATTCTGTTTATTCTGTGATTTATTACATAGGTCTTTAATTCAGAAAAATAAAAAAAAAATCTGTCTTATTTTTTTGAAATTATTATTTTAAATATTTAAGAAAATTTTAATTAAATTTAAATATATTAATGATTAAATATTTAGTTTCTACAATTTGGTTTTAAAGGAATAAACTTACTGATTTTAAAGCATAATTATTAAATTGATATTAAAAAATTAAAAATAATATACAAATATAATTTTCATTTTTCATATAATTCATATATTGAATATTGTTTATTATAATCATCCCAAAACACTAAATAATCTCCATTATTTGTGATAGTCCCAAATATTGTATTTTTGTTGCAATTCAATTTATTAACTATTTTGAACTTTCCATCATTCATTTATCTAATTATATATATATGAGTTTTATGTCTCACTACTATCAAATTCTTCTCCTCATTGTAAACTATTGGAAAACGAAAGTCATCAAGAGTTTAATTATTTTTATCCAATTAAATTGTCTTCTCTAAATTCTCTTAAAAAACTCTTTCTTTTAATTCAAATACATACATTAAATCAATATCTTTATCACCTGTAATCCAAATAAATTAATTATCTTTAATAAACTAAACCTTAAGTCCATAATCTTAAATTGATTATTTAACTAAATATTTGTACACAAACTTATTTTATGATGATTAATATTCCCAAATTATAATTCCATTTTGAGCTTATGCACATGATACTAAATAATTTTCTGATTTATTTAAACTTAATGAATTAATAGAATTTTTATGTTAATTTAAAGAATAAAGATATGTCAATTAATTTTGATTAAATTCAACCTTCCATACATTAATTGATGTATCATCACTTCCAGAAAATAGGATATCTTCTTTTGAATTCAATAAGATACATTTTACAGACTTTGTATGTTATTTATAAGCGTATGAGTAATTCCAATCAATTTAATTAATTCTTTACCAGCATATTATTGCATTATCTACAGAGCCTGAAATAAAGGAATTTTATTTTTTACTATAAACTAAGCATGAAACCAAATTAGTATGACATACCAAAGTATTTATTAATTATATTGTTCCATTTTCAAATTTCCATACTTAAATATCATTATCTTTAGTTGATACCATAATTGAACCAGAAGAATCAAAAACTATTGCTTTACATGAGTCAGTTTATTTAACTGATTGATCAATTTATTGTAAATTGATATCACCTTAATGAAATTAGTTTGATTAAATAATCTTGAAAAATTATTATTTTAATTCTCCTAAGTTAAACTTATCCTTATTTAAGTGGTAATCTTATAAAGTTTTACGTAACTTCAACATTGAATCATTATTTATCTTATTAATAAGTTTTTTCCTCTAAATAAAGTTAGTATTTTTTTTCTTAATATAATTATCTAATTCTTCATAGAAGGAGTATAAATTTTATTATTCTTTCAAATCTTATAAATTAGTAATCCATTATGAAGTTATTCCAATTATAGAATCAAATAAGTTTAGAAAAGATGTCCTTAATTCTTCTGTAATTGTATTACATTTCATTAATTACTAAATTGTTTCATTAATTATTTTTTCACATTCATTATTATTGGTATCAATAATTTATTCAATAATCTCTTACATTCTTTGTAATCCTATAGTTTTGGCATCTGATTCGAAGTTATTCATACATGAAATACAAAAAAATTTTTTATTCTTATCTAACTTTGGATCAAGCACTACCATACAAATTGTTTCGTTATGGTTAGATAAACATTAAAAGTTTTCTTCAGTTTCTATCATTTTTGATTTAGACATTTCAATTAATAATTTAATTTATGAGAGGCAATAATTTTAAAAGAAAGAGAAATAATTTAATCTATTGAAATAGTTTGCCCATATCTACTTAATATCTACATTAATGACTAAAAATGGAAATACAGATTGAAAATAAAAATAAAAAATTCATCTTCATCGAATCTTTAATAGTTAGAAATGCTCCAGCTTAAAAAAGAAGAATGATACATTTAATTAATAGCTAATTTAATTTAAATTGATAAAACCATATCACTTAAATTTGATCAAATTATGTAATCATAACTTAAGAATGATAATTTTGCTTGTCCATATAACAATAAATTCTCTTTCAAAACTTTCTCATATTCATAAAATATTCTATAAAACCTAAATTATTCATATATTAAATAATTAAAAATGAAAACTTTAGTATAATAAGATAATTATTTTTGCTTTTGGATTAATCAGATGGTTATTTTTAATGAGTCAAATTGTATTCAATTATTTTTAGGTTCATATTTTCACTTTAATTTGATAATTAGTGCTTTTTAAATCACTAGTTGTGTTGTGAAGAATAAAATTTTTTTTATCTGAATGAATAACAAAAATTAAATTAAAATTCAGATAATATTTTATTATTTCAAATTTATGATTTTGTTTCTAAGAGCTAAACTTAGTTACACATATTAATTCAAATCATTAATCGTTATATTTTTACATCTACTTTGATTCCTAGCATCTATTTAATGTCCTACATTTAAACTAACTCTTCTTATATAATTAATTTTAATCTTCAAGATTAAATCTAAACTTATTAGATTTAATACCTTTTTTGAGGTTAGTCATCTCAAAACTTTCATTCTTAGAATGTATAATTAGGAATTAGGTTATACAATGTTTCTTAATTGTGGAGTAGTTCTACTGCCATATACACCTAATCCTCTTTATATTATAATCTTAATTTAGATGAATATTTCTTCTATGACTGAATATTCTTTTCTTCTAAAGATAATGAAGTAAATAAATTAACTTAAATTCTTATAGAAAGATACAAATGAACTTTTTAATACTGTTGGGTGTTCTAGATAATGGGAGGAGTTCTGATGATGACTGTAATTAATTACCTTTAACAGCTAATATATCATGATAAAAATGATACTATTATTCTTCCAGTTACTACTCCAGAACAAAAACACATTGACGTTTTCATGGGGTCTTTTTTATATTAAATAGAAAACTAATCTTAAATGTACCTTGTGTAAGGATCTTTTTTTTGCTCTTATAAATTAGTGAAAGATACTGAAATAATCTAGATAGTTTTAATTTCAGAAGAGAAAAGGAAAAGTTGTGTTAAGAGAGTCTAAATTTAAGGTAATTTTCGTTCCTTAAGAGGGATTATATGCATGTTTCCTATTTAGTTAGAGTTTAAATAAATGACATTTTTTCATCCTTTAATATTCCAGCAGAGATACTTGATTATGGGAAATGCAAGTGAAAATCCCTCCATAAAGCCAAGTTCTTCTTCGTAGATTAAGAAAAAAAGAACCAATAACTGGAAAAAGATTGATTTACACATAGATTTAATTAAAAAAATCAATTTATTCAGGTCTGAATGAAAAAAATTAAAGTATTTTCGAAGGTGTTAAAGCAATTAGTAATAAAGTTTTTGAAAAGAAAATATAAATCTGATTTTTTACATAATCTAAACAAAAAAAAAAATTAAAATTGTATTTCATACTGAAAAAAATATTAATTAGCTTCCTGTGAGTTTATTTAAATTATTTGACCATATAAGTCATATAATAAGGCTGTTAAAAGATATATAATTTTGGTATATTTATTCAAATCTGTTTTGTTTTTTATATTTGATTTTATTAAAAAAGGATTTTATAAAAATCTGGTTTAAATGTTATTTGTAAAAGAGAAAATAAAAAGGAAGAAATTAATATGGTTTGCTATAATATAATTGTACATAGTTGATTGATTGATTTGCTGTATTTTTATTAAGAAGAGTTACTATACTATAATGATGATGTCTAAGAAATATATTATTTTAGATAAATTGTTAAGAATAAAAATTATGAATGTGATTATTTGATGGATTAAATTAATTAATAAGTAATGATTTTCAAAATTTAAATAAGAAATAACAAAGAAATCATCATTTAATTTCTATGAAAATAATTTAGGAATCGCTTTATTTAGGCTAAAATTTAAAGGAAAAATAATATTAATTTTTATTTGATATTTCAAAGGAAATACAAAGAGCCATAGAATTATTGAGTAGATATATATAACTTTATCATAATAATTATCAAGATTAATGTATTAAAGGAAAAATAATGTATTAATGATAGGTTAATGTCTATCAAAAGATTATTAATTGACTTATATATAATATTGCTAAACAAATGATGAGGCAAGAATTTGGCCGGAAAAAAGTTTTAGCTATCAATCCTCAGCATGTTTTTTCCTTATTAAAAAAAGGTATATTTAATAGATTTACAGGTGAATGCTTTTTAAATTATCATTTATTCTCACACACTTATAAAATTCTTAAGTAAACATTAGGATGCAATAAATTTGTAAGATAAAGCATTATTAATTGATCCTAAAAGTGGGGCTTCATTTTCTGAAAAAGATTTAATTATGAGTTAATTTAATAAATAGGTTAATGATTAATGAGATTAAAAAAATATGAGAATACTATACAATATCTAAATTTAGCACTTTCCACTTGTCCTAAGAAACCATTTCTCTCAAGAATAAAGGTATTTAATTATTTGATTGTAGAGTGCTGCTTATATTGAGGCATTTATCATTTTCATTGTAGAATGTTAAGGAAATATTAAAAAGCTCTGATTTTTTCATAAAAATTATTTTTTTTTCAATCTATTGACAAAGGATCATATTGGTATGTTTATCTTTTTAAATAAGAAAAATCATTAAAAGATATTAAATAATGATTAATTAGAAAATCATAAATCTATTTTTTATTTTACTTATGCAATTTAAATTAACATTGAATTAATTCTAACTAAATTATCTGTTTAACAATCTATTTTTTTCAAATCTTTTTCAGATATTATATTCAAGAAAATCACAGTTACTCAAAAAAATTATAACTATAAAAAGAAAATAAGGCAAATGATCTAAATTGTAAAATCGTATAAAAATATATTGAAATTCTTGATTTTTTTTTCTGAGCCTAACAATTTCTCTAATTTAAAAACAAGGAATCATTATAAATTATTATACTATCACAATAATAATAGGGAGATACTTGAGTAATATTTGAAGAGATTTAATATGGACTAGAGGATCTGATTTGAAAAAGAATATTAAGAAAAATGATATTCGAAAATCGTTGTTATAATTTGTTTTTATTCTAATATAAGGCTTATTTAACACGAATATTATCAAATTGAATTTGTAAATAAAAAATATTTAATCACACTTTTAAATCTAAAATAGGAACAAATTGTATTTAGAATTTTATAATTACATTTAATTGAAGATGAATATAAATATTATATTTTTTAAATTATTTATCGTGAATTTAATCTGTGTTGTTTGTAGATTTGTTATTATTTTTCATCATTTTTTTATTTATTACCATGATGATAGCCCTTAAGAATACAGTGAAATCCTTTTACTGAAGTCAAAATGTGTTGATTTAAATTATGTATTTATAATTAGATAAAATTCAACTCATAAATCATTCATTTTTTAGCAGTCCATTAGTTTTACAAACACCTTAAAATAATATTTCTCAATTCTATTATTATTGATATTCTTTATGCTTTTGTGAATTTCATTATTAACAGCAATCATTGTTCTAAGGAGGAAGTTAAAGATGATTGATTTTGTTGATTATATGCTATTTTAGAAATTGTTCCTTATGAATAGATGCATTATCTAAAATCAAAAAATACAAACCTCTACCAAATTTTTCATTACACAATTAAATTAAACGTGCAAGAAAGTTTTTCATAATATGAGCATCGAAATTTGTTCTAATACATTGAAAAAGAAACAATCCTTGTCCAATATCACCTATTATATTTATCCTTTTGGTAATTGTAATAAAATTTGAATGGAGTTTTTATCCAACTTAGCTCCATACCTTTTACAGATAATCATTCCCAAACTCACTTTCATCAATATAAATTGGGTATAAGTTATTCTAAATCAAAAAAATATAAAAAGACAAAAATAAAATACAATGAATTTTGCTTTTTGTTATATTATGAAATATTTACATATATCAATTGATTTGATTCAACATTATCTGTTCCTCTTAAATCTCATTTTAGTTAATTTATTCAATCTATTATTTCAAAGTGTTAATATATTTGATTTTTTATTCTTTTTTTCTTTTTTGTTTTTCTATTTTCTCTTTTAACTTATAATCTTTATACAATTTAGCTTGACTTTTTGATCGTTTAAAAAATCTCCCTTATGATTTTCGATGAAGTGAAGTGTTAAATTCTTACAGCATTCTAAATTATTTTTAGATATTTACTTTAGTTCTTGTTAAGTTACAATAGACATACTTTCAGGAATGTTGTGTCTAAATACATCGTGATTATCTCTTAAGGTGTGAAACACATTAATCATCCATTATTTATCAGGTAAATGATTTTCATCAAATCCCCAAGGTTTTGAAACATTAATTTCCTATATCAACATCCATAAATCAAGCTTCTATACTTGCTTTAGCAGTTGACCTATTTTGATATCCGATGAGGCGATTCGAAATACTTTGTTTGTCATAATTTTAAATAGATATTCTGTCGTAATTGCTGCACATTATCTTTTTGGAATATAAAACCCTTTAATGATTAATGAATAATAAGCTGAATCTAATGATCCTACTGCAGCATTTGCTTATTAGATTGAAATAGCCATTTCTCACCTTAATTAAAAATTTAATTCTAATTATTTTTCTCGAATTCAGAATTTTTATTTTGATTTCAAAATTTATATCTTGAATTAACAAATAAATATAGCTAATCAAATTTTAATGCTTTTTTATAATACATTCAAGTTTAAAAAATTATGTATTAAACAAATTTTTTTTCAAATTAATATTTTATTTTTGTTTATTTAATTAATTAAAAGAAATAGAGTCATACATATGCAAATTGAGTATTAGAGAGAAGATTTAGAGGATTCAATTAGTAATAGATATTTAACTCAATATTAGATTATAATAAATACAATTTTTAACAAATACTAGAGAAAGATCATATTTGCGATGAATTTTGTCAAGATTATAAACAACTTTAACGATTTTCGGTGAGATTATATAGAATTCCTTTAGAAATTGTGACTCTGGAATTTTAGGAGGCTTGGGACTTTTGTTAGAGTAAAATCGAAGTTTATTTCATGAAATTCTAAAAAAAAAATAACAGAGAAATCAAAAGGCAAAAGAGACAATAAAAAATAGTCGTTAAAAATATTCCCTTCAATTTCAAAATTAAATCAATTTTACATAGAATACATGAAAATCATATATCATTAGTTTCTTAATCTGTTATTTTGGGATTGTCAATAGAGAGATTAAAATATTTGCACAAGGAAATAGAAATAAATTAAAATTTTCATTATATTCATCCTTTTGAATTTGTTAATGATCACTCAATATGGGTTTCTAAATATGTCAGATAAGAAAACATCTCAAACCTTTTTTCAATTTAAAATATATATAAGGATTTTTTAATCCAATTTAATGTGACCAGAGAAGAGCTATCAATTTCGTAATTTAGAAAATATTCCAAATAAATTGGATATTCTTACAAAAAAACCTCTAAAGTAAGCATGCAGGCTACAACATAAATAAATAAAGAGTAAAGAGTGCAATATGCTTTATAATTTTTATTTTTGATTTAGAATAACTTATACCCAATTTATATTGATGAAAGTGGGTTTGGGAATGATTATCTGTAAAAGGTATGGAGCTAAGTTGGATAAAAACTCCATTCAAATTTTATTACAATTACCAAAAGGATAAATATAATAGGTGATATTGGACAAGGATTGTTTCTTTTTCAATGTATTAGAACAAATGTCGACGCTCATATTATGAAAAACTTTCTTGCACGTTTAATTTAATTGTGTAATGAAAAATTTGGTAGAGGTTTGTATTTTTTGATTTTAGATAATGCATCTATTCATAAGGAACAATTTCTAAAATAGCATATAATCAACAAAATCAATCATCTTTAACTTCCTCCTTAGAACAATGATTGCTGTTAATAATGAAATTCACAAAAGCATAAAGAATATCAATAATAATAGAATTGAGAAATATTATTTTAAGGTGTTTGTAAAACTAATGGACTGCTAAAAAATGAATGATTTATGAGTTGAATTTTATCTAATTATAAATACATAATTTAAATCAACACATTTTGACTTCAGTAAAAGGATTTCACTGTATTCTTAAGGGCTATCATCATGGTAATAAATAAAAAAATGATGAAAAATAATAACAAATCTACAAACAACACAGATTAAATTCACGATAAATAATTTAAAAAATATAATATTTATAATACAATAATTAATATAAACATTTATTAGATTTAGAATTTTATAATTGCATTTATTTAAAGTTAAATAGTATTTAGAATTGTATAATTAAATTTAATTAAAGTTAAATATATATCATAATAAATATAACAATTTAAATATTAACTAATGTAAACATTTATTCTATAAATATGGAATTAGAATTTACATTTCAAAGTTAAAATAAAATATTAAATAATATAAAATTAATTCTAATCAGAATTTGCTACCAAATCCAATAAACTACACCAATCTATGGCGAATTTACATCATTAAGCAAAAAACATCAATAATTAACTCATTCGGACTGTTCAATCCGATGTAACACATTGGATGGTTGATACTGTTAAAATTTTAAAATTAAGGATTGAACAATTCAATTAAAAGTTTATAAAAATGAGGAAATAATCTAATTAAAATGAATTAGATGAAATTAGAGATTGAGCACGAGATAGAGACTATTACATAAGGATCTAGGTAAATTTATATATACGATTATATCACAAATATTACTTATTTAGGAACAAGAAGTGAGAGAGTAAATAATAAATGCTTGTTATCACTTAACAATGAAAATTAAGTGTTATGGAGTCTGAAATTACTAAAGGAAAGTAAATACAATAAAACAATATTGAATGTAATATGTCAAAAGTTTAAAAAAATTAATATTATCTATATATTGCTAAAATGAGAAAATCAACCTTTATGGGTGAAAAAAATAATATTTTCTATTTGATATTTACTTTAATCAGGCAATTATTAAGATTAAAAAATTTATTAAAATTAAGTGTGGAACTTAGAATGATTATCAGGAAATAAGGGTTAGAAAAAATTAAAGAGGATTTTATGAAGGTGTTAAGATAATGGCTTATGCAGATGTCTTAGCAATTGTAGCTAACCATAATATTATTGATGATATTGCAATGACATTTATGGTTTTGGCTAAGGCATATAATTTCAAGGTTAATTTGACAAAAACTAAACTTATTACAAGATGTAGATTTAGGAGTATTAATTGAATAAATATGTCATTGATTATATGTTAAAACTATTGAAAATATAAAAAATTGTTTTCTAAAATAATTTCAGAATTAGCTGTTTATTTTTCAATTATTCATTTTCATTATGATGAGTAAATTGAACTTCTTAGAAGCTAGAGCATTGATAATTTCTTTTTTAAATAATAAATTGATAATTTATAGTAAAGTTTTATTATTAACAGAAATGTAGAGATAATCTCTAAGAAATAGGTTCACATATAAATTTCTGAATGTACAAAAGAAACCTATATTAGCAACTGAGATTAATGATAAAACCTCCTTATTATATAATTTAAATAACATAAGCATTAACCACATTGCTAAATGGAATCATTACAACATCTAAAAATGATAAAATCAATTTTGATTGGTAGTATATTAAAGAATGCTTGAAAAATACAAATGAGATTTTATCAATAGTTAATGATCATGATGCTTTCTAGAAGAAATGTATTTTCAAAAATTATGAAAACTCTCGTGAAATTTTAAACTCCATTTCACCATTAGACAACTCATCTAATAATGAAACATTTTAGATAATTAAGGAAACTCTAGAGAGACTATACTTAATAATGAAGGACTCAAAAATTTAATAGGAAAAAATATAAATTTCTAAAGAAAATGAAAAGGTTTCATCAAAATAGTTTTCTGGTTCAAATTTTAGAAAATAATTATCTTAAAGATCTACTTCATTTGTTTAGAAATATCATATCAATGAAAAGAATAATTAATCTCGACCAAAAAGTTAATAAACAAATTATAGCATCAGCAGCAGATCCTCATCAAATAAAAAAGATTCTAAAATTATTGTTTAATTAACAGAAACCAAAAATGTATATTATTAATAATGTTAGTAATCAAGATTAAATAAGATATTAAATCTAAAAACAAGCTTCCCCAACAATAGATCAAATGTTAAGTAATTTATCAATAACTAATATTCATATAATAACTCTAGTCGTTCAAATAGTAAAGAGTCGATTTAAAGATCAGGAAATGATAAGAACCAATCATTAATTCTAAGAATAAAATTATAAGATTACCAGATGAAATGGGAGTTAGATAGAGATAGAAAATCAAAAAATCATGAAGAACTGAAAAAATCTGGTCAGAAAAAATATAAGTAATAGATAATTAATAATAATATTAATCAAAATAAACCGCAATTAAAATCAAATACTCAAGGAGTAAATTAGAAAAATGAAAACTCAATAAAAAAAATCTTGAAAACTAATCATTGTTATCAAAAATCCAAACTTTTTATAGTATGAATTTATTTTATAATAATTATTCTAAATAAATTATGTATTAAAATAAATATTTTCTTGAAGTCTGATTGAATCAGAATAGAAGAAGATATAATAATAATAATAAAAGGAAAAAGCTTACAGAAACTTAACTGTATTTTTTCAAACTTAAATTATTTATTATACTATCATCTGAACCAATTGATCTCAAGATTTTGATGATAAGCATTTTGAATACTTTTCTATTGGCTAGAGATTTTGTTAAATTATTAATAGATTATATAATATGTGATTTGACAAAGAAGAAATAAATAATCATTCTACATAGAAATCATTAGATCATGAAAAGTAGTTATAGATTATTTTTTATAATTCTTTTATCGATGGTCATTAAATATAATGATCCATCCTTTATGTAATTAAAATAATAATTNTATTAATTGAATAAATATGTCATTGATTATATGTTAAAACTATTGAAAATATAAAAAATTGTTTTCTAAAATAATTTCAGAATTAGCTGTTTATTTTTCAATTATTCATTTTCATTATGATGAGTAAATTGAACTTCTTAGAAGCTAGAGCATTGATAATTTCTTTTTTAAATAATAAATTGATAATTTATAGTAAAGTTTTATTATTAACAGAAATGTAGAGATAATCTCTAAGAAATAGGTTCACATATAAATTTCTGAATGTACAAAAGAAACCTATATTAGCAACTGAGATTAATGATAAAACCTCCTTATTATATAATTTAAATAACATAAGCATTAACCACATTGCTAAATGGAATCATTACAACATCTAAAAATGATAAAATCAATTTTGATTGGTAGTATATTAAAGAATGCTTGAAAAATACAAATGAGATTTTATCAATAGTTAATGATCATGATGCTTTCTAGAAGAAATGTATTTTCAAAAATTATGAAAACTCTCGTGAAATTTTAAACTCCATTTCACCATTAGACAACTCATCTAATAATGAAACATTTTAGATAATTAAGGAAACTCTAGAGAGACTATACTTAATAATGAAGGACTCAAAAATTTAATAGGAAAAAATATAAATTTCTAAAGAAAATGAAAAGGTTTCATCAAAATAGTTTTCTGGTTCAAATTTTAGAAAATAATTATCTTAAAGATCTACTTCATTTGTTTAGAAATATCATATCAATGAAAAGAATAATTAATCTCGACCAAAAAGTTAATAAACAAATTATAGCATCAGCAGCAGATCCTCATCAAATAAAAAAGATTCTAAAATTATTGTTTAATTAACAGAAACCAAAAATGTATATTATTAATAATGTTAGTAATCAAGATTAAATAAGATATTAAATCTAAAAACAAGCTTCCCCAACAATAGATCAAATGTTAAGTAATTTATCAATAACTAATATTCATATAATAACTCTAGTCGTTCAAATAGTAAAGAGTCGATTTAAAGATCAGGAAATGATAAGAACCAATCATTAATTCTAAGAATAAAATTATAAGATTACCAGATGAAATGGGAGTTAGATAGAGATAGAAAATCAAAAAATCATGAAGAACTGAAAAAATCTGGTCAGAAAAAATATAAGTAATAGATAATTAATAATAATATTAATCAAAATAAACCGCAATTAAAATCAAATACTCAAGGAGTAAATTAGAAAAATGAAAACTCAATAAAAAAAATCTTGAAAACTAATCATTGTTATCAAAAATCCAAACTTTTTATAGTATGAATTTATTTTATAATAATTATTCTAAATAAATTATGTATTAAAATAAATATTTTCTTGAAGTCTGATTGAATCAGAATAGAAGAAGATATAATAATAATAATAAAAGGAAAAAGCTTACAGAAACTTAACTGTATTTTTTCAAACTTAAATTATTTATTATACTATCATCTGAACCAATTGATCTCAAGATTTTGATGATAAGCATTTTGAATACTTTTCTATTGGCTAGAGATTTTGTTAAATTATTAATAGATTATATAATATGTGATTTGACAAAGAAGAAATAAATAATCATTCTACATAGAAATCATTAGATCATGAAAAGTAGTTATAGATTATTTTTTATAATTCTTTTATCGATGGTCATTAAATATAATGATCCATCCTTTATGTAATTAAAATAATAATTCAATGTATAAAACAATTTATGAATAAATCATAAATAATCATGTAAATTTCTGAAGCGCTAATAAATTAAAGAAATCTAAAAATCATGATGAATAAATAGTAAATTAATATGAAAAAAAAAATTATTATTATTTTGGTTTTGACAATCAGATATTTAGGATTATCACAAAGATTAAAGTAAAAATAAATGTTATCGAATTTATGATTGGTATATAAGTATTAAGAAGATTTATTTATTGAAAGATAACTATAATTATTAATAACAGGTCATAAAATATGGATTATAGTTTATAATAATAAAATTGGATTTTACAAAGGATTAGATCCCCATAATCTCTAAAATTAATACATTAATCAATAATATTAACAATGAGAAATTAAAAATAAATGAATTAAAAATACTTATTTTTAATTATAAATAATATTAATTTATTATAAATATGGATTCAGAACTATTAGATACAAAAATTCTTTCCAAAATTTTGATAGAGAATCACTCAAAAATACTGAATTAGCAAAATGAGCAGGATAAATAATAAAGGTTAATAATATTTTGGATATATGTAGGGATTTGAAAATAGAAGTTTAGATATAAGAGGCTTAAATACACTTTAAAATAAAGAAATTGAACTTAGACTTCTATAAAAATTTAGGCTAAGATGTTTACATAGCTGAATTAAGTTCAAAAATCACTATCATGATCATGATGTAAGAATTTAACTGATTTAGAGTTTTTCATTATGATTTTCCTAAGAGTCAACCATAAATATTTGCTACAAAATAAATGAATCATAGATTGATTGATCCTGATACATGGTAGATAAAGGTTAAGTGGAATGACTCACTTATTTAAATGATGAAAGATATTGTGAATCAATTTGCAACAGAAGCTCCTGAGGATGATTATATGATCGAGCTTTTGATGAAAAACCCAGATGATTAATTTTAAAAACAAATAAAAACAATTTAAACTGTTGAAGTAAGAAAACTATTTACTAATTGTTCCCCAAACCAATTTTAAGAAAATTTGTAGCGTGATTTAACTCCATTTATAATGTAATTAGAAGAATATAAAAAAATTTGTAAATTGATTGTGGAAAGAGCATAATAAAATAATTTAATTGGAGGTATTTTAGAATATAAAATGATTAGAATCTATTTAATAAATTATGAGCGAGAACGCATAGTTAAAGTTAGAAGTAGAAGCGGAATTGTAACATTTTACAGGAATTTAAATTGAAGCATATCCTTTAGATTAATTTTGTTAGAAATTAGCTAAAGTAAATTTGAATTAAAAATTTTTAGTCATTCTCTGATAAAGAATTAGCAAGAGTATTGGAAAAAAAAATATAAATGTTAGAATAGTATAGAGAAGAAAAATACGATAATAAAATTAATGAGGAAGATGAAAAGAAATTCGAAAAAGATATTAAAGAATATTTGGGAAAAAGGAAGGAATATTAAATATCCATTTAAAAGAGATAATATTGTTTGAGAACTCTTTAAAATAAATATAAAAACTGATTTGAATATCTCATAATTGATTTAACATATTAATTACATTCATAATGGTTATCTTTGTTGTACGACTTAGTAATTAGGAGTATTTGATAAAAAAAGTATCGCTATAGATATTATTAGAAAAGCCAATTGAATTGCTAATGTAAAGTAATTAATGGTATCTCTCTAAATTTATATGTTATATACATAGTCAAAATGTGTACAATCATCCAAAGAACATTCATTCTAATAATTACAACAGGAAGTTTAGCAAATATAATTAGAGCATTGAACTATTAAAAACAACATATTTAATAAAAATATATGAATTTTTTTAGTTGATATGAAACATTCAAAAAATTTTGGAAATTTTATCTTCTCTCACAAAAAATTAAATGAAATATGCAAACAAGTACAAGTATAGCTGTTTACCCTAATTTTAGATGATTATTATAAGGCTAATAATCAATAAGATTTTTTCTTAACACATAATCAATTTATTAAAGTTTAATATTATTTTATAATCAATTTTCATCCAATAAATAAGAACCATACCTAGATAAAAGAGCTTCTTTTGAATAATTTAAAAGAAAAGATTATCTAATTAATTATTTATCTGATATATTTTTTAATTAACATAATTTAATATTTCTATGAAAATATTAAATTGTATTATCATATAACAATTAACATAATAGTAAATAAAAATAACAATACTATAAATCTGATTCAAGTGATATATATGGGAAGCAATTAAGAAAAGTTTGAATAATAAGAAGCAGGTGATGAAATTTTAGGATTGTTTTAAATTTTAGCATTTACACAAGAGAATATAAAATATATGTTAAAAATTGTATTCAATAATTATTTCATATTTTTTATAGAAATACTAATATTTATATGAATTGATAAAAATGTAAACAAAAAATACAATAAACAATCCTAGAAACTAATGAAGTGGTTTCAGCAAGTTATTAAATTTGTTTTATCACCTTAATGATTAAGGATTGAATATAATAAAATTATTAAGCAATAATAGATCTATATATATATTTATTTCGTTTGTTTATTTAAGGAGCTAGTCAGACACACTCAAGTCTTCACATATTTGAAGGCTTTAATACCCATAAAGAATATTAAAGCACAACGAATATGGATGGGCATCGCGAATCGCATTCCATGAAATAGAATGGATTCATATTCCTAATTATAGACCAGAGTGCATGCTGAATCATTCTAGCTTGGTTGGTTGCCTACATTTGCTGAAGCAAAGTGTAAGTAACTACTATAGACATGATCCTGTACGAGTACAGTCTTAATATTAATAACATTAATTAAAGGCCTTAAATATAAAAGTAATTTTATAAAAAATATGGGATTATATTTTATTTAATGTTGGAAATAAGAAACTTGAAACAACTAACCAAATTGAAGTTGGTTAACTAAAATGTATTATTATAACTATCTACCCTTAGGAAGATGATTTGATGATATCATCATTTATATTAGGATATTTGTAAGGCAAGAGTAATTCTATTTCTTTGGAGTTATTTCAATAAAATTTAGATATCTTTACTAGTTTGAATGAGTTTATGAGTATGAAATTCTACAATTAGGAAAGAATATATCGGTTATATAATGATGCTTTGTTAGGATCTAAAGATGTATTGCTTTAAAATTTAAGTCTAGTTTATAATTCTCTGTTATGAATTAGAAAGAGAAGTTTTAAACTCTTGTGAAGGAGAATAGATTCAAGAAACCTAGAGTTTTATATTATAGATTCCATCAGATATTTAAAGTTAAATAATTCTTCAAACCTAATAGAATTAGGATAGAAATTCTATAAATAATTCAGAATGGGAATTAGAATAAAAAATTTCTTCAATAATTAAATAAAATACTTTGTTAAAAAATTATAACAAAGAATCAGATAAATATGAATTAATCTAAAAATTACAGAAAGAGTAAGTTAATTCTTAATAGTTGATAGATTTGAAGAAGACTAATCTATTTAAGCGCTGAACTTTAAACTAAATTCTTAGAATTTCTCATAAATAATTGATGAAGATAAGTATAAGTAAATCGATTGTTAAATTTGTCTTGAAAAAATTGTATTCTAAGAGATGGCACCTTTGTATTGCTAACACATTTTTCATCAGAAATGTTTAAATCAATATTGCATCCATTAAATGGGAGATAAAAAGATTCCAATTAAGTGTCCTTCTTAATGCAATTAGACAATTATCTATTAAGATTTAAAAGAAGTGTTAGATTAGAAATAATTATCTGAATTTTAATAATTATCATTTAAAGCTTATGTTTAAAGTCTTGGAAATTAAGTATAAAAACCAATTATATTAATAGTATTCATGGTGTCCAACTCCTAATTGCACATATGTTTTTATTGTAGGAAAGAGTTTCTAATTGGATTGTCCTGTTTGTCAGAAAAAATATTGTTTAGAATGCAAAATTGAATATCATAATGGATTTTCATGTAAAGAATATCAAGAGAAACAAAAAACATAGTCTAGATTAAAAAATGAAAAATATTTTGATGATAGATTCTTCAGCTTTATAAAAGGAGCAAAGTTTAAATAATGTCCTTAATGCAAATATTGGGTTGAAAAGAGTTAAGGTTGTAATCATATGACTTGTTTGTGTAAATTTTAATTTTGTTATGTTTGTGGAGGAGTTTATAATAAATGTGAATGTAAGAAAAATAATTTTTTGAGTTTTCATTTTTTTTGAAGACATGTATGCATGAATGATCTACATATACATTCTTGTTTGATCATTAATTTATGTTATAATTAATTAATATTTATAATAAATATCAAAAGAAAAGATGGCAGAGGAATAATAACCATTTTCATTTACACCAGAAGGTGGAAGTGCCACAAATTCAACTAAGGATTATACAGGCAAAGGAATAGCTACGTAAAAATGTTTTGTATTGAAACAGTTATCCAAATGGTGATACTTATGAAGGTTAATATGTGAATGGAGTTAGGGAAGGAAAGGGGAAATACACTTACAATCCCTCTGGGGATAGATATGAAGGTGAATTCTAACAAAATTTGAAACATGGAATTGGAAGATTGATTTATAATAATAATAAAGGAGAATATTATGGATAATGGGAATAAGGACTTAGACATGGAGAAGGATTATACACTTATTCTAATAAAGATGTATATTCAGGATAATGGTCAAGAGGAAAGAAACATGGATAAGGTACTTATGTTTTTAATGACACTGCTATGAGAGTATTATTTTATTATAATTTATTTAATAGTTTAGAGGTACTTGGAATAACAATGAGATTGTTGATGGAGAATGGATTTATCCAAATGGAACAGTTTATAGAGGACCATTTTAGCATAATAAACCTAATGGTGTTGGCAGATTTGAATTTGCAAATAAAAATTAAGTGGAAGGTTACTATACATAAACTATTGTTCCAAATTCTAATCCAGAAGACACTACATTAAATATATAATTGGAATGGGTTACAACAAAACATTATTGATTTATAAATAATCAAATATTATGTTATTATTATCTAAGTTTGGCATTCCTTTTTAGACTTGGGATTAAATCAATTCTTTATTTATTATTATTATTATTATTATTATTATTATTATTATTATTATTATTATTATTATTATTATTATTATTATTAATTATTTATTTCTTTTGATTCTATACATTTTTATCTTACTTTTTATTTATATCTTATCCTCTATTCTCTTTTTCTTATTCATATTTATCATAATGATCATTTAATATTAATTTCATTTCTTCTAAATCTTGATTCTTTTTAAAAGATGGACTCTCAGTAGTCCTTAAAGTCTTTTTTTATTCCTTATTGAATGTACCAAATTCAAAATTACATTATTATTTATCAGGTGTATTCTTCAATTAATCTATCTTTATTGAATTAAATCTTCTTAATATATCAATCATCATCTTTATTAATTACTATATTAGTAATTAGAAATTCTATTAAACTATATCAATTTCTATTGTCTTTATGCTTCCACAATAATTAGAAAACAATCCACTTAATTTTTCATGTCCATTGCAAACGTCAAATAATTCTTTATAATTTGAAAGCATTTAATCCTAGCTTTATTCTATAAAATTTATACTTATTTTTATAATTAAACCCAATCGACAATGCTCTTGCATCTTCACTACTGCTTGATGATGAACTTATGTTTATCTTCTTTCTGCTGCTTTTATTCTTAACGAACATTTTATCATTATTTACTTTAACAGATTACACTCTATTTTAAATACTCTAAATATCTTGTTAAATCTATGATAATTATTATCTGATAGTGAAATCTTCTAAATTCTTTCTTTTATGAATATGCTACCTATTAAATTTAAATATATTGAATTTACATTTGCATTTAAAATAACCCATTCTAAAATTCTAAATTCTGCATTTTCTTAAATAATTCCTTTTCATTATTACATGATCTACCTGTATCATTATCTTCTGTAACAAATTGTTTTATCACTGCTCCTTTAGCCTATATTAATATTTGAATCCTGTTTTACTCTAGATGTGCTTAAATTTCCAATTTCTGTTTTTATTTGACGATCTTCTTGCTTTAACTAAGTATTTGAATATGAAACATCCATTAGTCTCAATTGATGAAACTTCATTATTATTAAATTTGAAAATAAAACAATAAATTTTTAATGCCACCTAAGAAGGATAATAAAAAAGAAGTAATAAATACATTAAATTTATATTAAGTTAGTTTTATCTGAAGATGACGGCACTGGTATCTTAAAAAATATTGTACAATTCAAAATTCAATTTCAAGTTGTTACATAAAATATCTAAAATATTGTAATCATGTATGAATGGTTAAATGCTAATAATACAGAAAGATATGATACAGGTCTTATTGATTAATGGAATATGGTTTAAAGTGAACCTCAATAGAATCCTGAGGATCCACCAATTGTTACTTATTCTTATGAAAGAGTTTTTGATTAAATAAGATTTATTGATTCATTAGCAGAAGTATTATCAAAAAAAAAATTATACATGTATTTTGTAAATGCAGATGATATGAAAGTTATGCAAGAATTTTAGTTTGATTATAGTTTAATGCTCAATACTCCAAGTGTATATAAATATATTAATATTTAAGTTCGAATTTGCCTTCTCTAAAATGAAAATCATGGAAATACTAGATTTTAAATTTAATATTTAAAGTGATAAACCATTATTACATGAGTAATTAAGGGCAAAACTTAATCCATTTTAAGTGGAAATAGTATCATGTGAAAATATACCTATTTAAGCGTAAAAATCATATGAATTATGTTATGTCTAATATGAATTTTATGATGGAACTATAATAAAAACTGATATGTAAGTTTAAATGCAAAACATGTATTTTAATTCTAAACATATTTTTTTATTGGGAACTATGGATATTGCAAAACATTTTGAGACTAAACCTTTAAAATTTGAATTGCATGATAAAGATGAAATTGTGAGAAATGATGTTAAAGAAGAATTATAATTATTTGATATTGAGAAATGGTTATAAATAGAAGAAGAGAAAAACAAACCACCTGAACCTGATTTTACAGTAGATCCTAAAACAGGTAAAAAGATACCAAAAAAGGAATAAAAGAAAGACGATAAAAAAGAAGTTAAGAAAGAAGTAAAAAAAGATGCAAAAAAAGACAATAAAAAAAAGGAAGTAAAATTAGGAGAACCAATTTTAGAAGAATAACAAAAAAAATAATTTAATAGAAATAATCATGGTGTAGCAATAATGAATTTAAGTGCTTTTATACATTCTAATGTTAGAGAAGTGGATTTATTAGCTGGAATAGTTCCAAGAAGAGTTTTTGAAGATACTGAATCTAATAATTTAGATTTAAATACAACTGCAAGAAAAAATATTCCAAAAGTATTTACAGCTGCTAATTATTTGGATTAGTAAGCTAATATGTATGTTAAATTTGAAATGTCAAATGCATTAATAAAAAAATGATATAATAAAATTCTATTATTAATTATCACTTAAAAATATCAGAATATCCTATTTCTTACTAAGATATTTATTATCTTTATTAATAGAATTATTTCTATAGTGTTTCTTCTTCAGATAAATGAGATTTAAATGTTGATAATTGCAATTATAATCTAAATTTGTTGACGCTTATATTTCTTCTATCTTTGTTGAGAAAATTTATCCAAGTCGTTTTACATATTCAACTACATTTGATCCAGGCTGATCTATATTATGTAATAACATCATTTCCTAATTATGAATATTATATTTTACTTATTTCACTAATTCTACCATCTAGCCATTGTGAGATCTGGGAGTCGAGATTATATTTTCTTCTTCTTCAAGAATTACACTAATTAATTACTCATGTTTTTGACCTATCTTCATTAAATCTTCTTCTATAGATTAATTAAGCTCTAAATAATTAATTTATATACTCGATTTTTTTTCGATTAATCCTGGAAATAGATTTTCATTCATCTAAGATCGTGGCTCTTACATTTAAGTTGTTGGTTTACTTTAAGATTATTTATTTTTAGAATTATTCATTATGAATTATTATTATTGTTATTGTTATTGTTATTGTAATTATTATTATTATTATAAAGGAATAACTAGTTAAGGAGGTGTAGGTTACATATAATTTTAAAAAGTACATGTAGTTTATTAGGATTATTATGATACCATCATTCGAGTTACCTAATTTTATAAATTTAAAAGTTAAGGTTATTGAAATAGATTTTAATTTTAATAATTTTTTAAAGGATTATTTTTAAATGGATTAAATTATTCTTATTATGATTATGCATTTTATGACTATTTCTACATTTTAACAGATTATCTTAAAATATTGAGAATGTGTTCAGATGATGAATTAGAAGGTGAAAAATTACCAATCATAACTGTTTTACAATTTCCAATCAAAGAATCCTTTAAAACTAATGTCAATTTAGATCCTCTAAAATAGAGTATGATTTTTATTTCAAATCCAAAGCACTTATACATTCTTTTAATGCTAATAATGATTTATTAATTTCAGCTACATCAAATCTTGTTTATTTATTAGTATCACTTACATCAGCTCCTTTCTCACTACCTGCCAAATCAATAAATGAAAATTTGCCATGAGATCTATATCCATTTTTAATGTGTTTTATAAAATAGCATGAGATCTTGAGGAATCACTATTTGATGAATTAGATGCTGTTATTTTTGATGCACTTCCTTGTTCAATAACTTTCATTAGTTATTCTACAGATTATACTTTTTACAGATTATACTTTTCTTTCTTGTAAACTAACTTTATTTACATTACCTTTGGCATCTTCTCTTGGTTGTAATAGAGATCTTTCATTTAAGAGATCGAAAAGTTTGCCACAATAAATTTCATAAAAGGAAATTGCAATTTGAAGATGGCCATAATATTCATTATTTAGTTAACAAAAAATGTCATAAGCTGCCAATAAATATAATCCAGGAACTCTTTCTTGATAATCACCTTACATTGTGTAAGTTTTGCCAGAGCCTGTTTATCCATAAGCAAAACATGTTACTTTAGCCTTATTAAATGCTGCTTCAACAATGGGCCGTACATTTTGCAAATATAATTATTCATTAGTGGTATTTTCATCAAAGGCTGCATCAAAATAAAATTAATGCTCTTCAATATATTGGTTAAATCAACTTTGGTTCTAAAAATGATAATGAATATTTTAGAAATACCTTTATTCTTTGACAATCACCTAACTCTATTAACTTGAGACATCTACAATATCGATACTACTTTTATTGATTTCTTTCTTATTCAATGGTCTTTTACGAACTGCCACAAATAATCTTTGGTTCACCTTGTTCAATCTAATTCCATTTAATGTATCACTACAACCTTAATATATATCTATCCCAATAATCCATTTTATGAAAGCATTCATCCATTAACCATCTTATTTAAGGATAGGTGATAACCTTCCTAAACCCACTATGACAGGTAATCATAACCCATCATAAGAGGTAAAGGTCAATATGTAGTTACTTTTAAACCTGATATTCATAAAATCTATCCAATTGAGAATTGGAATTTTATAACTTTGAGAACGATAGCCAACCAAACAAAACAAATGCTGTATAATACTTTGACTTTAATTTATTAATATATATATATATAGTAATAATTTTCATCTTAACTTTGATTTCAATTTAGCCTAATACTCCAAATTCTCTTTCTAAACTTTTTCTAATAATTAGGATTTCTCTAAAACTTTCATTCTTAATCTTTCTACTTCTCTTTCTTAAAGTTCACATTTATTCATGAACTCATTCATAGTTATATTATTCATTTTTGCATCTTCTGCAAATTTCTATAATTGTTTATGTTAACCAGCCAAACTTCTGTAATTGTCCGTTTATCTTGATAAATCATTTATTAAACTTTCATTCTATTATTTCAATATATTTATTTCTCCTTCTTTTATTTATAATGATTCTAACAATTCTTCTTGATTCTGATTCTTACCATTTAAATTCATCAAATCTTTTAATTGAACCTATAATCTATAAATTTAATCATCCTTTTATTTTATTATATTATTCAATCTACTACATTCTTCTCCTAACATATTGGTTTTACATTCCAATTCTCGAAAATTCTTACCAAAATATTATTACTATTCCTAATGCTGATTTTCTAACTTTTAATTTACTAATTTTAATTATTGATTCTATTCCTTATATCCTACTAATTCTTATTCCAAAAATTCAATCAATAATTATTTTGATTTATGAATATCTTTCACTTCTTATTCGTGATTCTTTTCTTCATTTTCCAAATTCACTTCCAATCTCTTTATTAAATTTTGTTCTCTTATCTATTACTATTACAACAAACAAATTTGTTCTTGAGATTTACCATACATACCAGTCAATTCATTTATTTTCAATTATAATTATTCCTTATGTTATTGATATGTCTATTGTAAATGATCAAAATCACTTTCTACTTATTTTATTTTATTTGTTAACATATTTTCATTTTACTTTTTTTATTCTGTTATTTCTTTCACTCTTTCTAATTCATTATTTAAACCTTAATTTTAATCTCTTTAACATCCCAATTTACTTTTCAAATCACTAACATGTTATTCCTATGATGTAATTATTGCTTATTATTTCAATAAAGTGAATTCTTGATCTTTAGATTAAGAATCAAATTATTAAATAGCTTAGGATAGTTTCTCTTCTAAAATATTATTACTTTTTTTTAGATTTATTAATTACCTTTCCTATATTATTAAATTAAATAATTTACCAAAACTTGTACTAAATTTTGATTTTTATTCTCAGAATTTGATATTTATGTTAAATTTTATTAAAGTCTAGCAATCTCTTGTTTAGCTTACACTTATTCTTATTTAAGTGCTTGTCTATGCTTTGATTCTTATTGTTCCATCTAAAATTTCATTGTAACAACATCTTATTTCCAATTCAAATCCATTGATCTGACAGTTTCATTGTGTGTTTTTTCTTATAATTCATATTTTTATTTATGATAATCAACTTAATTCTATTAAATATTTATAATTATTCTTACTTTAAGATCTTGATTCTCTATGGCTACTTTAGGATCTGATTATATAATTAATTACGGTTCTTAGGCCTTGACTTTTAATTATTAATTTTCTAATTATAATCTATCAATTTCTTTAATAAATGTTTCTAAATCTTAAATTTAATTATTGATTTTGTTATTAGTATTTGTAGTAAGAGTAGTTTAAGATGGAGTTTTATTTATTTATTACTATAATAATTACTATTATTATTACTATTATTACTATTATTATTACTATTATTATTATTACTATTATTATTACTATTGTTATTATTATTGTTATTATTATTATTACTATTGTTATTATTATTGTTACTATTATTATAATAATATCTATTGTTATGATTGTTATTATGATTATACATTTAGTGTATTAGATTTGATAAATGAAAATGATTTCAAATCTGATTTGTAATCTGGTTTATTTTCTCTTTTATCAATAGAGTTATGTGATGATAATGGTTATCTAAGAGCTGTATTCATATGACAAATAATTAACGGATAAAAATAAATATAAATTTTAATGTGAAATTATCATTATAAAGTTAATTTAGGTTCATTCATTTCTTTTTAACTAATATATAATTATCAAATAGATTTACGTCCACTTATTTCCACATATAGGAGTTTTATTGGCACAAATGTATTGAATAATAATTTCTTTCTCATTCTTATCTGTTTTAAGAAAATAGATTGCTTCGTCATAATTGCATCTTAATAAATATAAGAATGTATACTTGTTGCAAATAACTCTTTTTCTTGGCATTGATGGATCAAGAATAAGTGTATTATCAGTGATATCTATTGCTTTTGCTGCTTGATAATCTTTTTTAAGCAAGAGTGCATTTTTATTTAATGTTTTATCAATTTTGACTTCAATGATTCCATTGTCTCCACAATCTTGATTTCTACATTTAAATTGTAAAATTTCAGTAACATCTCCATCATGATATGGTTTGAGTAGATTCTTGCATCTTGGACAGAATCGCCAACCATTGTAATTTTTCACATCCATTATTTAGTTAAAATAATTAATGGATTTATTAAAAGACCCAAAAGGGGATAGATAAGTAAATACGATACCCACTCCACCTCATAGACCATTAAGTGAAGAGTTACTGTTTATAGATGAGAAACCTAACTGGAAATTATTGAAAGAACACCTTTTCAAGGAAGGAAGGATAACAAAAAGCTAGTTAATGAAATTAGTTGATATGTGCAATTATCATTTAAAAAATGAAGGTAATGTAATTTATGTTGATGATCCACTTACTGTAGTGGGAGATATTCATGGATAATACTATGATTTAATGAAAGTATTAGAGATGGGAGGTGATCCAGAATAAGGAAAATATGTATGATTATTTGTGTATTTACATGTTTTTTTAGGTGATTATGTTGACAGAGGTTCCTTTTCAATAGAAGTAGTAGTGTTATTGTATGCTATGAAAATCTATTATCCAACAAGAGTGTTTCTTCTTAGAGGAAATCATGAATGCAAATAATTAACAAGCTACTTCAATTTTAGAGATGAATGCCTATACAAATATGATTAAGAAGTCTATGAAGCTATCATGGCATCATTTGACAATATGCCTTTAGTGGCCTTAATAAATAATAAATTCTTATGTTTACATGGTGGAATATCTCCAGATTTAAAATCCGTATGAATAGAATAATATGCAATTAGTTAGCAGATGTTGAAAGAATAGATAGATTTAGAGAACCACCAAAAGCAGGATTATTTTGTGATATTTTATGGGCTGATCCAGTTGAAAATGAGGATCTTTATGATGAAATTCATTATAGAGGTAATGATACAAGAGGTTGCAGTTGGTTTTTTGGAGAAAAGGCAGTTCAACCATTTTTAGACAATAATAAATTCATATGTTTAATTAGAGCTCATGAAGCTTAATTAGAAGGTTATAGATTGTATAAATACAATGAAAAAATAAAAGAGTTTCCTTAAGTATTGACTATATTTAGTGCTCCTAATTATTGCGATGTTTATAATAATAAGGCAGCCATATTAAAATTTGAAAATTGCACACTTAATATATCTTAATTTGGTTATTCTTAACATCCATATTTACTACCTCACTTTTTAGATATTTTTTCATGGTCAATACCATTTGTAACAGAAAAAGTAACTGAGATGCTTAATTATGTCTTATAACCAAGACCTGGTGAAAAAATAGAAGATTCAGAGGATGAGATACCAATTACTAAAGTTATAACCGGATAATAAAATATGGGATAATCCTAATCTAATAGTCGTCCCTCAGGAAAATTACAACAAATTACTAAAAAATAAATTGATATAACCAAATCAAAAATCTCTTTTGTTTCCAAAATGATGAAAATGCAAACTGTACTCAGATAGGAAAGAGAAAATATCATAAAATTAAAAGGATTATGTCCTGATAAACGTATTCCAAGAGGAGTATTATTACAAGGAGCTGAAGGAATCAAGGATGCCCTTGAACATTTCAACACAACAAGGGCTGCAGATAGAATCAATGAGAAATGGCCAGAAACTAAATGATTTATCTACATTATATTTAATAATGAATGAAAAGACTATTGATAAATATAAACTCTTAAGTACTGATCTTCTAGGAGCAGGATCATTTGCAAAAGTATATAAAGGAATAGATACAACAAATAATAGATAAGTTGCTATTAAAATGCTTCCAAAAAAAAATATACTAAATGATAAATATCTCATGGAAGGTTTAAGAAGAGAATTATCAGTTATGCAAAAACTGAAAGGAAACAATGTAGTTCGTTTATTAGATACACTTGAATCATAAAATAATTATTATATAGTACAAGAATATTGTAAAGATGGAGATTTAGGTACTTATCTAAAAAAATAATAATATTTAACAGAAGTAGGAGCAATAAGAATTTTAACAGATATTCTGAATGGCTTTATTGAATTATTATAATAAGGTATTATCCATCGTGATTTGAAACCTGCTAATATTCTTGTTCATCAAAATACTTTTAAATTAGGAGGTAATTTAAATTATAAATTAGATTTCGGATTTGCTAAATGTATTTCTAATTTTTAAAGAGATATAATGGAATCTGTTGTTGGAACTCCACTTTATATGGCACCATAAATTTTAATGAGAGAATCATATACAAGTAAATGTGATATTTGGTCAATTGGATGTATATTTTATGAATGCATATTCAGAAGAACTCCATGGATTGCAAATTCTGTACCCTAATTACTTAATATGATATTGAAATGTCCAGTTTAATTTCCATCTTATATTTCTGCAGAAGCTAAAGATTTTATATAAAAATGTCTTGAAGTAGAAGAAGATAAACGTATGGGTTGGAATGATCTCTATAGACATTAATTAATTTATCCAAAGTTTAAAGATCATGTAGATAAAGTCATAAATATGGAAGCATAAGCTGAATTCATAATAAATGAACTTAGATAAATAATTGTTGTCAAATAAATTGATTTATTGGAAACTTTTAAAAAGCTATAAATTCAAGATAATTAATTCCTAACTTTCAAAGAATTATAACTATTATTGAATGAAATAGATCCAAAACTCAATAGATAATAAATTGAATTTGTTTTTAATATGATTGATGTTGACATGACTAATTAAATTAATTTCTTAGAGTTTTAAAGATGTCTTTAACAACATAGAGTTAGATTAAGCTTATAAGAAATTAAACCTGATATTGTATATGAAAATAGCCCATTAATTTAAATACCTAAATGGAAAATAGAATTAAAGAAAATTAAAGATACAATAGAGGAAGAATAAAAAAGTTTAGTTAAACTATTTAAATAATTTGATACTGATATCAATTAAGTACTCGATCTAGTTGAATTTGTTAAATTTCTCAGGTAACTATATATATTATTTAACAATTATTAGATTTTTTAACTCAAAAATTAACAATGAAGATGCAAGCTTAATTTTCCAGTATTTTGATAAAAACTGTAATGGAGGTATTGATTTTTTAGAATTTAAATCAACTTTCGAATCTTAAATATAATGAATTATTTAATAAATATTACAAATTCAAATTAGATGATTAAAAAAAAACCAAAATATTAATTTACTGTAATGTATTCGATATTTAAATTTATATTTTCTGATTTTTTTGCAATAATTTAATTAAGAAATGTCTCTTTAGATTAAATGATATTTTTTTTAATCTTGGAGCATTTAGATTAACTTACATTTGTGAGAATATATTTAATTTAATGTATAAATTTATTTTGTTAATTAAATAATTAATTCAAATTTCAGTTTTAAATTATTGATTATGATTATTCACTTCCTTAATTATAATTTTGTTTTTTTTTTAATTATTTTAATTTTAATCAATCTAAATTAGACTTTTATTTGTTTATCTAAATGATTAACATTCTTTAAAATTTTCAATCTTTGCTTACTAAATAACAGGATTAAGGTTCATAAATTAAACTGTTGACTTAGATTATAATTTAGATAAATATTAACTAGTATTGAGTCTTCGATTTCTATAATTCTAAATAAATTTTAAGCTATTATTTTATTTTAATTGTTCAATCTCTTCTTTTTCTTTTTTCAATTAAAGGTTCAAATCTGTAATTGATAACATTAATTTGGATATTTATTGGTTGTAATCTTGTTTTAAACTTTTGATCATTTGATCTTATTCTTATATTTTTAAAATTAATTTCTGATAGTCTTGTTTATCCATATTAGTATCGATGATAATTGGTTACAACTGAGCTGTAGACTCTAATTTTTCATCATCACTTTGGTGAAAATCTTGTTACTAAGTTTTGAAATTTTCTTTAATTTTATTAAATTCTATATCCTTTTTAATTTAGTTATTTTATTATTGTTAGAGATTTTATTTCTTTTCATTATCATATTTATTTATTTGTTAGGTTCGACAAAACTGCTATTCTTACTTTTTTCTTGAGTTTTATATAATTTATGTTGAAAATATATTTTATGACTCTATTGTTTGTTACGTTGATTAGTAAATTACTGAAAAAAAGTTGCCAATCTATGTGAATTAAGAATTTAATTCATTAACAGATTTTACATTTTCGTCTAATATTTAAGACTTTTAGATAAGATCATCCAATCTAGTTGATTGCTTTTCAACTTCTTATGCAAAAGTTTAATATTTATAAAAAATGATATCATCAGACCCAATTAATTTCCTATATAATATTTTGAATTAAATATTTTATTCTGATTTATATAGACTAAAGTCATAAAATAAACAATATTCTAAATCATTTTCTTTGATTTACAATAAAATTGAGTTTCCAAGTTAAGGTATGTTTGATAAAAGTACATCAAATAAAACTTCTATATAATTTTAATCTTATTATTAATGTTCAACTAAAAATTGAGGATTTTTATTTTAATTAGGTACATGAATAAAATTCTGTTTATTAAAAGATAGTATTTTCCGTCTCTATTCATTTTATTAGTACATAAATGTATATTGTAAATGATCCTACGATTTAATATCGGATTTTAAGACTACATTATAACAATTAAATTTATCAATTTAGATTTAATGACCATCCTTTAAATTAATTTTTCTTCTCTATTGTTCCTCTTCTTATTAAGAATTCTTATACCAATACTTTATTGTATTTGGTTTTGTCTTTATTTAAAAAAAAACTACTTAGTCATAAACAGACTATAATTTAGCTATGTTAATTGTATTGCTGTCTTGGTTTTACCATAACAACTTTGAATCATTAAGATCTTAAGCATTATCAACTTTCAATCTAAATATATAAGTTTTCATTGATTTCAAAATAATAAAAATAATATTTGAATGAGAACATATGAATAGTTATATAGATTCAAATAAGATGATTATAAAAATTTGATAAATATTTAATTTTCTATTACTTTTATTTAAGTTTTGCAGAATTAAATAATTTTTAATAACAAATTGTGTTTTATAAATATCATTTTGCATTATCAGTATTTTTGGTTAAATGTTATTATTTATGTTTTTAAGGAGTTTTAATTGAATTTTCTAATTCGTTTTTAATGAATATATTAATGAAAATTTTTGTGCTTTGTTTAATAGCATTAGCTATAGCAGACAAATATGATTAATTCAGAGCATTTGATGAAGATGAATTTGGTAGAACATTGATTGATACATTATAAATGTAAATGAGTACAGGTGAACCTATTGCTCGTTTTATAGAAATAATGAGAAATCTTGAAACATCAATTGAAAATGAATAAAAAGAAGATGATAAAGCTAATAATGAATATTAAAATTAATGCACAGAAGATATTAAAGTTTTATAATAAGAAAGTGCTAATTTAGAAAGAAGAACAGTTGAAATTCAATCAATTTTAGATGAATTAGAACCATTAAGATCATATAAATAAGGATAAGCAGATGCTAAAAATGCATGGAAAATAGAAACTGAAAAGAAATTAGCTGATTTAGTAAAGAAAAGAGAAACAGAAAAAGCTGAATTTGATAAAAAAGTAGAAGAACATGATTATGCAACATTTGTTATTGAAACAGTTAGAAGAATGTTTTCAGATAAAAGTTAAAGTTTCTTATAATTAAATAATGAATCATAATGGTAAAAAGTTAGAGATTACTTTATTAATGCATCTGAATAAGCAAGTATATATATAATATATTAATTAAATTAGAGAAATTTGAAATTAAAAAGAGTTATTCTAAAATATTCAATGTATTAGCTGAAATTGCTAGTTCTGCTTAATCTGAAGATTTTTAAAACTCACCTACAGTTAATAGAATTGTTAATCTATGTGATCTCATGTTAAAATAGATTGAAGATAGTAAAGCTTTAGAAACAAAGGCTGAATAAAAAAGATTGAATATGTTCATGTTAGAAAAGGGTAATTTTGATAAAGACTTAGCCAGTTTAAATAATGCTCTTGCTTAATTAAATGCTGCTATTTTAGGTTTAGATAATAGAATCTAAGATTAAAAGAGAGATTTGACTGATTATAATGCTAGATTGTCTGCAAAAAATAAATAAAGTGAAGATAGAGGAGGAGAATGTAGAGAAAAAGCTTATAATTATTAATTAACAAGAGAAAAAAGGTAATTTATATATTGATATATCTTTTAGAGAATAAAAAAGATAATTAGTATCATAAATTATTGGTGCCTTCTCTGCTAATCAAAGAGACTTTTCAGAATATGTTAAATTAAGAGGATAGGCTGGAGATTTCAAAGGAAAAAACTTCTAAATTCTAGGTAATCCAACAGAAGATTGATTATTAATTGTTCTTAATACAAATAATTATATTAAATTAAAATTATTAATAAAAGTTCCAGAATTTCTAAAATCTCGATAAAGTAATAAATTCTGATTTGATTTGATGATTAATTTATGATAAAACAATGAAAAATCATTATAATACATTAGGACTTTAAAGAGATGCTGAATAGCAATAAATAAAGGAAGCTTACCATAAATTGGCATTAGAATGGCATCCAGTAAGATAATATATTTTAAACTAAGTTAGGACAAGAATATGAACAATAGGACCTAAGCAATCATTCAATTTTAAGAGATTAGTGAGGCTTACAATACTTTATCTAAATAAGAATCAAAAAAGATATACGATTATAATCTTGATAGAAAGGAAATTATCCGAAATTTTACTAAAAAATAATAAGAATAAGAAAAATAATTGTTCAACTAATTGTCAAAAGAATTCAATCTAAATAGTACTTATTTAACAAAAGATGAATAAGACACTATAAATAAGTTCATGAATAGAATTGAAAAGTAAAGTAAACGGATTAAAAAAAGATAATGAATTTTTATAATAATCATTAATATTGCTTTGATTATTTTTATAATTTATAATTCACTTTTCTCCTAAAAATTATAATCATAGATTTTAATAAATTCTTTCTATAAAAAATAAATAAATTTATTATAGAAATAGAATCAGTAGTATTATTCTTTTTTTTTATAGATAAATTATGTTTTATGAAAATTGAAAAGTTGCAATGTAGATAGAAATTTCATATTTATAATATAATATTTTTATTTTTTAAATTATTTAGAACATATTTATAACAATAAATATTAAGTAATCTATATAGAAATTTACTTATTGTAATAATATTTTTAATGATATATAAAATTTAATACATTTAAATATATCATTAATCAAGTGATTGTAATGAGTCTTAAAATGGTTAACTTTATTTTTCATTGGTTCTTTTTTTAATCCATGAATTAAGTAAATTATTAGATTTTAGAAATTCCAAATTTGTATTCTAATTAATATATATATATGTACAAACTATTATTGTTTTAACTAATCACATTACATCTAATCAATAGTTGTCTATTGTGGAGTTTACCACAAATTCTATTATTACAAAGATGGTAATTAAGGTTATACACTAGGGGACATTTCTTGATATGGACTTCGTATGAGTAAGGGTGACATACCCATATATGGATTGTTGTTATTATACATATACATTGGTTGTGCAGGTGTATAAACCATAGGTGTTTAATTAATTTATGGGAATGGTGAAATAAGATTATAATTTTATGGATAATTCTTAAAATATTATCCCATTAACATTTATACAGGAGTTTATTATATTTATTAGGGAATTTCTTCTTGATATGGACGAAAACCTTAATATAGTACTTGATTTTATTATTATTATTATTATTAAATAGGAGACATTTAAACTTATTTTAATCTAAATTGATCATTCTTTAATTCTTCAATTTGTTAAAGTTATGGTTGAAAATAATAAGATAAGGTGTTTGGTGTTGATAAATCTCTCTTGTTATTTTCATTTAATTATAATTAAGGTATTTAATATTATTAAGAAACTAATTTTTATTATTGATCAAGTTGAAAAGATGATTATTCTAATAATTATTAGTCATCATTTTATTTAATGATAATTTATTCTAATTATTATTATCTTGTATTCTATTATTATTATTATTATTATTATTATTATTATTTAGATTTAATTTCTTTTTATTTTGTCTTTTGAGTTTATTATAATTTTTATGATTATTATATTACAGGATCAGCTATGTTAAGAAAATCTTTGATTTAAGAACTAATCTTTCTCTTTTTAGTTTATATTTCTTAAGATACTACTATTTAGGGAGGTTCTTGAATAATATCTTTTTTCTTGTCTCTTAGATTAAATTTTAATTTTGCTTATCTTGAATATTAAGTTCTAATTTAAGGTTCTTCTTTTTGAGGTTCTTATTCTTACTCTATATTTTATTTATTCAAATATTCTTTAATTGCTTGTAATTCCTCAATATCATCATCTTCTTCATCTTTATATATTTTTTATATTAAACTTTTGAATCTATAAAATGATAGTGTTAATTTATACCTATTTTTAACTTAGTTCTCAGTCCTACCTTCAAGTAATGTAGATATGAGTGACCATCTCTTTCCATTTTTGACAACTGTATTTAATAATTGAAGATCTTCTTACTGACTCCAATTAGTTCTATTGTTTTTAATAAGTGAGGTTACTTTTTAAGTTTTGGATTTAAGTAATTCATCCATCTTTCTCTAACTTATTTAGGTGTTCTAATGAATTATCCATTATTTTGATTATATAATTCAAGTGCAATATGTGTCCATATATGCTTTTCATCTTATTCACTATATATTATATATATAAATAAACTCACTTCATTAGTGACTTAATTATTTCATCTTCTTCTGGATCCCAATTAATACTCTTAGAAACTGGATTGATTAATGTAATCCATCTTTATTTTAATGTAGTTTCATCAATTTAAAGAATTGATGCCAATTATACCCATTCCTCTTAATTTGGGTTTATTGTCTTTTTGTTTTTCAATTAAAAGAATTTACCCAAGATCCAAATAAACATCATCTTACATTATTTGTCCCATTTTCGTTTAATACCAGCCTTCTCTTCAGATAATAATCTAATATAATATTAATGATTTTAGTAACTTTTAGGCTATAGAGTCAAAATGTTTGCTATTAGGATTAATGAAATTCTCTTTTATTTTGAATTAGTTACGGAAAGGAAATGGAAGTTCTGCATTTTTCAATGTACCCAACTCTTATAGAAACTCATGAAACATTTAATTAATTAATGGTAAATTGGACTTAAAGATTTATTACCGGTTTGATTGGAGCCCCTATTATTTTATACATCATCTAAAATTAATTAATACTCTGTATCTAATGGTATACATATAATTTAATATTTCTAGTTGTAATCTATCTTTTACATGAAGAATATAAAAATATTGATGTCTAATATTCTTAAACATAGTCATTATGATATAGAAATTATATCAATTTATTCTAATATCTACATATTACTATACAAATTATGTAGATTAGAAAAAGAATTTTAAAGATTAACATTCATCCAAATTTCTGCTGATTTAATTTGTAATTACTATCATTATATCATTAGAGTTCATATTATTTGTTTATTCTCTCTATTTTGTATTGATAGTATTTCCAATATAAAATAAACTTAAGCATAATATAGTTAATATCTGCTTTTTTAAAGTGATAATAGAACTTTATTTATGGGTTCCATATTTGATAAAAAATGTTAGTGGAAATATATTATTATATATCTTCTCTTCACTTATAATCTCATAAATGAATTTCTTATCTTTTATTACTATTGGGAAATCTCCATTTAATAAAAAGATGAACTGATATTAAGACTACTGACTCACTTTTCCGTGATCATGGTTGATATTTTTGATAGAGTACTTTATTATTTGATATAATTGGCTCAATTTTTTATGGTTTAGTACCCTATTTATTTATATATTCATTCAAATATATATGTATGATGTTTTAGAATATATGTGATATATACTATAAGTATTCTGTCTCTTTATCAAATGAATCAGTAAATTCAATATTTGAATTTAATTAATTATGAATTATTTTAATATTGAATAATAATAATATCTTCTTGCTCTCTAAATTTAATCAATTTATTAGAAAAAAAACATTTATTTTATTTATTAATGTACAATAGACCATCAGATAACAAAATACATGATTCAAATTCTAGATAACAATCTAGATTTCAATTTCTACCTGAAATATATTAATAATTCAGATCTCTTTAAATTATTCCTAATACAAGTAGAGTTTAAGATGCTATGTTATCTGGTCGATTTTGTGATTAAGTATATGAATCTTAATCTTAAAGAGTTATTAATAATTTCAAAGATAAAAAAGTTACTTTCAACAAGGAGTCACCAAATTTATAATAAAGACTATTAAGAAAAATTGATGATAAAGGTATATCTACAAAGGAGAGTAGTTAACCTAAGAGTATTTTGAAAAGAAAAGGATCAAACAGTAGCAGTAAACATTCAGACATATTTGATTTTTTTGAATCAGTCGAAGTAGAATAATAATAAGTTATTCGAAACAATAAACATGTTATACTTGCACCTTTACAATCTTCAATTACTTTATCTCCAAAAAAGATTGACACTGTATCTCCTAAGAGAGTATCTTTTAATAGAAGGATATAAGTGAAAATAATATGTGATGATGATTAGATTGATATTAAATAATCTATAAGTAGACATTCATTTAGAAGATAATTGACTGACTTTATAAATTGATAAGATTATATTTATATATAAATAAATATATGTAAAATAATTAAATCATTTACTCTTAACCTCAAGAAAAAAGATCATTATTATCTAGATTGTGTTCTTGTTTTGAATATTTCAAAAAGAATCCTAAGTTAGAGAATTAATATCATCCAGAAATAGATAGTCCAAAATCTTCATTTATTGTATGAGACTGGGATTTTTATATAGGGTCAAAGGAAAATAATTGTTTTGGATTTAGATGAAACATTAGTGCATAGTTAATTTTAACATTTTGATTCTTATGATTTGGCTCTTGATGTAATCGATATATTAGAACTAGATTGTTGTTTAATAACAGAATTTTAAGGTATTTGTTATTGTTCGTCCTGGTGTTAAACAATTCTTTGATTAACTTAATCATTTTTATGATATTATATTATGGACAGCTAGTTTAAAGGAATATGCCATGCCTGTAATGGATTATATTGATCCAGATAGAAAAGCAATTGAAAGATTATTTAGAGATAGTTGTACACCTTTAAAAAATGGTTTAACTAAGGATTTAACTAAGTTGGGAAGAGATCTTAAAGATATTATTATTGTTGATGTACTAATAATATTATTTTAACATTTAGAATTCAGTTTTCTCTTTTATTATGAATCCTGAGAATGGATTTAAGATTAAGGATTTCTTTTATGATAAATCTGATAAAGAACTAGAAACAATATTGCCTTTTTTAATTTGGATATCATAAGTATGGTGATCAACTACTAAATAAGTTGTCTGATGTAAGACCAGTTTAAATACAATATGGAGAGTTTTAAAATAGAAAGAGATTAGAAAAAAAGAGTGATGAATAACAAAACTTATATGGAATATCAAAATCTGTAACGATTGAAAGAAAGAAAATTAATAGGAAGAGTTTTATAAAGACTTTGACTGAATAAGTAATAGATAGAAGAGGAAAGGATGATACTAATGAAAGTGATAAAGAAACCTTTGAGATTGGTAATTGATACTGAGAATTTTGGTTTAATTTATTTGTTTTTATTATATTTAAAAAAATGGAAGATATTCAAATCACTACAATAGAAAGTGAGACTGGCAGGAAGTTAGTATGAGTTTAAGTCTATGTAGGCTAAATATTCAATGAGATCAATGGCTTTACCAAAGATTTCAATTGCAAAGTAACTGCCGTATTTAAGTGGATTGGATGATGTGAGTATGCCCAAACGCTATAACAGACAATATTACAAGATCCAATAACCAACTAAAGAAAAGGATCTCATTAATGATGTTAAATGAATTGAATATATTGATTAGAAAGAGGTGTTTGGGAGTCTTACATATAATAATGAGGAACCTTATGAAGATCGTAAACCTAAAGAGTTGGTAGGTGAGGATGCATACAGATCCTATTACCATACATTTAAAAATATAAAGAGAATTTTGGAATAGAACTAATTTGAGAATATATAAAGTATTTAAAGATTATCATAAATAATAGATTCTGTATAGACTAATTTGATATAGAGATCTGAAAGATTAAAGATATTACCATGTAAAATGGGTTTAATTAAATTGAAAGGTGATCGTAATTCACTTTCTATACAGAACTAAAAATTTGGAGATAAATATGTGGAAATGCTTTCAGAAGGACTTAGAATATTACCAGCTATTTAAGATTTTAATTTTAATCATAATAGAATAAAAGAATATGGTGCTTCATAATTAATGCCTTTAATTAGTAAATAAGCAAGGAAGATTGAATTTTAAACAAATTTAATTGGAGAGAAAGGTTTAGATTCAATTTTAAAAATATTACCATTATAATAATGCAAGTAAATTGATATATAATATAAAGGATTTAGATTTTGAATTTAGAAGATAATAGTTTAGGAGATTAATTAATAATTGAATTATGTAAAGCAATGAACAAGAATCTTTCAGTTGAAACTTTGAATATATCAAAAAATAAAATAACAAATAATGCACATTAAAGTTTAAAATAATTAATAGAATCTAATGATACATTATTAGAATTATATTTACGTTGGAATTCAATTAAAGGTTCTGGTGGTGTAGAAATATTTAAAGCATTATAAAATAATAAAAATATTAAAGTATTAGATTTCTCATATAATTTACTTGGATGTGGTAATGTAATTGCTCCAGCATTAAAAGATTTTATTATTGAAAATAAATCTATTTAACATTTAGATCTATCAGCTAATAGTTTTACTTTTACAGATTGTACTATTATATAAGAAGCATTGAAATAAAATCATTCAATTTATGGATTTCATTTTAGAGGAAATTTTGGATTTGTTGATTCAAAAGGATTTTTAATTATTGATTCTAGTATGAAGAATTTCAATTCAATACATATTGAATAACGTATAAGAGGAGTTATGCCACATCCTAAACCTTATGATCATGCATCAAGATTTGAAAAAGTTAAAGATGTTTGTTGGATATGTGATTGTTGGTAAATGGCTACTTTTGAATGGATTCCAAGTATAAATATTATATTTATATATTATATAGATTAAAGTGGAGCTTGTTCTGATGAACCTATATTTATTCATTTTGATTATGAAGGTTATGAACCTATCTTTTTAGGAAAACCTGATTAGCATGGTCATTTTAGAACTCATCGAATGATTCCAACTGGAGATATTGAATACTTTTATACTGCCAATGCTATATAAATTGCTAGTCAATCTGTTCCTATAAAATAACATATTGAGAAATTCAGAACTAAAGTTAGCATAGCTGATTAGGTTCTCAATCTCTTCATCATTAGGTTGTGAATGTGTTAATTGATGAAACCAATTTTGAATCATATCCTAAATCCAAACCTGTTATTGAAGATTGGTATCCAAATTATGATGTTTTACCAAGAACATAAGATCCCATCTATATTCCTGCCAAAAGGAAAAAATAAAAAAGAATTTGGACATATCCAATATCAATATGGGCTCCAAAATATAAATTTGATACAGAAGATTTATTAAGGAAATGTTTTGAACGTGATTGGTAATGTTGTAAAATTTCTAAGTTTGTTAAAAAATAAGAAGAATAAGATTAAGTTAAAGAACTCTTATGGTAAGCATATAAACCAATGAGAGAAACATATAGATTTTATGCTAGTGTAAATCCAACAGGAGATGTATTTTCAATGTCTGTTAATCCAACATCTGATTTTGTAAATCAATGTTAATTAATTGATTAAAAATAATTAAAATTAGCTGATGTAGATCTTAAATTTATTGCAACTTGTAGTGCATCTTCTATTGATTATAAGGGTAATTATAGAAATCCAGAAAGATCATTGGTTAGATATTAAATGATGGAATTCTTAGTTAGAGTATCAGATGATAAATATATGAGATTTAATCCATAAATCAATATTGTTTAAGCTACTAAAATGATTTTAGATTAATGTATGCCACATATGTCATAATTTGATTGTCATAAATGGAGAGCAGAAAGATATTTTATAGAATAATGTGATGATGTATGTAAAAAATATAAATGGGTTTTTGATTATGTTTATATGAGAAATTCATCTAAAAAAGTTAAACCAGGTTAACCACCATTTATGTGTTTAGATGAACTTAAAGATATTTGCAATAAAGCTAATTTATATGATGAAAATTTTGTTGAAAGAGATGTAAATTTAGCATTCAATTTATCAACACTTACATAAATTGATGAATTAGAAAGTGATAGATTATTTTAAATGTAATGGATTGAGTTTATGGAAGCTATAGCAAGAATTGCAGAAAAATATTCTCCTATTGCTATTGGAAAGAAGGATGAAGTATTTATAATATTTGATAAAGCTAGAAAGAATGGAATTATGAATTAAGATATTAATAACCATTATATTATAAATTAGAAGCCTTTATGATACATTTAATAAATACCTTAGTTGATGAAGAAACAAAAAAGAATTGGAAATAACCTACAATTTCAATGTTTGATGAAATTGAAGAAGATGAATATTATTGAAAAATATGTAATGTTTGTTTTACGTGCCTATTATATATACATTTTATTAAGTAATAATAATAACTCTATCATTTATAAATATATATTTACAATTACAATTACTATTTATTCATATATTATTATTATTTATTATATACTATTATTATATTACTCAATAATATTTATGGATTATTGATTAGTAAATTCTCATTTATATTCAATAAAAAATTCATTATAAGTATTTAATAAATAAATAAAATATTATATGAAATTATTTAAGTTATGTTGAGACTCAAAGGCTTACTGACAAAATATTACAACACTCTATTGCTCCAAAATATTTAAAATATCTATGAAAATATGTATAATTATACATCAAAAGAATAGTATTTAAATAAATAGAATGGTTCATAAAGGAATTAAATATATATAAAAGAATGAAGATAGTAAATACTAAATTATGTTATCATAATTCATATTAAAAGAATATAACTATTGCAGTAATATCATCTATACCCTCACTATGGGCTTTCCATGCAGCCACAGCTTCCTAAATAATCTTTTAACAAGCACCTTAAGGATCTTTCTTCGTATAAAATGGATAAACCATATCTGCTATCTTGATTATTTAAACTCATAATACAGTTTAATTATCTAAAAATTCCCAGATTCCATCAGATCCTAATACAATAAATAAATCCTCTTTATTCACCATATCTACTAATTTTAATTCAGGTATTTATGATACTCCAATAGATGCAGCAACCACATCCCCTAAACTTCTACTCATTGCTAAACCTGGAAATTATGCTCCTTTAGCCCATACTCTTGATGGACCTATAGGTGCTCCACTTGGTAAATGATATGTATCTACAACTCCTCCACATTATTCTATTCTTTATCTTTCACCTTCCAAATGAGGTTTATGATCTGTTGATAATTCAATAACAGATAAATCTTGATTTTTTCTTACTAGAATGGCTCTACTATCACCTACCCATCCACATTAAATAATATTTTCTTTTAATAATATTACAGTTGCAGTTGTTCCTGAGAATTAACATCCAAATTCTGTTTATAATTTCATTTTTTAATGGATATCAGAGAATATCTTTTAAAAATCAAACACCTTATAAAACTTATTCAAATTATCTACATATTTATATATATATTTATTTTTTACATTTCATTTGTTCCTTAACATAACTACTGACATGTTCTCCATCCATACCATGTCCATCCAGTACAACAAAAGCATAATTATTATCATCAAATTATAAACAAAGTTCTCTATCTTAATTTGTTTTCTCTGATATTCCATCAAAACCAGGTCGTGATTAACTAAAATAGGAGATCTTCATTTTTTGTCTTTATTATTACAAATGCTAAATACTCTCTTCTTTTTAACTCTTTATAGGAATTGATTGATATAAAGCATGTTATTATTATTATTATTGTTATCTTTATTTAGAATCTATTATAATTCTACTTTTAAGAAGAGGAGGTTTTTTTGTAATATCACTTCCTGATGTTGACTTTTCAATTTATTTTTTTGATTTGTTTAAATCAGGTAATCTTACATTTGCCCTTTATGCAGGTACACTCTAAATAAGTGATTTCTATTCTTCATTTGAATCTCCTCTGGATTCACTCCTTTATCTCTTTTGAATTATTTGAATATGTTATTTTTGGTTAGATTATTCCTTTTTAGTTTCAGAGGAGGATCTATTACCTAATGGTCTTAGTTATTAACCAAATTTATTGAACATTTTTTATATAATGATGATTATATTATTTATAATAACCTTTTATTTTATATTTCGAATTATCTATTTTCTAATTAAAAATTTAACATTATAATTACTTCTTAAAAATAATTACTAAAAGTTTAACTCATTATAATATATATATTTAATAATATTAGCCAAAATTAAGTTATTTAATGATTATTTTAGATAATTTAATTAGATCATAATTTATTATATCTATTCAAATCATATATTTATAATATTTAATTGAAATCATAAAATAATTTATATATTATTTTTATTAATTACTCAAACACCTATAAGTAAATAATATTATTTTTATATTTCCTATTAAATAAATTAAATCATTTATTATTTTAACTATTAATATGTATTAAATTCAGTATTATATCTATTATCATATAATTAAATTCTAAGAATATATTATTAAAATAAATTTCTTTTCTTTTTTTATAAATATCTTAATATATATTTGACTAAGAATTAAGAATTATAATTTCCTAAATGTTTTATTTATCAATAAAATTTGATTAATAAATTAAAGTTTTTGATATTTAAATTCAATCTGATAATTGTAATTGAAAACAATAATTAAGAATATAGAACTTTATTATATTAATTATTTTTTGTTATAAAATATATATAATTAGCTATTATGAATAAAATTAAAAAAATTGCCTGCTGTCGGATTCGAACCGACGCGGAGTAGACTCCAGCAGATCTTAAGTCTGCCCCCTTAACCAGCTCGGGCAAACAGGCTGTGATACTAATTTATATATCCTTAGTATATATTTATCAAAAAATATTAGAAAGTTTTTTGGAATATTAATTTATTTTAGTTTTCTATAAATGAGTGAAGATTGGACAACCAAAAAAATAGACAAATATGTTGTCGTCAATAAAACTTTGGGATAGGGAGCCTATGGTACAGTGTTTAGAGGATTTTTGTAGGAGGATGAAACCAAATAAGTGGCTGTCAAAACGATAAAGATTGCTGTAAATACTCAGTTTATTTATTAGACAATTTCAGACACACCTAAAATGATTGAACTAATAAAGAGAGAAATAGCTATTTTATAGAAAATTAATCATCCAAATATCGTGAGATTATTTGATGTAGCAAGAACAAACAATTATTTGTATATGTTCCTTGAATATTGTGCTGATGGTGATCTTAAAGAATATATGGCTAAAAAGGATGAAAAGCGACTCAGTGAAGTATATTTATATTCTGATTCTTTTAGTTAGAAGCAGTCATATTTATTAAACACATTGTAGAAGGATTTAAAAGGTTGTACAAACAAAAAATCATACATCGAGATATTAAACCTGCTAATATTCTTCTTCATTAAGGTGTTGCAAAAATCACTGACTTTGGTTTTGCTAGAGTTATGGACAGTGAAATGAATGGTAATAGATATTTCAAATTACTTATTTAGATCCTGCCTATTTATCTAGACTTGGTTCACCTCTCTATATGGCACCATAAATCTTGGAAGGTTAGCCTTTCTCAGCTAAATGTGATGTCTGGTCTGTTGGGGTTATGTTTTATGAACTTCTGTATGGTCGACCACCATGGGCAGCTGAAACAGCATTTTAACTATTAGAGAATATTAAAAAATAAGTATATCTAATGTTAAATTTAGCCTCTTAAATTCTTGCCTAAACCTGTTAGATCATAGAAAGTTAAGGAACTTATTACATTAATGTTAAGGGTTTAAGAGAAGGATAGAATATCATGGGAAGGTGTATTTGAAGATCCTACAATAAAGATAGATGAAGAGAGAATGAAAGAAAACATGAGAAATATTCTTAGAGAAAAAGGTATAGGATTTTAAATATATATAAATAGATGAGGTATCTAAATCAATTAGTTTGAATAAATTATATATTGATTAAAATTTGGTTGTAGGATATCTGGCTAAGAATCCTATAAATACATTAGAAAACTCTAATTAATCAACTTTAGATGCATCATCAGAAGCAAGATCGTAATCAGCAAAATTTTCAGGTTAATTTGACTCTGAATAAAATGTTTGATTATTAATTTATAATTAGGGTGAAATAATAATGAGTAATTATAGAAATGAGAAAAAAAGAAGAGATGCTATGTTGAAATACAATAATTACTTTTTATTTGAGAGAAATATTGCATTTTTCTTTAATTTTGTAATATAAAAAGTAATAAAATTATAAACTATTTAAATGCTTTAATTAGCTAATGATAATTACTTTAGATTAATATATTTAATAGCTAAAAATTAGATGGTACATTTAGAAAGAGTTAATTAATAATTATCAAGAAAGGAACATGATAAATTTGATAAGGAAACTTGGGGAAGATTTTTGGTTTCTTAAGTATTTAAATAAAATTTATAAAATTAGGAATATTAAAAACTAATATAATTGATTTAAATGGATATGAAACATTCATCTGAATTCTTTTCTGAAATCTCTAAGAAATGCAATTAAGTTTAATAAGAAGAATTATAAAATGGAAAAGCATCAAGTTAAACAACAAATATGATAAGAAATTTCTTATCAATTCGTAATAATAATTTTGAAGCTAATGATACTTTTCATATGTTATATAGAGATGTAATTGTAGAAAACTTAAAAATTATTAAAAATTTAAATAGTAAAGAAACAGAAGCTAATTTACTCATACTTTATTTGACTATATGTTAAAATCCTTACGAAGAATTTAAAGATATCAATTATGATTTCAATACTTTCTATGAGGAAACAGAAAATTTAAGTCTATCAGAAATTTAAGAAAAGCTTCTTAAAAAAGGAATAAAATGAAATAAAAGATATTATAAAAATAAAACATTTATTCATAAGGATTTATTATAGATAAATACATTTATCATTTGTGCATTTTTTCTTATTTTCTTGCCTTCTATAATTATGTAACTTTATTTTTTGCTCTTATATAAGCTAAAGCATCTTAATCTACATCATCCTATTCTGAAGGATCATTAATTGAATATTCCTCTTCTTTTTAATTTACAAGTGGATTATTTATATCTTATAAAGTTAATCCATATTTCTTAAGAAAATGTTCTTCAAATTTTTATACCAAAGCTGCTTTTGACTAATGTCTCAAGATAACACAATACTTAAATAATATTCTAATCTATCGTATTTATTTCAGACTTTAAATTTCTTATAGTATCTTAATTTTATTTTAGTTTCTTTTTTAAATCTTTTAATTCTTTCAAAGTTCCATATTCTTCTTCATCTATAATTCCTTAAGCTATTTCCTATTAATTTATATTTTTATTATATTACTTCCTAATTTTTATTCTATTATTTCTATGCAATAATTGCTTTATTTGACTCTATTGAATTTTTAAGTTAAATTGAAACTTCTGAAAGTATTAAAATATTATCTTTCTTCTCTTTTAATTGATTCTAAATATGAACTTTATAAATTTACAATATTTTCTATTATAGATTAATTAATTGAAGATCCTTCTTTATTTTTAAAATCAGAAAATGCTTATTATTTATCTACATTAACAATCCTCTTTTCAATTGTAGATTCTTTATTAGCTTCTGTTATTTAACTTTCTTTCCTTATTTCTTATTATGCCTTATCATCTACTTATTTAAATTCATCTTTTGGAATATTTACTAAATTTTCTATATTTGTAGTTGGTTTAGCATCTTTTCTAGCTTTACCTAAACCAAATCCATGTTTATTTTCTTCCATTCCAACACTTTCTACTGGTTTTACTTAATCACTCTTCTTTTTTGAAACATCAGGTTCTTTTTCTGTTCTTGGAATATAATTTTTATTTTCCAAATCTTTAACTAAATTTCTATAGAGATTTCTAAATTAAAAGAATAATTCTTTAACTTATCTTAATGAATCTATATCAATATCTTCAAGTTCTCCATTCAAAAATTATTATGCTATTTATTATTATTTGTATTATTATTCAGGTGTATATGGTTCATATTATATTCTACCTCTATTAGCCAATGTATCATGCATTGCTAATTCTTATCTTAAATCTTTTATTTCTTTTTCATATTTTTTTATCAATACATGTGGATCTAAATTTACTCTTATAGATGATTCATTAGTAACTTTCATCATTCTTTATGCAAATTTCAAAGTAGATATAGTTTCTTCTAATTAATGTTTCTCTGGCCATATATTAGCTATCATAACAGTCTTACTATTTCCTCCAATTGAATCTTTAAGAAGATTTGTTAATTTGCTTTATCTATATGGAATATGATCTCTTTATTTCTCTGATAATGCTACTACTACTTATTCTAAAAATGAAAGTGATTTATTAATGAATTAAGCTTCCAATAGAGTTCTACCTTCTGATCCTGTTTTCTTTGTTCTTTCAGATCCTGCCAAATCCACTAGATTCAATTTACTAATAATAACTTTTTCAGCTGATTCAACTCTTGATCTTATCTCTAAATGGACTGTAAATACACAATGAGATCTAGATGATGCCTTATTAAGTTTATGTTCACTTATTGTTCTATTTGTTTCACCTTCAAATAATTATGCTATTGCATCTTCTTCAGTTTAACACTTTTTTATTGTCAACCCTTTTACTAATACATATCCATTATTGTCTTCCTAAATAGCTAAACCAGTACTATTATATAGTATTAATATATTTACTTTTAATCTCCTCCAGCCAATAAATCATACATCATTTCATTATAAATCTCTAGATATGAAACTCCTACTGTAATTTATTATTCATATCTAGCTTCTATCTCTTGAAACAGTAAACTTATGCATCTTGGCATCATTCCTCTATATTTATAATCAATTTGAGATCCCATCATTGTAAATGTCTTTCCTGCTCCTGTTTACCCATATGCCATTATGGTTCCAGAATACCCACCAAGAGCACTGTGTATTAATTCTTTTCCACATATGTCAAACACAACCTCTTAACTTGCATTCTAAAGAACCTTATCAAAAGTAAAGCCCCAATCTTCTTATTAATGATTTACAAATCCTTTCAAATGTAAAATCAACATTAATACCTTATTCTGCTGATTTTGGTATATTGATTGCAATATGTCCAGTATTCTCATTGATATTGATATTTTTATAAGCAAATTCAACAGTTGGTCTTGTACGTACTATTACTTTTATTGGAGTTTTAATCATATAATTTATATATATATATATATATAATTATTTAATTATAATTATATTAGATAATAAAAGAATAATATAATAAATAAGAGATATAATAATCAATTAATTAATTCATCACCTTCTTCATCCATCCATAATTAAGGTTATATCTTCCAAATTTATAACATATTTTTATCAGCTTCTACACTTGCTATTAAATTCTTATGATTAGGATTCCATGATAAATCATTCACTTTTGATCTATGACCACCATGATAAAACTAAAATTATTAATTTATTTATAATTACCACTACTTCAGATGGTCCATCTTTATCTAAATCTCTATCCTATGATTTACCAACTTTTAGATAATCCCATAAAATAACTTTACTGTCTACTGAACCTGAAGCAAGTAAATTCTTTTTATGAGGAGACCATTAAAGAGTATAAATAGCATCTTCATGATTTGAAAATGAATAAATCTAATTTTCTGGTTTTGTAATATCAAACATTTTAACTTCTGCATCATTTGAACCTGTAGCAAAATATCTTGGTTCCAATTGATTAAATTAGATACAATTTATCTCTTATGAGTGAGCTTCTTATTAGATTTTCATTCCTTATTATGTACGAGTATCGCATCTAATATATTAAAGTATTTATTTACATTGCAAATGTTCTATCATCAGAACAAGATATAAATAGATTTGGATCTTATGGATGCCAACATACATCTTCAACTTCTTAATTGTGGAAATTGTAAGATTTTACTAATTATCCAGTTGTTATATCCCAATAATATATTTTTTTATCATAACTAGCTGATAATAGATGTCCTTAATTTTTAGGATTCCATGATAATCCATAACCTTCTCTTTCTTATCCTTTTAAAGCTAATACTTTTTGATGTTTATTTATATCATAAATACCTTTTATTATTTAATATAATATTTTATACTTATTTCACCAACACTAGTTTATGCTGCAAAAATATATTTACTCATTGGCTATTATCTAATCTTATTGATTTCATGTTATACTGGAATTTATGATTCTTATGTTATCTTACCTACTGGTTGTGTTTTCCCTTTTAAAATCAAGATTATATATCATTACATATATTATTTAAGACTGGAGCATCAAAGTCTTCTTCTGTGTATTATGGAAGTGAAACTTTAAGTATATTAATGAATTCTTATTCTTATTTAGCTGTTTAAGTAGCTACAATTAATTTATGAACTTCATTATTATTTTGATCTCTAAATTTAGTTAAAATAGAATAACATTTCAATATCATTTAACCAAGTTACTGTAAGAGATGGCCAACTATTTTAGTGGCTAATACAGATCTCATACATAAATGGGACATTCTATTTCCAATTTTCAAATTATTCACCTTAGGTTCTTTCTTCTTGAATTTCATTTTCTGCACTCATTTATTTAGTAAAATTTAATTATTATTATATTTTTTTTTTACTTAATAATAATATTAATATAATCTATATTATTTTTATTATAAAATACTTTTTAACTTTTGAACATAACTTCATTTATTATAAGAACATTAAATATATATTAAAAATTATTTGATTATTTTAATATTTCTCATTTATAAGTATTTAAAAAAAGATTATAAACTAGTTGATATTTTAATTTAAATAATTAACTTAAAATTATCTATCTATATTATTATTAATATAAAATGGTTTTATTTTTATATAATTTATGTTTTCTATAAATATTGTTTTAATAATTCCTATGATTATTTCAATAGAGTTAATATTTCTAAGAATGTATTTAGATTTATTTCATTTAATATTATTAATTATAATAATAATTTTCTTTAATTAAATTTTACCAACTTAGTTTAGGATTAAATCAATATATTATATACATCTCCTCTAATTATATATATATATATAAATTTAATATTTACATATAATTTTCAGTATATTTTAATAACTCAATTTATGGATTATCTATCATTTGATATATAAATTTTCTTATGATTAATAATAGACTAAAATGAAATGTATCTAAATTATTGGTATTTGATTATATGATATATATAACTCTTTTGTGATCTAATAAGAAACTAGAATTTAAGAATAAATCGAATAAGCATCAATTAATATACTAAATATTAAATTATAATGCAGAAATCAAATATTGGTCCTAAATTACTGTTAAAACTTAATATAAAAGTAGGACCAGATGATGATACAGTATCAGATGAAGTTTTTAGTTAAGTTTTGAATAATTAATTCTTGATTAAAGAATAATAAAGGTATGATGCAAAAGGTAGGTAGATTACAAAAGGCAAGAATTACTCAATAGAATTTGATAATTGTGTTACAGTATGTGTATATGATCCAAATGATGAAGTCTTATAAATCAAAGAAACTCTTTCTCAAATTTCAAATCTTGATATAATGAAAGTTAACTTCAGAAACTAACATTATATTAATAATGAACAATAATTAACTGAATAATAATTAAAGCCAATTTTGAAAAGAAATTGCTCAGTGTATCCAAAAGTATAGAAATAAGGATGAACATTTTGAGTTTATTTTACAATTTTGATACTATTTTTATTTAATGTATACTAATTATTCTTCAAGAGAAACTATTAAATTAAAGAATCAAAATATTTGTTGTTGTAAATCATATTGAATATGAAATAATAATTTAAAAGAATTTTGATATATCATTAGATTATACAATTTACTTCATATTAAACAAATGGTTAATCAAAAAAATATCACTATTTAATTAAAAGCATTCTTAGTTATTGTGCTAATTCTTTTACTGTATATTGATTGCTTTTAAACCAATTATCTTATAAAGCTTCTTCAATTGTATATCTCTCATTAGGATCAGCACATAATAATTTCTATATATAATTCTTAAATCCAACATCTTATTTTTTAGGATCGAATATTTTCCAGAATTTATCCCATTCTTTATTTTTGATAAAATTCCAAAATTTATCTTATTTCTATGGATGTGTACTTAAAAATGGTCGATAACCCATATATAAAACAAAAAAGAGGACTCCCAAAGAAAACATATCACATTTTTTAGGATCATAATTTTCATTTATTAGTAATTCAGGTGCTGTATAACCTTCACTACCACCTCTTAATTTAGTATTAGGTTAATTAGCAATAATGGCAAATCCAAAATCACAAATTTTGATAACAAAATCCTTAGAAATTAATGCATTTTCTGGTTTAATATCACCATGTACTACATTTCTTGAATGTAAATATTGTATAGCATTCATAACTTAATTTACTATTGATTTTATTATTCGTAAATCTAATCCAATATCAATCAATTTTGCAAGATGTCCATAAGGCATATATTCTATCAATATACAACTACCATCCAAACTATTTCCATAGAATTTTACTATATGATCATGATCTAAATGATATAAGAGTCTTATTTCTTGTTAAAAATTAAATTTGTGTTATAAGTCCTTAAAACTTGTTAGTTTTAATGCATATAAACTTCCATCTTATTTTTTTATGACCTTATAAACAATAGAATCAAAGCCTTTTCCAATTATTTCTTTATTGTTAAATTAATAGTTTTATTGGAACTTCTATAAATCAAATTAAGATGGATTCTGCTACATTTTATTATTTATAATTCAATTTTATGTAATTAGGCATAGTTTGCTCATTACAAATTCTTTATTTTCTAACACCTTAAGATTAATCTTAATTAAGATTAGTATCCTCATTCTGGGATGAATTATTAAAATATGCTTATAAATTGATTTTGAAGACTTGGTTAGATTATGCTTAATCTATAAATGACCAAATCTCTTATTTGGAATAAGAAAAGACTCAATCCTCTGAATCTAATTATAATCTAAGGTAATCATTTTATGAACATAATAAACTCAATGAAAAAGATCTATAGGTTATACGTAAATAAATAGTTAATGAAGATTTGGAAATAAATTGTCTTCAAACAATAAAAATATTATGTGGTTATTTAAATAATGGTTATTTGGAAGATAAATTTAATGATGAATAATTTGTATGTTTACAATATTTGAAACATCCAAATGTATTAAAATGGGTTTTGAAATTAGAAGAAGATTTTGAAAAAATTACAGAAGAATAAATAAATATTTTATAAAAATGCAATGAAATAGATGAGAATGTAGTTTAAGAAGAATCATTTGCAATTTAAAGATGCTTAAATTATTTATAAAATCTTAGATAATTACTTACTTCACCTTATTATATTTATCATAGATAACTTTAAAGATTATATATTATAAAACTTAATACTCAATAACATACTAAGACTTTCTAATTATGGATAAGTAAATTCACATGATTTATAAATTAAATAACCATATTTTTATATTAAATCTTGTTATTATCTATGTATATGCACATCAATGAAATGGATTTGATATTGCCATCTACAAAAACTAATGGAGCTTTATGGTTAGGTAATATAAAGTCTGCTTAGAATATTATCAATCTAAGTAAGGAAAATATACGTACTGTAATTACAGTAGCTAATAATGTTAATTTAAGCTATCCTAAACATTAGAAAATTATCCATAAAGTATAATTTATCAATATTATTAGGTTTTTAAAATTCATGATAAAGAAAATGTAACTATTTAAGAACTGATCGAAATGACTAATGAAGAAATAGAAGAAGCTATGAAAATTGGATCTGTATTAGTACATTGTATGGCTGGTATATCTAGATCAGCTACATGTGTAATTGCTTATTTAATGTATCAAAATAAATGGGTATTTGAGAAAACACTTAAATTTGTTAAATCTAAAAGACCCTGTGTAAATCCTAATGAAGGATTTAAAAAATAACTGATTTCTTATTCAAATGAAATTTAAAAGAAATTATTACCTTAATAACAAACATAATAAATTGAAAATCCTTTAGCTAAATTAAGAAGATAATTACATTAATCTCCAGAAGATTTGATAAAAAATACATAATTAGCTAAATCTCCTAGACATGAAATTAAAACATTGACAAAGAATTCTACAGAAGAAGAGAAATAATAATATAGATAATAATTAGCTTAAAAATTATTTGTTAATACATTTTCTACTACTGAACGTAGTCGATAATAATTAAAAACTCTACTTACAAATAAATCTGCAAATATTAAAGGATGTATAAGTATGTACAAATAAGTAGAAGAATAAAAATTGAGTGGATTTTTATCTGATAGATTAAATTGATCTAAATATTGATTCTAAATTTCAATTATATATATATATATATATAGAATATTATATTATGATCACTTCTAATGTAGAATTTACTTACAATTCTTGATTAATAATTAACAGAAATTTTAATGAAGTAATAATTCCGCTAATTAATTATTTTAACAGTTAATTCATGTCAGAAGAAGAGATTGTTGCATGTGATTAATGTAAATAAGTACCAGATAATTACTTAAGTCTAAATTGTAATCATTGTTTCTGCTTAATATGTATGGCTTAAAACTTTTTGAAAGTATTTTAATTTAAAATAATAGGGTGGAAGAATCTTCAAATTAGAAGGAACAGATAATATTCATTATATATGTACAGTATGTGAAAAAGACACTCCTTTAGATGATGGATCAGTATCAGTAGTTGAGAGTATCTGTCATCAATTGATTCAAACTAGTCTTGAAAAGGTTCGTGAAGATTAAAATTAAATTAAAGAAGATAAACCACTATAATAAAGTTAAACTATTATATAGCCATTACCATAACCAAAATGTGATATTCATACTAAAGAAGATGCAACATTATTTTGTTTTACTTGTGAAAATAAATGTTTTTGTATTAAATGTTTATTGAGACATGATAATAAAACACATGAAATATAAAATGTTAATAGTTGTTTAAAGAGATTAAAAAGTAAAATGAATGATGCCACACATACAATAGGGGCATCTTTAGAATTAATGTAATTGCAATTAAAAAGAGTTTAAGATTAAGATTCTACGTTATAAGAAGAGATGGATTATTTAATTTAAAGAGTATAAGAATAATTTTAATCATTATATTAAGTGATTCAAAATAAGGAAAAAGAGATTTTAACATAATTAGATAATCTTAAAGAGATATAAGAATAATAGACTGAAAAAATGCTTAATGATATTTAGATGAAAATTAACAGTCTTATTTAATTAAGAAGTGATTTTGAAAATATAGGTTTAAGTGAATCATTATAACCATCAGTAAGTATTCTTAATTACTATTCGGGATGTAAATAAATAATGTAAAAAGTTATTGGATAAATGAGTTTTAGTGATATTTTTAGTACTGTCAAATATTTTCCAGATAATGGTATATTATTATTTTTTATTAAAGATTAATTCTTTAGATATGATGAATTTGAATTGAAAATGTAAAATTTAAAAGCATAAATTGATAGATTCTTTAATTAATAAAGATCAGTATCTTAACATGAAAAGTTAAGTAGAATTACATAAAAATCAGCAATTATTGATTAGTTATATCTTAGTTAAAGATGTCATACCTAAATGGATGAAAGTACTGATAGTTTTAAATCACATTAAGTTTCAACTTATTCTAAAATAAACACTCCCATCAATAATTAAAGAAATTTATAAGCAAAAGTTGATGAAATCAAATAATTATATTCAGATAGAGTTAAGACTTAATAAAAATTATAGAAATAATAAGAGAATAGTCTAAATAATATATAAAGATCCTTTTCTGAATTAGCTAGTTTTAAAAAATAGACTGCTCTAAGTGCATTAAGATTATAATAGGGCTTGTTTGACTCAAGAGTAACAAAAAAATTATAATAATCTTAGTAGCAATAGATATAAGAATCCCAATAAGTACAAAAATGATATCATTTTTTTATTTTGTTAAATTTTTTATAATTATTCATATACATTCAATTTAACCATTAAGATAATATCACTTCTTACATACAAATTCTATCATTAGGATCAACTCTCAACATAGATGATATTAATTATCTAGCTTAACTACTAACAAAAGAAGGATATTCTAATTTCCCTAAACATATTTTTCTATTCAAATCTTTTTCTGAATTTCCACGAAATGGAAATACTCCAGTTAAAATTTTAAATAAAATTACACCACAAGCCCAAACATCAACAGATTGATCATAGGCACTCTTTTTAACTAATTCAGGTGCCATATATTAAGGTGTACCACAAGAACAACTTTATTTACCATCAATCTTTATTGAATATCCAAAATCAATAATCTTCACTTTTCTTGTGTTATAATCTATTAATAAATTTTCGAATTTAAGATCTCTATGTGAAATATTCAATGTATGAATATAAGCTATAGCATCTGCTATTTATCTAAATAATATTTTAGCTTCATCCTCATTTATTCTTTTAAATGGACGACCTTTCATAAAAGTTTCCAAATTAATAGGTGATGAATATTCCATTATTAAATATATGGATTTATCATTCTCAAAAGTATGATACAAATTAATAATATTAGGATGTTTAATTAAATTTAAGATCTCCACTTCTCTTTCTAGATTTTTAAGATGCATATTATTCATCTTTTTTCTATCATATATCTTTATAGCAACTTCTATATCTAATTCTTTATTTCTTGCCATTTTCACTTCTGCAGTAGCACCTATTCCCAATGTTTTAATAAATGAATAACTATCAATTCCTTAATATTCAATTGGAATTTCTATTAATTAAGATAATTCTTTTCTTATTACTACATTTTCAGGATTTTCTCCATATGAACCTTATTGTTGATAATTAGACTTTAATATATTTCTAAGATTGCTTCCTAAATTCTTGGTAATTGGCATGGTCTTTTTCTTTTAAAGAGGCTAATAATTTTCCTATTTAGGAGATGATTGTCTTTTTGTTTATTAAGTTTTGATTGGTGATTTATTGCATTACATTTTATTGTGAATAGAAACAGATCGTCTATTAGTATCTTCTCTATTTTTAAGATATTTCTTTCTAAGATCAAAAAGTTTAGAATGTTAATTTACTAAGAATCCTTAAGAATTTTATGGTTAATGACTTTTTTGATAATCTACAAGTCTATGTATAAATTTTACTTAAAGATTAATACATATTTGTTTCAGTAGGTTAATCATCATCTTAATTAAAGTAATCTTCTGGATTTGTTTAAAGAGTTCTTTGTTTTTGCTAATCAAATTGGATCATGTATTTAAACTAAAAATAAATCAGTTAATAATATATTTTTATAATAATTTTCAGATTATAAACTTCATCACTTCTATGTAAAATAAATCGAATTATAATGCTTAAACTGATATTTATATCAATTTAACAATAATAGCTATTTTAACTAAGCAACTACTTGATATAAATTTATTGACATAAATAATATATAGTCTATTGTATATATTATTATTCTGATTGCTTTAGAGATTATTTTAAATTGGAGTAGTTATTTTAATAATATGTTATCTCTATACTTATTTGTTATAAGATTTAATTATTTAATTAAATATGTAGAGATTATAGGGTGCCACACTTAGTTTATGGAGTAGCTTTACTCCAGTTCCTTAGTATGCATTTGCTACACTCAATCTTAAATAATTGAAGCAAAGAATGAAATCTGTAGGATCCATCAGAAAGATCACTAAGGCCATGAAGATGGTTGCTGCTTCAAAAATGAAACAGGATGTTTAAAGACTTGAGAATGGCAAACACTTTGGTATACGTTCTATTTAGGATTTGTTTGCAAATGAAACATACTTATAGAAAAAACAATTGACTTTCAAAATAAATAAGACACTCTTGGTTCCGATTACATCAGACAAAGGACTTTGTGGTGGCATTAATTCATCAATAATTAGAGAAACACGTACAGTAGTAAGACAAAATCGTAATGCTTACAAACTCTTCTTGATTGGTGAAAAAGTATATAAATTTTTTAATTACATTTTTAGTCCCTTGGAGCATTATAAAGAGCATTTCCTGAATTACTTACATAGGCAATTACAGCTATTTAAACACCTATAAATTTTATTAATTCATCTTCAATTGCTCATTAGATTTAATTGAATGTAACAGATGATGTTGATTAAATATCAATCATTTTCAATTAATTTAAGAATGTTGTTTAATAAATAGTCAAAAGAGTTGATTTATTGAATAGAAAGAATTTCATTGCTTAATTCAGATTGGTAACTAAATATGATACAGCTGAACCAGAAAAAGAATTTGTTTAAAATTATATGTATGAATATTATGTAGCAACTGCTTTTTATCATGCCATGTTAAATAGTTTGGCTAGTGAAACATCATCAAGAATGAATGCTATGGAGAATGCTTCTAAAAATGCTGGTGAAATGCTTGACAAATTGACACTTGAATACAATAAGGTCAGATAAGCTAAAATCACTGTTGAGTTATGTGAAATCATTTCAGGAGCTTCAGCTGTCTGATATTAAATTATTTAGAACATTTATATTAATAATTAAATCTGTTTTTTATGCTTATTATATAAATTTGTGTCTTTTCATTTTGTTCTAAGAACTTCAGTCTCAATTTTTCTTCTATTTGTCAATTTACCTAGATATTTCTGAAACTATTCAGCAGTTATATCTACAGCATCATATCCAGCAACATTATGAATTATTTCATCAATATCCTTTTATGAAAAATTAAGATGCAATTCATCTGATATCTTTTTCAAATCATCTTTATCTAAAGTACCTTTACCATCAATATCTACTAATGTAAATAATTATTCTCTTCCTTTCTAATCAAATAAATTGCCCTAAAAGATTATATACAATAAAAAATTACCAATTTATTAGTCAACTCTCTAACAAATTCTTCAAAATCAACACCACCATCTCCATGTTAATCAGATACTTATTATAAAGTATTAGCTACTATAGGACTCTTTTCCACCAATCCCAAATGTTATGCTGTTATCATTACATCTTTCAAATCTATTCTTCTTGTTCTTGGATTACAATACAAATTAAATAATCTGTAAAGCTCTAAGATATCATCATTTGTCAATGTTGTATGATTTTTAACCCAAGGCTTTTGAAGTAAAGCGATCTCATCTTTATCTAAATTTTATTGATTCATTAAATTAAAGATATTTTTAATAAATATTCCTTATAAACATTATTTAATTTAATAATAATATTAATACTCAAAAATTAAATGGCATTATAACTTCAAAATAAACTTTAAGAAGTCTTAATGGTTTTTGAAGACACTTTCAGAAATTCTTTATAACAAGAAATGAGTTAATAAGATTTATAAGAAAGAGCCACTTATATGGTCTAATATCAAAAGGAATTAATTACACTTATTGATAAAATGCCAGATATTGATGATTCTATATAAAAAAATAAATTATAGGAATACTTCCTAGAAAAAGATATATAAATTGATAGACATAATTAATTAAAAAAAGAACTAAATGAATTAAGTGAAATAGTAGATACTAAAATTTAAGAATTTTTCACTTAATAAAAATTATGAATATTATTTATATAAATAATCATTAGTAAAAATTTTATGTATAATTTCTAACATAATCCTATGAATTATAATCTGAATCTGATTCCTATTAATCAAAGTCTTCAACTACAAAATGAACTTTTCTTGCTTTTCTAATCTTCTTTTAATGATAATTTAAAAACAATTTTGTCATCAATCCTGGTACTTTAGTTATGTCTTATTCTAAATTTGGATTCAATCTTAATATCTAATCAAAATCATCTATAAATAAACTATGAGCCTTATCAACTATTATTGGAGATAAAATATCACAATATTTCTCAACAAATAATAAGACCTATAAAATATTTGATATATCCAATTTAGATATAATATCCTCTTCACATTTTTATTTCAAATCCATAATCATATATTCATCTGCCAATAACATTAAATCACATGCATCTGCAATATTATCAGGAAACTAACAAATTCATTATTTTATTTTAAATACTTCTTTCCAATATCCACTATATATCCAACCTAACATTAATTTAAACAATTCAGGTTTTTTATATTCTACTTTTATAATATTCTATGTATTCTCTATAAGGTTGGATGAGAACATTCCATTAAATTTTGGAGATCTACAAGACAATATACATTTATGTAATGGAAGTACCTATTAATATATATTGAATTCATTACTATTTCATCATTAATCTTTAAAATGACATCACTAAATATTCCTCCTAAAAATAAATTTTATAATGAAGTTTTTAAAGGATTTTATACCATCTAATTAAACTCATTTGTATGAATTACTTTTACTAAACTTGCAGTCATTAAACTAGTTTCAGGCTAAATTATTAATTAATTAATCAAATACTCTTATGTCTCTTCCTAATGATTGAAATCGAAGTTATTTATAATTTAAACCTGTTATACCACAAAATTCTAAACTATAAGATAAAAATGTTCGAGGTTTTGTGATTGGTAATCTGATAGAGTTGTTTTTTAGAATTATAACTTAATTCTTTGAAGAATTCATTAAATCTTCTCCAGCTTCAAAAATTATATCTAACTAATCTGATCCTCTCTTTTTTAACATTAATTATTCTAAAATATATAAATACTATAATTTCTTATAATTATTAAATATATTTCTTACATCAATTACTTCTATTTTACTTGTTTGCTATTACTTATATAAAACTAAAAATCCATTTATAACAATATTTAAAAAATGAACAACATTTTCAAATTTATATTCTAATTTTTTATAACTTATCATTAGATATTTATTAATATAAATCAATTAATTTAATAAATATTCTTAAGATAAATAATTTGTTTACTTTGAGATGTAAATAAATAATTCAAACTTATTATTTTTTTTAAATAATAAGAAAAAACATTTATGTAAATATTTATGTTTAAGATTATTGAAATTATTTTATATGATCAAAGTAAATTAAAAAAATTACATAATGAAATTAAGATTTATTAAAAATTAAAATATATATTTAGATTATTAATTATGATACTAATAGATAAGATTTTAAATTTGATATTAAAAATTTCAATAATATAATAATATTTTGTAAATTTAGTATTATGTTGTATTATTTAATAATAAATTTATTAATTATCTCATTTTCTATTAAAAATTATCTAAAAGAATGTAGGATAATGAAGAATTCAAAAATAAATTACAAGCCTGCTTTAAGGCAATAGATGAACATATTTAAGTGAATTCATATTTTTTATAGATCCCTTTAGTAATCATCAACGAATATTCAAAGTTCATTTGAATAAATTAAAGAATTCTAATCAAGTGATTAAGGATAGAGCAATTAATCTGAGATATTAAAGCAGAATTTAAATTAGCCTAACACTTAATTTATAACTGAATAATTTTCCTAATTACAAGATGATCTCATGGAAGTTATCAAATCTAAATTATGAATAGAATAAGACTATTAAAAAATTATAAATTTAGAAATATAAATAATCCTCATTTGCATATTCAATTATTTCTCATAAAATGGTTTTATCTTTATTAATCTAATTGCAAGTTATTACTGTAATACAATTGTAAACTGAAAAACTGAAAATATATATAAATATTATTTAGTCTTTCATATGTTTTATTCTAAAGACTTCGAATTTCTGAATATTTTATCAAAAAATTTAATTATCAATATTTATTTTAGTATTATGAATAATTTACAACATTAGCTTTATAATTTTTATAATATAATTGATTTTTTAAAGGATTTTTTATTTGAATTTATATTATTTGTTAAATGGATTGAAGCAATCTCAAACTTAATAAATAATTTTGAAGTTTAATAATATATTAAAAAATGGAAATTAATATACTTAAATTTTAGTATAAAATAATTATAAATGCATTAATAATCTGTTCCAATTTCAAGATTATAAAAAGAATATCGATTGAAACCACTTGAATTTTCATCTCCTCAAAAAGAAAGAATTGTTTCCAGATATCCTGAAAGTACTGATTATAACAGCAATAATAATGGTAAATATTAGACTAATCTATCATTGCCTACATTACCTCCTTTAAAAAAAAAGAGCAAAATAGAGTAGACAGTTTCAATTTATAAGGGTAAGGCTGCTCGTTTGCCGTCTATATAATTTACTGGAAGCTAATAATAATTATAAAGAAAAAAGTAAATTTCAGAAATTGATGGAATGCGGAAATCTATAACGCCAGAGAAAAGATTGGGAATGAGAAATTCTATGATATTTGCCATGAAAACTAAGGCTGGTTGTTAACCAAATAAAGCTACAAAAATTAATTAAGATGCTGCAATTGTTTGTCCAAAAAATGTAGAAAGGTAAAATTCAATATATAAAATATTAGTATTGGGTTTAAATTGTTTGGAGTTTGTGATGGACATGGATTGAATGGTCATATAGTTTCAAATTAAATTAAATAGCAATTGCCTAAACATTTGAGTAGATTGTTGAAGGATGGAGAGAATATAGAGAATTAGATTCAAAAGGCATTTACAATTACTAATAGGGAATTGTGGAACTCTGAAATTGATACTAATCTTTCAGGTTCAACTACAATATCATTATTAATAAATAAGGATCATGTAATTAAGAAATAATAATAAAGATTTACTCAGCAAATGTAGGAGACTCAAGAGCCATAATGTGTAGATTTGATAATGGATGGAAGGTAGTTCCTTTAAGTAGAGATCATAAACCTGATGATCCAGAAGAGAAATAAAAAATTTTGGAGGCAGGAGGAAGAGTAGAATAATAAAAAGGTTTAGTAATAATTAAAATAATTAGATTTGCAAGGAAATCCAATAGGGCCATTTCGAGTTTGGCTTTCTTATATATAAGCTCCAGGATTGGCAATGACTAGGTCACTTGGAGATAAAGTAGGGGCTTAGGCAGGAGTAACTGCAGAACCAGAAATTAAATAATATACTATAACTGAATAGGATCATTTTATAGTAGTGGCATCAGATGGAGTATGGGAATATTTAAGCAATGAAGAAGTACATTTAATTTCATTTAGGTAATAGGTAATGAATATAGTTGTTCCTTATTTGGAAAAAGACAATCCAGATTAAGCAGCTGATAATATAATAATAGAAGCTACTCAAGCATGGAGAAGAGTAAATTAGATATTAAATTCTAGAATAGTTTGGCTAGAGACGATATTACTTGTATAGTTATATTCTTATAAAAGTGAAATAATAAGTTATTATAATTTACACATTCTAAAAATCTCTTATGAATTATAATTTTAATTTTTAAATTAGCAAAAACTAATCTAAATACCTTTATAAATTCATTTTTATGACTCAAGATATAGCAAGATAATAAATTAATTTTTCTTAAAAAAAAGATTTAATTTGGTAAAAATATTAGATTTTTCAGTTAACTTCAAAATTACAACTATTTCTATAAAAGAAAATTAAAGGATTATATAAAAGAAAATTCATAATAAAACAAATAAATTTATTTTCTTTGATAATTATAGATGTCATTCTTAATGTCATACTATCCTCTTTAGATTAGAATTATCATTATAATATCAATATGAGATTATGTAAATAAATGTAATTTTATAGATATATAAAATTAATTAAAATGAAATAATCAGCTTAACCTCCACGCTCAACTTAATGTAGGGCAAATTCTCGAGAAGCCAGACTTAATTTTGCTTAATAAGCAGAAATAAATCTTCGCGGAGATTTTAAACCTTAAGTACCTTTAGAGCCATAAAGGCCCATCTAAAGAAGTAATAGTTATAGTCGCAACAATCCCAATCGTCCAGCTACTTAAGAGGAAATACGATCAGCTTTAACTTTATTAAAAGCAAAGCGGGATAGAGATAGAAAATATACTGAATTCACATAAGCTGTGCCTGATCAAGATATTTTCTAAGCCCCTACTTTAATGAAAGCTTAAAGTTATTAGCCTTAACCAACTTCTTATGAAGATATTGTAGCAAAAGAAGATAAAAAGCCTATTGAAATTGATGAATACGAGAATGATGATGAAGATTTAATTGAATGTCCTGAAGGTTGTGGGAGGAAATTTAAAAGGTCTGCTTTGTAAAAACATATTAAGGTTTGCAAGAAGGTATTTCAAGAGAAGAGAAAAGCATTTGATACTAAAGAACATCGTATAATAAATTAAGATCATGCTAAATTATTATAGAAATAATAGTAGGAAGAATAGATTTGTAATATATTGCATTTATTGAAGAGTAACAATAACAATAGAAAAAAAAATAAATATAAACTAAAATTGATGATAGGCCATTATAAGGTTAAAAAAAGCCTAAATGGAAATAATAATCTGAATAATTCAGAGCAGCAATGAAATTAAATAAAGGAGTGCCTCTTACTCAATAGGAATAAGTACATGAATCACTAAGTCTAGGTTGCCATAGAAGAAGTAGATGATAGAGTATAGTGTGAACATTGCGGCAGAAAATTCAATGAATAAACAGCTTTGAAACATATTCCATCATGCAAAGAAAAGGCTATGATAAATTAAATGAAAAAGAAATCTCAATAGATTTTACCACCTTAACAAAATACTATTAAATCTCAATTTAATGGAACTAACAATTTTCAAAAATAACAATAATAACCTTAATAATAAACCTAAAACAATAGAAATAATGTTAATTTGAATGGTACAAATAATACATTCACAAATACTTAAACTGCATCAAGAAGGCCTCCTGCTTCTTCTTCAAAAAAGTATTGAATATAATTAATTATATTTATAATTTATAATCAATGTAAATAATCAACATTCTTTAAGTATTTCATATAACTACCTACATCAAAATTTTATACTGTTTAATTAGCCGAAGAATTATTATGAATTGGGATTTTTTACGATGATTTAGGTTTCTCAACCTTATTTTTTTATACAGGTTTTGCTGATAATCCTGCAGTTTAAGAAAATCCTTAAGTATTATTTTAAGTAATTTCTTATCTTAAATTAGATAAGGTCTTATGCATTTATGTTAATTAATTCTTTTCTTATTCAATCTATATTTTTTCTTATTGATTTTATGTCATTTATTAATGCATTTCATGTTTTTATTTTTAAATTGTCTCTTTTTCTTATTAATATATATTTCTAAATTCTTAAACATTATTAATTTCTTTATGGTAAAGCTTTTCTTTTTCATTAATTTCTTTTAATTTTTGCAATAATTATTCTCTTTCACCTTCAATCAAACTTAATTTTCTAGAATACTCAGCATGTAAACTAGTTACTTAATTGCTTTTCATATCTAAATCTCTTTATAAAGCAATTAATTGCATTTCTTTAGTTCCATTTTTTTATTATTATTTTTCAATATCTGAATATTTTTATTAAATAATCTAATTATTTTTCTAAGTAAATTAATGATATTCACTCTTTTACTATTCGAATAATTGTCTTTCTAAATCCAATTATCTTAATTTATTTTGAGCTTATGAATTCATTTCATTTTTCAAAAATTCTAGTTCATTTCTAAATAATATATAATAAATTACTTTTATCTTTATATAAACATACTTTCTTATTCTAAACGTTTTTTAGTTTCAATTTCCAAAGATCTCAAAGATTCCTTGATATCTTATATTAGTTATTTTTCACTCTATAATGATCTCTTATCCCCTTCCATAGATGCAAAAAACAATTACTCTCTTCTACTTATATCATCTTAAATATTTTATAGTCTTCTCTTTTCATTTTCAATATAAGATTTCTCTTTTTCCAAATATGTCTCTTAATCATTAATTTCATACTACTTTTTTTCTAATAATCTTATTTTTTCTTAATTTTATTATTCATTTTTATGATATAATTGATTTTTGAGAATCTCTAATTCTTTAGCACTATCTTTAATTTTATCTGCAAGATGATCTAATTGTTTTTATTCTCCTAATTGTTATCTCATAATTTCATTCTAATTATTTATAAATTTAAAATAGATACTTCCAATTTAACAGCATCAACTGCTCTTTATTTTTCTCTTTCATAATCATTCTTTAACTATTCTCTTTCTTTAATGAAATTTCTTTCTGTCTCTAATTTCTCGTTAATTATTCTTTATCTCTCTCTTCTTTCAATTTCTAATTCATCAGAAAGTTTTTATTTCTCATTACTCAAAACCTTTACATCATCTTATAATTTTTCTGTTTCTTATTTCAATTACTTAATTTCATCTTAAAATCTTTAAATATTCAAATTTATTGGAGCACATAATTATATTTCTGGTTATTTGCTTTATTTAATTGAGTAATCAGACTAAACAGATTGTTTTTCTACTTCATTCTGTTATGTATTATTAGCAATAGGATCTTAACTTGAATTAATATCACTTTTCTAAGGTTGACCCTTATTTTATGATAAAATCCTCATTTTTTATCTTCTACTCTATCCCATTGAAATTTCCATATTGTTACTTGTATCTTCAATTTATGGAGGAGGTGGAGGCAAATCGTTATTTATAGTAGTTTTTGGTAGTTAGAAAAGATCAGCCATTTTTTGTTTTTTTGATTCATCTATAATAGCAGTTTAAGGTCTTTGTCTAGGTACAAAGGAAGATTGTCTATCAAAAGGAGAATCTTGAGATTTTAGTATGCTATCGAATTCATATGGATCACTTGTAATTTTTTAAGTTTCCAATTTCCTTCATTAAAAAAATTCTATTACGGAGGATCCATAAAGGACCTTCTATTTCTTTCTCTTATACTCTAAGGCTTAATGTCATTATTGAGATCTATTTGCTCTAATAAATCATCAATATCCATATAAATAATTAATTATAATCAGATTTGTTAAAAGTTGGTTCTAAATTTGTTCGATTAATCCAATATCAAATTATATTTGTCATTTATTCTTTATAATCTCTCTATGATTAATAATAATGAATTTGATACAATTTAAATCTTCTCTTGATTGTCTTAAAGTATCAATTACTTCTTTAGTTTCTTAAGATTTTGATCTAATTGGACATTTAGATGTTTTATTTGATATCTATGAATTTTATGAAATATTAAGATTTTTTAATGTATTAATTGTTTTTTTTGACTTTTTATCTTAAATAATTTTATTAGACTATAAATTTTTTTTTGTTGATTATCTTTTATTATATGTTGATTTAGTTCCTTACAACTTTTAATTTTATTAGGCTTTTGTTGATGCTGATTAAATATATTATTATTCTATGAAAATTTCTTTATCTAATATTGCAATATCACTTAATAATTGTTATTTCTTATTTTAAAATTATAAATGAAATGATTAAGTTAATTGACTCTTTTTGTTTTTTATTTATTTAATTTATGTTTTAGGTAATTGATCAATTGATTTCCTTCTAAAATTTTATGAACTTCTTGATATATCAATTAATTGAGATTATGTAGTAGAAGAATCAATATATTATTTTTATATCCCACTTCTAATAATAGTATTTTTTGATTCATAAAATTCTTTTTATTTATTTTTAACATTATCATTAGTTCTTTTTATTTAATTCTTTATAATTTTTTGTCTTTCACAATAATTACGTTCAGCATTATCAGGAGACATTTAATTATAAGTTTAGCTCTTAATAATCTTATCTTCTTCAATACTTTATTAGTTTTTAACATCAGAGAATGTAGAGTGATTATTATAGATGGCACTATCAGCATAAATGTTAATTATCTTAGATGGAGACTATTCATTTTCTTCTGTAGATTTTAGAGGACTAATTTAATCCATTTAGTTTTATGGTTGTATCTATTCCTTTTTAATTCTCAACGCAGAACTATTAGTGAAGGCAGAAGTCTACACTCTTATCAAAGGAGAAACTTACATTTTAAATTAACTTATTTATTATATATATATGTTGATAAATAGGTAAATATGTACATTATCATAGTTCTGTAAATAGACTTTATTTCTCTTATTATCTACTGGGATAGTAATGAGCTGGAGTTCTTTTTTTTGTTCTGCCAGAATCCAGATACTTCTTTTTTACATAGAATGCTAAAATAAGTAAGATGACTCCAATTGCCAAATAAGAGAATTTAATTCCACCACCACTTGCTTTTTTTTGTGAAACCTATACTTTTTTAGAAATAACTTATTATTATGGTGTTTCATTATAATTTGATTAATTGGCATCTTAATTTTGAATAATAGATTATTCTTCTTATTGACAGTTTACTTCAATTGGACCCAAATATACACTAGAATATATATAAATATGATACCCATCTTAACATTCATCTCCAGATATTTTTCTATATCCTTGACTTTTCATATAAGTTCCTTTACATTATTTAGGTTTAATCTCTTTCATTGGAACACAATTAGAATAAACATCTCTTTTGAATCCAACATCACATTCCCAATCAGCCTTAGTGCATGGACAATTTTCTGTCTATACTGGAAGATTAGGTTCTTTATTATAACATTATGCTCTCTACTTTCTTCTTATATACTTTTCTCTTCTTCCAAATAAACACTTATCTCCAGCATAATTTGTTGGATACCAGAATTCATAATCAGAATCTTATTCTCCAGGATTATCAAATCCTTAACATTCTCTAACCATAATTTAATTAATATCTAGTGAAACTACTATTCCTTTTAATGCACTTGAAGTAAAATCATCTTCCTTTGCAACTCCAAGAGTTTTACTATCAGATATTCCATGAAATATAAACTTACCATTTTTATATACAACATTTGTTATATCCATAGTAACATTCATCTTAATCTTCTTAAAAGTTAAACCTTCATCCCAAGTATATAAGATTTCACTTGCTTATTCTTCATCACTTACAAATACAATTAGTCCTGTATTTTCAGCAATATCATAAATATGCATTCCATCTAATATTTCAAACCAAGTGTGTCCTCCATCTCTACTTAAATAAGTCTTATATTCATTTCCTAAATAAATTCCAGTATTTCCAGTTCCAATTGTAATATATGAATGACTTACAATTCTATTTCTAGGTGCTTCACTTCTTCCTAATAAATGTAATGAACAATCTCCATTACATTATATAGGTTATCCTTTATAATCATATTTTGGAGCTTTGATAGCATGCCACTCTCCTCCTTATTCAAAAGTTATTCTACTTTATTTATAATTTTCTAATCTTTTAATACCATCTGTATTTTTTGTTGATCTTCTCAACTTAAATTTCTCAAATTCAACATTATCATAAATATTTGCAATGTAAATACCCCTCATAATCAATTCAAAATCACNATTGGCATCTTAATTTTGAATAATAGATTATTCTTCTTATTGACAGTTTACTTCAATTGGACCCAAATATACACTAGAATATATATAAATATGATACCCATCTTAACATTCATCTCCAGATATTTTTCTATATCCTTGACTTTTCATATAAGTTCCTTTACATTATTTAGGTTTAATCTCTTTCATTGGAATACAATTAGAATAAACATCTCTTTTGAATCCAACATCACATTCCCAATCAGCCTTAGTGCATGGACAAGTTTCTGTCTATACTGGAAGATTAGGTTCTTTATTATAACATTATGCTCTCTATTTTCTTCTTATATACTTTTCTCTTCTTCCAAATAAACACTTATCTCCAGCATAATTTGTTGGATACCAGAATTCATAATCAGAATCTTATTCTCCTGGATTATCAAATCCTTAACATTCTCTAACCATAATTTAATTGATATCTAATGAAACTACTATTCCTTTTAATGCACTTGAAGTAAAATCATCTTCCTTTGCAACTCCAAGAGTTTTACTATCAGATATTCCATGAAATATAAACTTACCATTTTTATATACAACATTTGTTATATCCATAGTAACATTCATCTTAATCTTCTTAAATGTTAAACCTTCATCCCAAGTATATAAGATTTCACTTGCTTATTCTTCATCACTTACAAATACAATTAGTCCTGTATTTTCAGCAATATCATAAATATGCATTCCATCTAATATTTCAAACCAAGTGTGTCCTCCATCTCTACTTAAATAAGTCTTATATTCATTTCCTAAATAAATTCCAGTATTTCCAGTTCCAATTGTAATATATGAATGACTTACAATTCTATTTCTAGGTGCTTCACTTCTTCCTAATAAATGTAATGAACAATCTCCATTACATTATATAGGTTATCCTTTATAATCATATTTTGGAGCTTTGATAGCATGCCACTCTCCTCCTTATTCAAAAGTTATTCTACTTTATTTATAATTTTCTAATCTTTTAATACCATCTGTATTTTTTGTTGATCTTCTCAACTTAAATTTCTCAAATTCACCATTATCATAAATATTTGCAATGTAAATACCCCTCATAATCAATTCAAAATCACAATTTCCAGTATCTAAACTTCTGACATTATTTAACAATGATAATGTATATTTAGTACCAGTTGTATCACTTTAATATATATTCATTATCTTTGGCATGTCTTCCAAATGAGATATTGATATAAAAATAGATCCATTTACAGTATCCAATACAGTAAATGTATATTTTTAATGATCTTCAATTGGTAATACCAATTCTACTGGAGTAAGACTTCCTTATTTAATTACTTCTAGATCATAACCTTTACTAAAAGGGTCAGCATCAATCAAAATAAATAAATACTCTTTAGTCTAATAAAACCCATAAGAATTATTTCTCAATAAGTTTGTAGTTTTAAAGTAATCATCACTATAACTAACCTATACGTGGCCTTAATCACTTAAATAAGATGCTACAATCCTTGAATCTGGTACTTCTGGCAATTCAATCAACTTATCCCATATTGCATCCTTTGTTCTATTTAATACTAGTCTCCAATTACTTCCAAAATCATTACTTACATACAATCTAGAATTCAATAAAGATCTTCATACTATTTTTTATATTTCTCTTTACACAAATTTCCACTTGTAGCATTGCATCTAAACTCTTTAAATGCCATTAAACTATGGGCTTCTAATGGATTTAACCTGAAATCATGCAAAGTCTTTTCATGCTTAAATTTTTAATACGTTTTCCCACAATTCTAAGTCACATAAGAAGTATCGAAATCACCTAAAAGATAAAGTACTTAAGAATCTGCTTCTGATTGTAATATTTCTCTTATAGTTAACTAGAATGAATAATTCATATTTACATTTTATATTAACTTTGGCATTTCAGATGTATAGTTTTTATATAGCATACCTTTTGCACTAAGAATGAAGGTTTCAGATTTACACCATACAACTTGTTCAAGTGGTGAATCCAAAATTTTTTATGAAAACACCACTTGTAGCAATAATAATGTTAACATAATTAATTTATAAACAGAAGAGTCAAATATCTTTTAAGATAAATATATTTATTGAAATAAATGTTAAGTTCTAAGGCTGGAATTGATCATGTGTTACGTTAATTCACCAATAAGAGAGTTTTAATCAGAGTTGATTTCAATGTGCCCATTAAAGAAGGAAAAGTAAAGAACACCACAAGAATTTAAGGAGCCATCCCTACATTAAAAAAGATCTTAGAATAAAATCCAAAGAATGTGACATTAATGTCTCATATGGGTAGACCTGATGGAAAAAGGTAATCTAAGAGATTAATTTTATAGAGTTGAAAAGGATTCACTTAAGATTGTTGTTCCTAAATTAGAGGAATTGTTGGGTACTAAAGTTAACTTTGTTAATGATTGTGTTGGTTCAGAGGCTCTTGATGCTTCAAATGCTGGAAATGGATAGATCAATTTATTAGAAAATCTTAGATTCCATATTCAAGAAGAAGGAAAAGGTCTTGATGCAAATGGAGCCAAGATTAAGGCAGACAAAGAGAGTGTTAAGAAATTTAGAAAGGAATTATCATCTTTGGGTGATATTTATGTTAATGATGCATTTGGTACAGCACATAGAGCTCACTCATCTATGGTTGGAATTGATCATAAAATTAGAGTTGCTGGTTATTTAATGAAGAAAGAACTTGATTATTTTGCTAAAGCTTTAGAAACACCATAAAGACCATTCCTTGTTATCTTAGGAGGAGCTAAAGTAGCAGATAAAATTTAATTGATTAAATCTATGCTTGATAAAGTAGATGAAATGATTATTGGTGGAGGTATGGCCTTTACATTCCTTAAAAAAATATATAATGTTCCAATTGGAAAATCACTCTTTGATGAAGAAGGATATAAAATTGTTGATGAAATTATTGCTAAAGCTAAAGAGAAGAATGTTAAAATTCATCTTCCTACTGATTTTGTATGTGGTACTGGATTGGATGCCTCAAGTCCTGTTGCATTACATGATCTTAAATCAGGAATTCCAGATGGATGGTTAGGTTTAGACGCTGGATAATTGACATAAAGAGAAAATGCTGATGCTATTGGAAGAGCTAAGACAAGTATAAATTAAATATATATTTTATTAGTTGTTTGGAATGGACCTTAAGGTGCTTTTGAAATTGAATAATTCAAAAATGGATCAGTCAGTATGTTGAATGCACTTGTAAAATAAACATAAAATGGAGCTACAACTATTGTTGGTGGTGGAGACACAGTCAATCTTGTTGGTGCTAATAAGGCAAATGATAAACTTAGTCATGTATCTACAGGTGGTGGTGCTTCTTTGGAATTATTGGAAGGTAAGATCTTACCAGGTGTAGAATATCTTACAAACATTAAAGATTTATGATCAAAACATTATATTCATTCAAAAGTTAATATTAACAATTTTTATCATATATTGGAGATGATTAATTTAATATCAATAAATTCCTTTTAAATAATAAATTTATAGATCTAAATAATATAATTTGATTTTGAATTATTGAAAATTAAATTTACAAAAATAGATTACATATTACAATATTATACAAAAATAAATATATAATGTTAATAAATAAGCAAAATTTTTAAATAGTATAATAAAAATCATATAATTGTATATTTCAGAAGGGACAAATTCTATACTGAATTTAATGAAGATTATTATAAATGGAAAACTAATGTGTCTCTTGTAATTAACTTTGCTTAAATCAACGAAGTGTATTTGAGACTAATCATAATTGTTTTTGTTGGACTTAAAGAGAATAAGAGTTTTTTGAGGGGAGAATAAAAGGTAAAGAGCATTAATTTTAATAATATAGATTATAATAATAGATAAATCGTCATCAATATTCAATATTATTAATTAAATCATGAATTTTTTAATTAATCACATTTAATGCATATCATTAGAAAATGACTATATTTAATTGCTCGCAATTCTTTATTTGTAAAATCAGAATTATTTATTATCAAAATAAAAATGACATCACCAAGAATCTTATTACTCGTGCTTATAGCTACAGCCTCAGCCTTCACTTACAATGAAGCCTTGGCTAAATAAAATGCAGCATTATCTTTTGCTTCATATTGTCCTAATGCAGCAATACATAATTGGTCTGTTGGCTACGTAAGCAGATCGTATCCAGATTTGACTAACATTGAAGTTTTTGAGAATCTTGTTAGTGTAAGATTTTAAGATATAATTTTAGGGAACAAAAGGATATATAGCATATAACAAAAAAGAATCAGCTATTGTAGTTATTTTCAGAGGATCATCCAATATTCAAAATTGGATGGAGAACATTACTTTTGGAAAAACTGATTACAATACATCTTGCAAATGTAAAGTACATAAAGGATTTCATGATGCTTTCTTGTCTCTTAAACCAAAACTTGATACATTACTCCCTGGATATATTACAAAATACCCATATGCTGCTCTTCATATTGGTGGACATAGCTTAGGTGGTGCCATGGCCACTTTATATGCCTTATAATTAGCTGAATAAGGAAAGACAATTCATTTGTTCAGTTATGGTTCACCTAGAGTAGGAGATCCAGATTTCTATGATTGGTTCACTAAATATACAAAAATTACTCATTTTAGAGTTGTAAATTAAAACGACACTGTTCCTCATGTATTAAATATTATATTATATTTTTTAGCTTCCATTTTATCCATAAGGATTCTACCATGTAGACAGAGAGATCTGGTATCATGATGGAACTCACACTGTTTGTGCAGCCGTAAGAGGAGAAGATAAAACTTGCTCATACTCTGTCCAAAATAAATCTAATGCTGATCATAGTACTTACATTGGATTAAGTTCATCAGTTGATTGCTGATTTTATTTACATAAGAAAGTTATTAAGCTTTTAATAATATCTTAATTATTTTATAGAATAATATATGAAGTTTCTATCAATAACTAATTATAATGAATAATGACTTTGGATAATCAAAAGAGTATCAATAAATTAAAATACTTTATTATTCAAATGACAATCATTCATTAATTCCACTATGATGCATTTCTATTCCAATAATCTTTTAATTTTTGAAGTCACTATTATCATATTTTGATCTTATTTTATAATTCTATTAATACATTATTTATTTTCTCTTCATTCTAATAAATGCACCTATACCAATCATCAATATAATCATTATAATAAAAAGTCCCATCCATGAATAACTAATTAGTTTATAATCTTAAAACATTTTTTATTAGGAATTCCATTTGATATGTTATGATTCATAATAATAGTCTAATTAAACTTTTTAATCATCTCTATACAATTATACCTCCACTAATATAAAAATTACAAAAATTACCAGTAGCTAAAATAGTAAAATCGAAGATTCTTTATTTTTTATTATATAAATTGGGAAGAGTCACATTAATTGTTAATAAAGAATTATTATCAGTTTAGTTGTGAAAGATTCTATTTTCATTTGATGGTTCTAAACAATAATCAAAATTGTTATCATCATCATCTAATCTTTCATTTAATATAATAAAATATTCAATTTATTCTACCCAAAAAGTTTCCTATTTATTTTTTTTAGTAAATTGCAAAGGAGCAAATTCGATATACAGAGTGATAGTCTCTTCATAATTCTCAATAATTTTAGAAGTTAAGACACCCTAAAGTCCTGGATAGAATTAATCATAAGGGATATCACTTTTCTCTTCAACTGAATAAATTCTAATTGTATATTAAGCATCAAGTATTTTTTTATTGAATGTTTTAATAAAATCAAACTTTAAATAAATAAACAATTCCAGATCAATTTTATCAATAAATCCAAATACTTATTTATTTTATTTAATATCTATTTTATAATCATATTATCCATTCTTTAGTAATTCAAAATCCTTACCAACATGAACTGAAAAGATTCCATTACAAAATTACATTTCATAAAACATATAATCATAATTTTGTTACAATGCCCAATATGTACTTGTGTGCAATTGATTAGTACCAAGTTGTTTAATTCTTGGTACTAAAGGTCTAAGATCTGAATTTCCAATTTAAATTTCATAATTCTGATAAAAATATGCTTAATTTTTAAGAACTATTGTATATTAAGTTTCATTTTGAATATATTCATTAAATATTAAATTAGATAATATTTTCTGTTTTATAGGTTGTAAATACATCTATGTTATATTACTATAGACTTTTATTATAGGTAGAGATCTATGTTTTTGATTGGAGAGTACAGCATTCCAGTCTTCCTTAATTTAAACAGAAATTTAAAATGTCTTCTATTAAGTTTGAATTTAAGAGGTATCATAATTATTGTAATACAATTTTTTTTCACTCTAACCATTTAATAAAACATTTACAGGGTATATGGAACTAAATTATTATAATCAATTTACGAAATATAAATAGCATCCTCTATTTCATAGGAATACTAAATGCTAAAATGAGAATTGAATATAGCCTCTATGTAAACTTTTAAATAAGAATCTGCATAATTGCTTATTGTAAAATTATTTTTGTAATTATCTGATTTTACCTCTAAGAGAAATAAAGGATGAAAATTTTCGTCATAATTCAACTTCTCTATTGAGTAAGAACAGGTAATTTAACCACTAAACACATAAACCTATAATATTAAAGATTGATAAATTGGATAAAGAGTAAATGTAACTTTTTGATTTTTCACAAGCTAATATTAAAATAACATTTGAGAATCTAAAAATATTTCCTCCTATTAACTGTTGACTTGGATTGTAACAATTTCAGAATTATAAGTTTTAAGTGCAATCAATAGCATGTTATCAATTTATAAAGGTTCAGTAACCATTTACTTTTAATATCCTTGTTAATGATTATTATATTTGAAAGAGGTCAAATTTTTAGTATAACTAAGTTTTGATGTAAATTAATCTATTTCATCTACATAAAAATATGCTGTTTCAGAGAGTGATTGCACAAAAATCATAAACGGTTATGTTTACATATTCGTATACAATCTTAGATATACTGTGTAATCTTATCCAACATAACTAATATATAATATTGAATATTTACAAGTTATATGGTTAGTTAGGGAATATATCATATGTCTCCACATTTCCTAGATGATACTAAAGAGAAAATTAACAAGGAACATAGCATAGGACTCCAACACTAAAATATTATAAATAAGATTCTACTAGTAGTCTCCAGACAAATCAGGGTGAATACTATTTCCAGGCTCAAGTATTAAGACATCACTGTATAGATCAAAAGATCCCCATTCAAATTTTTCTTTGTTTGGAAATTTAGATTTTGAAACTAATAGGTCAGCTTCATAATTTGGATCTGGTTTAAGCAAGATCATAAGATTTGTATTATTATTTGAAACATGTATTTTATAGAATTTATATCCACTTTAAATAAGGGAACCATCTTGGAATTCTGATTCTCTTAGTAAAATCAGTTTAGAATTATACTAAATTGTATAATCATAAAATTAATTATTAATATCAGATATTGTATTCTTAGATACAACAACTGTTAATTTGATGATACATTTCTCAACACAATTATAATTTTTCAATTCATTTTATGAAATGTACAGAGAAGCTTAATAACTTCCTTTTCTATTAATAGATATCTTATCATATTATAATGAATTTGGATGAGGTGATTACAAATCTTGAACAATGGATGCATATATTTTTAATTCTTAATAGAAACTAAAAGTTAATATATTAACCTCTTAACCTTAACAATAGAGATAGAAGTAATCTTCTCCTATTGGCAATAATTTAGATATTGGCTAATCTTCTCCAAGTTAAATTTCAGAATTGTCCATGTTAGAAATTAATATTGAATAAAACTAATCTATTTTACTATAAAGAGAGAAATAAAATTATTAAAAACATAACTTTTGTTCTTCTTAACAATAAATTTCTTCTTTATTTTCAATTAAAATTATGTTTGTATTTTCAAATTATCTAATTTCTAAACCATATTAATTAAAGGATTCAAAAATTAAGGAAGATTAATCAAGCTCAAAGGATCTTTTTGAGATAATAAAAGATTCTTTTTTGCTATATTCATATCTGAAAATCTATTGATTTTAAGCAGATAAGAAATTAAAAAAAGGTTCATTTTAGATTAAATTAATTTCTTAATTATAAAAGTAAAAAGCAATTCTAAAACTACCATATAAATCTCCAATTTAATCTAACTTGATTTTTAAATAGAGAATTTCTGGATATTTAGGATCATTCATTTAAATATTGATTATTTATCCACTTTACCATATTGCTTTTAATTCATTTGTTTCAGGATGATCAAAACCAAACATTTAAAATTATCCATAATTTTTATATAATATTACATTTACTGGATAATTTTAAGTGTTCTGATATCCCTTCAAATCAATTTTATAAAGAACAAATTCATCATTAGCTAGAACATGATCATGCCAATCTCCTTGATACAATTAAATATAATGCCAAGGAAACTTCCCAAATTATTAAGAATTTTCAATGTTATTGATAACCCAAACAGTTATCATATATTTTGATACTGATTGACCATAAATAGAGATATAGTAATTTCCAGATTAAGGTTAATTAGAAAATCTACCACCAAAATTAATAGAATTATCTTAGGATTTATATTCATAATGTTCTTCATTAGGTTTTTAATGTTTAGTTGATAAATAAATGATGACTTCTCCTTGTGTTAATGAAACTATAAAATTTAATCTTTATATTTAATCCTATTCAGATACAAAAAAATAGTAATACTGATATTAATTTTTTTGAATTATTGATTTATGAGGTGTATTTTAGATTAAATTAATAGTTTATTAATTAATTATGTATTTGAATTCAAATTTACCATCTGATTTACTATTTCTATCAACAATAGCAAAAATTTAGTAATTACAAACATAATCACATTTTAACATAAATTAAGGTTATTAATCATTATTAGAATATATCATAATATATTCTGTCATTTTTTCATATTTTTCTTGGTTTGCAAATAATTCTTCTGGAGGACACAAAGATTAATCATAACAATTAGATATTAGTATATTTACTAATCCTTAAAGAATATGAAAGTTAACTAAAATTTAATGAATTTAATTTTGATAATTAATTATCTCTAACCTCATAATTTCTTATTATTTTACAATTCTTTGATAACGAATATCTGGAAGAAATTATCCTTCTTATTCACATATACATTATAATTGATATGTACATAAATCTATACCCAAAACAGTTATATATAAAGTATTTATGGTTATGTTTTTATTAAATAATTCTTTTCTGGATATATAAATTAGTTCTTCTTCTTAATTATCTTCTTTCCATTCATAACTATCTAACAAAGGTGGTTAAATATTATAATGAACAAATAATTTTGCATAACCTTTAAAAGGAGTCAATCGAATTACCTAAGAAAACTGTGAATTAAATAATATACAATATCGCAATTTGAAGGATCATAAATTTTTATTTTATAAAAATCATAATCTCCTTTATCAACAACTTGTAGAATCCTATCATAAAGATAAATAGTTTTAAGATATTGACTTCTTGTTGCACTCACTCTAAAAACAGCCCCTTATTCTCCTTAGATTAAGATTTTATACTACTCAAAAGAGTGTTTTTATATAAATTCAATGACTTTTTAGTTTTCCCATGTGTCAATTGCTTTATAATCAAATTTATCATTGTTTGGTACATCATTTTCATATATATTCATAAAAACTTAGAATGGTTCTTCTAATTATTCTTAATTCAAGACTTGAATATTTATTTGAATTTCTGTTTCTTATTCATAAAAATCAAGTATGATAAAATCTAAGATTTAGGATTATTTTTCAGAAGTCATTTTAAAAGTTAGAAAACTATCAATCATTAATGTTTATTCTTAATCAAATTCAATTCTTAATATATATCTACTAGGTTATTGAGAAACTACTGAAATATATAAAAGATCATTTTCTTTAATCTTTTCATTATTTATAATGCAAATGTCTATAAATTATATATTAATTTTACCCATTCCTTATGCTTCACATGCTTGTATATCAGCATCTTAAATTGATAATGGTACATATACACTTTTTGAAATGTATATGTTGGGATCAGAATTAGGATTTAATGTTTTAAGCAAAACAACAAAATTTGTATGATTATTTATTTGAGGAACAAAAAATTAATAAACATGATGATTAGATGTTCTTGGTGAAATAAATCTAAATAATGGATTGTTTATACCCTTAAACTGATTCTCCTACTTACAAATATTAAACTTGATTTTCTGTTTCTTAATTGATTGTTAGATAGAATAGACTAAATATAAATATCATAATTATTATAAATATATTAATTTATATATATTTAGACAAGATGAAGATTCTTACATAAATCAATTTACTAATTCAATTCATTCTATCAACTTTTGCAGTATCCTTAATTTATTCAGCTATCTCTAATAATTATTTCCTAATAATTGCCTTATTTTTAAAATCATTTTCTCTTTAAGCTTAACGAATTAAGTTTTCATATTTTTCATTTAATATTTTCAATTTAGCTTCTATTTCATTATGTTATCTAGGTGACAATGGAGATATTAATCTTTTTCTAGATTCAATCTTTTTATCAGGACTATATGTAGAATTTTTCATATCTTCTAGACAGTCTCTAATAGCTTATTTTAATTAACTCTATCTTAAACTTTAATCTGCTCTTGGACTGGGAAGTGTAGGTGAGATTTGATCTAAATTTAATTTACTAATTGTTCTTTATTCTCTATATCCTTAATTAAATTCAGTTTCTTCTTATCTAGATATTCTTCTTTTTAAATATTAATGATTTTTCTCTTCTTATTCTAATTTAATTTTAATTGTTTAATATTTAACATTTAAATCTTTATAATCCATAGTTAATTATTAAATAATATCTTAATATTCAGAACTCTTTAATATTAATTCTTATATTCTTTTAGACATTTATTCTTCTCTACATATTCTATTAGATTGTGCTTCATCAATATTCTTTAAATATATTCTATCTTTTTCATCTAATTAATATTTTAGATTTGATATTTATTTTTCAAATTCATATAATTTAAATGTAGGATGTTTTTATTTATAATTTTCGAATTCTTATTATTACTTTAATTTCTCTTATTCTAAAAATTCTATTCTTTTTTCTAACTTTTTAATGATATTATCTTTATTATCTATCTTTTATTTATATTCTTAAACAGTATTCAATAATATTGTATTTTCTTCAAATTTCTTCATTTCTACTTTATGCAATAAACCTTTTTCATTATTCTTATATGCTTACAATTATCTCTAAAGACTTTCTAATTACATTTATATCTCATGTTTATCATGTTTAAGCTCTTCATTCTTCCTTATTAATTCAGACACTCTATCTTAATAATCCTTTAAATGTTATAATCTTTCCACTTATAACAACTCTATTTATTAAGAGGTTCTATTATTCATTTCTAATTCTTAAGAAACTTTCATTAATTATATCTATAGACTATCATTCTAACAAGATAATTCATTAACTTATTATTTAAGTTATTCAATCATGATATCTTATGGAGATAAATCAATTGATTTTCTACATGTATCATTTCTTAATTTATCCTACATATTCTTCATAGCTGAAGCATAAGCACTACTCATTGTTGGAGAATTAGATGAAAATGCCCTTTATGATAATCTTGATTCTCTTTATTACATAAAAAAAAATATAATTTTATTGTATATGAATGCATTCAAGGTAATTTTTCAAAATATTCTCTATCAAATTCTTTCCTCCTATCTTAAAGAAGTCTTTTCTCTTTCTCTTATTCTTTTTCCTTTATTTATTTGAATTATAAGGCAAGATTGGGTGTTGCTATTTTCCTATTCTTATAAAGATTAAACTATTTCTATGTTATTCTCTTTTTTTATTGAGAACTTTGAAGATTGTTATCAAATACCACTTCAAATTATTAAGTTTAATTTTAAAAAGGTTAAAAAGTTGATCCCATATGTAACTTACTTGATTTACTTCTATCAGTAAATACTTTTGTAGGTTATATCTCTTTAATCTTTGTATAAGATAATTATTTATTGAATTCTTCTAAAATAGGTTGACTTGTATCTCTATGAGTATCTCTACTCATCTTCTAAGTTTTAATTGTATTTCTGCATTCCTCCAAAGTCATAGGTCTTTACATCTCTTATTCATTTGTCATTCTTCCTATAGATAAACCTTACATTGAAGGGTCTAATATAAAATATATACTTTACTTGGTTTGTAATGCAAATGTAAAGGCATTAATGGAAATTTATTTTTCTACATCTAAACAATCTCTTTCAGAACAGAATGATAATCTTCATCTTCTATTTAGAACTTGAATTAGATTTTGGCTAAATTCTAATATTTTTTTTTTGGTTTAGGTTCCTCTATTTCAGGTACCTTATAATGTTTGGAAGCAGTCGTAACTAAAAAATTCTTAGCCTTTAGTTGACTTAAGGATATCATTTCATTATTAATTGGTTGAATACACAATGTTTAACCAAAAGAGTTGATCTTATCAATAATATTTTAATTCATGAAACTCATTAATAAGTCTTCAATATAGAACCTATATAGGTATTGTTATAATTGAAAATGAAGTTTCATAATTTAGTAATAAAGAAGAATGTTTAATATAATTTAGTTAATTTTCATAGTAACTTATTTAATTGTAATTGTCTTTCTATTGTCTTTTTATTAGTATTAAATTTAAATAATTGAATATAATAATTATGCTAGATAATTATATTGAAATCCTTTAACAATATAAGAATCCTAAATTGCAATACTTATTTAGTTCTTTACCTTTACCAAATTAATGGTAATTGTTTTAGACTGCAAATAAGATTGATGTCTTAAATAGTTAAACAGATTATTTAATTGATTTGTATCACTATAGAGAAATTCCAAAATTATTACTTAAAGATTAAATAGAAAGACTTCCTGAAGAATTTTAACATGATCTTAATTAAGAAGAATTTATTTTAATGTTAGCAAGAGTATTAGACTTTCCACCATCTCATTTACCATTTTTAATTAATGGAACTAGAATATTATATGATTAAATTTGTTGGTTAAATTAGATTCATAAAGTAATTGTATTATTTATAGTAGGTTAATTTTTCAACTTTTTTAAGTTTTTATATAATATGTGAATCAGAAGCTAAAGATATGCCAGAATCATTTTTACCATATACAAATGATTAAAGAGCATTTTTAAAACACTTTTAAGAATTTGAAAAGGATGATTATGGATTTAGATTCTCTAAAAATTAAGATATTACTCATCATTAAAATCCAATAAAGAAAGTTTTCTATTGTTAAGATTCAATTTTTAGTTTAGATTAAATGAGTGATAATATATAGATATTTGATTCAGAAACAATTGAATTAAAGAAGACTATTTAATGTACATCAATTAAACATAAGACAAACTTTTTAGGATCACTTTCTAAAACAATTTCATAAAAAACTATAAATATTTTAGATATCTTTTTTGCAGATTCACCTAAGATACTTGGAGCATGTTGTTAAGATAAAACAATATCATTTTGGACATTGACAAATAAATTTTAATAAGAATATTCATTTTCAACTGAAAAATATGGACTTTAAGTTTAAATAGCGTAAGAACAAGTTTCATATTTGTAGTTATCTGGAATCGATTAAAGCATGGATAACAATAAATAGAGAAAATTAAATATATTAATGGTCATTTACATAATTAATAGAATCAAATGATAGTAAAGCTATTTCCTTTGCTAATTCTTCTGTAGGCACTGCAATATTATTACCTTATAAAGGATCATAAATTAATTATATTAAAGAGATTCCCTTATTAAATCAATTATTTATTTGTACAACTGAAGAAATTCAAAAAAAGAATGATAATACTGATAAGATCTTTAAAACAATTGAAAAAAGAATTCATGTTTGGAATCCCATGAAATGGCATGCCTTTTCAGATATTAAATTACCAATTAAGGGATCTTCAGTTCATACTATAACATATTCTCCAAAATTAGATGTTCTTTTTACTGTAGGATTTAATGATGATGTTTTATTATGGAAATTTGATGAAGGTAATGAGAATTATAATTAATTTCATAAATTAACTATAAGAGAATAGATAGAAAATTAAAGAATAGAAAATAATACAGTATCAGCTATTGAAGCATTTGATGAATATGGTATGTTGATAAGTTTAGATAATAAAGGAATAATGAGATGTTGGGATATTGAATCATGGGAAATAATTTATAGATTTAATCTTGAATGTGAAATTATAAATACAACAAGTTAAATCTTAAAATTAAATTAAGGGAAATTTATTGTTACTATTTAAAGACTTAAAGTATTATAATTTCCACGTAGTTAACCTAGAAAAGTTAAAGTAAGATTTAAACCAAGATTAATGTAATGTTTTAGTTAGAGAGTTTATGTGAGTTCAAATAATTAACTAATAGGATTTAATTGGAATAATGCATATATTGAAGAAAAGGTTGAAATGGCAAATGAATAAGAGAAAGTTGAAACTGGAATAGAAATTTTATTTTTCTTTACTCATTGGGATGTTACTATAATAATTTCTAATGATGCTATATTACATATTATTAAAGATAGATTTAGAAATAATTAGAAAGGAAAGAAAGATTTTCTTGAATATCCATTATTTGAAAATAAATAAATTGAAGGTTGTTAATTTCATTATTTATATTCATAACTTACTTGTTGGAATAAAAGTATATTAAGAATATTTTAAAGTCAATATATATCTAAATAATTGCATTTTACAAAGATTAGAGAAATGGATGCTAGAGGACATATTTAAAAAGTTATTAATTGTTGTGAAAGAGATATAATAGGAGTACTTATGAAAAATAATATTCTTAATTTTATTCAATATAGTACAATGAAAACAACATCATCAGTTACAACAGAAGATGAAATTGCTGATTTCTTTTTATTTAATGATTATAGATGTTTAGCCATTATACATCAAAAAAGAATTGTTTTTTATTCACATTAAGATTATACACTTTTTTAACCTAAATATTTCATAAAAACAGATTCTATTTCACATATAATGAATCTTAATTATGAATCATTAGATAAAATATTGGATATATATGTTCCTAATCATTTTAAATATAAAAATATTTAATTTTTTAAATAATAAGAAGCTAATAATTAATTTAAATATAATGAAGATGTTAAAAAAGATTTCTCAGTTTTATAATAAATAAAAGAATTAAAATAAAAGAATGAAGAATGTAATTTTCTAGAAATGAAAGGTACTGGACTTGTTAAATTTAAAAGAACTGTTAAAAAGATTTTAGATATGATAAGAAAGAATTCTTTAGATGAATTACATAGAATATCTATTTTAGAAAGATAAAGTATAGTTGATTCAAGTAATTAACCTAGTCAAATTTTGGATCTTGATTCTACATTAATAAGAAGAAATGGATAATATATATCAAATATTAAAATTGATTATGAACTTTAACCAGTTGATCTTAATCAATATACATATAGCAAAGTATATATTTATGAAGATTTCCATTATTAATATTTTCTGTGTTAAAATTCAACTCCTATTGTATTATCTAATATTTAATCAAAAATTGTTGAAAAGTTTTAAAGAATAAAAGATCCTTATTCAAATAAAGATGATAATACTAAAATTATAGTATCATTTAATTCTTCAGATGAAATTCTACTTGATTATAAAGAAGCTGAAGAAGTAATTTTAACTAAAGTTGAAATTGATCATAATTCTATTAATCCATAAATTATTAATTTTTATGATCATTTACTATTAATTACTTTTGGTAAAGAAGATAATGCTTTAAAATTTTGGGATGTTACATGTCTTAAATCATTAAAATAATTGATTATAGATAAAGAATATCTTAATCTTAAACCATCTTAAGTTAGTTCTATATTAAAATTGAAAGAACTTCAAGAATACAATTAAACACATGAAATCAAATCTTAAGAATAATTAGTATAATAAAAAACTAAAGATTTATAATCATTAATTAGATATAAGACTAAACATTTAGGATCTACTAATTTAGGAGATTCTCCATATTTATAAGCAGAATATATATTGCCATTGGAATTACGATTAAAATGGAATCTAAAAGATTTTAATTCTTTATATAGGATAAATTAAATGAAAGAAACATTTAATTATATGTTAAAAATGTTATATAATTATCAAGAAGCTAATAAATATTAAATGTATCAATAACAATTATAAATTAACAATAAAATGATGTTATAATAAAAAATTAAATCTGGTAGTTAATTAGATTTATATTTTTCTGATGATTTACATGATAATCCATAATTACCAAAATTATATTTAACTTAACTTTAAATTAAACCAGATCCTCCTCCAAATACACCATTTCCTAAAATTTCAAAGGTAGATAAAAAAGCTGATATTAATTTTTAAGTTTTATCTTCAATATTAAGAAAGAGTGATTCTGAATAAGAAGATTAAAATAATAATGAAAAGAAATTGAGAATGTCTGTTCATTTATCTCCAAAAGGTAAAATTAAAAAATTAAATAAAAAAAAAGAAAAAGATAAAGATTCAGGAAGAGAAAATCAAAAGGAAAAAGAAAGAGATTTTAATAAAGAGAAAGAATCATATGATGAAAGTTTAAAATAAAAGTCAGATGATTAAGTTCAATATGAAAGATTTGATTAATTTATAAAAGGAGCTCCAAAGAAAATAGTTTAATTAAATAAATAATTAAATGAATTATATTATCCACCTTTTGAAAAAGAATAAAAATTACTTGAATTAGAAAAAAGAAAATAAAGACAGAAACCAGATCTATAAGTAACTACAAATAAAAAGACAGGAATTTAATTAATTAAATTTAGTCATAGAGCCACTGATGAAGAAAAAAGAAGTATATAAATTAATTTAAATATAGAATTTTTATTAAATTATAGTTTTGAAGAAGTAGCTATAAAATAAAGTTAAAGTTTAAGAGAAATATCTGCAAAACATGTTGATAAATCATTAACACCATTTAAAGATTATTTAAAAGAAACTAGAAATATTAAATTAAATAATCCAATCAAAGCTAAAGTAAAATTATGTAATTTATATATCAATTATCTTTTAGCAATGTTAAAATAAAATGATAATATATCTGATATCATAGATACAAATTAAACAATGGAAGATCAAATAAGAGAAGAAATTGTAGGTCTAAAATTGATAAAAAGAAATCATAGAGCAAAAATTAAAGAAGAATTAAGTAGAATTTTAATATTATATATTTATAGAATACATTTTAGATGCTGATTTAAAGAAATTTTCATCTTAAGATAGTTTTGCAGAAGCTATTAATGATTCTTAAAGAAATAGATCATTAACACCTTTAAAAGATTATTTAATATCCAAATCAAAATCGAAAAAACAAATTTATTGATTACTTTTATAATTCATTTGATTTTGTATTATGTGATTTAGATTTTATAAATTTAAAGCTAATTTTATATCTTTGAATAAATGAACTTTGTTATAAATTATATAAAGTTTCAATATAAAAAATCAGCAACATGATGTTTTCTTAATTGCATCTTATTTAATTTCCATAACTGGTTGTTCTTAATTCTTCTTTTCATTTATTTATTGCAAACACATTTTACCCAAATATTCTGCTGCTTCTAAACAATTTGTATTCATTTTTGCTGATGTTTCTATATAATGCATGCCTAAACTTTATGCAAAAGAATAGGCTACATCATATGATATTTGTCTTTTTGATTCTAAATCACATTTACATCCAACTAAAAGAAATTAAATTTCTTAATTCATATTTTTGATTTCATCCACAGTTTCTTAATATAATAAGAATAAATACTTTAATGCCAAAGTTAAACCTCAGTAAATGAGACTTCATTAGAAATATCAAATACTAAGAAGATACCATGAGCATTTCTATAATATGATTTAGAAATTGCTGTTCTAAAGCGTTCTTAACCAGCAGTGTCCCAAATTTATAATTTAACTGGTTAATTATTGATAAACATTCTCTTTGTTGCAAAATCAACTCCTATAGTAGCAATATAATTATCACTAAATCTATCTTAAGTTAATCTAGTTAAAAGGGAAGTCTTTAATATAATTATTTTAATTACTTTTCCTGCTCCTGATGGCCCAAGAGTAATTATTTTAATGAGTTGATCTTTTATTTGTTCCTAATTTTAATTAAAAGACATTGAAGAATTATGGAATTATTTTATTATATCTAATTTATCATTGAATATATCCCTTTGAAACAATCAGAATAAGTTTTCATCAGAATTTAGAGATTTAAATAGCTGAAACTTAATAATTTATTTAATTTTGTATTTCATCATAATGATATTAGACATTCTATATTTAATTCTGATTAAATACTATCAATTTTTAAATTAAATACTTATAAGAATAGAACATAATTATAAATAATATTATTATTATAATAACTCATTAATCATTAATAAGAATCTCTAAAGGATTTCCTACTTTCGATACTCTACCATTTTCAATTAACATTATTTTATCATAATTTCTTATACTTTATGTTTTATGTGCAATAGTAATAACAGTTTTATTCTTTAACTTTTATAAAAGGATTTCTTCAATTAATAAATCAGTTTCAGAATCAAAATTAGAAGTTGCTTCATCCATAATGATTATTGGTCTATCCTAAAGTAATACTCTACTTAAAGAAATCAATTATTTATGACCCTAGGATAATTCTCCAAAATGAGAATTCAATCCGTTTGGTAAACTTTATACATAATCATATAGTTTAACATCTCTCAATATATTCATAATATCTTTATCACTATGTTAATTAAATAAGTCAATATTAAATCGGACAGTTTCATTAAAGATCATTGGTTATTATGGTATAATACTGATATTACTCCTTAAAATTTAAGGACATATATTTCTTATGTCAAAACTATCAATCTCAAATCTTTCTGCTTTATCTATATCATATAATCTAAATATAATTGAAATGATTGATGATTTACCAGCTCCTGTACGACCTATAATTCCTACTTTTTCCCCTTATTTAATATTTAATGTTAATCCATTTAATGCATAATCCTAATTATATTTTAAATAAACATTTGAAAAACTTATATTTCCTTACAAATTTATAGTTTTTTTTGTATTTATATTATTTTCTTCTTTATCTATACCTTTTAAATCTTACATTCTATCTACACAATTAATTTAAGTTATAAATGATAGATATTATCTTAAAAACCATTATTAATTTTCATTAAAAATCATAAGCAATAATAATGCTTGTGTAAATGTCTCATTTTTATTATATATACAAATCATTATTATTCCACATTATTAAACTATCAAACCTAAAAAGTCTATGCTAATACCAAATAATCTTTGTGCATAATAATAAGTTGTATTAGAAAGAATTGCATTATTTGTAGCAATATTAAATTATTACAAAAAATATCCTTATTACTCAAAAACATTTATTGTTCTCAAACCTACAATTGTTTTTTTAAATAGATCTAATAGAGGACCTTTAGTTTATTAATCTAATTCTTAAGATTTCAATATTAAATTCCTATAATTACTAAGAATATATTAATTTAGAAGAATTGTTACAATCATTATGTAAATGAAATGAGTTTATAATATAACTAAACTAAATAAAGAAACTAAAAAATATGATCCAAGTTCCCAAAAATCAAATAATGTTACTGAAATCATATTATCAGCCAAACTTAAATCTGTACTGAATTTAGTTAATACTTAACTACCAACTGTTTAATCAAAATATGACATTTTTCCTTATGATATTGATTAAATCATGTTATTATGAATATGAGAATTGGCAGATAAACATCCATAAGAGTTTAAAATATACTTTACATAATTATTTACAAATGCCAATATACATATCATAATAATATATCTTATCTGTTCATCATAATTATCAGTTTTAATTAATGAAATTCCATTATAATAACAATTATATAAAATTTCTGATAAAAAATTCAATAATACAACTAAAATTACCAATATTATACTTAATATCTTATTTTTGGTCCAATATCTAAAATAATATAAAAATTTATTATCTTTTTTAATCTATACCTTATTTTAAATTACTTAATTTTTATCAATAGTTTATTATTAAACAATAGATTCATTTTTAGATATATTAATTAATTTAAAATCATTAAAGTTTTCATTTAATTATTCAATTAATTATCCATCTTAAAGAAGATAAAACTTTTAAAATTAATTAATTATAGCTTGTGAATGTGATGTCAAAACTATAGCAGGATATTTATTAGTCTATGAAACATGATAATTCTATAAAAACACTATTAAATTTTTATATATCTAAATTTATATTGGCACATCTAATGAACTAAATGGATCATCTAATATTAATATATCAGATAAAGAATATAATGCTCTAGCTAAAGCTATCCTTGTTTTTTAACCACCTGATATAGTTGTAACTCTGTCATTTATTACAGTTTTATCTTTCTATTACATTTTTAATATGTCTTCTTATAAACAAGTAACTTCAATCACTTTTTAGTACAATTCTTCAATATATAATTTACCAAATGTGATATTATTTTAAATTGTATCCTCAAATAATATGGGATCTTATTCAACATAAGATTTAGTTAAATGTTCCTTCTATGTCATTGATCCACATAAAGTTAAAGGACCATCATCTATCAAAGACAACAAAAATGAAGTTTTTCCACTACCCATTTTACCTGTTATGAGTATAAAGTCTTTTGGATTGATTTCAATTGATATTTATTTCAAAAGTGTTTACTCTTATTTCCAACCTATACTAAAATTATTAAATTTTATTAGTTATGGTGTTTGGTGAATTTGAATCTATTTATTTTTTATCTTTAGATTATTGAATATATCAATATATCTTTGAAATATCATTTTTATATTTAAATAACTCTAAATTCCATAAGATACTTATTACACACAACTAACCTTAAAATATTATAATTATTAAATTGTAGCTATTAAAGAGGCACTATTTAATTCATAATTGAATAAATAGAGAATAACAATAAATATCATTGATGCCCATATTTGAGCAAAAAAATTCAAACTTCTGTCTATTAATTAAATCATTTAAGATTTGAATAAATATTACTATTCTCGTTTTCTCACTTCTAAAATTCTTTAATTTAATTTTTATTCTACATTATACATTTTTATGACTTTTATATTGTCTATATATTCAGATTATAACTTAATTCTTTTATCTTACTCTTGTTTGTATAATTTTGTATATTAAATTGATTACTTCTAAATAAATATCTATAATGGATAGATAAGCATTATAATGAATAATGGAATCAGACCTATCAAACCATTAAATCTAATGTAAAGTATGAAGGATCCAAAAATAAATGATATAGGCATCACAAAGATTTAAAATATAAGCATAAAATAGTATTCAAGCATACTTATATCTGCTGTTGCCAGTCCAATTAGTTTTCCTGTATCTATAGCTTAAGTTTGTACTTTAAGTAACTTTTAATATAGCATATTCAATAAAGTAAATCTTGATTTTGCTGAAAATTCCATACTTTTGGTTATGGCTTGATGTCTACTTATATTAGCTATGCAACTTACTAATATAAGTAAACCTCCAATATATATGGAATTTGGTGATTAATTTAAAATATTAGATATAAGCAAACTCATAATTATTGAAACAGCATTTTTACTAATGCTTTCCAATAAATAAAAAATAAAAATAATCATTGTTTAATATTTGAATTCCTTGAAGAATATAAAATATGTTATTGATAACACAGTATTAAATTAGATATTAGTTAAATCTAAGTTTTAATCCTTTATTTTTAAATGCTCCTAAATTATTGGGAGTCTTTAAATTTTTAGACTCTTATCTTAATTTAATGTTTCCTTTATTTATTTAAATCGTTTAAATAGCTTAACAAAGAGTATATCCATATTATTGTAAAATTTTATAAAAGAAATTATTTAAAAAAGAATATAATTGTAATAGTGATTAATTAGAAAGATTGTAATATTTACTTATTTATAATCTTTTTCTTAAAATTTTATAACAATTATAATTAAAATACTTCTCATTCATAAATATCCTATTAATTATTTTTACATTGATAAATCATTAATTTTTCATTGAAATCTTATAAATTAACTTTTTATTAGATAATATTTTAATCATATATAGTATTAAATAAATCTTATATATAAAATATAAGTTTTTATTTTTAAGAAGTTATTTTATAATTTATGGTTTTAATTATTAATATTCTTTTATATTCAATATTAAGATAATTAATAATGAGTATATTAAAAATAAATTTAATGATAAAATTTAATAATAGTGATATTCTAATTAGTAATTAATCATATATCAATAGTGAATTAAGATACTTCCTATTTACTATCAATTAACCAAGGATGATTAAGGGCTTGTCGAGCATTCATTCTATTTTTAGGGTCTACATGTATTAAATTTCTTATGAAATCTCTTAATTCTTAAGAAAATTTATTGGGGAATCTGATATTTCCACTTATAATCATATCCTACATTTCTTGATATGATAGATCTTCCCAAGGAGTTTCTCCAGTACATAATTCATATGCTAAGACTCCCAATGACCACATATCAGTACTTTTATCATAGTTTTCTCCTTTGATGATCTCAGGTGATATGTATGCTAATGATCCACATTAAGTAGATCTTTCTTATTAAGGAGAGTAGATTGAATGAGTAAAATCAGCCAATTTAATTTGATTGTAACATAAAAATATATTTTCTGGTTTAATGTCTCTATGAATAATTCCATTTCTATGTAGATAATTTAAGGCTGAAGCTACTTATTTAATGTAGAATGCGGCCACTTATTCAGTAAAACATGTTTCTGGTAGTGATCTTAATAATTTATGTAATTGTCCATGACAACAATATTCTAATACTAAAACAATATCAGTGGCTATGATATAAATAATAATAATAACTTGTGTGAAAGAAAGTATACAGTTTAACAATATTGGGATGATTGAGAAGATATTAAATCTTTAATTCCTATGCAATACTTTTCCAAATAGAAGAAATTTATTCTTTTTTCATTATTTTAAGTGCAACATGTATTCCAGTATTGATTTCACAAGCCAGTTTTACTTCACTATATTTACCTTTGCCTAAGAATTACAACATAGTATAATTAGATAATTATTGTGCTTTAGGTAAAATAGTTTTATTAAGCATTTTCTTAAATGTCTATTATTCAGTCTCATAATCTCTTATATGTAAGACATTTTTATTGATTTCAACCAATTTTTAACCTGAATTAGCATTGGATCGTATTCTTTTTTATGGTTTCTCATTTTAAGTGGGTTTTCTCTTGATTGTTTTGAGTAATGATTCAATGAGTTCTTTCTAGTTGATTTTATGATCTAGTATATCTTATTGAGTGTGTAAAGGTGAGCTGAGTTTATTAATTAAAGTTATTCGATTGCTTGAAGCAGATCTTGAAGTTGGTACTTTATGCATTATTATATTAACGATTAGAACACACAACTAAAAAAATATTAGAATTCAACTCTATATTAGAAATCTACGTTTCTATTTGTTATTATTTATATATTCAAATCAAAAGAACATCATTAGTCAATTAATTTTAGCTATATTCTAATTTGAAAGTAGGAGAGTTTAAATTTTGAATGATTGAAATTGAGAGATAGGAATAGAAAATTAAGAATGCTTTGTTTAATAAATGTGAATGAAACACAATATAGAGTTTAAATGATATAATTTTCATTTAAGTTTGAATAAGTAACAATATGTATAGTTCAAATTCATTAATATATTACTAACAAGAAAAATGATTATTAATTTCAGATCTAAGAAAGTGAGATATTGAGACATAAGTATCATTTTTGGATTATCAATTCAATCATCTGTTATTTAATACAATATAATATATTAAATAGAAAATGTAATCAGAAAATAAGATGATTATTTAATATTATGATACAGTATTATTTTTGAATGAAATACACAATTCATTTTTAAGACAACTAGAATTTAATTGATATCTTTTATTAAGGTAGAACTAATTATACAATATCATATTATACGATTTTAATAAGTAACAAATAATGATTCCCTCTTAATGTAGTTACTTTTTGTATTTTAAAAATACGTTATTTTTTTCACAAGATATTTATATAATTTCTATGAGTCATTTCAACAATATTATACTTAAGAATATCAAGGTCGATGTAAAAACTTATCCAATTTTTAAAATTATTATACTAATATTAATAATTAATGAAACAAGTTGTTTAATCTGCAAGACTCCCTTCATCCCCTGTTTTCCATAGAAAGAAACCTACTGAACTTTAAAACCCATTGGAGAATTTAGTTAGAGTGCAATCACCTTGCGGAAGTACAACAAATAATGCATTTGGAAGATGTCCTACAGTGAAGACATTGAATAGTGATAGAGACCCTATTGAGATTACTATAACATTAATGTTAGATGGTTAGAAGTAAAAGGAATAATGAACATAGATTGATTGTTCCAATAGGAATATATCAAAGTACCACAGACTTATATAAGAAATTAATAGGCAAAGTGAATTAAGTAAACCCTACAATAGTACATTCAATTAAACATTTTCAAACACATAGTAGTGTTAAAAATTACAATATTGATTATTATTTATCACTTGAACATCATCCATTAGATGTATTTATTGAATAGAGACATTTGAAATTGGAACCTTATATTTCAAAAAATGTTAATAGCTAATTGAGTATTGATGATTTTGAGATACTTAAATGCATAGGAGTTGGGTATTAATTCAAATATGATATAAAATAGTGGTTTCTCACGTGTTTATTTAGTTAGAAAGAAAGATAGTGGATATTTTTATGCAATGAAACTTATTGATAAGAATTTCATTTTAAATTCAAATAAAGAGATAATCATTAATAATGAAAGATAAGTAATGGAATAATTGAATTCCCCATATTTAGCCAAATTATTCTACTCTTTTGAAACCAAATATTATTTAGTCTTTGTTTTAGAGTAATATTGTTATTTTATTATTTAGATATTGTGCAGGAGGAGAATTGTTTTATCATTTGAGAAAACTAAGAAGATTAAATGAAGAATTAGCAAAATAATATTTTGTATAGGTTTGTTTGGCAATAGAAGAATTACATAAATACGGTGTTGTTTATAGAGATATTAAACCTGAAAATATCTTATTAGATTTAGATGGATATATTCGTTTATCTGATTTTGGTTTAGCTAAACCAAATATGGATAGAGAAGAAACAGCATATTCCTTTTGCGGTTCTCCAGAATATATGTCCCCAGAGATGTTAATGAGAAATGGCCATAACTTTATGGTTGACATTTATTGTTTAGGGGCTTTACTATATGAATTTATTTATGGATCTCCTCCTTTTTATAGCAGGAACATAGAACAAATATATAATAGCATATTAAATGATAAAATATCTTTTCCTCCTTTAGTAAAAATTAATCCAGATCTTAAAGATTTAATTTCAAAATTATTAATCAAAGATCCCTCTATACGTCTAGGGTCTAAAAATGGCATTAAAGAAATCCTCTAACATAAGTGGTTTAAAGGATTTGATATTGAAGCCTTGGCTAAAAGAAAACTTAACATTAGTTATCGTCCAAAGCCATTAAGTTATAATTTTGATGAAGTTGAATTTAGTAAAGGAGATATTGAATTTTAAAACAAATTATATGAAAATTTAAAGAAGGAGAAACAAGTAATTAATTTTTTATATTTAGACCAAATATTCTCGTTATTTTCCTAATTTTGAGTATACTAATAAGAAATTTTGTGATACTAGACAAGCTATATTATAGCTAATGTTGACATAGAAATAGATATAAGGATAATAGGGATTGCCAAAACCATAACAAAAAACATTAATTTCCTTATCTCCAGTTTAAATGGTTAAAGGATTATCAAATATCAAAGCATTGACTTAAAGCTCTTTTAAATAGTTATCATAATGCAAACGTTTTAACACTGAAGTAGATATGAGTAAGTTAATTAAGAAAATATGAAATAAAAGTTGTTATTTAAATTTAATTAATCAAAATAATCTATGATCAATATTATTATTATTGTCAATTTCTATGTTCATATTTATCCTCTTCTTTCTAATAAATCTAATCTTAGACTCAGATATAATTTATTCAAAAATATTATTTGCAAGCTTTTGATTTTTTTGTCAGTTCCAAAGTCACAACAGATCTTAGATAAACTGCAATATAAATTTAGGACTATTGATGGGATACAAAACCTTATGATATATATCAAAATAAAAGTATTTATATTTATAAAGGTAAAATTAATTATAAAATCTAAATAAGCTATTTTAATCTTATATTTTATGATATTTCAATTATCTCTACAAATATCAAAGCTTCAACTACTTAATTTTACTGCAAAAATGTTTTTAATCATTAAGTTAAAGAAACCTTAAAGTTTTATATAAGTAGAACTGATAAAAATTTTGGCTGAGCATTTAATTCACAAAAATAATAAATATGCATATAATAGATTTTCAAGGAATAAAAAATCAGATTATTGTTTTTAATTAATCTATGAAATCTGTTTCTTCTAAAAATAATTCTATTATGTATATTCAAATACATATTATTTTTTTTGTATTTATATGCTTTTAATACAAAAAATCTTCTATTAATATTAAGATTTTAATAATTTGATTAAATGGAATAGGTTTTTGCATATATAAAAATCTAGTCTTGTTGGAAGCATCAAAAATAAATATCATCATTTAATTATGATGGTGCATCAGACAAAAAACTTTCTGACTTACTTTTATGCGAAGATTGCGAGAAAGAATCTGCTCCTAATCGGAAAATATTGACATTAGATGAATTTAAATCTTTTTGTAGAACTCATAATTAAAATTTCATACCCATTGAAGTTTGTGACAAGCCCTTTGAAAGAATAAAATCATTCTTGAATGATGTTGTAGAGAAACTGAAGAATTAAATAGAAAAAGTTTTAAAATAGTTAAAAATTCAACAAACAGCTATGTATTAAAAGACTTTGGAGAATCTAATAAAGCAAAGCTTTAGTTAAGAAAACACTAAAAGTTAAATAATTTATAATGAAATCGGAAAAATCAATGTTGATTTTTCGACTAAAATTATTAAGAGTTTAGAAGATTTATTAAATTTAGAGGAATTTAAAAAATGCAAGCAAGAATTAGAAGAATTAAAAAATATCTTTGTTGATAATTATATAAATAATAAATAATAATAATAATAATAATAATAATAATAATAGCAATAATAGCAACAATAATAATAATAGCAATAATCATAATTATAATCATAATCATAATAATAAAAATAATAATTATAATAATCATAATCATAATCCTCATAATAAGGTTTCATTTTAGAAAATAGGGAAATTGCATAGTCCGAAATATGTTATTCAATTTCATTCAACAGCACTAACTCAATGATGATTGCTGGATGTAATAATTCTATCAAAGTTTGGGAGTTTGGCTTTGGAGAACTAAGTTTTCTTGAAAATTTAGAAGCTCATAAATATACTGTCACTAATTTATTATTCAGTAAATTTAAAAATAATTTCATTTCTGGTTCAAAAGCAGGAGATTTGATATGTTGGAAGTAATAGAATAATTAATTTATAAAATCATTAGCTTATGAATATCACTAATAAGGGATAAGCTGTATGATTTTAAATAAGGAAGAGAATTTACTATTTACAGCTGATATGGATAGAGGGATCATAATTTGGAAGGCATTCTTGGATAGGAATGAATTATCCTTTCAGAAAATATTAAAGAATCATACTAAATAAGTGAATGGACTAAGTCTAAATGATTCAGAAACTATTTTGGTTTCTTGTGGCTTAGATAAGTAAATTATAATTTGGTAAAAATAATAAAATGATTGGATATTTAAAAAGAATGTTAATTAATATTATTATGAATTTGGCACTAGAATTAAATTTATCAGTGATGATCAATTTATATGGGTTTCAGGAGTTAAAAATGGTTAAGATAAATTATTTGTCTTTTAAATAAATAATTTCAATGATAATGTAAATGAAGAGAATAATAAGTAACTTTTAGTAAGTAATTAAAACACTGATAGTCTTTTCTTCCCTATTTTCTATTTGGATTAAAAAAAATTAATTGTGACTAAGCACAAAGATCATATTTATCTAATTAAAAAACATGATGATGGATTCATAGAAACAGTTTCATTAAAAGTCTTAAATTCAAATGAAGCTTACGGAGCAGTAACGAATGATGGTTAATATTTAGTATTTTGGGAATAAGCAACTTAAAAGTTTGAAGTTTGTTCAATTGTAATTTGAAAAATCAAATTATTAATAACATTAAATATCGTTAATATAAATCAATATTTTAATACCAAGTGTTTTATAAATCTTTAAATGTCAAAAGTTATTTCTCAAAATATTATTGATCTTCTTATTCAATCAATTCATAGATGAACATTTTTAGATCAATAATTATTATTAATTAAATACACATAAATTAAATTCTATTTCAAATTGATTGGATTAATTTAGTGTTGTAAATTTCTTTTTTATTTTTTTGTTTGTTTGCTCTCTAACAAGGGTATCTATAGAATACCTTTATTTTTATTGACTTGTTGTAATTAACATTAGGCTATATATCCATTAAATTTTTATTATTTTGCAATTAATCTTAGCTATGCACAAGCTAATCAGCTATTAAATTAACTTAAATCATAACTGTTTCCTTTATATGATATTATTTAATTACTAAAAAGTAGTGGGCCAGAAAAATTTATGTTTAACTTATACTTTGAGAATTTCAATTAGGTATTTTGTGTTTTTAATTTCTTACATGATTATTCCTTAAGATAGCAACTGATTATAAATATCTATATAAATGTATATTAATAAATTTAAGTATTTTTTATTTAAAATTAATAATAAATTAAAAAATTTGTGTTTATGCAAAATAATTTAAAGATAATTTAAATCTATTTTGATTTAATGCATCAATTGATGAATTTAATTGATCACATTTATTAAATATTCTGTATAATTAATTTTTTGAGAAGAGAATAATGAATTAGAATTGCATTAGTATGTTTTTTTTTATTTAAGACTATATTAGTTATTTATATTTAGATTTAATAAATAAAAATGAATATTTTCGCTTTAACTCTATTAGCCTTCTATTTTAAGATAGGCTAAGAAATAACAATAGAGAGTAATTCAAAAGCTACAAAAATTGATAATTGCCTTCAATCTGAGAATGGTAATTGCCAACGTTGCGATTAGACATATTTTTTATTCCCATTGCCGTAAGATCACAGCGATTTAGGATTAAAAGCAGGAACAATTATATGTGTAGAATGGTAAGATATATTGAAAATACAATAGTCCATATTAAAAATTCAATGAAGCCAACAATTACTATTGTGGAGATTGTTTAGATAATAGTTAATCATGGTATATATGATAAGTATGTTAGGGATAAATCTAGACTTTGCACTTATGACTATAAGACAAAATCAACAGGCACATTATCTGTATTTCACAAAATAGATAGACATACAAAGCAATTATTTTATGTCACAAAGAGTGGTTTAACAAGTGTAAATTTAATAAGATTTTTATTTAGTTTACTACACAAGGATGTGATGGATGTGAACACTTTTGTAAATCTTAAAATTCAACATGTTTTCAAGTTTAAAAATAATATTCTTATGATTTGAATAATATGTACATAAGTTGTGCAGAAGGATATGAATATAGTGATGTAGTTGGAGGATGTGATCCTTGCCCTGATAATTGCAAGTCTTGTTAAATAAATACATATATCAAAACAGATGATTCAGGTAAGACTGTTATGGAAATTACAAAGAATNTAAAAAGTAGTGGGCCAGAAAAATTTATGTTTAACTTATACTTTGAGAATTTCAATTAGGTATTTTGTGTTTTTAATTTCTTACATGATTATTCCTTAAGATAGCAACTGATTATAAATATCTATATAAATGTATATTAATAAATTTAAGTATTTTTTATTTAAAATTAATAATAAATTAAAAAATTTGTGTTTATGCAAAATAATTTAAAGATAATTTAAATCTATTTTGATTTAATGCATCAATTGATGAATTTAATTGATCACATTTATTAAATATTCTGTATAATTAATTTTTTGAGAAGAGAATAATGAATTAGAATTGCATTAGTATGTTTTTTTTTATTTAAGACTATATTAGTTATTTATATTTAGATTTAATAAATAAAAATGAATATTTTCGCTTTAACTCTATTAGCCTTCTATTTTAAGATAGGCTAAGAAATAACAATAGAGAGTAATTCAAAAGCTACAAAAATTGATAATTGCCTTCAATCTGAGAATGGTAATTGCCAACGTTGCGATTAGACATATTTTTTATTCCCATTGCCGTAAGATCACAGCGATTTAGGATTAAAAGCAGGAACAATTATATGTGTAGAATGGTAAGATATATTGAAAATACAATAGTCCATATTAAAAATTCAATGAAGCCAACAATTACTATTGTGGAGATTGTTTAGATAATAGTTAATCATGGTATATATGATAAGTATGTTAGGGATAAATCTAGACTTTGCACTTATGACTATAAGACAAAATCAACAGGCACATTATCTGTATTTCACAAAATAGATAGACATACAAAGCAATTATTTTATGTCACAAAGAGTGGTTTAACAAGTGTAAATTTAATAAGATTTTTATTTAGTTTACTACACAAGGATGTGATGGATGTGAACACTTTTGTAAATCTTAAAATTCAACATGTTTTCAAGTTTAAAAATAATATTCTTATGATTTGAATAATATGTACATAAGTTGTGCAGAAGGATATGAATATAGTGATGTAGTTGGAGGATGTGATCCTTGCCCTGATAATTGCAAGTCTTGTTAAATAAATACATATATCAAAACAGATGATTCAGGTAAGACTGTTATGGAAATTACAAAGAATTGTTTAATTTGTAATTAAGGATTTAGTATTCTAACGACTAGAACAGCATAAAATAAAAATGAAACCATTAGTTAATGCATAGCATGCTTTGCAGGTTGTGAAACCTGTTATTTTGGAAAAGATAGAACAAATTTAAATGAAAAACCATGGGATACTTATAATAATCATGCTTTGCTTACTACAAATAATTTTAAAGCAAATGAAACTAAATTTTATGAAGACTTATTTAAATTGTCTTAAATAGCATAAAGATGTGAATACTGTACAAGTACAGCTTAGAGTACTTTTGTTCCATCTTTGAATAGAAGATCTTGTGTTAAATGTGGTACTAATTGCAAAAGATGTGAGTACACATCTGAAATAGAATTGTATTTTATATTTTTTTTAATATTATAGTCCTACAAGAGATAAAGCTATGGTTGTTGAACCTGAGAGTACAGAACCAACAACAGCAGATATTGATACAGTTGAATCTAAATATTTATTGAGATGTAGAGAATGTGAAAAATTTACATAAACATTTTAAGCTATTGGAACTGGGTGTGTAGATTGCTCAGTTGCAAATTGCAAATTATGTGCTAAATTTGATCCAAGTAGTGGAAATGATATTTCCACCATCAGTCCTAATTTTAAACCATTATTGGATGAGAGTATTTATAACCAGAATAATAATAGATAAATCTGTGGAAAAATGCTTGTTATGTGAAGACGGTTACTTTTTGTCTGATGATAATTAATAATGTATAATATTTGACTCAGTTAATAAGCCTGGTGTTGGTTGTTTGACTTATCAAAAATTAGCATAATAAAAGTGTTTAAAATGTAATACTGGATATACTCTTTATAAAAATGAATAAGAAATATGGGAATGTAAAATGGATTGCTCAGAATTAATGAATGATTATTTATGTATATCCTGTCTCATAAATGGAAGTGAAAAACGTTGTTAAAGATGTTTAGATGGTTTCTTTGTTGATATGAAAACAGGTAAATGTAAAAAATGCTCAGAAAATGGATTTTGTAAGAGTTGTTATGCTTTTTCCTTAGTTTCTGTTCATCATTCAGAATATTTTGATTATTATTTTGATGGAGAAGAAGAAATTTATGGTCCTTATTGTATTGAATGCAATCCTGGAGATCTCGAAAAGGGACCATTTAAAAATGAAGATCTTAGATATTGTGAGAAGGGAGGAAAAAATTGTGCTATATTCTAAGCAATAGGAACATAAGGCTATTGTGATAAATGTGATTCTGCTTTAGTTGGAAATTCACGTAGTTCATCTCTTGATGGTAGTGATTGCATTGAGTGTCCAGAATACACTATAGGTTGTAGAGAAAGATCAGAATAAGAGAAAAAACTTATTAATCCATTTTTTGATCCTACTGATGAAAAATATAAAAAATATACAAGAATATCATTCATATGTGAAAATGATGCTTATTATAATAGTCAAATTGCTAGATGTATCTCTAAAGAGGATTGTCCAGATAATAATTGTGATTTATCTGATGAAATCACAATTAAAGCTGATTGTGATTAAATGTTTAAATTAGATAAGACATTATGGAAAATTAATTCATAATTCAATGATATTACATCTAAAAATGCCACATTAATTTTGGAAGATAATATAAATCTATCAGATACTGAAAAACAAGCACTCTTTGATGAGTGGAATAAAAAAGCTATACAAAAAATAACTATTATATTGGATTTCTAATATTAATCTGGAGATAATTCGAAATGTGTATTCCAAAAAGACACATATTTTACTTCAAATATTAAAAGAAATGTTCACTCTGTTTAAGAATTAGAACTTAAAATTAAAACCAATTCTCCATAACCAAATGAAAGAATTAAATGGTTTATTTATAAAACAATCTATTTTACATATTTTACATCAGTCTCTTTAAATGGAATAGAATTATATCCAGCATCTGATAGAGGTAATTTATTCCTAAATATCCCTAAATATGAATCACCTTTTGGATTTGAATTTCTCAACAACACTGGATCTAAGTTTTATCTAGAAAATGTAAAAATTGGAAATGTGGCTGCTGAAGATCATTATAATGATAAATCTACTTATACTACACCTTACAGTAAGTAGGCAGTTTTACTTAAGAAGTAAAAGCCATTCTTTACATTACTTTTGAATACATACGAAATTTATTTAAAAAATGTTGATATTTATTCTTAAAATTATCTACTAAATTAAGAGATTTCATTTTAAGCTAAACCATTTGGATTAGTATATGATTCAAATATAATATTACCTTATTTAAAAATTAAATTAGAAAATGTTTAATTTTATGATATTGCTATTGAAAGTCAAGCACTTTTTGAATTATAATCAGTTATCTTTTTAACTCCCCCCTAATGGAATAACAAAATTTTAATTAATTAGGTGCAATTTATAGATTGTTATTTTAGTAATGATGGTGGCTTTCTTAGTACTAATATTTTTAATTAACCAATGGGTATTATCAACATTAATTCATTAATAATGAGAAATATTGAATACAATAATTCACGAGGAATTATAGATTTCTCTACAATGCAATAGATTAAAGTAAATAATTTTTAGATGTATAATTCTTAAGTTAATTCTACTGCTTTATTTCATGTAACTACTCTTGAATTAAGTAGTGTCTATTTACACAATACTTCATTCACTTATAAGGGTAGATTGATGTAAACTAAATATGAATTAAAAACCATTAGGTTAAATGATCCTGAATTATCAGGATTAAAGTTACAATTTTTTAATTTAGAATTCGATTAAGTTATTTGTTTAACTCCTGCATGTTTAATACTAATTAGTGAAATCTAAAATGAATATGATATTCCTATAAATATTACAATGAAAGGATTAATTATTAAATAGATTAATACTACTTAATTTGATCAAACAATCTTAGAAGCAGCAACAAGTGCTTCAATAAGAGTTGAAAAGAGTAATATATTATTAGTATCAAATTTTTAAAGTATTGAAAATGCAGATTTAACAATCTTTTATGTAGAATAAGTTTGGACTACTAAATTTATCAATCTTAATTGTTATTAAAAAGAAGATATAATAATTAGAAACAATTATTGTCTATTTATTAACAATCCTTATAAAGGAGTAGAAATACTAAATGCTAAATTACTTAATTTGATTGGAAGGGATAATTCTTTTATTGGAATATCTTCTTGGAGCAATCTTATTTATAATACTTCTACTGCTGATTATTTAGAAACTATCATTATTAATGGAGTAAATGTAGCTTAATGTACTATTGTTACAACAGTTCTAGCAGTTCCTTCATCTGCTATTTTGATAGATTCTACTCAAATGTAAATTGTGAAAATTAGTTTTATGAATTTCTAAAACAATCATCATTTAATGGAAATTGATGGATCATTAAGACCAAGCAATCCAACATTTTTAATGAGAAGTTTAGTTGGAACATTGATTTTATCAAATAGTGTTTGGAAATCCAATTTTGTATAAGGTTTTGGAGCAGTCCTTTATTTAGAAGTAGGAACACAGATCATCTCAAATATCTCAATGATGAATAGTAATTTTGATTTTTAAACAAAAACTAAAATTCCTCCTATAAATGAAATAACAGAGGGGGGACATCTATATATATCTGCATTCAATCTAAATATGAACAATTGTAATTTTACTAATTCCACTTCTAGATTGGGTGGAGCATTATTTTTAAGAACTTTGAAGGAAGGAATAGTTATTTTAAAAAATATTAGAATTCGATATGCTTATACTCCTTTAAATGGAGCAGTATCATCAAGGGGAGGATGTTTATATATAGATTCAATGGCATCTTAATTAGATATGGAGATTTTGGGTTCATAATTTTATGATTGTTTTACTAGAGGAGAAGGAGGTGGAATCTTTTTAATGAGTTATGATAAATAGTAATAATTAAAGATTTAAAATTCTGAACTTAAAAATTGTTATGCTTTAAGTGGGTTGGCCGTTAAAACTCTATTTTATTCTAGAACCTAAAAATTATAAAAAATGATACTTCAAGACGTAAAGGTATCAGGGAATTAATCAAATTCTTTAGAATACTTAGTATAATTAGGGACTTAGTAATAAATTGAAAAATTTTTATTCATTAAGAGATTCGCTGCTGTTGAATAAGATTATGGTTAAATTGAAATCTTTAATTGTTAATCAGAAGGTCTATTTTATTATGGATTTCTTTCTATATGGCAAGCAAATTATATAAATTTAAATAATATATAATCTTAGCATAGTATATTATCTTTTAGACCTTACATTGAAATATTAGAACCATAACTAAATCCATTAAAAGTTGATTCACTTTAATTTAGAAATATATCATCAATTTCAATAAATAATTTAAATTGTACTTTAGTTTCTATTAATGGATTGTGTAGAATACTTTAAGTAAGATTAGAATTCCCAGATTTTAAAATCAATCCTGCTTTGTTGTTGTTTGATTTAATTCAAGAGATTACACCTTTAAAATTATTAAATATTGCGATCAATAAAGTAATCTGTATGGAATGCCATGGTGGATTAGTTTAAATTATGAGAGTTTCAAATATAAGGTTAATCCCTTTGGTTGAAATAATTAATTGTCGGTGTTCTAGCTCAGAATCATCCTATTATGGATGTTTTAGTGTTTCAAGTGACTAGTACTTTAGAGAATAGGTTGAAATTGACAATTTGATTGGCACAACCTTAGATTCTAATTTAACAGACAAAAAAATTATTTAATATACTAATTTTAGTCAAACTTATAGGAGAATTCTACAATCTGAAACAATTAATCAGACATAAAATTATTATAATTTTACTTATATTATACCAAATCCGCCATATTTATCAAATGTAATTGTATAATAATTAAATATATTTGATGTCAAAGCTGTTCATGGTGGAGGTATTTCATTTTATGGATTAACTGTTAATGCAACTAAGACTTATTGTTCAACTATGTTTGTTACTGGAAGAGGAGGATGCATCTATTTTGAATCATATCCTAAAGATGAAGGTAAAATTTAACATCGTATAAATATTGCTGATAGTTCTTTTTATAGAAATAATGCTAGTATTGGAGGAGCAATTGCTGTAGTAGAAAGTGGAATCAATAATTTTGAACTTACTAGTAACACTTTTATATAAACATTTGCTAAATTATTTGGTAATGAAGTATCTTAATATCCTACTTAAATTGGAATAAAAATAAATAAACAGCTATAAAAATAAAGCAATCTTGATCCTCGAACAGGATGGTTAAATTAACCTATTAATATAAGGAGTGGTTAAAAAATATCTTAATTTGAAAATTAAACTGTTGTAGTTGTGTTTCTTGATAAAAATAATCGAGTCATGGATTATTAGTACGATTAAAAATGTAGTTTATCAGCTAATTATGATACAACCTAAGGTAATATATCTTAACCTTTCTCTTCTGAGGATAGTAATAGAGATTTCATTCTTGATAAAACTTAAGGATTTAATTATTCGAATCAAATTATTAATTATGATCCTTATAGTAATCACACTTTAGATATAGTTTTTAATAGTAGTCATATTAATATCCCTATCTATCATAATTAATACCCTTATTAAATTATTGGTTTTGAAACTAGATATAAGTTAGAAGTTAGAATCAGATCAGTAGAATGTTAAATAGGAGAAAAATATTCTATTTAAGATGGAACATGCACTCCTTGTGAAATTGGTTCATATTCATTGATTTATAAAGATGAAATTTGTAAAAGAATTGATTATAAAAAAATGAATGAAACTTATATGAATAAAATTAAGGTTTAATAATATTTTTGGAGATCAAATTATGAAAGTGATGTAATTGAAGAGTGTAAAAATAAAAAAGATAATTGCATATAAGGATTTAAAGTTGGAAATGATCTTTGTTAATTTGGTTTAATTGGTGCCCTTTGTGAAGAATGTGATATTTATGCTATTCATTGGGGAGAATCTTTTTATAATTCTGCTAAATTTGAATGCTAACGTTGCTAAGAAAGAACAAACAATAAATTTATCATATTCATTATCTGTCTCATTATAATCTTAGGCTCTTTATGGTCAGTATATAGTTACGAAAAAAGCATTACAATAGATATTTATAAAAAGTTTTTTGCAGCAATAAAATTGTAGGTTCCAATACCCCCCTCTGATGAAACAACTATATTAAAAAAAATAATTCTGAATTACATATAATTGATTTCACTAGCATAAGGATTTATGGTGATACTGCCTCAAGAAATTATAGATGTAATTTCTATAATTAGTATGCCAACTCAATCTTTGGGAAATACTTTAGATTGTTTATTAGCCGATGAAGCAAATACTATAGATATTATTTATCTCAGATTAATTTGGTCTATGACTTTAATATTGATTTGTATAATTGTAACAATTCTTTTGCTTTACGCATTGAGGTGTCCTAAAATTCTAATGGGTTATAATATTTCGACTATGTTTATTTATATGCTTATATTGTTATAACCTACATTCTTGATAGAATTTGCAAACCTTATAATTAAGAGAGATATTTCAGATGATACTTACATTTAAGCCAATGTATCCTATAAATATTATACAAACAATCACTCAATTTGGTTGAAATGGTTTGCTTATCCAGGGTTTATCATAATCCTTTTTTTACCCCTCTTCTTTTTATTTCTATTAATAGTAGCTGATTATTATGATAGACCTCGTAAAAATAAATTTTAAAGATTATGGGGATATCTCTATCGTGAATACATCAAACTTAATAATAAAATAATAATTTATTGGGAGTTTATTAGAATTTATATAAGAGCTATTATATGTTTTCTTTATTGCATCTTTGCTCAAGATATCACATATATGGTAAAATATTATCTATCGCATCTAGGTTGCTATTTCTTCAATTTTCCTTTTCTTTTATCTAGCTTTATCCAAAACAGTAAAGCCTTATCATAATAGAAAGCTTAATTAAATTAATTACTCATCATCTGCTATCCTTTTAATTATTTATTTTAGCTCAACAGTTGTTTATTTAAGCTCTTAAAATGAAAATATTGAATAATAAAAGATTGGATTAAGTATATTAATTATTTTGACGATTATTTTTTTCTTACTTATCATCAGATATGTTCTTTTAAAATATTCTATAATTTTTGCTTAGACTAAAGCTAAAATTATATAATCTTTTCCTGGGCTAATTAGTTGTACATGTGGTTGTTGTGACTGTTAATTTAATTGTGTAAAAGAAATATTGAATAAAGAAAAAGAAATTAGAGAAAGAACTTAAGAACTATGGTAAATAATGATAAAAGCCACAAGAGAGGGCATTTAGGAATGGAATATGAATAGAAGTCTCAAATTCAAAATAAAAAATTGGGATCAAGCCTCTCTAATTCCATAGGATGAAGGTATAAATCTTAACTAATGAAAAATGATGATTTATTTTAAATGTATAAACAATTTATTTTAATTGAATCCAAAAATATTTAATAGAATAATCTGCTTTAATATTGTTTTGTAAATGATTTATTATTAATTTACATAAGTATTAATTCTTTATTTACCTTGATAATTCTTTTATAATATGATTAATATTTATTACAGAAATGAGTGATGATGAAATAGAAATTATTCGATCTGAGGAAGAATTTCAAAGGCAAAATAAATTAATAGGAAGTTTGTAAATAGAAAACAAAGTATTTATAATTCTATTATCAACTTAATTAGAGACTTAATTTAATTGAGAAGTAACTATAAAAAGAAATAGAACAATTGAATCTAAAACTTAAGAATATTGAATCTGAGAAGTTAATAAAATAGGTGGAGCTAAGAAATTGGAGTAATTCTTTATTTTAGTTTTAGAAGCTCAATTAGAAACTAATTTTAAACGTTCAGAAATGTAAAATATTCAATATGAGATTACATTAAAGGATATATAAAAGAAAGCTGATAAGCAGAGAGCTTATATTCTTTAACTTGAACAATAATTATAGGAATAAAAAAATACAAAAGAAAAAGAAAAGTTAATTTAAGAGCTTAAATTATAAACTCAATTATTGTTTCAATAGATTTAAGAAAAGGAAGAAAATCATAAGGAAAATGTAGAATAGATGAAAATTTAATTAGAAGAAGCAAAAAAATAAATAGGATAAGAACAATCCATTTCAATATAAATAAAAGAATAGCTTAAACAAATAGAAGATGAAAATAAATAATAAAATGAAAAAGTTTTGGTAAAATTATAAATATATCAAGAATCTAATTAATGAAAATGGAATATATAGAAGAGAAAAAGAAAATCTTTAATAATAATTGGAATAAATGTAATTAGAAATATAAAATTTATCTATTTAAATAGGTTTAACTGAATCAGAATATTAAGAAACACAAAATAAAACTAAAAAATTAATAGAGGAACTACATCAACAATAATAAAATAAATTGATTTTGTAATAATAAAAAATAGAAGAAATTAATAACGAAATAAATTTGAAAAAACAAGAATTAGATGATTTAAAAATAGCAAATTAAAGATTATAAGATAAATTAAAAGAATCTCAAGATTAAAGATTAAAAATAATTTAGATTGAAGAAGAGAATCATAAATTACAACAAAAATCATAGCATAATGAATAAATTTATGTCAATTTAAAAAATTATACAACTTAACTAGAATAAAAGGAAATAAAATAATAATAAGAGATTTAGAATCTAAAAAAAAAGATTCTAGAACTCGACAAAAAATAAATGGTATATTCTAAGGAAAAGCAGACTTTCATTTAAACTTTAGGGGACTTTTAGACTTAAATGGATGAGTCTTAAATATATAAAAAAAAATAAGATAGTTTAATTTTAAGATTGTAAAAGGAATTATCTGAAAAAGAATACGAGAAAGAGATTTTGCTTAATGTCAATTAATCACTTTAAGACTAAGTGAATGAAATCAAGAATAGTAATGTTCAATTAAATAATATCATATAAAATTGCGGTTAAATGAATAATCAAATTTAAGATCAAAATACAAAATTAAATTAATAAGTGAATTACAAAAAGGAAGCGGCATTATTTAAAAAATAGCTAGATGAAATTTAAAGTTGGAGTAAAACTTAGATTAGTGAATTATAATCAGCTCTAGATGAAATCTATAATTGTAAAAAATTTATTTGATATTTAAAGAAAACCTAGAAAAAACCTTATAGATCTTTAATATTTTAATTAGTACTAAAATGGCAAATATTATGGAAAACAATAAATTAAAGGATTATTTTGATAAATTTTTAATTAATCTGGAGCAGGAATTATAAAGAAAATAAATAATATTGATACATCATTTTGAACAGAATTGATTTATGTGTATTCCAATTTCAAATTTCTTTAAATAATCTACTACATTCTATTCATAGTCTTGTATTTGCTCCCAAGAATATTACCATTACATATTGTATTTTATAAAATGCTGGAATTCTTGCACCAAAAATTCTTAGCTTTTCAAAAATCAATTTAATATTAAAAAACATATTAACCTTAGGTAATTTTAAAAAGTTAATGAGAACTAGAATAATATAATAATTCTATTAATTGATTATTTATTTTTTTGAAATTTAAATTTGAATGCTTATCCCAAAATATAAAAATATATTACTCTTTCATAATTCTAATTGTTCTAATATTTAGATCTTCATAATTCAATAAGCTAAACTAGAATATTCAAATTTTTTATTCTATATTAAGCAAAAACATATAATAAATTAATTTTTTGTTATAAATATAATTTTTCATTTGATATAATTAAATTATAGGAATGCTTATGAATGAATCATTAATGTTGAGTAATCATATGATTCCCTTAAAACCTAAGAATAACACTTCTATCAATATCATCATTTAATTCATCACATACTTCATGATTATGCACATAGTATATAATAAAGGGCTTCGAACTAATTCATTGTCTAAGTAAATGAAGATGATTAGGCCATCATATCAACAATGAATGAGAAAATATAAAATCCAGAAACATAGCTAAGATTAAAGTATCTTTTATTATTGATTAAAGGGCATTTTAGCATAAAAAAGGGATTAAAAAGCTGCATTTAAAGATTCAGCAACAACTAATTTTTAACTTAGTATACCATCCTTAACTTATAAAATCATTAATTACAAGTTATGATATTATTTAAAAAGGCCAATAGTTGCACATTTAAAAACTTCAAAATAAAAGTTCCATCTTTTATTTTTTTGATTTTATAACATAATTATGAATCAATAACATTAAATAATTACGTGAAAATGTAATCATTTCAAACTTTTTATTAATTGTTTCTAAANAACCTTATAGATCTTTAATATTTTAATTAGTACTAAAATGGCAAATATTATGGAAAACAATAAATTAAAGGATTATTTTGATAAATTTTTAATTAATCTGGAGCAGGAATTATAAAGAAAATAAATAATATTGATACATCATTTTGAACAGAATTGATTTATGTGTATTCCAATTTCAAATTTCTTTAAATAATCTACTACATTCTATTCATAGTCTTGTATTTGCTCCCAAGAATATTACCATTACATATTGTATTTTATAAAATGCTGGAATTCTTGCACCAAAAATTCTTAGCTTTTCAAAAATCAATTTAATATTAAAAAACATATTAACCTTAGGTAATTTTAAAAAGTTAATGAGAACTAGAATAATATAATAATTCTATTAATTGATTATTTATTTTTTTGAAATTTAAATTTGAATGCTTATCCCAAAATATAAAAATATATTACTCTTTCATAATTCTAATTGTTCTAATATTTAGATCTTCATAATTCAATAAGCTAAACTAGAATATTCAAATTTTTTATTCTATATTAAGCAAAAACATATAATAAATTAATTTTTTGTTATAAATATAATTTTTCATTTGATATAATTAAATTATAGGAATGCTTATGAATGAATCATTAATGTTGAGTAATCATATGATTCCCTTAAAACCTAAGAATAACACTTCTATCAATATCATCATTTAATTCATCACATACTTCATGATTATGCACATAGTATATAATAAAGGGCTTCGAACTAATTCATTGTCTAAGTAAATGAAGATGATTAGGCCATCATATCAACAATGAATGAGAAAATATAAAATCCAGAAACATAGCTAAGATTAAAGTATCTTTTATTATTGATTAAAGGGCATTTTAGCATAAAAAAGGGATTAAAAAGCTGCATTTAAAGATTCAGCAACAACTAATTTTTAACTTAGTATACCATCCTTAACTTATAAAATCATTAATTACAAGTTATGATATTATTTAAAAAGGCCAATAGTTGCACATTTAAAAACTTCAAAATAAAAGTTCCATCTTTTATTTTTTTGATTTTATAACATAATTATGAATCAATAACATTAAATAATTACGTGAAAATGTAATCATTTCAAACTTTTTATTAATTGTTTCTAAATACATCAAATTTATTATTATTTAATAAAAACTTTTGCAATTTTCTACTTTCTTTAATTCACTATTTGAATTAAGAAAAAAAAATAATCAATTAGATTTGAAATTCATAAAAAAATAAAAAAAATATTTACTATTTCAGTTTTCAAATTAAATTACTTTATTCCATATTTTTAAGAATAAAAACCAGCAAAGCTAATTTGACTTCTCAATAACCAATAATTCCTCAATTACAATAAATTCTAATTTTTAAAAAAGCCTCATCTACTTCTTTTTAAAAGTAAATAAGATATCTTGTTGATTTTAGTACAAGACTTAAACTAAGTAATAGAAATTCAATAATAAAAAAAATGAAGTGCACTTTTGAACATAATAAAGGCTTGAAGGATGTTTTAGCTATCCTCAATCATATTGATGTGCAAATACTGAGTTTAATAATTGAAATTTTATTAAAAGAAAAATTTTCAGATTCAATAGGATTTCTTTAAAAATATTAAAATCAAAAGGTTTATGAATAAAGCATTTTCAAAGTTGAAAATATATAAAGTTTTGATAAGTGGTGGAAGTTAGACACTGTGTAAGAGAACATTAAGAAATTTACTAATGTTCTCATATCAATGAAAAATCATGACTTTAATTAGAATGACTATTCAACTAAAAACTACTTATAAACTAAACAACTACTAATTTAGGAAATTATAGAGAATAAGAAGATTATTTAATTTTTGAAATTTTTAGTACACCTTACAGCTATTGATGACTTATTCATATAATCTGGATCTAATTCACTTCATTTATTAGTAGAAATGAAGATCAATCTAAAGAATTAATTTTTTGAAGGCATTAAGATAAGAAACACTTCGTTGATTGGAGCCAATTTTTTCAGATGCAATTTGAATAGATCTGGATTTGAAAATGTAGACATTAATGGAATTAATTTGAATGAGGCATAGTTATTTAATTGTAAATGGAAGAAAATAAGATTAAATCAATTAATTAAATTGGATGGTCATAGTGGATATGTCTACTCAGTCTGTTTCTCTCCTGATGGTACTACTTTAGCATCTGGTAGTGAAGATAAATCTATCCGTTTATGGGATGTTAAAACAGGACAATAAAAAGCAATTTTGAAAGGTAATAAAAATGCTGTTATATCATTATGTTTCTCTCCTGATGGTACGACATTAGTATCAGGTAGTGCAGATAACTCTCACCATTTATGGGATGTTAAAACAAAAAAAAAAAAATTGAAATTGTAAGGTCCTTATAAAACTATCTATTCAGTATGCTTTTCCCCTGATGGTACTAAATTAGTATCTTGTGGTGATGTAAAAGATTCAATCTTCTCTATTCTAGACTTAGATATAGATGAAATAGATGATAAAGATTTTTTTATCTTTTTATGGGATGTTAGTACAGGAAAATTTAAATTTCTTAAGAATTTTGCTCATAATTTGGCTCTATCAGTATGCTTCTCTCCTGATAGCACAACACTAGCATCTGGTAGTGCAGATAACTCTATCTGTTTGTGGTATCTAAAGACAGAAAAATTAAAAATTAAATTAAAGGATCATAGTGACAAAATCTTATCATTATGCTTTTCTCCTGATGGTACTACATTAGCATCTGGTAGTGCAGATAAGTCTATTTGTTTGTGGGATCTAAAGACAGGACAATTAAAAAGAAAATTAAAGGATCATAGTGACAAAGTTTTATCAGTATGCTTTTCTCCTGATAGCACAACACTAGCATCTGGTAGTGCAGATAAGTCTATCTGTTTGTGGGATCTAAAGACAGGACAATTAAAAAGAAAATTAAAGGATCATAATGACAAAGTCTTATCAGTATGCTTTTCTCCTGATGGTACTACATTAGCATCTGGTAGTTCAGATAAGTCTATTTGTTTTTGGGAAACTAATTTAGAGCAATATAAAACTTAAGGTCATAGTAATACGGTCTGCTCAGTATGTTTCTCTCCTGATGGTAATACACTAGCTTCTTGCAGTGATGATAAGTCTATCCGTTTATGGGAAGCTTAAACAGGCAGATAAAAATCCAAACTAGATGGTCATAATGATACTGTCTGCTCAGTATGTTTCTCTTTTGATGGCATGACCTTAGCATCTGGTGGTGCAGATAAGTCTATTCGTTTATGGGATGTTAAAACAGGACAATAAAAAGCAAAATTGAATGGTCATACAAATTTAATCTATTCAGTATGCATCACTCCTGATGGTAACACATTAGCATCTAGTAGTGCGGATAAATCTATTCGTTTATGGGAAATTAAGACAGGACAATAAAAATTAATATTAGATAACCATTAAATTTTTTTCTAATCACTTTATTTTTCTCCTGATGGTACTACATTAGCATCTGGTGGTGCAGATAAGTCTATTCGTTTATGGGATGTTAAAACAGGACAATAAAAAGCAAAATTGGATGGTCATACAAATTTAATCTATTCAGTATGCATCNATAGATGATAAAGATTTTTTTATCTTTTTATGGGATGTTAGTACAGGAAAATTTAAATTTCTTAAGAATTTTGCTCATAATTTGGCTCTATCAGTATGCTTCTCTCCTGATAGCACAACACTAGCATCTGGTAGTGCAGATAACTCTATCTGTTTGTGGTATCTAAAGACAGAAAAATTAAAAATTAAATTAAAGGATCATAGTGACAAAATCTTATCATTATGCTTTTCTCCTGATGGTACTACATTAGCATCTGGTAGTGCAGATAAGTCTATTTGTTTGTGGGATCTAAAGACAGGACAATTAAAAAGAAAATTAAAGGATCATAGTGACAAAGTTTTATCAGTATGCTTTTCTCCTGATAGCACAACACTAGCATCTGGTAGTGCAGATAAGTCTATCTGTTTGTGGGATCTAAAGACAGGACAATTAAAAAGAAAATTAAAGGATCATAATGACAAAGTCTTATCAGTATGCTTTTCTCCTGATGGTACTACATTAGCATCTGGTAGTTCAGATAAGTCTATTTGTTTTTGGGAAACTAATTTAGAGCAATATAAAACTTAAGGTCATAGTAATACGGTCTGCTCAGTATGTTTCTCTCCTGATGGTAATACACTAGCTTCTTGCAGTGATGATAAGTCTATCCGTTTATGGGAAGCTTAAACAGGCAGATAAAAATCCAAACTAGATGGTCATAATGATACTGTCTGCTCAGTATGTTTCTCTTTTGATGGCATGACCTTAGCATCTGGTGGTGCAGATAAGTCTATTCGTTTATGGGATGTTAAAACAGGACAATAAAAAGCAAAATTGAATGGTCATACAAATTTAATCTATTCAGTATGCATCACTCCTGATGGTAACACATTAGCATCTAGTAGTGCGGATAAATCTATTCGTTTATGGGAAATTAAGACAGGACAATAAAAATTAATATTAGATAACCATTAAATTTTTTTCTAATCACTTTATTTTTCTCCTGATGGTACTACATTAGCATCTGGTGGTGCAGATAAGTCTATTCGTTTATGGGATGTTAAAACAGGACAATAAAAAGCAAAATTGGATGGTCATACGAATTTAATCTATTCAGTATGCATCTCTCCTGATTGTACTACATTAGCATCTGGTAGTGCAGATAAGTCAATCTGTTTATGGGATGTTAAAGCAGGGTAATAAAAAGCGAAATTGATTGGTCATAAAGATGATGTTTTATCTGTATGCTTTTCTCCTGATGGTACTACATTAGCATCTGGTAGTGCAGATAAGTCTATCCGTTTATGGGATGTTAAAACAGGACAATTAAAAGCGAAATTGAAGGGTCATTTTAATTATGTCGAATCAGTATGTTTTTCTCCTGATGGTATGACATTAGCATCTGGAAGTGCAGATAACTCTATCCGTTTATGGGAAATTAAGACAGCAAAAGAGATTGAAATATCTGAAAATCATTATTAAAACATTCTGTTATAATTTAAAACACCTTTGGTATAAAATAATCCACTTGCACATAGTGGTATTTATGTTAATCTTATTTAGTCACTACTTATCCTACCATTCTGCTTATATCCGAATAGCTATCATTTTAAGCAAAAGAAGCTCTAGTGTTCAATGGAGAATTTGTCAATTATAAAGGCTATGATTTCCTATCAATATTAAAATAAAAAGAATGCTGTATTTTGTAAGACTAATTATAATTAAAATACAAGTGTAATTGATTATCATCCATTATAATTTAATAATAAAAAAATTTATAGTATTTATTAATGGTATATTTCATAATACAACTTTTTATTTTTATAAATTGTTTATTATCATTTAAGCTAATTCAAATGGTTAGTTCTTAATTTAGTTTTTTTTCTAAATTTTCATTCAAATTACTTTTGATTAAATTCTACCTTTGATTTTCTATTATTTGGTACCAAACTATCTGATCTAACTAGTAGATTTATTTACTGTTGAAAAAAATTGTAATGTTTCAATGTAAAGCGATTAAAATAGAAATTATATTTATTAAAAAATTAGACTATTAAAGATATGAATTTAAATTTATTAATTGTGAATAGTTAAATCAGTGGGAGTACTACAAAGTTAAAAAAGTAAAGGAGATAATTAAATGGAATATTAATATCAAAAGTAAATGAATGCTTATTAATCAAAGGAAAATAAAAACAAAACAAAAAGTAAATTGTTTAGTTATTCAACCATTTTTTAGCAAGCAAAAATGTTAAATTAATGGTTTTATCATGTAAGTTGTTCAATTTTACTTTTCTAAATTACCTTTGAATTAGTCCGTTTAATGATGGATTAACCACTTTATTTAAGTATTTATGTTAATTTGAATTTTCATCATAGAAATTATTAGAAGATTATCTTTGATATTAGCCTCAGAGCTGCTTTCAAAAAAAAGGACAAATAAAACTTTCTTCTCATAAAGAAAATAATTTTGTCTAAAATTTCAAAAAATTTTCAAAATTTTTCTAATCTAATCAAGGAGATAATTTGACAATTTGATCTCCCTAAATTAGGCTAAATTTACAATGTCAGACTAGGGGTAAAATTCATCGAAATTATTTGAGTATGGTATAGTCTTATTCATTATTTACTTATTTTTTATTTTTCAAAATAGATTATGAAGAAATTACATAAAGAATCATGAATAAAAACTTTTTAGTAGGTATCAATAGTTTAGCTATAGGAATTAAAAGTTGAATATTTGCCATGAGTTTGGTTCATTAGCTTATAAATGGCATTTTATATCATAATTAAATGAGTAGCTCATTTTTGACTGAGAAAGTCTTCTACACGAAAAATATCAAAATATGATCCATATTTTTAAATAAATTATAAATATCTACAATAAATTTATTCCTTATTTAATAAAATAAATTGTTAAAGTTATATTTCTAATTTCAATAATGAAGAAGATTTTTTACAATTATTTTATCTTGAGTTTTTTTGATTATATCTATTGAAATTAAAAACAATACTTTAGTTGTATAACAAATAGATTATCGCATCAGATAATATTGATTTTCTTATCAAGAACACTTTCATCCTAAACACTTTTTATTATAAATTTACTTATTTGAGAAAGGAACTATAGAAGCAATTTATTTTATCAGATTAGAAGTTCATGGAATTAAAATTATGAGTTAGGTATATGTAATTTTTTAATTAATTCTTAAAGATTTAATACTCAAAAACAATACTAAATTTCAATATATTTTTTTTAAATAGTTTATAATGTTATTTAAACGAAAAGAGAAAAAAATTAATTTAAGCATTATTGTTATAATTATATTATTTGAATATAATCATTTCTTTTAGGTAGCAGCAAATTGATCATAATATTTGCGAAGATCTTTTTTTGAAAAGATAAAATCTTTCATGGCAATTTTAATGAATTTGTCTGGATCAAAATTATTGAAAAATTTCTGATCTTTCAAAATTGCAATAGCTTGTTCCATTGATTTTGCCTATAAAAATTATTATTTATGTAATTTACTGTCAAAATCTCTTCTTTTCTAATTTTAAGTATGGCTAATGATGCTCTAAAGGTTGTTTTATGGTGTTCATACCAAAATATATCAGTAACTCTTAGGAAGATTTACATAGGGAGAATCGAACTAAAGAGAGTAATAAACCTACAATTTTATTAAAGTATTTACCATTCTGCTGCATAATAAAAGGGAACAATATTAAATTTGGTAAACTTTGCATGTACATCAGGTAAGAATTACTTGATTAAAATATCTAATGCATAAAAATATTTTAATGTATTAGTTGGATTTATATAAGTATCAAGGCAACCATATTTTGTAAGCAAACTATACAAATGCCAATAGACTAATTCGTCATTCATCAATAATAAAAATGAACCAGCCAAATAATTTAATCCTTGACAATATCCCATGTCTTAAAAGGTCAGGCTGATTGCTCTTAGCACTGTAAAGAGAGATTAACTTGTAATAGTATCCATTTTGATAAGATCATTTGTTTGGAATGTACGCATAACATCCAAAGTGATTTGACTATCATGAGGTGAGATTTCTTGAGATTCAATTAGCTCCTTATAAGTTCTCTTCAAAATTATAATTCAATATTACCTTAGCTTGAATTTTCATTTGATCTATTTCAGCCAAACAAGGCCAGATGAGCATTCTAATACCTTCAGGTATTCCTTTTCTTAAGCGAGATTTGAGCTTTGAATCATTATTGGCCATTAATTGAGGAATCTTAGGTATCATTTTTCTCCACTTTTCAATCCTTGCATTAATCTTAAGCATTTCTTCTTTGCTTAATGGTTGAGTGTTTTACTTTGGAAACCCATAATGATCTCTATTCTCTGCAATCATTAATAATAATAAATAATCACTTTTTATTATAATAATAAAAAATTAAATAATTGAGAAAAAGAGTGTAAAAAATATAGAAGAAATACAAATATATATATATATTAATGTATCTTATCAAACGTCACAAATTTTCGGTGATGGGAAATAGTTTTGAGAAGTTTTTTATGGAATTTCAGGATACCATCTATTTAAACTAGCTGTCCACCTATTTAAATTAATGTATTCTATTACCATACACCATTTTAAGAAAATAAGGATTCAGGAATTTCAGATTCATTTGCATCAATGCATCCTACTAACCATGCTAACCATTCAGTTTTAAGAGCCTCTGTGGTTCCCACGATTTCAGATTATTTATCATTAGGTACTACAAATGTAACAGCTGGATCATCTTTATCAGCCACATAATATTTGATATGTGCATTTGATGATATCAATTTTTATTAATAATTTTCTTTATCTCCAAAATTTTGTACAAAAATCAAGTATTTGCTAAGTACAAGTGCATTAATTTCAATGGCCTCAAAACTATATTCTTCATCAGAAGATCTACCAAACTAGGCTCCAGTGCATTCATTATCTAAATATCCAACCAAACAATTTGAAGTGGATGTAGGATTAAAGGACAATTAGAGATCCAAATTTATATTAGGATTATACCATTCTAATACTATTCTAACTTATCCAGATTTTAACTTCTTAGACAATGGTACAATAGTAACTTCATTATCTTGAAATTCATAACAATTTTAAGAATAATCTGGATGTGTAACAATTAAATTATATTATGAACCCTTAACTAGTCGAGTAAATGTAACTTTTCCATTAGAATCAGTCTTAGCAGTTCCATACATTTAAAATGATCCACAACTTCCTACTCTTAGATCGATTTTGGCTGTTTCTAAATGTTTCCAATCCATAACATCAACAACATAAACATCAGTTTAATAATAATTTATCTAAAAAATCTAAGAGAAATCTCCTAATTTGCATTCTCCATTCAAAACCTTATAACCTTGTTCGCATACAGCACATTTATTTTCTTTGGTACAAATTGCACAATTTTAGATTTTAGTAGTGCATAATTTATATACTTATTTACATTAGCCATTATCAAAAGCTGAAAAAGCATCACAATAATTTGAATCGCATTTCTCCTTTTCTTTTGAACATTTCAAACATTGATTTTGAGAATAAGGTTTAGAACATCCATTTTCTGGAAGACAGGATTTATCAGCTTATAACTGATATTCTGCTTAACAACTAATGCATTTATTATTTTTATCGCAGAATTTACAAAATGGAACATTAGTGCATCCAGTAGGTTAACATTTTTTTCTGGCATCCAAATATTCTCCACTTTTACATCCTCCCTCATTTTTTTCTTATGCTTTAGGTTAATCTTTAGCTGGTTCTTTAGGTTAATCTTTAGCTGGTTCCTTAGGTTATTCTTTTGTAGGTTCTTTAGGTTATTCTTTAGCTGGTTCTTTAGGTTATTCTTTTGCAGGTTCTTTGGAAGTTGAACCACTCGTTGTAGTTGTAGTAGTAGGTTTGGTAGGTTCTGTAGTTGTTGATGGTTTAGATGTAGAAGTGGTTGTTTCAGCTTAATGTTAATAAGTTTTAGGAGGTGGTGTTGTTTGAACCTTAGGTATTGTCACATTTGATCTCATTAAAATAGTTCCAAAATTAATTTCTTCTTAAAATTAAACTACTTAAGATTAAACATAATCATCATAACCAATGGCTGCCACAGTTATTAATCCAGTTGTTGGTTAAAATATTTGAGTGCTATAATCAGCTACATCGAAAGTCGATATCTATAATTTATATTCTCCCTTTGGAGTGGCTACATCACAAATTGGTTTTTCTAATCCCTCTTGACTCCAACAAATTTTAGCCTCTTATATTGGATATTAAGTATATATTATATCATCTTCCTTTTTTATTTCTCCTACTACAAATCCACTCACTTTTGATTTCATTTCCTTAAATAATTAAACCTCTATAGATTCATTTACTCCTAATTTCCCAGCAAATCTACAACCTCTTTCATCATCTTTATCAAAACCTGGTTTACAGGTTACACACTTTTATTCTTTGCATTCTTAACAATTAGGAATTTCACATTTAGGTTAAGATGGTTATGATTTTGAATCACTTCCACCCTTATCTGAAGCAGCAGTGCTTCCCTTATTTGGTTCTGCTGGCTTAGGTACAGTGTCTGCAAAATGAGAAAACATTGAATAATGATAAACTTTGCTATTCTTTTCTTCTATTGGAATATCAACAACATTTTGATATAAATTAATGGTAAGATCTTTTGAACCAACTTAATAACAAACTTAAACATCATCCAAATATTATTAGACATACTCCAGCTTGCCAATTATAGCAAAGAAATCTTATTCATTACCATCATAATTAGGCCATAAGAATTTAGCAGCAGCCAAAGTTTGATATGTAGTTGCTTCCTTCCTTTTGAATTATTAAACTCCTTTCACCCACAATCCAAATAAGATATCTAAATTAATTATATGGGGATTATACTTGTCTCTTTTTTGCCAGTTTCTACTTTATTCAAAGGACAATTAGTTGTCGATTTACATTCACTACTCAATTCAATTCTGCTACCCACCAATTAAGTTATTGATTAGCACATCCTTGATTAAATCTTTGCAAATTCCTTTGCCTTTACAGCTTTAGCAGGTTGATCAAAATTAACTTCTTTTTTTAATGGAATTGGTGTATAATTATTTATTAACATGAGTACTCCAAAAACTATTGTACCAATAAATAATAATAGGAATAATGTTTCTATATTTCTACCTAATGTTTTATCTGATCTTGTTCTTCTTGATAGATGGAATTCAAATAAAATTAAAGCAAATAAAAATAATGGGGTTGCCAAAGATAGCATAATTAAAATTAATAAATCTTTTGTGTAAATATTACTAACTGTTTTACAACAATTAAGATTTAAACATCCTAATGGATGATCTGCTGGATCTGTTGTATCTACTTCCCATCTTTAGACTTGAGCATCTCGATCACATGTAGTAGAATATACCGAACATTCTTTTTATCCATCTGGACAATTTGATGTTTGAATGTCTTTTATATATTTTGAAGCACAAGAGTGTTAGGATAAATAAGATTCTGATAAATTATTCATTTATTATTAACAATTTGCAATATTACTTTCTTATTAATCTTAATAGTTTCTAATGTATTCAGCTTGGAATCCTAGAAGAACTGGAATTAAGAGGATTTGAAGAGCTGCTAATATCATAAGCAAACCTTTGATTTTCCAAGTGTTTGAAATTACAGCTAATAAAACTAATGCTAATATAATAAAGTTCAAAATGGCACTAATAGAATAGATGCCCATTCCTTTCAATAAATATATAGATCCCCAAGAAGTCAAGGATACAGCTATACAGAGGAGGTATATATTGAATCTACTTGTTATTGAGGATATTGTCATCTAATAAAAATTATGTATGGTGTATGTTAATCCAACAACAATTAAGATTGAAAATATCAATATTATTGGTTTCATAACAGATACAACTTTATCAAATTTCTGATAATCATTTCCAATTTTTTCTGATTAGTACAACCCTTAGACATAATCACTAGACAGTATTATCAAAATGAAGAATACAAACTCTGCTATTGCCATTAAAATAGTCAAAAAGAATAACAACCTTCATAATTAATTGTATTACCTCCCGTTAAAGTTATCTGTCAATTCTCCCCATTCATCTTCAGTTGATTTTAGATATGTTTGTTATTAGTTATTCCAAACGAGAGTTCCGATGCAAATCAAAACTATTAGTACATTAATGATAGCATAGCTTAAAGTGATATAATTTAACACGAATCCATTAATAACAAATAACATTATTGCATCTCCCAAGGCCAACAATAATACAATTATAGAAACATATTATTGTATTGTGGTTAATGTCAATTTTTCACTGCGATTGAATTCACTTTAAGAAATGAATTACCTACTTTCAAATTCCATTTTTTTATTTTTTTTATTTTTATTAATAACTGTATAGTATTTAAATCAAATTTTAGGTAACTTCAATTATGAATTAGACATCTGAGGACGACTAGAACTGCTTCGTATCTCTGATGTTTTATTAAAATTTTCAGAAGACATATTCATTCTCTGTTATGGAACACGATTTCTATTTTGAGGTTAAGTAAATCCTAAAGATTGATAGAACTCTTTAGATTTCATAGATTATTTTAATTAACTAATCTCAGAAAGAATTGATTGTTTTTTTTATGGTTTAGGTAATGATCTAATTAATAGTTTCTATTTTAAATTAGTATCCTTATTACTATGATTTATTCCAACAATGATTTAATCATCTTCAATAAATTATTATTTTATTTAAGAATCTTAGAGAGTTTATTCATCTTAAATACCTCTTTAAGTAGAACACTCTGATTATTAAGTTTTCAATAATCTTCTCAAATATTGAGCTCTTATATTATCCATCTATTCATTTTATTCTGTAACAAATTTAAAGAATTCATTTTCAGCCATAATGTTTTCATCCTTTTAATCTTCTTCATTTATTTTGTTCACAATTTCTTATTCATCATCCTAAAATCCTTATACTCTAAGAATAGCTTTTAGTCTCTCTTCAGTTACAATACCCTCTTCATTATCCAAATCAGACATATGATAATTATTTACATCGATATCTAATTCCTATAATTTTTCTTTTAAAGCTAACACTTCTTATTTTATATATTATCCAGGTTTTCCTACTTCTCTACCATTGATCAATTCTAACCAAGGACAATCTACTATGAATTTATCTTCATATTCCCTACTTTAAAATGGATTTCCTTAAAATTGGATATCAATCAAATTTGACATTAATTTTAAAAAATCAAAACAATTTTCTGCATATATCTAATTTGATTACACATATAGATTAGTCAAATATGGAAATTTAAATTCTAATACTCTTAAATCATCAATTTGATTATAACTTAAATCTAGAATGTTAAGATTTTCATTTTAGTTTTCAATCTTTAAAACACTAATCTAATTATTTGATAGATTCAATTCTTCCAATTCAGTTATAGTATCAATAAATTGAGTATCACTAATTTAATTATTACTTGCATCAAGAATCTTTAATTTTTTTGTATTACTAAATGAACCTTTTAATGTAGATATTTTATTTCTTCTAATATTCAATTCTTCCAACTAAAATACATCATAAAATTTTACTTAAACATTGAAAACTAAAAAATCTACCTTCTCTATTAAATTTCCTCCTAAATTCAAATATCTCAAATCTTTTAAATTATTTAGAAAATCAATCTAATATAATAAAATATTTACTACTTTACACAATTTATTATTTTCTAAATTCAAATGCTAAATTAATTTGGTTCCCAATATTAAACCTGTAATCTTATTAAATGATAGATCCAATTTTAATAATTTTTGTAATTGAATTTTGTGTACTCCTTCTAATTCATTATTGGAAACCCCTAAATTCTCTAGAATTGCAGAATCTATATTATCAATCTTATAATTATTATATCAATATACTCTTTTAAGTAAATTATGATGCAATTCCAAAGTCTGAACCAATTTCATATAGTCTTTAATGCATTAATTTATTTCAGTAATACCTATATTTGTATATACTTAATTACCTAAGATGTTTAATCTAAGAGTTTTCCCTCCATCATCCAATTTAGCCATTACTAGTTCTATTGTTATTGATTGCTATTCAGTCATATTAGTATTTAAATTAATATAATATATTTATATATCACTTAATAATATATTGAAATTATCTATTCATTTTCATATTTTTGTTTAATTCTAGTAAGTCTTTATATAAATTATATTTGATAATCAATAAAAACTTTAAGATATTTATCAATTTTCTAGAAGGCTTTATGAATTTCCTATTATTTTGATCTAAAGTAGATAATATTAAATAAGTTTATTAATTAGTTTCTTAGAATTTATTAAATATATGAAGCAGCGATAGAAATCTCATACTTATCTATACAAACAAATTTGTAAACATTTGAATGTACCTTGTTCATTTGGATTACTTAATGGGATTTAAGAGACAGAAATAGTTTTAATTTTAGAACAAATTGGGTTATAGGGTATGAAAATGAAAAATTAATAGATATTGAACCTCTTTAATTATTGTTAGCTTAATGTAAATTTAAATCAATCATACTGAAAAGTATGTAGAAGAACTTAAAACTAAACAAATCTATGGCTCATGATAATTATAAAAATGAATTGCTAGAGATTTTAAGAGCCATTACTAAGTTATTCACAAAAAGTTTAGATGTGATAACATTTGTAATTCGAGACATTAGAATGAGTAGTGAACATATGCAAATAATTTCTTAAGGCATAGCAGTAGTTTAGTCTTTAAAAGAGCTACGGATTATATAGTGTCTGATGACCTCAAATCATTTCAGCATACTATAACCATCTTTAATTTAGAATTCATCTCTTCATATTGTAGATTTTTCCCATAATTATCTAACACATCAAATTGGAGTAATGTTAGGATAATTACTATAAGAACATAGTAAGAGAAGGGATAGTGTAGATTATTTGTATAGAACTAAAGGTGAATGTCCAGAAGAAGACATATCTAAGATTGGAATAGGTGAATTAGATTTATCATACAATAAATTAAATGATTAATTTGTTAAAGATGTTGTACCTTATTTGGAAAGAGATAGATGGATAAAATCCATAAATTTGAAATATAATGCTATTTAAAAAGAGGGATTTGAACTCTTAATACAATTACTTGATAAAAATACTACAATTACTAGTTTAGATACTCGAAGAAATTTAGGAACTACTCAATAATTCTAGAAGGAGATTCTTAGAAAACTTATTAGAAATAAAAATACTAAGAATGATTTACATGAATAAAGAATAGAAGAGGAAAATGAGAATATTTTAGTTAATGTTTCTGCCATTCCATAAAATCTATTATCTGTAATATCTGATTAAGAAAGTCCAGTTATGTCATTTGGAGTTTTTGAACCCAATAATCAAACCAAATAAATGTCTATCTCAGGAAGACAAGATTAATTAAAATTTAAATCTGGTTATAAAAATAATGATTCTGGATGTATGGATTGTATTAGATTACAAATAAAAGTAAAAAAATAATAATAAATTATTTAATTACTTAAATAAGAAGTATAATATCTTAGATTTCAATTATAAACTAAACAATAATAACCTTAATAGTAATAATAATAATAACAATAATAATAATAATAGACTATGAATTTCTTAAATTTATCAGATAATAACAATTAACATCCACCACAACATGAAGTAGAATAGGAAGATATGTTAAATAGAATAGAATATATGATGAATGAATTAACTAGAATGATGGATGGTTTAGATGCTTAAGGAAGTGTAACAAATAATTTGAATGCTCATCTTTCAAGTACACTTATTGGATAAGATTATACAAGAGTAATTTGTGAAAGAGATGATAGAGCTAATGATTTTATGAATATATTGGGAGAAAATAGCCAAAACAATTCATCAGAATCTTCAGAAGATGAAGCAAAATCATAATGATAATAATTTTGGTATTTTGATAAATTTTATATATCATTATAAATTTGATGATTATTATTCTAAGGTTTTTGTTTTTAGAAGGTGTAATATCTTCATTTCAAATTCAATAATTCTTCTGTGAATAAATCTTTAAATTTAAATTTAAAAGTATTCACTATTATAACGAATAGTAATGAAAATGATATATAACTTTTTGTTAGATAGCATAAATATACACCACTCCATTATTTAACAATGCAAAAACTCTTCTGTTATGTAGTAAAACATTAAACGGTTCCTGATCATAATGTAATCATGAATCCAAAATATGTCAAAAATATACAAACAGTAATTAAAATCAAAGATAAAATATTATTGAGATGATATCAGGTATATAATTTAAAAATTATTTTACTTTTTTATTAATAAAATAAATGAGTACATTATAATCAAAGTCTTTTAAGCAATAATCTATTTATTTTAATTTTATTTTGCTGTCTCTAATGTTCATATCTATGTATATCTAACTGAACTCTAACGTTTTAAAATTTCTTTTAATCTTAATAATCTCTCATATCACTTTAAATTTATTGATTTTACCATTCATTAGATAATTTAATAGCCTTCATATTTTGATGTGGTAAATCATTTTTAGCTTTTCTTTACAAAATCTCACTAATTCTTGGTGTATATAAAGTACTCTTTTATTCTCTATCTGATTCTTAAGTATATTTTGAACAGAAATTTAATTTTGTTGCAAATAAATCCTTTGTGTCAAACATATCAAAATTTGATGATTCCTTTTATGTAAATTCCTTATGGTAAGTAATATTATTTTCTGCTTAATCTTCAAAGGAGTATGATTGTCTTCGAATAAAAGATTATTGCTTTTTGGATTTTTGATGTACTTTTTAGATTTTTTGATTTTCCTGGTAGGCCTTTAGACTGCTATGATTACTTCGAACATTCACAGATTTTGAAATAGGATTGAGTTGTTTAGGAATGAAATCTTTATTCCTTTTGTACAATATATATGATGAAGGAATCTCACACCTTTTAATAATCTCATCAACAACACTTCCTTAAATCTATGGTTCTAATTTAACTGATTAATGTATGATTCTTGATTGTCTCATCTATGTTCTATCAATAAAACCACAAGGTTTCTTATTAGAAGGTGATTCTTATTGAATCTATAGAAAAGGCAATATATATGTATTAATAAAATTTTGATCCATAATATTTATAAGGCAAAAATGATTATCAATTTTTAAGCTTTTAGGCCAATTTTGCTGATTTAGGTGTTGTAGTAGTTGTTGGTTATTTCGTGACTCGAGATGAAGAAGTACTTGAAATAGCAATCTAACTGCTTGAAACACTGACATTATTATCAAAATCATAACCATTAAATAAATCTAACAATGATATTTCCATATATATTACTTTATATAGAATTTCTTCTTAACATCATCTATTAATCCTCATTAATTGAATCATCCGAATCTCTTCTACTATCTGATGGAAGATAATTGTCTTCATTTCCCTAATAATTATCATTAAATAATTCTTACATTAGGTATAAAAGGAGCAATCATCTCTTTATTTATCAACTTCTCCCAACTGAAATCCTTAAACCAAGGATGTTCCTTTACTTCATCAGGTCCATTATTCCCCAATCTATTTTATGGTTTTCTTTAAAGTAACTAGTCATATATCATAATGAAATACTCTATTAGTAAAATCTGCAGCCTCTAAACTCCATCCAGGAGGTATTTCTTATCGTTTTATGGCTGCCTACTTAGCTAACATTTATTCCCTTATTTCTTAACGACTTCTTCCTAAATATGGTCTTCTTCCCAACATGCATTCATATACTATCACACCTAATGCAAAATAATCAACTGCTATTCCATGATTATGTCCTATTAGATATATAATTTATTATATCATACGACACATTACTTCTGGAGCCATGTATCCTGGAGTTCCACTTGTATCTTAAGAGTTTTCTGGTTTCCAAATTCTTGCTATTCCAAGATCTGTTAATCTCAAGTATCCTAACTGAAGAATGAACTATAAATACCATTACTATCAAACACTAAATTTTCTGGCTTTAAATCTCTATGTAATATTCCTTATTAATGTAAATATTCCAATGCCACTATTATACATGCACTGAAAAACTCTATTTTTATATAGAATCAATTTCTAATACTTGTTTGTTCTTCATTAAATCTTCTATGCCTTCCTATATGATATCTTAAATCTCCTCCTGAAAGTAAATCCATAATTAAATACAAATATTCTCTATCCTGAAATGAATTCTACATATTGATCAGAAAACTTATTTTATTTTCTCTACATACTTATGTTTTAATCCACATAGCAATGCTTTTTCATTCATAACAGATTACACAGATTTCTTTGATATTATCCTAATATAACTCATTATAATTTACTTAGGTTTTGACATCACTTTCAAGGCATAAAACTATTTATTCTTCTTTTGTCTAACTTTCCAAACTTTACCAAAACCCCCTCTTCCAATAGCATCAATAAATTAAAAATTTTAAACAGACATTACTACTTATTTATTCAAAATACCATTATTTTCAATTAGATCCTCTTTTTTTTCATTAATATTACAATTTCCCATTTTTATTTAAATATAAATATTGATTTATTATATAATTTCATTCTCTATACTCCTCTCATCGAAACCTTTTTTCTACTTATTAAAAACTGATTAATTAATAAAATGGAGTGCTAATATCAAAAAGAATTATAATTAATTTATCAATGTATTTCATAACAACAGTAAAATTTAGAAAATACATTTCAATATTAATAATCTTATCAAATTTATCAAACTGAAATCAAAGTATTATAATTTATATAGATAAATCTATTTAAAATATACTCTATTTATCTTATTATAAAGAATTATTTTAATTAACTTATTATCAATAAGTATACAATACTTAAAAGATAATATCAAAATATCAAAAAAGACTTAATCTTCAATATCTAATTAAAAAAATATCAAAGATGTATACTATAAAAGAAATTTAAATAAAATTTAAGTTTTCTTATTGAAATCTAGCAATAAAAGGAAAATCGATGACTTCAGAAATGTTATATTAAATTCATATTTAAATGATTTTATATGAAAAATCTTAATGTGATTAATAATATATATTAAGCATTTTAAGAATTATAATTACTGTTTTATGTAATAATAATATGTTAAACTATTTTAAGCTAAAGGGTATTAAAGAATTAAATTAAATAATTAAATTTTGAATAAGTGTTTATGTCTGAATCAATTATAACGTATTTTTAATGACACTTAATTTAGTAAGATTTGAATTCCTTTTAAAGATTTTTGATGTTTTCTGACACTTAATTTATAAAAGGAAATTTTGTGATTTAATCGGGGGTTATGATTGATAATTAATTGATATGTTACGTAATTGTTCGTTTTGGATTTAATGATAAAAATACAAAACAAGTATAGCTACTTAGAAGATGATCTTATTGGAAAAGGAGCTTATTCAAAAGTTTATAAAGGTTTAATTGATAAAACAAAAGAGTTCGTAGCTATAAAAGGTTTAAATTTAACATCATCTTAGTTATTGATTGGAGTAAGGTTTAGGATAAATATTATATCTCTGGGTTTTAAAGAGAGGTTCGAATACTTAGAGATTTAGATCATTAAAATATAGTTAAAATCATGGATATGTTCCATGATGCAAATTAAAATAGAGAATATCTCATAATGGAATATTGTGATAGTTAAAATCTGAAAGCATTTATTTATCAATCTGGAGGAGTTCTAAACGAAAATGTCACAAAAATAGTATTATAGTAATTATTGACTGCTCTAAATGAATTAATAAAAAAGGAGTATTTACATAGAGATATCAAACCAGAGAACATTTTGATTCACTAAAGGATATTGAAATTAGCAGATTTTGGATTCTCAGTAAAGGCAGATTATTCTGGCAATCAACTTTTTAAAGAAAATGTAGGCACACCATTATATATGGCTCCATAAATACTCGAAAATAAACACTATTCGGTTAAAAGTGACATTTGGTCTATAGGAATTATGACATATTAAATGATAACTGGGGATTATCCATGGATTGCTGATGATCCAATTCAACTTTTAAAATGCATAAAATCTTAAAAATTATTATTCCCTTAACATATTTAAATTACGGATGAGTTTAAAGAATTTATAATAAATTGTTTATAATTTGAAGAAAAAGATCGATACAATTGGGATGATTTATTAGATCATAAAATATTTAAAACTAAATATGTTATACAAAAGAATTAAATAAAAATCGAACAACTCTAAGTATATATATAATATATAATAATTTAAGTTAGCAATAAATAAAATAAAATAAACTCAAAAAGATAGAGGTACTCATTTAGAATAATTATTTATAAATTTAGATATGAATGCAGATAAGAAACTAACTTTTGAAGAATTTTAAGTATTATTACTTTATGTTGATAATAATATGGATATAAATATTTAAAAAGGAATTTTTCATAAATACAATGTTAGTAAAAATAATTTACTTAATTTTAATGAATTTAGCAGAATATTTTAATGATCTTCATTATTTTATATTTACTTAATAATTATACAATATTGATGTATATATTATTATAAATGTTTCTTATTATTCAATATTTGAATTCATTGAAAAATGTTAATCTTTTTATGATTTAATACAAAAGTTGACTAAATAATTAATAAATTTATGTAATTAATGTAATAATTTTTTATTAATGAGCTTCAAAAGAAACCACTTCCAGATATTTTGATGATACAATTTATTTAAACTATTTAGTTTCCTGATTAAATTGAATAAATAAATTTAAGTCAAATTGAGTAATATTTACAATAATTATCAATTTTAATCTAAGAAAAAAATGATTAAAAATGTTGGATTTATTTTGGATTACTATTGAGATAAATGTTAAATTAAAGAAATTAAATGAGCATAGAATAATATAATAGATTTGCTATAAATACTTTTGTTTTAATTATTCAAATATTGAACATTCATATTACTTCTGAATATATTGAAAACATTTTAACAGCATATTATGAATTCATAGATAGAGTAGATGATCAATTTTGGATATTTTTAGCATGGTAATTTAGAAATGCTTCAAATAATATTAATCAATTAGAGTTATTAAAACACTTAGTAATTTCGTAAACATAAAGAAATGAATTTTTGGACATATTAATTTTAAAGATTAAAATTGAAATTGAAAAACCAATTACTAATATTAAAATTCATAAAGTTATTGTATCCTCATTATAAGTTGTCTTAGAAAGAAACCCATATTAAATAATATCATCAAATTTATTAAATTATATGACTACAATTTTAGCAAGTGATATAATTCATAAAGAATCAATTAAATCTTTTTATTATGTTATTGGATTAATAGGTTCTTTTTTTGAGCATTAACATTTAGTATAATGTGATTCTAAGGAATATGAATAATTTACACAATATTTATTTTAATATTTGTTAAATTAAATTGAACAAATTAATTGGTAAATTTATAATCATTAAAGTATAAATAAAGATAATTAAAAGGAAAACTTTAAATTATTAACAAAATTATGTTAAAATCATTATTCTCTCAGATTATTTAAAAATAATAAAGAAAAACTTTTACACTTAATTTATACATAATTATCTAATTATATTGAATTATATAATCAAGTTTAAAATGAGGATACTCCTAATGAATTAATAGATTTAATTAGTAAATAAGAAAGTGATACTTATTTGTGTTCAATAGTCAGATTATTTGTGGCTATGTGTTCCTATGTTCGATAATTTACATATACTGGATATCTACTTTGTGCTTAAGTTTTAAATACAATTTTTTAAGTAGAATTACAATAAATAAATATTTTAAAGAATTAAGTAGCATTTTATTATGATCCTCAAGAAATCAATAATATAAATTAAATTATTAAAGTAAATTAAACATTACCTATCACACAATTATAAACATCATTAATTTTACTTACTTCTATGAAAATATTTATTGTTGATTAGGAATTCACTCTAAAAAAATTAGAAAACTTATTAAGGATTCATTTAAATAATCTAACTTCCTAAATTGGTAATCCTAGTTTCAAAATTATATTTATGCTTTTCTTATAAAAATATTAAAAAAAAATATTTAAATAAGAATAAGATGAAGAATTTAATCTTTAATATTTAAAATATATTTTATAATAAATTACAACTGAAAATATTGAAACTGCAACTGCTATTACAGTTTTTTAAATGATAACAAAATCATCATCTAATTATACTCTATTAGAGAATACTATACAACACATAAATCCATATATATAGAATATCATTTCTAAAACAACAGATATCGATTTTTTTGAATCACTTATAAATTTAGCAAAAGTTCATAAAGCATTTTTTTATAATTATTCTGAAAGTTACTTGATTATTTTATAATAAAGAATAATTATTGAAATAAACAATCAAAATAATCATGCTGTTATAAAGATGTTATAAACATTTAGAATAATTTATAAAATATGGCCATAAGAAGAAACCTATAATTCTTAATTGGATGTTTGGAAATTAATATCATATTTACCTTAATCAAAAAGAAATTCATTTGATGAAGAACTTGTTGAAATTTCAAAGATTTTTCTTAAATATTATTGTAAGAATTTTAATCTAATATAATTTTAGAAGATAAAATACAATATGAATTTGTTTTACAATTTGTCATCTATTAATTAAAAATTTATATATCACAAGCTCCCTATATTAAATTTTTAGCAGCTTTAAATAAGGAATAATGTCAATTTATAGCCGATGAAATGCCATAATTAATGTATGATGTAATTATTTTGAGTTTTTAAAATAGATATTCATAATTTGTTTGAAATGTATAGAAATGAATTATTTAATCAAAAAGATAAGAAAAATTTGTAGAAGTATATCTTTGTATACAGATTTATTTTTTAAATAAGAATTTTAAATTCTTATATAAAATCATATTGAATAAACTTAAAATTAAAGTTAATCTACTTTTTTAATTTGTTATTTATGTATGAGTAATTAATAAGAAACTGAAAAATATCATGATTATTTAGTAAATCGAATTTTAGAAATATAAGAACGTGATGTAACTTTATAAAATTAATCTGATATTTTTGATTGTTGTTATGCATTAATAAAATTATATGAATACACTTTAGAGAATTTTGGAAAAGCTCAATATCAATACAATCAAAATATCTTTTTTAAATTAATAGATCTTTTGCACTCCTGTTTATTACTTGATGACAAAGAAAGTGAATAAAAAAATATCACTTTAAATGAAGTTTATGAATTATTTTAATAAATGGTTTTTAAAATTTAATCAAAAATACTACCCAAATATTTGGATGGATAATATGAATATGAATTTAAATTGCAATAATTAATGTAAGCAAAAGCATAATTTGGGTTAATAAATACAATATACAAACAATTTAAAAAATGAATATTTATTATAGTGTATAAATGTGTTAATTAATTTATTTTAAATGACTATTCTATTTTAAGTTTATGTAATTCTCTTATTTTTTATATTCAAATTCTATCTTAAATTTATTAGAAAAATTAATTAGAATTAATGAATTTAAAGAAGAGGTAGAATAATAAATAAGTAATTATTATTTTATTATTCTTATTAATTTAGAGAGTTTCATAACAAGTTAGACTTTTGATTGTATGATAGATTTATATTAGTTGAATAAGAAAATATATATAAAATATATATTTTTTCATTTTGTTGATCGCTTAAATTATGCATAAAGTAACATTTTTTAAGCCCTTTGAATCAATTATTTATGATATTAAATCAAATCATTAGTTGATAGTTTAGATATTGTTGTTTATTTTTTTTATGAATATGTTGATTCGATGTGAAGAGTAACTTATTTTTTAAAGGGAAGTGAACTATTAGGTGAAATAGGAGTTGTGTCTATACGTTTTTCTTTGCTATTAGGTCTGCTAGCTGCTTTCTATTTGATTATTCTTTTATATGGGGAGCATTCACCAGCTTGGATTTAAGGTTATGAAAAAACTCTTGCTCTGCTTTCTTCTTATTTTCGAGATAAAAATTCATTCAAAAGAGTCTATATTAAATAATTTATTATACTTTACATTTACGTTCTTTGGATTTTAAATACTTTATTTAATTAGTTATTCTAATTGATCCCTTTCAGTTTAATGAAAACTTCGAAAAGGAGACACATTAGTTAACCTTAAGGATAGTCTTTCTGTTTTTGGGGCTTATCGTTTTTGTTTTATCTGGACATGATTATGATTATGTAGTAATTAATTATCAATCAACATAAAATAATTATTCTTAGCATTAAAAATATATGAATATGTATGATATATTATTTTATATATGTTAATATATTTAGAATATAGAAAAAAGAATTAAATTCATGGAACAAATAAAGAATTTTTATTAACTGATTTTTTTTTTAGACTAATTTAATAAGTGAATGATCATTTGTATTTATTTAATATAATGTAATTTTTTTATATACTATATTTAATCTATATTATTATTTAATACAATTATAATAAAAACCTTATTATTATTAGGTTTAATCAAAATTAATTATTTAATAAAAATGGCTGGAATAGAATAAGAAGGGATAATAATTGATGAAAGTAAATAAGGTATAAAATTATTAATTAATGTAGATTTAAGGATGAATTTTGCTGATGAAATTATCATTGATGATCAACATATTCTTACAATATCAGCTGAAAAGATGTTTGAAGAGCCCTAAAAACGTACACGTAAATCAAGATGGGGAGGAAGACCTGATAGAAAGTGTGCTAGACCTGAGTAAAAACACTTGCAATTCAATCCTTTAGAGGCCATGATGAATAGAAAATGCATATTACCTGTAGGAGCGCAAAGCTTAGCCCCTCCTGTACCTATTGGTATGGCTTTACCATGGGGAATGTAACCAATGCCTGTGATGTCTCAATCATATGGCTACAATTTTGTGCGAACAGATACTTCTGTATTGGTATTTGTTTAATAATTAGCATACACGATGGGGTCCTGAATATGAAAAAACCTTTTAGCCTCCTTCTTTAAATTGTATTCCTCCTGATCTCAGTATTGATGACTTAGAATATATCATCAGATTATATTGTCTTGATGATATCAATTAAAAACTACAATAACCAATAGATAGTAAAATGGATGATCCTGATTTAAGGTCTCCTTCTCCTGAACCAGTATATGATCAACATGGAAAGAGAGTTAACACAAGAGAAGTTAGAAGAAAAGAGAATTTTTAAAGAATTAAATGTTCTTTGACTGAAGAATGTATTAAGATAAATAAAAACTTTGTTCCTCCTCATGATTTTAAACCTTTGAAAAAATCACAAAAAATATATTTAACTGATACATTAAATGCTCCTGATACAAATTATATAGGTCTTATTTTAGGACCTGGAGGAAACACTTAAAAGTTCTTGGAAGGCAAGACTGGATGTAAAATATCAGTAAGAGGGAAAGGAAGTTCAAATACAAAGAAAGTAGATTGGGATATGGATGATAAATTACATGTTTTAATTTAAGCAGATAATGATGAATAACTTTAATAAGGTGTTATAGAAATTGAAAAAATATTATCAGGAAATTAAGAAGATGAATAAGCAAGAAATGCTAGATTATAAGGATAAGTTATAGCAACAGTATTAAGAGATGATTTTTGTGAATATTGTCATGAAAAAGGTCATAGAACTTATGCTTGTCCTACTAAAATTCCATTTGAAAAAGCAAGAGTAAAATGTGAAATCTGTCATGAATTTTCTCATCCAACTTCAGATTGTCCATAAAAATTTGAACACAAAGAGAGTTTTATCCAATAATAATATGATAAATATAGAAAAGATTTAGGTTTAGAGAAGAATACTGAAATATTATTATAAGATAATTAAAATGAAAAAAGAACAACAGAATAAAGAGTAAATTTTATTATTTTATAAATAAGGTTGCTTTTATTACTAATGCTTAAATTGTAAAACCAATCTAAAATTTATAAATAGAAGATGATAAATTTATAATGGAAAGATTAAGAAGAGAATAATAAGAAAAAGATAATTATGAAAGAGCATAGAAAAAAGCATTAGAATAATATACATTATAATCATAAGAAAACTAAAATAAATGATAAATCATAATAATTATTCAAAATATATATATAAATAATAAAAAATTTTTATAGTTTTATTAATTTTCTAATTTAGAAATTATTAAACAAATGTATTAAAATAATATAATTAAACTTTATTTTTTTATAATTTTGTTTATCATTTCTTCTAAATTTGAATTATTGTTGAATCCTCTATCATGATTCTAAAGTTTGATATGTTTATATCTACCTATTCCAAACTAATAAGAATATATTCGTTTTTAAATATTAGTAGGTTTCTGCATCATCGATCTAAATTATGGATAGAATTCTAATAAATCTTTTAATAAACTAAATTTATTTTTCTTAATTAATATACAGATTTTTTTATGTCTTGGGATTTGATTGAGGGTCTTTAGGAGAATAAATCCCTTTTTGTAGCTCTAGTCTATTAGAAAAATTAATGTAATTTTAAAAAAGATATAAATATAACTGAAGCTGGCACTATTTGATTGTAAAATTCTTTAAATATTTTGAGTTCTATACACCTAATATTTCCAAACACAGTCTGAATTTCATAAGAGAACTGCTAAATAGAAGATTATTAAGTCTTTGTTATTAAAGTATTTTTAAATCTGATCCAACTGACTCCCAAATTAATAATCAAATTTAATTGATTAGGTTGCCAATAAATAATACAATATATTCTTTATTAAATTTAATATTGTTTGCTTTGATACTTGATTGAAATTGAATCTATTTTGTAGTATTTTATGGTAAAATTAACTTTAACTTTAGTTTCATTTAACAATATTGAAATTTAAACTTGACTTCTTTGGATTATATATTTAAATAGTCATTGATATATTTATAATCCAATATATTTATTCTTTATAATAATTAATTGATTTAAAAGACTTTCAATTTTTCATTTTAACATAATGAAAGTGAACGTATTTGAAAACCAATTTTAGAAACAACTGCCTAACATATCAAAAACACCACAAGCAAAAAGCTAGTAGACTTTAGAACATATATTTAATACTTCTATAAAATAACCGAGACAATTTAATGATCATTCAATGAAATCACTTCATAACATAAGCAACGTCTCATTTATTCGAAATGAAAGACATGATGTCAAATAAGATGTATTAATTGATTATTTTATATAGCAATATTATACATCTCCATTACTTAATAAAACATAATTGCTTGAAATTGAAAGGTAAAGTAAATAAAGAAGAAATGAAATGTATTCCTAAATGTTAAGTGAAAATCCATTTAAATTTAATGATTCTTAAGAGGAAATCATATTAGAACATCCTAGAAGTAATTATTGAAAGTTATTAATTCTTTAGAAGTATCTTCTATTCATGTTAATCTATTTGATTTAAAGGATAAAGAGAAATTAACTTAACTTCTATAAGAAACTAGTGAGTTTTCAGATAAACTCTCTTAACATAATCCACAACTAAAACCAGCTAATGTTATAGTACAAAGACAAGATGTGATAAAATTGGCATAATGGATTGATTATTAAATGAAAACTATTGTGGAAGATACAAAATTAAAAGAAGATTAAATGCTTCATTAAGTTGAACAAGTTTTTAATTAAAGTCTCAAAGAATTAGTAAGGGAAATATCAATAGATTGTATAGAAAAAGGGTAAAATTTCATAATCAATTAGAGTACTATTGGAGAAGATTTGGAATCAATATGTTAATTTCAATACTATTGTGATTTAAGCTATTCAGCAAGAGAAAATCAGTTCAGAAAATGAATATTTAAATGATTTGAAATAAGTAATATTCATTATAATAAATTAGATTCATTAAACTTATCAAATGTCTGTTAAGGTTTTAGAAGATAAAATTAAGCTTATAGAATCATAATTTCAATAACTTTAATATAAATATAATGAAAAAGTAGTTGACTATGATAATTTATTACAAAAATATGATTACTTAATTAATTAATACAAAGAACTAAAATCAGAGGATTAAGAATTAAAAAATGATTATTAAATTGCTATGAACGATATAGAATAATTAACTTAAAAAATAAACAATTTATAAATAGAAAACCAAAAGATTTTAAAATAATTAAATGATAGAATCAATTACAATTTTTAAAAGTCTAAAAGATAATCTTATATATTCTCTGATACTGATGCATTATATCCTGATCATAAATCTACAAGTTGTTATGATCTATACACTACCATGGAGATTCATGTAAATTAGGCATGTTAAACAACTCAATTTTCTGATTTAAAATCATCTGAAGCTCAAACAGATTTTAAATATTTTAAATAAGTTGGTGTTTAATGTTCAGAATTGATTTTAGATGATTAAAGTATTTAATCTAATCATTAAAATGAAAAGTATAAATTATATATATATATCTAGAAATAATAATGTATAAATGGAAGAGGTTAAAAAATTAAAAGAATTAACTTTTGCTTTAGAGGAAAGAATAAGAATGGAAATTTAAGCTTAAAATGAGTTAAGAAAATAAAGACAATAAGTTTAAAGGGAAAGTGATTAATAAAAAATAAAAATAACGAATCTTGAAAATACAATTACTTAATTATAAATAGATATAGACAATTTATAAATATAAATTGATAAATAGTAGGATTCAAAATAAAAAGAAATTACTGTTGTTAGTATTGATTAAAAGAATACAGATTAATAAATGACACTTGCTCCATAATTTACATCATCTACAATGAAAACCCAATAAAAATAAGATACATAACATAAGACATAAGAGAATCTTCCTGAAATTAAATAAAATAATTAATAATAAAAAAAGTAAAACAATTAAGATTAACTAAAGTAAAAATAATAATAATAATAATAATAGTAATAATAATAATAATAATAATAAACAATGAAATAAACCAATAATAATGGTTTTAATAAAGTAAAATCAGTTGATGTAAAAGATTAAAAAAAATCAGTTAAAATTATTAAAAATTCTTAAATTATTCCTAGAAAAACTTCTTAAGATTCTGTCCATAATAATAATAATAGTTAAGATAATGATAATAATAATGCTAATTCCAATGAAGACTTCTTAAGTAAAGCTTTAGAAGAATTAACAAAAGATGGACGCTAACTTAAAATTACACAAAACTCAAATTAAAGACTTAGCATAGTATAATAAAGAAGACAAACTTAATAATAAAATTATATTCTCATTTAATAAGAGAAATAATGTAAATATTTTGATAAAATTGATAGAACAAATATTATAGAGATTGTTAAAAGATAAAAAAGAAAACATTTATGTTGACGTTGCTTTAGCTTTCATTAATTAATTACATTAAGACTTTTAAATGAATCCAAATTAAGTTGAAAATACTTTAACTATTCAAAATTCTTTAAAATAAATATCATTATTTTATAAAGAAAAATTGGAATCTAAATATCCTCTATATGCTATTTGTTATGAGTATTATATGAACTAATATGGATTAAAAAATGTTGCTGAATAAAAAATGACTCAATTTTGTTAAAGTCTTATTGTTTATTAATAGAATTACAGAATTAAATTATTTGCTAGATTTTTACATTTATTTGATAATATTTCTAATGAAGATTTTGAATTTTATATTTAATCTTTAAGTTAATTAGATGAATATTAGAATGCTCAAAATTTGATATAATGCACTCCATCATATGATTATGTTTTGGTTTTATTTCAAAAAGTTAAATAATAATTATAGAATTTTAATAATACTGCCAAAGATTTAATAGACAAATTAACAATTAATTGCAAAAATATTAAAGGAGAATAATATTTAGATTTAGATTAATACTATTTAGAAGCATTAGAATAATTTCAATTTGTTAGGAAAATATAAAATGATAATTTTCATTAATTATTTTTGGCCATAGATGTTGATGATAATTAAAAAATAAGTGAAAATGAATTTAAGATTCTTTATACTTTGATAGAAGATAATAAAAATATGTTGAAATACAAAAAATTATTTTAAATTGAATGTTAAAATGGTGAAGGACTTAACTTTTATTAGTTTGGATTATTTTGCATGCATAATAATTTATTTACTAAATAAAAATAAGATAAATTCTTCCATTCTAATTAAGCAGAATAATAGTTGCTTTAATTAAAAATAACATGGGGACATTAAAGGAAAATAATAAGTTAAAGATTGAGAGATTCTAATAATTTCACCTAATACTATCAAGATTTGATTAGAAAATTAGATGAAGTATAAATATATCAATTATAATAGGGTCTTAAAAGTAATTAGAATTATGCTTGGAATTTATGGAGAATTTTAGAAGAATAATCAAAAAAACTTTTATTAAATAATTAATTAATTATTTTGATCGGATCAGACTTATGCTATATTTGTGATAAATATGAATAATTATTCTCAAATAATTGATATAACTTAAATTATATCATCTACTATTGATATCACATAATTATTTATAGTATTTAGATAATTAAAATTAAGCTACTATTTAGAATCTTTAATTTCTAAGGGATGAATTATCTAATCTTCTCCATTAAAATTCTAAAAAATGATTTACTTTGGTTATGGAATAACCAATAAAATAGGATTAGCTAGTATTTATACAGATAACTTAAAAAAATAAATAAATAGTTTACTTTAGATCTTTACTCTTAAATTAAATTGCATTCAATTCCACTTTCTCTTCCTTGTGAAGTTTATAATTATTTTAAATTTATTAAAACTACTCTTTAAGTATTCTATTCTACTTTTGTGTTTTTCATACTAACTACATCATTAGCTTCAATAACAGCAAAAACTCCTTCTTTATATAGATATTTTAAATCATTAATTCCTCTTATTTTAAGTGATTCACATTCCAAAGTCAATAAAACTGTACATTAATTCATTCTATCCAAAAATACAAACAAGATTCTATCACTTTACAATATCTATTTTCCTTAACTATTTCTTCTGATGATTTATATTGCTAATATATTATTAATTCTTGCATGATATTATTCTTTTTGGTTGCTAATAGGATTTTCACTATAGATAACTTAATTTAGATATTCATCTTCTGATTTACAAAATATCTTATATTTTGGTTTCTCCAATAAATTCTTCATCAAAAAGAATCTTATTGATCTATACTTTCTGGTTTATCCAAATATTGTTTTGTATGGTTGACCTCCTATACAAAATAGTCCTCTATCAGGCATAAATGTAATAGCAGTTGGTATTTGTAATCTAGAATTAAATGATTACTCTAAAGTCATGGTTGTCAAATTAAATATCCTAAATATTTAATCTTCTGAACCAGTTACAAATCTATAAGCAGTTTCGTATGGAGTGTATAATTCTTCACTCTAAATTAATAATTTCCATCTTTACTTTGCCTTCATTTTTAGGATCCTTCAATTCAAACTCATAATTCTCATCTGCCGATGGATCTACATATCTCCATTCTTTTATAAGTAAAATCTTTCTTTCCTTCTTATTTTCAAGTTCCTTTATTGTTCCAACAAGACCTCTTATTGATAGTTGCCAAACCTTTTTAATATATTTAATCAATTATTACTTTTATATCATTCTTCTCTCCAACTGTTATTAAATACTTTCCATCTCTGAACAATAAAACATCAGTGATCTATTGATAGGTTTTTAATTATGCTAATTCATTAATTTTGTAGCATGCTTATTAATTCTAACTTACTATTATAAGATTATCAATACATGTTATCTATTCCTTTGAATTCTACAGGAGGAGAAGTCATCTATTGTTATTAAAGTTTGGCCTTTTAATCCCATGACAAATCAGCAGTTTCATTTAATCTTTATTAATTTTTCTAATCAATTATCTATAGACTTCTCCTCCCATCTATAGATAATGCTTTTTAATCATTCTTTTATCCATTATTTTATTCATTAATTAATCTTTTATTTATTCTATTTGTTTCAGGTACACTTGCTTCTTGATTGTAAAATTTTTATTAAATCTTTGCTTATTGAGGTTATTATTTTTAAGCTTGCTATAATTATTATTATTATTATTATTATTATTATTATTGTTATTATTGTTATTATTATTGTTATTATTATTGTTATGGTTACTATTATTATTATTATTATTATTATTATTATTATTATTATTATTATTATTATGGTTACTATTATTATTATTATTATTACTATTATTGTGATGACTATTATTATTATTATTCTATTTTTTATTTATCTTCTTTTGTATTAATACTATCAGTTTATCTTGTTACTTATTATTATTCCCTTGTTTCATATTATTATTACTACATTTTTTATGATTCAATAAGTTAAGGCTAAATAATTGGTTATTCAACTTAAATTTATTACTCAGTAGTTTCATCATGTTTTTATTTGGAAGATGTGAATACAGAGAAAAATTATTTGACTGGAGATAAATCAATTAAGGAATGTTAATTAGGAGGTTCACTTTCACTCTTGGTTAATTTTATAGGTTCTTGTATTTATTAAGGTTATTAGGAACTTTTCTTCCTTTGGCTTTATGGACTAAGTGGTTCAATTGGATATTATGGAAAAGCATGATATAAGTAGGTTGGTTTGTATGAAGAAACATAATAAATTTATGATTGATTTTCTATACAATAGATTTCGTTTTCTAAATCTAAATTATTACCAATGAAAATTATGCTATCTTCCATAATTTTATAAGTTTGATATTTATTATGCAATTCTAGATATTTATTAATTAATATCTTTTTGTATTCATCATTCAAAGATATATTTTTTTATTTTATAAACAAAGCTTAAAATATTTGAACACTTTCCATAAACTTTTTTTACTTCTCTGATTTAAGTATTTGATATTTGTCACAATTTGTATTATAATCAACATTTATTTCACTTCTCCCTAAAAAATTAATAGGTAATTTATGCCAATCCATATCATTTTTACCCAATTCTTCAACATCGTCAACATCATAATAAAATATAGTTAGCTTTCTGTTCATGATAAGTGAATAAAAGTTCATTTTAAAATCTAAATTTAATTTGACAATCACATCTGTAGTTGTACAAGGTTCAATAGAAACTATATAATAATGATATAATATATATATTTACAAATATTAGGAATGATTGCAAATAAAGTAGGATTAGGGGAAACAATTCTAACTTGGATATAATGAAGAGTCAAATTTTAGATAGAGATAGTTTATTCTCTACTTTAATAATCGAATTTTATCGTATTGGGAACAATTTCAAGAATTTCTTCCATTAATAATAATATTATAAATAAAATTTACAAATACAAGCGATATTCAGTTCTTTATCATTGAAGAAGTCAATCTTGAATGATAAGAATCATTTAATTAATCTAGAATATCTTATTCTTGTTCCCATAATTATTGTATTTTCATGAAGTCCTAAGCCTTTTATCTAAAGCTATCAAGGACTGCTTTCTTATGTTAAGATTTAAATTAATCTTATTTTTATTATTTGTACAGAGCTAAGTGTAATTATTGTTACTATTCATATTGTTGAACTTTTTATTTCTTCTCTAGATTGTATGTTTTTGATCTTTCCTTTTAGAGAATAATAACTTTATCATGATTTAAAGATTGCTTTTTCATTAACTCAAATTATTCCTTCTTCTATTGCTGTACACTTTATCGAATTTAAACTTTAAGATTTAATTGTTATTATTTTAAGAGCTTAGTTTTTTCTCTAAAAAGTTCAAGAGACTATTCCCTAGATTCTTTATGTTTACTTTACTAAATAGATAACTTATAAAATACCTACTTCAAGTATTCATTATACTGATTTCTAATACTATTTACCTATTCATTTTTTATTTCACTTTACATCTGTTTCCCTTATCTAAATACTCAGAAAAGTTACAATCGTTATCGAAACACTTCCAACATTTTAACTCTATTAATCATCACATCTAATTATCTTTTCATTTCTATTTATTCTTTCTTAGAAATTCTTTCGCTTACTTTTTCAATTGTTTCTTGGTTACTAAAAGAGTCTTATTTCTGACTTATACTACACGACATAATGAGTTTAATAAATTAATAAAATATAGTATGAGAAGAAATAATAAATCATATTCCAAAATATATAAATTGTAATAAAATTGGAATATTATTATGTTTATCATTTTTATATATATAATCATTTAACTAATATTATTCTTACTTAAAAATATTATATATCAATAACTTATATATGTTATTTTGGAAATTAAGATAAATTAGTGATTATATTAAATGAATAAGAGATTTCAAAAGATCAATAATATTTGGTATTATGAGAAAATATTACAATAAATATAAACTCATTTTCTAGATGGTTCAGTTAATAAATTTTAATATAATTTTAAATTTGTTACACTTTTAGTATTTCTAAGGGTTTCATTAGAACATAAAACTGAGGATAATTATGACTATGATTATTGGGATAATAAGGATTATTAACTATTTTGAGAATTTTTTGTTCTTTTTCTCACCATTGAATCTATAGTATCTTTTGTCACCTATGTAGAAGAATTTTTATCAAATTCATAACATTGATATCTTTTTTATTGATAAAAGAATTAAGTCTCAAACATAGGTTTAAATTGATTGATTAATTTTTATTCTCTATTTAATTATTCAAATAAAATTCTATCATTTGTAGTAGGTGATTTAAATTACAATTTTGTTAGATCAGGAATATGAGGAGGATTAATCTATTTTTAAATGTATTTCGCAATATCTATATCCTAAAACCAAGGATGTGCTAATATATCATCAACTCCATTTTTAGATCCTAATCTTTTATTTGGATCTTTAATCATAAGTAATTTAATTAAATCCTTAACTTCAGGACTTAATTTCTTTGGGAATTAAACTTATTCATTAAGTAATCTAGTATAAATGATATTCTTGTCTTCACAATAGAATGGAGGTAGTCCTGTAACAAATTCATATAGCAAGGCTCCTAAACAATAATAATCAACCATATTATTGTGACCATCATTTTGAAACATTTCAGGAGCCATATATTCTGGAGAACCACAAAAGGAATAAGCATTTTATTCAGGTTGCATATTTGGTCTAGCTAGTCCAAAATCAGCTAATTGAATATGTCCTGTAATATCTATAAGAACATTTTCTGGTTTTAAATCTCTATAAATAATTTATTAATGATGTAGAAATCCTAAAGCTAAACAAACTTCTGTTATATAGAATCTAGCTTAAGATTCAGTCATCTTTTAAACTCTTTTCATATAACTAAACATTTCTCCTCCAGGACAAAATTCTATACCAAAAATGATCCAATTTTTAGTTTCAAATGCAAATTCAATTTTGGATGTAAATAAGGAACCTTTATTTGTAGTTTCAATTAATATATCTCTTTCATTTTAAACTAAATCTTGTTTTTCATTTTATACTACAAAGGTTTTGCTAATTAATTTCAGTGCTATAAAACTTCCATCAATTAGGGATCGAGATAATATAACTGTTGAGAATCCCCCTCTCCCTATTACATGTAAAAATAAGAAACAACTTAAATTTAATTGTTTTGGAGGTGATATACCAATAATTGGTTTCATACGAATAGTTTTACCTACCATATGAGTCAATGGTAAAAAAGGTATTGTGAGATAATAATCAAATCCAATATTGTCATCTAAAGTTGCAAATCCTACAACTTAATAGTTTCCAGTCTTATTTTTTAGAGCATTTAGAACTTTATCTGTAGTTACATTAGCACAGAATTTAAAATTTTAAGTAAGTTCTGATGAATAATGAACATAAATCAAAATTTCTGATTTTGATAGTTTGTCAATTGATGAAGATTTACCTCCTATCTAAACTGAATTGGTTAATAAATCTTCAACACTATTTCTACGAGTCATAGAACCTTTTTCTAAAATCAATTTATTTTTATTTGTTAATTTTTGGTTCAAAATCAAATTGATTCCTTTGGATAATTATTAAAAAGGAAGGTTGGTTTCAGTTGGAACTTTTGCTTATTTTGTTTAAGGTTTTATTTTATCTCTTGAGTTGGATCGTTATTGACTATGTACTCTATCAGTAATACTTCCATGATTCACTTTACGACTTGAATCTTATTTTACTAAGTCTTTCAATATCATTTGTGATAAATTCCTTTGAATAAATTTTAAAGGAGATTAGGATGCATTTTTACTAGTGTAATTCTTAGTACTCATCTAAAAGTTTTGAATCACTCTAGCTGGTGACAATATCTAACCACTTCGTTATCTCATTATGGTTATCAAATAAAAAAATATAATATATATTATAAACAAAATCAAAATGATAAATAATAAGTTTGATGATGATTTAGACGAATTAATAAATGACATCAATTCAGTTATGGATAAACCATAAAATAAACCAATTACATCTTAAAACTATTAACAATAACCATAGACAAATTAAAGTTAATAATAAAAAAGAAAATGTTTATAACCACAAATTGGAAATCAATAATAATTTCGTATGTGCACAAATCTCAGATGTCTAAAATGTGATCTCTAAGTTAAATGTCATATTAACTAAAAATGGAACAAAGATGTAGATTATTTAATATTCAGAAACTATTTTAATAATATGTCCATTTTATCTAAGTATTTAATAGACGATAACCAATATAATGCATATAATTGTTAATGCACTAATGTAAATGCCCATGAATCTATAGCCGCTCCTTAGAATTGGGTATGTTCAGGACATGCAATCTGAAACCTATATTTTAATATTATTGTTATAATTCTAAATATATATAATTTGTTATTATATAATTTATTTGAATTTTCTACACTATCTCTCAACCATATTTAATTCAAAAATATTATAATAACAATTTAATATCATTTCATAATCATTCCCACTATATTCATTCCACCTTTAGCCATTTCTCTTTTCAATTATTATAATTTCTTCTTATGCTCTCCTCTACATTTGTAAAATCCTTATAAATTAGTTAAAGACAAAACTAAACATATGATTGGTAATGGTAACTATAATCTATTTATCATAATACCCAGAATATTTTGACTCCAAAAAAGTCTCCAAGACACATTAGACCCCAAAAGAGTGTTCCATATATGAGACAGGCCCAAAAGAAATATTTATCAACTTTATTTGATTATTCTTATGTTTGAGTTTAGAACATCCATTTCTATTCACCTTTAATATCCATCTCAATCCACCAACGTAATCCAATCAGTTTTAAACCCAAATAATTCTTTAGTACTAAAAATTAAGCTAATTAGAGTATAATAACTAAAGGATAAGCATGTATAACATCTTGTAAAAGAATAAAAGTTAATCCTGGAATTGAAGTTAATGCTAATGCAGCAACACAATAATATGGATGAGCTGCTTAAGTAATATCATAATCTTATATTAGTAAATCTTTCTAATGAAAATATTAGATATAAATATATACATGAGCTGCTTCTACTTCCTCTTCCAATTAAGTATTTTAATAGACAGCATCATATTTATCAACTGTCAAATCAACATCTGGCTCTACATGCTCAGTTATACTTTTGGGTTATATATTTATTTTAAAATCCAAGGAGTTAGATTCCATTAAAATAATTTATTTTATATTAATGAATTTATATAAGAAAGAATGACTTAACAAATGTAAGAAATAAAAAAACAGAAAAATATCTCCTTATATTTATTTTAATTAAATTTACTTAATGACTTAAGTATGATTTTAATTTTAATAAGAATAATAATAACTTTTAGATTCTAAATTCAATGATTACTTTTGAATAATATAAAGAAAGTATTAAGGCAATTATATAATATGTTATTTATCAAGTAATTGTATTTAGAAATACTTCTTTTGTAATTTATTTATTTCCATTAAATTGATTAAATCTAGCAATTATCAATTCTGCATCTTATAAACTGACATTAGTTATTGTACATTTTTATAAGATCTATAAAATATCTAATACATCCATATATCCTTTTACAAAATATTTATCTAAAGAATTAATTTAGTCTTATTTTGAATATTAAAGTCTCGATTTTTATAATTGATTTTCTTAATCTCTTAATAATTAAAAAAGATTATCTGCTACAGTAAGAGCAGAAGTTGGTAAATCTATGATGTTAATCTTGTCTTTAAATGGCTTTCTCTAATCATAATATGTTAGAATATTAATAAAATGTTCATAAGATATACCTTATGAATTAACACTAAAGGTTTACCATTCTTTATGCCAATCAATTGAATTTAGAGATTTTAAAAGTGTTACTTCATCTAATTACATCAATACATTCTATAAGCATCTTTATTAATTTAAGTATATAGACATTAATGTATTAATTTCTTTACTTTCATTGACATATACTTTTTATTCTGTTAATTAATTAGGTGTTTTTGTTCTTGTTTGTTTTAACTCTGTATTATGACAAGGCGTTGGTGTTTTAGCTCTTGGAGTTTGACAACCATCTTTTTAAATAAAAGATTATGTTGTTTAAAGAGGTTTATATCTTCTTCTTAATCTATCCATATAACTTGTATTATTGATTTATTTATTAAATACAATACTAGTTTTCATCATAGGAATTTAAATCTTATCCATAGCTCTTTATTTTTGTGTTTTTAAAGCCTATCTAAAATCATCTAAACTCATTATAGTCCCATCTCCATTACCTACTCTTTTTAATAATATTTTTATTTCTTCATCAATCAAATTCTATCTAATACGTACAAAAAACTTTTTCATCTTATTAAAATCTACAGAATTGCTTCCAGAAGATAATTTATTATAAAGTATATCTAAATTATAATCCCATCTTTTAAAAATCCTTACTCTTTGATCATCCAACTATCTTTCTAATTAAATTTCTTCATAGAGTAATCTTAAAAATGATATTTCTGCTTCTTTTTTCTCAATATTATTACCAGATTATCTCAAATATCTATCCTAAAATTGACTGAATAATAATCTATCTTCAAATCCTCCTAGTCTTCCAATCAAGTCTTTTAATTCATAAATTTATGTATCTATCCCATAAGATTGTAAGTAAACTTAAAGCTACTCTATTCTACAAACTGAATTTTAAAAAAAAGGAGGTATATATTTATGATCTGTAATTTCTTAAATGAATTCTAAACACTTTTCTAATCGTCTCTATCTATATTATTATATATACCTCATTCCATTAACTACTAATATAAAAAATTTGCATAATTCCTATTAAGTTTCTATAGAAGACATATATAAATTCGTTAAAATAAATATTATAATCAAAACAATATCTGCTCACCTGATCTTGCCAAATTCTTAGAGTTCCATGTATTAATCATCACTTCTTATTCTTCATTAGGTATTTCTGCTAATTTGAATTCTTATATTTACTCTCTTTTTAACATTCTTAATTCTCTTTGATATTGACTTTCACCTATTAAACTTAAATAATCTTAACAATCAACAAACTTTTTTTTTGGTTTTTCTTTCAATTTCTAATGATACATCTATTCTAATTTAGTTGAATATAATTTAGATTTTGGAGAATCTTAAAGATTAGATTAATTTGATAATGATTTCTCTTATGACTTTAATTTTTATTCTGATATAACAGTTTCAACTTATTTAAAAGGATTTTCTATTAATTTGGCATTGAAATTAGATTAAATATCAGATAATACAAATTATTATTATTGGTATAATCGTTCTGCTTCAGTATCAGTAACAAATCTATTTGTAAGTCTATTTTCAAATTTCCTTTCACTTTATTATGAATTCTTTTATGTTAATAAAGTAAAGGGAGGTCTTGAATCTTTGTGATCATACCATCTTAATCTCAAATACCAATAACGACTATTATTTTTTTCGTCATCCCCTTTACATAATTCTAAAGCTTATACCATTTGATTTTTCTCTCTATATTAATCTGATCTAGCCATAATGGTTTCTTCAGGTTAACGAAAACAATTCGAGGAAACTTAAATATTAACATTTTCCCATAAAGCTTTCACAACTTCATGTTTTTTCATTGCTCTTTCTTCTCTTGTAATTGCATTTCTTACATTTTAAGGTAATTTTCTTTCTTATTCTTCTATTTCTTTCTACCCTTCTTTGATTCTCTTTTCAGTATCTCTCATAATTTATACTAAATCTCTCTTATTCAAAAATTTTTAATCTCCTCTATTTTTTTTGGGTGTTTTTCTGCTTTACTATATTATTTTCTCACTAAATTAACTTGTTTTCAATGGTTATTACTCCTCTATAAGAGATTCATCAGTAGCACCATTATTAGTATATTATTTATTTTTCCTTTTTTAATCTAATTTTAACTTTTCTTAATGAGTTTTCATAAATTATTAATATCCTACTACTGAGTATTTGATCAATTTATCTTATTTTTCATTTTCAAATCTAGGACCTCCTGTATAATCAATGAATTTTTTGCGTTCTTCATTTTCTGCCTCTAAGAAAAATACACAAATTATACCTTGAAATATATTTTAAGTAGATGATTTCTAGGTCAAAGGTTCTAATGTACTTATTTATCCTGGCTTTAAAACTCTTTTTTTAGTTTTATCCTATCTTAATTATTCTTGATTATCTAAAAATCTTCCTGTATTTAATCCAATCCCATACATTTATTTTTATAAACTCTAACTTTCAAATGTCTAAAATGCTGAAGGTTTTGTGGATATGAAATCTTAACCAGTCTCCATAACCATATCACTTTTACTTAATCCTTTTGATTAAAAAATGATAGGCTATGATATAAATAATGTTTTCATTAATCTATCAGGTTTTTTAGAGTGATTAGGTAAACTCATTTAAAATAAAATAAATATCAAATAAAAAAGTGAATCCAAGTATTAAAAACTTGATTTTTATAAAATTAAGAATCTAATTTACTTTTTTGTATGTTTGAGTTTGTTATTTCAATGATTGATATGGTAATATATTTTACTAATCAATTTGATCAATTAATTAATGACTTAAAATATATATAACAAACAGAATAATCATTTTTAGTATCTGATACAAATAGAATTTTCACTAAAAATATAGTTAATTAATTAATATCATTCACAATATTATGTTGGATGCTTTCTAAAAGATATACGATTATCTCCAAATCTCGAATTGGATGTAGAAGGCACTGTAATAGCAGTAGATAAACTATTATAATTTGTAGTACAAGTTGACCTAGCTCTTGGTAATCTTAAAGGACATTTTGATTATGGTCTCTATTCAGTTATTGTAATCTCACGACTAAGGTTCATTAATTTACTTAGAGGCTGTAATTTTTATTCAACTGGAATTTATTTGTCTTCAATTTATGATAATAGTCTGCTTCTTTCACTTAAATAATGAACTTAATTTAAGACTTTAGTAATTTCAGTAGGATAGTAATTTTAAGGGTTTCTTTCATTTGATTTATGTATAAGCTTTTTAAGAAAGAGTTTTGATTTTTCAGATAAAACACACTATTTGAATTATTCGGTTGTTATAAAACGACCACTTTTAGAATTAGCTTATTTGATATAAGATGTTAATTCCTGTTCATTAATATTGATTCCATATTTATTTAAAAGAGTAAGCAATTCATATTTTTAAATCTTACCTTTACCTTCCGAATCAAATTTAGCAAAGAGTTCCGCCAATTCTTATTTGTATTCCTAAATATGATAATAAAATACTTCTTCTTATGGATCTGTAATATATTAACTATTAACAGATTTACGAAATCTTTAGAGTAGCCATTGTTTGACAGTATGAGTTCGTAATTTAAACATTATTTAATTTATGAGTCCAAAATTTGCAATTATCATAGGTCTATTAATAAGACTAGGATTAATTGCTTATGCAGAGATCTAGGATAAATATTTCAATCTCAAATACACAGATATAGATTATTCAGTATATTTAGTATTAATATATAGGTGTATTCTGATGGAGCATCATATGTAGTTGATGGTGGTTCACCTTATGATAGACATACCTATAGATATTCACCTATTTTAGCATACATCTTAATACCAAATGTGTGGATATCATCATTTGGAAAGATTCTCTTTAGTTTTGTAGATATGTTAGCATGTGTTTTTATGTAAAAAATGGTCAAATCTACATTTTTATTGAATTTATGGATTTTTAATCCTCTTACAATATAAGTATCAACTAGGGGATCATCTGATACAATAATAGTGCTTTTAATATATGTTATGTTATATTTACTTAAGAAAGAGAGGTATACATGGGCTGCACTTATATACGGATTTATGGTTCATTTACGTATATATCCAATAATATATGCAATTCCATTATACTTCTTTATAGATTCTCATCAACCAGAAAGAATGTAAAATAAATGATATATTAAGATATTTGGGTATAATTAGTAAAAATAAAGTGAAATTTGCATTGATATCAGGTGGATTATTCATTGGATTATTAATATTATTCCATTTCATTTATGAAGATTTCCTATTCTAAACATATCTATATCATTTTACAAGGAAGGACAATAGACACAATTTTTCACCTTATTTTTATCAGATATATTTAAGTTTTGAATCTATTACTAGAACTCAAGCTACATTAACATTTTTACCTTAATTTTTGATAGTTATTTTAGCAGGTTTGAAATATTATAGAGATTTACCATTTGCAATGTTAATATAAACTCTTGGGTTTGTTGTATTTAATAAGGTATAAACTGCTCAATATTTTGTATGGTGGATTGCATTGATTCCATTAGCACTTCAAAATACTAAGATGAATAATAAGGAAATATTGATGTTATCAATTATATGGTTAATTTTGGAAGTACAATGGAATTTTGGATCCTATTATCTTGAGATATAAGGATAGGATGTATTTACAATGATCTTTATTTAATGTGTTATATTCTTCTTATCGAATACTTATTTGATGATCAAATTTATTGAAAATCGTAAACCAAGTGAGTTTTATAAGATTAAAATGGATTGAATAACTGAAAATAACATATAATTTATAAATATCTAAATTTACTCAATCTATTATATTACTTGGAGCTGTATACTCTAATATTCTATTAAAGTTCAACAAAAAGTCTCCATATCCTTCAGGAGCTTATAAGTATTTCATCTATAATAGATATTATAGTAATAAGATATTTTTGAATCTAAAATAATGAGTTGAAGTAAGTTTATCTCTTTTTAATTATAATATAGAGGTCTAAGGTACATCTCTATTATCATGGTAACTTTTAAACTTAACACTTGTTTGATCATGTTCCACTTTGAGATTATTGGCATAACAATCAATTAAGGAAGAGGATGTTCTTTCAATAATAAAATAAGCTCCTCTAGAGCAGAATATTTCTATCAAATCATTTAAATTGTATTTATGGGCGTATTATAAAAATGTTTGATCTGAGTATTGAAGAGCAGGTTTGTTTATATCCTAAAGATTACAAGTCAATTTACTTTTCCTAATTCATCACATAATAATTTTAAAGTCTCAAAATCATTATTTTAAAAAGCTGTTTATAGTAAAGTATATTGAGATAATGGATGTTCATGTAGTAGATCTTTTTTATGTAAATATTTCATTAGCTCATGATTACTGTATCTGACTGCATACATTCCAAGAGTCCAATAGTTTGGAGCAACAAGATTTTAGATATAATCTCTATGATTTTCTATGAATTATATTAATTCTTAAGTCTTGTTCTATTCAATCAAATTAAAAATGTGAGTTTTCAAGTTTTTTGGAGCAGAAATAAGACTCATTATTGATTTTTATTTAATAATATTGAGTAATAATTTAATTAATGATGTTTGCCTTTTTTTGTTTGACATCTTAAGTCTTAGCATATTTGAGTTTAGAATTAGGTTAAACATATAATGAGTATAATAAATCAAAATATTTTTTAATAGTGCTATTATACCTTGGCAAGGTGAGTAAAATTACAAATATTACCAAATTGATATAAAAAATGCAAAAATAAATAAAGATCTAATAATAGTTGTGAAATAGTAATCAACAATAGGAAATCCTGATATATACATTTCATCTTTGGATCAAAAACCTAATAAAAATTATTCAGAATTTTAATGCAATTCTTAAGGAATGGGTAATTAAATTGATAAATGTGATTATAGATATCTGTGTGATTCCATAACCAGAAAACAAGACTTATTATTTGGCAGTTTATTGTGAAGATTATTGTAGATATAATTTAAAAGTTGTTTATCAAGAAGAGTTAATAATGACTAATTGTAAATATTATTTATTAATAATAGCTGATGATTTGGAGTTTAAATTTAATAATACTAGTTGGACTGAAATAATTAGAATAAATATAAATTAGTTAAAATAATACCCAATTAAATAGAATTAAAATTTAGAAGTATCAATACAAGTTAAAAATGTTGAAATTTTATAAGAATCTTTCCAATCCTATATGAATTTAGGAATGTAAAGACCAACACCTTAAATATGTAATTTTAAAGGATTAGACACATTCTTAGGAATATAAAAGTTTAAGATTAATAATGTTAAGGCAAATTAAACTTATACACTTTTAATAGAAGCATAATCAGGAGCAATTATGTATATAAAAACAAGAACATATGGATCCACAAAGTTTATTAATGTTGGAGAATCCATTGAAGATGTAATATAAGAAAATGATTATGCATTCTATGTACTTAATGTTACTGCTGATCAAGAGTTATTCTATTTAGGAAAATTAATTTTGAATATATAATTAATATCATTCAAAGGTTATACTGAAATGTATGTAAATCTTGATGAAAATCCAGCATCATTAGAAGATTATCATTGGAAACTACATGATGGAGTTACAGATGATTTGATTATTACTAATGAAGATTTGAATCGTTTGAATACTAAAGGATATTATGTTTATATAGCTATCTTAGCAAAATAATCATTAGCTACATTTGAATTGAAAACACAGATGTTGAATCCTGATTTAATGGTTATTGAATTAAACAAGCCTGTTTTTAGTAAAATGAGTAAATCTAAAATTCATCAATATAAATTTTATATAAAAAGCAATAAAAAACAAAGTGTTAGTGTTAGTCTTAGAAATATAAGAGGAGATGCTGATATTATTGTAAAATCATGTAATGAATTTTGGACTTGTAATTTTAATGAAGAAGAACAAAAATAAATAATTTCTCAGAATTTTACTAATAATATTACTGATAATTAATATTATTACTCTTTCAAGTAAAATTAAAATTAAATATAATAGTCCAGGAAATGATATCATTATATTTGATTATCTACCAGTAATATGTAAGAATTATGATAATGTACACATGTGTTTCTATTCTATTTTGATTATTCCAGGTAATAATAATGTTGAAGATGAATTAACTTATTCTATTTTAATAACAACAAAATAAGATACTATAATTTTAAAAGAAAATACTCCTATTAAATAATTTGTATTTCATGAATTCTATAACTATTATAAATTTACAGTGAATGATAATGATAAAATCTAAAGATTATTTATTTAATTAACACCTATTTAAGGATCACCAAAGATTTATTCATCAAAAACTGATATATATCCAACAGAAGATTATAATGATCGTTAAGGTGTTTAGAATTTAATAACTTATGGTGACTAAACTGATTTAGAAACTATTAATGGAACTATATACATTGGAGTCTATGGAGAGACAGCTAGTTAATATATTATAACTGCAATAGTATTTAGAAAATAAGAAGACTGGGGAACTATTGGTAAATATGCCCATTAATATATATAATTAATTGAAGGTTAACCATAAGAAATTGTTACTGTTTATAAATATGATGTTTAACTTTTCAAAATTGATCTAAGTGGATACAATAATGAAAATTCATTAACTCATAATCAGATAAAAATATTTTTAAGAATCAATTCTGGTTAATTTATGATTTATGCATTTGATCATCCAGAAACTGATCTTAAAAAAGCTATTCAAACTGGATCTAAATATTTAATAATTAATAATGAATTCTTAAATAATCCATAATATTTATTTATTAGAGTTGAAACTAATCAATCAACTACTTATCCTCTTTACTCATATTCAATTAATTTTAGAGTTAGTTCTCAACCTATTGAATTAGTTATTGGAGATAACTATTAAGGTTTCATAGAGAAGTCTGATAAATAAACTTTCTTTGTAAACTTTTATAAAAAAGAAGATATATATATCAATTTTCATGTTTAGAATATCGATGAAACTATTTTATAAGCCACTATTTATATTGAAGATCGTATTATGATTATGAAAGATTAGAATATGATATTAAGTGCTAATTAAATTAAATATGAGAATTGTAAAAAGACTGAAGATATTGTTTCATGTTAAATTGTTATTGAAGTGTAATCAAGAGAAGATACTTAATTTTCCTTATTGATCTCAAAAGAATCCTCAATAATTAAACTTTATAATGAAGAACCTATTACTAAAACAATCACAAATCAATTTGATTTTTTCACATTTCTATTAACTGAAGAAACAGAAATAGCAATATTTTCTCTAACAGCTAATATTAGAATTTTAGCCAATATTAAATAATTGAATCCACCAAATTTAGAAGAATTTCCTACCAATGATGATGATTCTTTATTTTAGTCTTTAAATGATAAAATTGAAATGGAAAGTTCCATTTTTATATCATTAGATGACATAGAAAAATCAAATTGCTATAATACTCCTTGTTATGTTGCAGTAACTTGTACTACTGCAGATCCATTAAATAAAGATAATGGAGAATATACAATAATACGATAATCTGGTGCAGTTAAACTATTTGAAAAATTTATATATTCAGGTAAAATTAATTAAAATTAAATTAAATATTTTAAAGTTGTAGATGTTAAAGAATCAACTGGACTTCAAATTTTTATTACTTCATCTGAAATGAATAAATTAACTATATTAGCAAGTATTAATTAAATGCCTACTTAATAATCTTATGATTTTTCATCCAGTTTCAATTTTGGAGATTATTTATTAATACCTCCAAATATCGATTCAGATCAAATAGTAACATATTAGTATATAATATTTAAATTATTATAGCATAGGTGTTTTTGCTTTCTAAGATATAAAAGTGTCAATTTATGTTAAAATGGGACTTGCACGTTTTTATCCTATTTTTATTTAAAAACCATTAAGAGTTCATTTACCTTCAAATTCAACAACTTTTCTGTAATTTAATTGTGGTTCTTATGAAACATTACGTATTCTAATAAGTTCAAATTCTTTAAATGAATACATAAAACCTAAAATTCATATTAAATCCTATTAAAGAAATGAATTATCATCAGTCTTGAATACTATACAAAATGAGTATTTATTATTTTATATATAGATATCATTGGTAAATGGAAGATTATTATTTAGAAATAACAAATACTTCAGAAAATTACTGTGAAAATTGCTAATATATGATCTATCTGGAAAATAACTATTAGGATATCTTATTAACTTTAACAATATTGAAAAAGGATTCTTTAATCTAATTATAAAATAATTTAGAAATAAAAAATTTACTAAAATTTAATTAGTTTGATAGATATCTATATGCTCCTAAAGATTAGGGTAATTTCTATTTGAATGTAACAGTTTTTAAAGGAAAAATATATTTATATGAAAAAAAAGATGATTCAGATTAGGAATATTCTAATCTACGTCTAATACTTGAAGAAAATGATGGAACCCTTGATCATCTGAATTATTAAGTAGCAAGTCGTGAAGGTATTAATGCCAATCGATCATTACGTATAAGTAATTTGAAAGAAAACTATAATCTATCAGTTTATGAATTCAAAGTATTTTCTAATTTTACATCTTAAACAATTTATTAAATAGAAATCATAGATTAAAATCAAGCTATTGAATTGAAAATAGGATAACCATAATAATTAAAAATTAATTAACATCAATAAGCTCAATTATATTTTATTATTCCAAATAGAATAGATAATTATACTGATGATTATTATTCAATAACAATTGAAATTACAAGCCTTTTGCATGATAGAATCATTCGTGCTCCAGCATTTACTTTAAAATAAGATAGATATAACAATCCTGATATTTAATCTAATTATCATGATTTCTTTAATGCTTAAATATCTGTATTACAAGAATTAGATACAATTACATATATATAAATACCTAGCATAGCAGGTCTATATTTTCTATCCATAAATCCATAAGAAATAAGTAATTAATAATATTTTATAATGTTGGGTAACAAAGATTTTAATATTTTAACACCAAAATCATATAGATTAATTAGAACAAAAGTTGGTGAATAATAAATTTAGGAAATTCACATTAAAGAATCCTCTAAATTATTTGTGTAAGCTTAATTATGTGGAGGAATTGTAAATATATTTGGAAGTTCCTCTAGAGATAATCTAATTATGGGCTATTATGAAAATAAAATAGATTCCATATAAAATAAACAATTAATTGGAACAATTTCAATTGTCTAACCTAATATTTATTACTTAAATACTAAAACCATTAAAAGTACAACTCAATCAGATTTTGTCTCTTATATATTACGATTTGATATTATAAAAGAGGATACTATAGTACCTATTGATCATTTCTATCCAGGAGATGGTGGAGAATTTTAAATATCTTTAATTGAAAATTAATTATATTTTTATTTCTCTCCTATTTAATCATCTGAAAAGTCAAGTTAAAATTATGTATTAGAAAGTATTACATATACTTTTATCTATTAATAATAAAATTTAAGTGATAATTCATCATTAGATAAATGTAATCAAAATTCATAATACTAATAATTTACTATTAGAAGAAGTTAACATGATCCTTAACAAACTCTGACTTAAAGAGCTAATTATGAGGGAGATAATTATGAAAAAATATTAGCCACAATATAAGCAACTGGTATATCAGTATTTTTATTATTTTAGTAAATATAAAAACTAAAAATTATGAGAAATTAAAATTATCATACTTTTATAATACATAAATATTAGAAGCAAAAATAGTAACAAATAATTTTTTTGATGAAATTAGTAGGGGATTATTTACTATTTTATTTACACTATTATTATTTATATTATTCTTATTGCTCATAAAATATAGAAATTTTAAATAGATGTAAATATTTTACTAATTTAATAGGATTAAATTTGAAGCATAAACATAAGTATCTAGTAGATAATAAGAACAATAAATTGAAATGAATTATACAAATTTAGGATGAGGTTAAACTTTGTGAATTTTTTAATCTATTTTATAATATCAAATATCATCATTTTTTAGTTACACCATACATACTTATTACTAATTATTTTAATATTAATTTTCATAAATACATTTAAATAAATATATAAAGGTTTTTAATTAATAAAAATCTAAATGAATTTGCACAATTTCAATTAAATAGCACTAACTGCATCAAAGTTTTGGAAATATGAATTAAATAAATCCAATAAGATTGAAAAAGAAATATCAACTAAATGTGGTTGTCATGATATAGAACCAACTTTAATAGAAATTTCAACAAATAAAATTCAATAATACTTATTTCCACTAGAAGAAAACACAAATTTATGTTAGGATTCTTGATTTATATTTTCATCCTTTCAATATAGAATTAAATATTCATATATAATTTCTTATTTTTCATGTATCAAAAACTGTAATTAAGAATAATCTAATTGAAAATAATTATCATTTGAAAATAAAAATATAGTTACAGACATCATCTTACAAGATTCTGAATATTTTTCATTAAATCAATAGAACACTATATGTTAATTTAAATAAATAATATCTATTTCAATCAAATACAAGATTTTAGTTTAGAGATTAGTAAATATATCAATATTTCTAATTTTTTTTGAAAACAAATAATTACGTAATTTAAATATAATTATTCGTAGTGTTATTTTAAAAATTTATATTCATTAATTTGATTACAAAAATCAGTCTTAAGATTCTGACATTTAAGAATCTAAATCTTTATCTGAATGCTATTCATCTTCATCATCATTAATATCCTCTTCCTCATGAATTTTTTCTGCATAAAGTGATTCAGTTTTGTGTTAAATACCAACTAGTTTTTCTAAATCCATAATTCTTTTATGTGAAAAAAGTATAGATTATCTAATTTTATTTGATTGAGTACTATATCTGTAACTTTTCTCTATTTAATGCTTCAATCTCTCTCATGAGTTTATAATTCTCATTTTTTTCTTCATGCAATTTCTCCTTCAATTTACCATGAAATACTTTTAACATAGGTTATAGCTCTCTAATATTGGTAATATTGTCACTATTTATTTTTTCATTCATTGCTTTTAATTCTTCCTAAATTTTTAGTATATTGATTTACTTCTGTCTTCTTTATTAATTCCTTATACTCAGCTAATGAATCTTAAAGCTATTTTATCGATGTTGAATAAAGTGTACTCATGGCTGCTACATTATCACTTGCACTCATTCTGGTTTTGTATTTCTCATCTAAGTTTACAAACTATTTCGATTTCTCATCATAGATATCTGGAGGTTCATACAACTATCCCATCCCAGCTCTAGCAAGGACATTAGATACTGATTTGCTGACTTCATCTCCTTGGAGGAGCTAAGCTGTTACATTATCAAACCTTTAGTGATTTTTAATTAGTCAGCATTATGTCTTTCGGAAGGTAAGGACCATTATTCTACCCCAGATTCAAACTGTACAATCCTCCTTACTTACTTGGCTTTTCTTAAGTTCTCATTATTAATAATAATAAATATTAATATAATACTAATATATCATTAGAATATAGAGTCTTTAAAGTAGTTTTCTTTGCTTCTTAGGGTTTATTGGGAATTTTATGGTCGTTTTTCATAGACTGATCTTTGAATGCCTCTTTTTTAATTATCCCTAGATGGTATATCAATCTATTCTGGTTTTTGGTAGTGAAGATCAGAATCATAAGATCTTGGAATAAAGGGTGCTCTTTTTGGATATTGAATGGGTTCAGATTATTTATCTCTGATCTAAGAGTATTATAGATAAAATTTATACATTTTCACTATCATAATTTGGAATATGATAATTTGGAGTATCAAGTTTTGATGTCTATTAAAAATCAGGATGATTTGGATGTTTTCTTTGAGGTAAATCATAATAGTGTTATTCTTATTCATCTTCTATTTAATCTCTATAATATTATTCTGGAATGAATGGAGCAGGCCTAGATTAAGGTGGATGAGGTAATAATGGTGGTTAATGAGGTTACTATTAGTATTATGGTTAATGAGGTTATTATGAGTATTGTGGTTAATGTGGTTAATGTGGTGATTATAATTATTATGGGTATTATAGTTAATGTTTTTATTATGGTTATTAGGATTAATGTGGTTATTATTGATGTTGTGGTTAGTGTGGGTTTATTTAATGTTATTGTTAATGAGGTTAATGTTAATTTAATTAATGTTATGGTATTTAGGGTAATAAATGGGGAGGTAATTAATTTTATGGATGACTAAATTAATGTGAGTAAGGTGGAGGTGGTGAATCAAATTATGGAGGAGGTGGTGGTAAAGGGGAATTCAAGGAGATTTATCCTTGAATTTAGTGGGAATCAAATTATGGTGGAGGTGGTGGTTAGGGGGAATTCAAGGAGATTTAACCTTAAAATTAATGAGGAGGAGGTGGCATATTCATAGTTGGAAAGTCTTTGGGTGTATAATTAAATGGTTGCAATGGAAGATGAGGAGGAGGAGGTGGTATAGGAATTTCAGTTGGTTTGTTCAGAATTCTTGGAGGTGATTATTAAAGTTAAGATCTCACTGAAGTTAATGGTGCTTGTTAATAAGCAGGAACGGTTGGCATTCTGGTCATTTAAGTAGGTGCATGAACCATTTATAATTATGGAGGTCTTGGAATTACAGTTTATTGTAAAATAGGTGGTTATTAGACAACAGTGGGAACCATATGTACTTCTTTAGGAGGTGATAGTCGAACAGTTCTTTCTGGTGAAATAGTTTCTGTAGTGACTGGTACATATTCTGTTATTTCATGTGTTACAGGAACTTAAATTTTTTTTTTTCTAGTTTCATATTCAATAATTTTCTTTTCAACTGGTATGTATTCTGTAATAGTTTCAGGTTACAAATTTGTAAAATCAGCCATAGATTGTTGTTATTGAATTTATAAATCCTATCTAGCCTATTCAGATTAAGCTGTTTAATTTATCATAAGATTGTGCAATTAATTTTAAAGCAAATAATTATGATGATGCATTTGTAGCATTTATTAAAATTATTCATTCCATTATTATTACATCATTTATTATTACAGATTTTATGGTAACTATCTTGATCTAATATACTAATCATTATATTAGTATTATGGCTGTTATTATTATTATTATTATTATTATTACTATTGTTATTGTTGCTATTGTTATTATTATTAATATTATTGTTATTACTATTATTATTACTATTATTATTGTTATTATTATTGTTATTACTATTATTATTGCATTTAATAATTTTGATCTGATGCTAATGGACCCTAGAGTTATGTGAATGTTGGTGGATAGAATGTTATTGGTTAAGGTTTGATGCTCATTTGACTTGGTTACTGAAAATATTAGGACTCAACAGTTTAACTTGTGTATTGAGGTAGTTGAGACATTTGTTATTGTTACTGTTAATTAAATTAAATCATGCTTTTTCTCAATTGAATATTTTTGTTATAATTAATAAACTCATATTGTTTTATAGTTTTATTTCTTCATATAAGTATTAGTTAATGATAATACTTCCATTACTCAATTATAATATTTATAATAATGAAAAAAGATCGTCAATCTTTACTTTCAAATGAACCTTTCAAAATAGGGGATATTCCATATAAAGCCTATTTAGTATTGAAGCAACCTCAATTAGATGAACCAGAAAAGGCCTAACTTGTTCATTAGCTTAACGAACATACTGTCTAAGTTAAGGATTAATAGTACTAATTTAGTGGAGTCTTTGCAAACAAGAACTCTAATGAAGACATTTACAAGGCAGTTTTTAGGGATTTGATTTCACATTTTTTGGCTGGAGAATCTCATATGATTTAGATATTAGGTGAACGACATTCAGGTAAAGCTACTCTAGGTATTGGAAATATGAGAAATCCAGGACTTGTACTTCTTATTATGTAGGAGATCTTTAATTTTATTGAAGAGAAATTTTTGGAGAATAACATTACAATAAAAATGAGTGCATTTGAGTATGATGAAACTGGTTTTAAGGATTTATTAGTATTGGATTCATAACCCTTTATGCCAGTATTTTAGAATGGTTAGAATTAATTACTTGGGATTCCAGAAGTAATTATCGATAATTATCTTTTGGGAATGAAAATATTAAGAATTGCTATGGTAAATCTCATTCATAAAGAATAAAATATACTTAGTCAAAAATTTGTAGATAGACATAAACGAACTAATTTAATTATTGAGTTAAAGGCTGAGATAAGTCCAAATGATGATATTAAAGAATAGGTGATAATTTCTAAACTCAAGATAGTTAAATTTAGTGGTACTTTTGAATTTGGATAAATATATAAGACAATGGCTGATTTAACTACAAAAAGAAGAAAACATGTAGATGTACCATTTAAAAGTGTAGAATTATTAGATTACTTTAGAGATTATTTATTAAATTAAAAATAGACAATTTTTGTATGTATTAATAGTGATAGTGTGGAGAGTGTTAAATTAGGATCACTTATTGGATAGATAATGAATAAATCTCAATTCTTGACATTTTCTATTTATTAATAAAATGCATAATTAAAAGATATTATGAGTAATTAATATGAATCATTAAATTTGTTTCATAAAGAATTTTATCAATACAATGAGAGTAAGAAGGAAAGAGGTAAAATTATCTTTAGTATTTTGATTGGAATGGCAAATCTATATAAAACAATGTTAAAGTTATTTGATTAAGCAAGTGAAATAAAGTATAAATTGAATTGTTTATATTCATAAGTTATAAGTTTTCATTGTTCAAAATATAATAACATAATTAATACAGAAGATTGTAAAGAATTTTATTTGGCCAAAATTCAATTATATGCTATAGAATAAGTTTAAACAGTTGAATAAACTTGTTAAACATTAGCAATTGAATTATTAAATGATTTATTTTTGAAAAATCAACAATTGATTAAATTAAGAAAAGAAATGATATAGTTTGGTAAACAATTTAATAAATATTAATAATTATCTTAATATGATTTACAAAGACTCAATAATACACATTAATTGGTGACTAAATTATTAATCATATTCGAATAAAGATTAGGTTATAATATTTTAAATTAAATTGATTTAAAATATTATCAAATGTTTGATAATGTATTTGATATAGCATCACTCTATAAAGAAGATGTATAGATATAAAATTAGGATACTTAAAACTAAACTCAAACTTAGAATATTAAAAAGTAAACCTAATTGAATACTACAAAATTCTTTAAGCCAACTTTACCTAGTAAAAAAGAACCTCCTTAGAGATAAAGATTTACTGATGTAGTATAATAATTATTTCATGATGAAAATACAAAAGAATATTATTCAGCTAAATCAGTATTTGGATTAACAAAAATAAATGATCAACCTTAGATGAGATAGACAGTAAAATCAGAACTATTTGATAAATTATAATCTCGTCAAACTAATAATATTAAAGCCATAGTGTTAGAAGAGTAAAAATATAGGTATATTTAAATAATAAAATTTTTAGATTCTTTAGATCAACAGGAGTTGGATTCTTAAAGAATTCATATAGAAGTGGAAGTTTGAGAGCTCATTCATAAATGTTACCTAGAATTGTTTAATTTGAGAGTGTTGATCATACTAATTAAAATTAATAAATTTGATTATCTAGATTATTTCTTTATTTTAAAATAAATTGATATTAATAAATATGAACATTAATAACTAATTACTTAAGATAGTGCAAGATGTAAATAATTTATAATGTAACTTTACAGATTTAAGTGGTTATTAAGAGTGACTTTGAATTCAAGCCTAATTTAGATGATATTATAAAGATTCTTAAGTAACAGGTGGCAATTTTGATTGAATTAGTACAACAATAAAAAGGAGTAGATTATGATTAATTGGAAAAAGCAGTATAAAAGGCAGAAGCTGAAATTCGTAATCATGTGAGAGTAATATATTAAGTAATTTACTAGTTAGAATAATAAATGAAGTTATATTCTGATAGTTTGTAAGAGAAAATAGATTAATTGGAGAAGGAGAAGTTAGAATTGATAGAAAAGGTATTAATTATGATTATAATTTTAAGAACAAAGGTTTGTTAACAGGTTAAGAAAGAAAGATATCTTCTCAAAACTAAACTAGAGAATCTAGTCCTAGCTTGTTTAAAAAATCATACATTTTAGGGAATCAAGTGTATAACAGATAATAAGGTAATCAATAAGAAGGTTGCGTTTCTGTGATTTAGTAGAATTGTGATAGTCAATTAACTAGAGAGAGACGAAGTTCTGGGACTTAACACTCATATATAATGATGAAAAACATGTAAAGAACATAATTTATAGAGTAGTCGTGAGAAAGTGAATATGAATGCTTCATAGGAGAAAGTTAGTGATAAGAGTTCTACTATTCTGAAATCATAAAATAGTACTTCTTTATTAAAGATGTACAACATCCAAAAACTCATCATAAAAAATTAGTAGGATAAACAATTACAATAACTAAAGAAGTAATGTTTGTGTTTTTATTATACTTAGCAAAACTATAAATTAGATTTTAGATGACTCTCAAGCTACTAAAAAGAAACCTTGATTTATTAATCGTTATCTCATAATATATAATTTATACCGTTCAATTATTTTAAATTTAAACTCAAATGTCTGAAAGAGTTAAAGTAGCAGTTCGACTTCGTCCTTTAATTGAAGAGGAATTAATTTGTAAAGATAAATCCATTTGTGTTGAAACTATCGATCCCAATAAAAAATTGATCATCAGTAAATATATCAATATATATATTAGTCAAGAAGGATTTTGAGAAAAGACAATTTCAATTTGATACAATTTTTGATTCAAAAGCATCTTAAAATTAGGTTTACAATGATATAGCAAAAGGAGTTGTTGGAGTATACTTATAATAATCTATAATAAATTTAGAGTGTAATCAAAGGCTTTAATGGTACTATATTTTGTTATGGTCAAACTGGAACAGGTAAAACATACACCATGATGGGTAAACTTGATTCTGATGAGAAGGGAATCACTCCACGTACTTTTGAATAAATATTTAATGAAATTCAAGCAGACACTAATAACATATACACTGTGTAATTGGGTTATTTGTAAATATATATGGAAATGGTATTGTTTAGATAATAAATTTAGTTACTTGATTTAATAAGACCTGATAATTAAGATGTGAAAATAAGAGAATGTCCAGATAATGGTGTATTTGTATCAGGATTAGAATGGATGGAAGTTGAATCACCTTAAGAATGTCTAAGTATTATGAATTTTGCAGAAAAAAATAAAGTAGTTGCATTCACTAATTTAAATGCTCATTCATCTAGATCTCATTCTATGCTTGTAATCAAAGTAGAGAAGAGATAATCTAAATAACATTCAAGATCTATGACTATTTCAAAAAAACCAAGTTCCAAATTATAAAACTATTCTTAAGATATGATAACAGAAACTGATGAAAGTATATTATCATCAGGTAATTGTGTTGGAACATTATATCTTGTTGATTTAGCAGGAAGTGAAAGAATCAAAAAATCAAGAGCTACAGGAGATCGTCTTAGTGAAGCTAGATCTATCAATTATTCACTTACAGCTTTAGGAAAATGTATTCATGCTTTGACTGGTCCAAAATCTACATTTGTTCCATTTAGAGATTCTAAATTAACTAGAATTCTATAAGATGCTCTTGGTGGTAATTGTAAAACTGCATTAATTGTGAATATTGGTCCTGCTGGTAGACATGTTGAAGAAACTCTATCTAGTCTTACTTTTGGAATGAGAGCTATGAAAGTTACAAATACTCCATAAATTAATTAAAATGTTGATTATGAAGTAAGAATTAATACATATTCTTTTTATAGTAATTAAGTTTATAACTAAAAATGGAAATAGAAATGAAAGATGAGATCATATAAAAATTGGAATAATAATAAATCAAATATCTCTAATAAGTAAGAATGGAATCTAGTAACAGTAATCTTAGTAGTTCAGATCATCAATATAAAGTTAAATTAGAAAAAGCTGAAGAAGAACATAAAGCATTTTTGGAAGAAATAGACAATATGATGGTAGAATAAGAATAAGAAAATGAAGAACTTAAAAAACAATTAGGTTAAGTTATGTAAGAATTGGAAGATTACAAAAATAGAGAACANATGGTATTGTTTAGATAATAAATTTAGTTACTTGATTTAATAAGACCTGATAATTAAGATGTGAAAATAAGAGAATGTCCAGATAATGGTGTATTTGTATCAGGATTAGAATGGATGGAAGTTGAATCACCTTAAGAATGTCTAAGTATTATGAATTTTGCAGAAAAAAATAAAGTAGTTGCATTCACTAATTTAAATGCTCATTCATCTAGATCTCATTCTATGCTTGTAATCAAAATAGAGAAGAAATAATCTAAATAACATTCAAGATCTATGACCATTTCAAAAAAACCAAGTTCCAAATTATAAAACTATTCTTAAGATATGATAACAGAAACTGATGAAAGTATATTATCATCAGGTAATTGTGTTGGAACATTATATCTTGTTGATTTAGCAGGAAGTGAAAGAATCAAAAAATCAAGAGCTACAGGAGATCGTCTTAGTGAAGCTAGATCTATCAATTATTCACTTACAGCTTTAGGAAAATGTATTCATGCTTTGACTGGTCCAAAATCTACATTTGTTCCATTTAGAGATTCTAAATTAACTAGAATTCTATAAGATGCTCTTGGTGGTAATTGTAAAACTGCATTAATTGTGAATATTGGTCCTGCTGGTAGACATGTTGAAGAAACTCTATCTAGTCTTACTTTTGGAATGAGAGCTATGAAAGTTACAAATACTCCATAAATTAATTAAAATGTTGATTATGAAGTAAGAATTAATACATATTCTTTTTATAGTAATTAAGTTTATAACTAAAAATGGAAATAGAAATGAAAGATGAGATCATATAAAAATTGGAATAATAATAAATCAAATATCTCTAATAAGTAAGAATGGAATCTAGTAACAGTAATCTTAGTAGTTCAGATCATCAATATAAAGTTAAATTAGAAAAAGCTGAAGAAGAACATAAAGCATTTTTGGAAGAAATAGACAATATGATGGTAGAATAAGAATAAGAAAATGAAGAACTTAAAAAACAATTAGGTTAAGTTATGTAAGAATTGGAAGATTACAAAAATAGAGAACAATCTTTAGAATAAGATATAGAGGAGTTTAAGAATGTTTAGTAGTAATTAGAGAATGAATTAGAGGAAGCTTTAACAAATGTAATACAATTTTATTAATATAATAGAAGAATGAATTTGCAGATACTATAAATTAATTACAATAGAAATTAGAAATGAAGGATAAAGAAATTTAAGAACTAAAATAATCAACTTTCTTATCTACCAAAAATAATGATGTCATTAAAATATCAAAGGAAAAATAAAATTAAATGTGGAGATCAGAATTATAATAGATAACTTCATAATATGCAAATAAATTAGAAGAAGTAAAAAGATTAGAATTTTAATAATAAGAAAAAGAAAATAATAATATAGTAGAATATAGATAACGAAATGAGGAACTTAGTTTATAAGTTAAATAATACAAATATGAATTATCTTAATGGAAAGAATAAGAGTAATAATTAATATATAGTAATTAATAACTTGATGAATATATACAAAAATAAAAAGAAGTATTTTAATAAGAATAATCTTAATTATTAATTTAAATTAAAGATCTTGAAACAGTCAATAATGAAATTACAAAAAGGCTTGAATAATATGAAATCAAATTAAAAAAATAAAAAGAACATTAATAATAAAATGAATTTGCCTATTAACAAGAATTAGATACAAAAAATGAACATCTTAATAAAATTTAAGTAGAATATTTTGAAATTTAAAAATAAATTACTCTAATTAAAGAATAATATTCTACTATTTAGACAATTAATTAATAAAAGCTTAAATAATTAAATCATGATAATTAAATGCTTATTAATAAAAATGCTGATTATTAATTATAAGTATAACAATTAATTGAAAAAAATAATGAACTTTTACAATAAATTTAATAAAGCAAAAATTCACAATATACTAATTACAATTAATATTTAAATAATTCTAAAGTTGAATACTAAGCTAATTAATCATATGTAAATGAATAAAATTTTGATATTGAATTGAAGAAATCAATTACTGTTTCTGGTGTTAATGAAGGGTAAATTGTTTTTGAATTGTAAATTAGAATATAATAATTGGAAGATTATATTGATTAATTATAATCTTAATTAAAAGTAAAAGAAAACTTTATAGAGGAACTATAATTAAAGTGTACAAAGTAATAGAAGGAATCAGATTAATTAAAATTTTAAATGGAATCATTTTCAAAAAGATCATAATAATCTTTATAAAGAATGGAAGAAACTATGTGTTAAGAAGTAGTTAGAAATGTTTTAGAAAAAATGATATTTTAAGTAGAATTAAATTCTTTTGAATCAGATGATATTAGTAGTCGTGCTCCAGATAGTGATTTAAAACTTTAGATGAAATCATTTTCTAAATAAGAAAATGCTTAATTAGTTGAAAGTTTATTTATAAATTCTAGATAAAGTTAACATAATGCAATAGTTGAATGTGATGAAGAAGAAGATAATTCATCAGAAATAGATTATTAATTACCTAAATTCAGCTAATCTGGTAAGAAGATATAGTAAAAATTGAGAATGTCAAAAAGTAGATAAGATTCTGTCTTTTCTTTTAGTGAAAAACAATAAAAGAAAGATACTGTTTCACTTTATGATGATTTAAGTGAAATTAATTAATAGTTTGATGTATAAAGCCCAAGATCACATTTAGATGAAATACAATTTTAAATTGATTTTAATGATGTAAATGCTGTAGATAAATTTATGTCATAAATGAAAAAGAAATAAGTGTCTCTTATATAAAATACTGATTTATCTGTAGGTTCAATATAATAAGCACATAGTCCTCAATATATAGATAGTTTAAGTGAAAAGAAAGAAAAATTAAATTCAAGGTAAATTATAATATTAATTATAGGATTGGGAATGAAGAATTATAAGAAGTAATTAAAGTGATGGCATAAATGTTAGTTGAAAAAAGTAAGACTGAATAAACAGTAACCAATAATACATTGGAAACCTTAAGAGCTTCCTTATTAGATTTTAATAATTTATGCAATACTTTAACAACATACTTTTTGTGAAAAAGTTTAATTTTTATTTATTTTTTTCAATTTAAATATTATTGATTAACAATGAATGTTTTAGATAGAAATCTAATACTTATTGTATTAATTATATTTTAATTATTTATCAACATATGCACATTTTAGTATTCACAATTTTAAAATATATCATAAATTGGCTTCTTCATCTAATTTTTACCTCTTAATTCCAATCTAATCTAAGAGTTACATTGATAAATTTTATATTTCTTTACTATCATCACTTAAACTGTTCATTAAGATAAGGATTAGATTGTTCTCAAAATTATTCAAATTTTGTATAGAAAAGTGCATTAGTAATTCTGCAACTGCAATCAAAGTACCTTTTCTTACATCAGATGATTTATCTAATGAGAGATTCCTTAAATTATTTAATACAATCTCTAGGAATGTTCCATTAGTTCTACTTAAAAGAATTGGAGCTATACTCTTAAAGATATTTAATGAATTTTTACATCAACTGTAGCCTTTCTAATTTTCGTATGGGCATGTTACATATTAAAATTTAGAGATTTGACTGCTTCTCCCATAAATTCTCCAATTGGTAACTTTTTTGATATTTCAGCTGCAAATATAGCTGCATCCTAAAATATTAAATATTAATGTACTTTTTTAACTTCAGGAAAATTGTCTTGAAGAGCTTTTCCTATCATATGTGCTAATTTTTATAGATTATTTGTATAGGCATCAATATGTTTCACTTAGATTTGATGTAACAATTTTATTAATGATAATCGTATTTCTTCACTGGTTTCTGCAAATGGTAATTGATTGAGTCTATTAATAACTGTATCAATAATTAGTCTAAGAGACTCTGTATTAAATTGTTAATTATGAAGATCAAGATAATTTAATACTATATTAATAGCAGTTTCTCTATTTCTTTCTACTTGATCTTCAAATACTCTTAAGAGATTCTTAAGTGTATAAGCATCAAAAATATAAATGCGCTCTGAAGGATTTGATTTGACTTTAAAGAAATCCTAAAGTTTTGACAATCCTTATTTCCTCAGATTTCTATCCTAAAATAATAGCAAGATCACTCACTTAATCGATAATACAATTAATATCTCTTTAAAGCAATTTAATTTAATCTTCAACGAAATTACGATCAATATTTGGTTCGGTAAGCATCTAATATAAAGTATTTTAATTAAAATGGTAAATCCATAAATAAAAATTGGTATTAATACATATATATATATATAGTATTACTATTCTTTTAAAAAGATAGATCTTTATAATTATAGATATGAATCTTAAAGAGTTTAATATATGTAATATTGAATAATCAATTAAATATAATAATTTCAAAATATAGTTGTTTAATTAACGGTATCTAAGGCTGTTTTTAAAAATGGAAGATTACTTATGTCTTTATTTTCTTAATTCTTGATAATAACATCAGTTGTTGCATTGATACTCATTATTCTATCTCTTTCAAGTCTATATGTTTCAGTATATGAATTTTTTTTCATAAATTTGAAATTCTTATATTAATTGTTTTTCATTGATTATAATTAGGTATTCCTTTTGATAATTTGTTTAGGAGAGACACTATTATATATTTATTTAAGTTCTGAATTTTTTTGATGAACTTTAGGAAGTAGCGGTTTAAGAGTTAGTTACTCATTTACCAATTGTTATTACTCAGTATTATATTTTTTAATGATTTCTTCTAGAGTATGTCTTAATTGATGTTCTTATGGTAAACACTATTCTGATAATAGTAAAGCAGATTAAAATATCTTCTTGGATTCAAATTATAATTTTAGATGTTCCATTTCAACTCCTAAATTATGATATGCAACAACTAATATAGACATTCTCTCTTATTATTTTTTAGTTTCATTACAATGTGATTTAACACTATTAACATATTATACACTTGATTATCTGGATGGGAATACTTAATATTGTATATTTAGAAATACATTATTCATTGGGTTAATCTTATCTTTATTCAGGTTTTTAGAAAGTAGAAATGAGTAATTCATGTTGTAACATAATGATTGATAAATAAATGTGTTATATGGCTTCTTCATGTCTTTCTAATTAAGAAAGTACTGCACATAGATTTAAGTAAATGTCAGGAAGTGAAGTGGATTGTTTTTATCTAATATAAAGATTATCAATACTATAATTCAATTGATAATGCTTATTGTAAATATTAAAGAGCTGTTCTAGTTTTACCCATCTTTCTATAATAACAAGCCAAATTATTAAAAGTTTAAACCTATGTTATCGTTAAATCAAACCTTTAATTCTGGAACATAAATAGTTGCCAATTCAGCCTTTCGTAAATATTCTATACATTATTCATAATTTTATTTTTATAATGCTATTAGACCTTGTTGATTCAATAATTTACACAATATATGATTCTATTTCATCATCTAATAATTTAGTTAATTTCAATCACTTACTGTTACATCATTTAAACCATACATTGTTGTTCTTTTAAGAATAGAATTCTCTAATTGTTGTATATACTTTTCAACCTTTCCCTCACTAAGATTTGTTATATCAATATTCTCTGTGTCTGACATTAAATTAATTAAATAAATGAGTTCTCCAGACACTAATTCGAATAGACATCAAACTAAAAAGAAGACTAAACTTGATTCTAATAAATCTTACTCTTTCTATGATTCCTTTGTTACTAGAAAAGACATCATTAAATTGGCCTCTTTGGAAACATAAAATCAATAAAAGGAATTTCTTAAAACTGTCATCATTCGATTTGAAATAGGACACAAAAAAGGAGGAGTATTCAATTTCCCAGTTTATGAACTCATCTCTTTTTAATATTATTAGACTTAAACAATATCAAAAGTAAATTACATATCAATATATTACTAGGCTACAGAAGAATCTTAATAATAATGTAAATTGGCTGTCTTTTCAGAATACTTATTGTAAATGTATCATTATCTTAAAAATTATACATTTGAATAAAAATCAACCTTTATGTCATTAGGATTTTACATATTTGTAGAAAGTTTAGAACGTAAAATCACATAAATTGATTCATATGAAATATTCAAAAGATTACTCAGACCTAAGATATTATTGACAAATACACATAATTTACCCATTTTTACTTAAGAACACATTATGGAATTCAATAAATTTATGACAAATTATTTTTACAGGTGATCAACCTATCTTTATTTAGATATTATTCATTATATGAATTAAGAATGACCACTTATCAAGAAGTCAATATATTTAGTAGATTAAAAGGAGAGAATCCAGTTTAAATTGAAAAAGAAGAAGATAAAGATTCTATTTAAGAAGAAGATGAATTCAATTTTAAAGATGTAGAAGTTCATCTAGAAGATGAAATCTAACCTGAATAAGAAATCAAGAAGATCAATGAAAAAGATGAAGAATAAATTGAGAAAGTATTAGAATAATACAAATTAAATTGGAATACAAGATTAGATGGTTCATAATTATTATAAGAAGCAGAGAAAATATTAACAAAGAAAAAATGATATAGTTTTAATTATATTTATATTTTCATATAATTTTACTTGCAATCTTTTATTAACTTCTATTTAAGATAGATAAAATCTTAAATAGATTGATTTAATTCAATAATTATTCTTGCAACTTTTTATAATAATATTCATTTCTGTATTTAAAGTTTAAAATTTATAACATATTTAAAGATATCTGATTATTTAAATCCACTTAATAGTTAATAAAAAATTAAATAATTTTAGGCAAAATGAGAAAATTCCAATTATATAATATATTATTCATTAGAATTCATAATTAATTTCAAAAAGTAATAAAAAGAAAGAAGAATATCAATAAACATATCAGATTAAATATATGAATTAAAGTAACATAAACTAATATATTTAAGAACTTTAGTGTAAATTCTAAATACATAATCATTTAATTCAATAATTAATGTTTGATACTTAATTAGTATACATTATCATTCATGTATCTTTAAAAGTATTTAAAGTGAGGGAAATATTATAGTGGATAAGAAATATTATAATTAATTGTTGCTTTATAACTCCAATTTTATCAACCATAAACAAATTCAACGAAAATCATAATTAATATTAATTATAATATGTATCAGTTTAATAAAGTTTTTAGTTTAAATTTACACTTTGTAAATTAAGGTTCTTTATTAATTTTATTTTTTTGAGAAACAGGATTTATTTAAGATATAAAGTTACAGTAATCACTTGATGAATACATCAAATTTTATAATAAACTATTTTATTTCTAAGTCACTAACATACTCTATATAAATTTTTATCGATATTAAATATTTGAGTTTTTTCTTGATGATTTACGTGGTGCAGAAATGATAATCCTTTATATTATTTTAGTTGAGGTTGGAGTACTAACAAGTATTCCTAAATCTACAAATTGATTTTTTTGTTGACAACTTATAGGTCTTTAAGGAGTAAGTGGTATTTCAGTGTTTAATTATCTAGGTTGTATATGAGATTTTGGTTGTTTAAATGATATAAATTAAGTATTCTAGTTTTTCTACTTTACAGGGATAATTGGTGCATCCCATGGTTCTGCTATAAATTCAGTTTCAAATTTATAAAGCAATTGATTTTTTATTGGAATCTACGAAAATTCTCTTTTTGTTTGCTCTATGTTCAACAAATCAATTTGAGGATCATGAGACATTTAATATTTATATTATTATTTTATTAAATCATACAAAAATTATTATTTTTAATAAAAAATAGATTTATGATTATACAATTTAATAATTTAAGAGTTGGTTGAGAATAATTTATTTTAACCAATTTTATTATGATGATCCTATTATATTTGTAAATAATAATTATACTAAAAGTCACAATTATTTCATTTATTTATATAAATGTCTCTTCCTATTTTAGTAAAATCAATTAAATTTTTATAATGTTCTTCAACAATATATAATATAATTTAGGTATTTTTAAAAGAAATTCAAAAAGTGAATTATTATTAATAATATATAATAGTTTAAAAATGAAAGAATATTATAATATATATGAAAATATTAAAGATATTAAGTAATCTTGAATTTCAATATAATTTACTTGTATTTAAATTATATTTTAAAAAAATAGATAGAAAGAATGCATTAAAGATAGATGAAAGAAAGAAAATAATTATTCTCTTTATATCAAATGGGATTACTATATTTATTAGAGTGAATTTACTCTATCATTTTTATTCAATTGCACTTTATTTCTGTTATTCAACTTCTTTTTATTGCATATCTTCTTTATTTGCTTCTATGATTTTACTCTGTAAAATTGGGTTTAATTCCTTTTCTTCAACACTCCAAATTTCTATACATGTTAACTTAGTATATTAAATATAAATGCCTTACATTGAGGAATTCTATATGTGGTTCTAATAGATAGCCCATTTCATAGGTTAGATCACATTAGTTATTGATTCTGCAAGTTGCATTTCCCTTTAGATTTTCATCAAGCCAAATTCTATGATTTCCTTTACCATCTCCTCCAAAAGCTAATCCCAATGGTTGATCAACCCTAAAAGATTTATTATTTAGATAAGCGAAACATTATTTTGATCTTTAATCAAAGGTACTCATAAATAGTTAATATTTTGGAAGCAATGAGAATAAGAAGCTCTTTTCATCACCAAAATAGAGACTCTTAGGATCATTATCACTGTATAAGATATTCATAGGATCCTTAAGTTTTCTCCTAATATAATGAGTTTCGAGTGTTGGATCAATTGAAATATAAGCTCCAAATACTTATTATTAGAATGTATCATTTTAGGCTATATAAGATTGATAATAAATATTTACATTCATCTTCTCTATTTCTGAATATGAATAACAATGGTTTTTAAGTATTAACTACTATATCTGCAATATGATCTAAATCATCATCACTCACAGATGATGAAAATTGTAATTATAATTATTTGATTTTACTAAAATCAGGAGAACTCAATTAAAGTAATGCTAACACTTAATCATTCAAGATAAAACTAGAAGTGTTCAATCTTGGTATTTCAATGTGAGATTACTCTCCCAAAAATTTCATATTAAAATAATATTTGCACAATCTGTTAGCATATATCAATTAAGCTTTGGCCATACTTACAAATTGATTAAATGGCATTTCATCTTTTTAATCAAATATAGTATTTGTAACTGATCTAGCAGCTAAATCATTTCTCTAAGAATTAGTTATTTAACCTCCTGAATATATATTCAATAATTCCCTTATAACAATACTTCCTTATGAGTATGATACAGTAAATCTAAAATAACTATTATTCATTAACTACCTGTTAATGGAATCCTTATCATTTTCCAAACATTCCAAACTTATCAAAGCAAATAATTCAAACTTTTCTAAATTTCTAAACTTATAATCACTAAGATAGTAATCCTTCAATTCCTTAAGTAGCAACTCCACTAATTTATGATAATTAGAACTTACATAATATAACAAAGTTTGTATAATCAATCTAATGATTATGACTTCTCTCAACCATCCAATTGAATAACTTGATCGAAAAGTCTGGATTTTCAGGAAAATGAGGTATAAAAGATCTTTCCACAAGATCTTTGCCTCCATTTAGACCTGCAAATAACTTTTCTAATTATTATAGCTATTCAGGTGTGAAAGCAACTTTAGCATGTTTAGTGATCTCTTTAGATTTGGAATTTCCCATATAAATTTATTGTAATTGTGAAATCAATAATTTATATATATATATACTACTCACAATGCTCTACTAAATGCTTAAATTCCTGTTATTCCTCTACCTAAAATTAATGCATGAACATCTGATGCTCCTTCATATGTATTAACTGTCTCCAAATTAACCATATGTCTAATCACTTAATATTCATCACTAATTCCATTTCCACCCATAATATCTCTACATTCTCTTGCTATCTTTAAAGCAATTGCTAATCAATTATAATAATCATTTTTATTACCACATGAATTTCTTTTAATTAATGAAACCTATTCTGTTGCTAATTGATCATTCTCCTTCAATCTACTCACTTATAATACTGCTTATTAAGCTAAAGCAATATCAGTAACCATTTCAGCAAATTTCTTTTAAATCAATTAGAAAGATGCTAAATTTGCATCAAATTATTTTCTATCCAAAGCATATTAACGTGTATGATGAAAACAGAATTCAGCTGCTCCCAAAGTTCCCCATGCAATTCCAAATCTTGCATTATTCAAACATGAAAATGGACCCTTCAATCCTTTTACTGATGTAAACATATTTTCTTATGGAACTTTAACATTATCCATAATAATCTATCCTGTTATTGAAGATCTTAAAGATAACTTTCCTTCTATTTTTGGTGTAGATAGACCTTTCATTCCCTTCTCTAATACAAATCCTCTTATATCTCCCTTTTCATCTTTTGCCCAAACCACAAATACATCAGCTATTGGTGAATTTGTGATCCAACTCTTAGTACCATTCAATATATAATAATTGTCTTTTTTCTTTGCATGAGACTTCATTGAACCAGGATCAGAACCTATAAATCAATTACATTTACTAATATACCATGATCAGGTTCAGTTAAACCAAAAGCACCAACATATTCTCCACTAGCTAATTTTGGAATGTATTTATCTTTCAATTCCTTTGATCCAAATTAATATATTGGATGTATCACCAATGAACTTTATACTGAAAGAGCAGATCTATAACCAGAATCCACACGCTCAATTTCTTTATTTATTAAACCATATGCAGTATAAGAAACTCCAGAAAGGTCATATTCTGAAATTGTGCATCCTAAAAATCCCAATTTTCCCATCTCTTTATATATTTCTGGATCGAAATGTTCTTTACTAAAAGCCTCTTTTATTCTTGGCTATAATTATGATTGTGCATAATTGGCTGCTTAATCTCTAATCTTAATAAATAATGATTTAATTTACAAGCTTCTCTTCACTTGTTAATTAACTTTCTAAGTTTAAAGGATCTTTAAAATTGAATGGTACAAATTTTTCTGATGCAAATTATCTAATTGATTTAGTGATGAATGATTTTAATAAATTGTTTTTACGCATTTCTCCTAATTATTTGTAATAATAATAGAGAGTATATTTATAAATAAATAACTATAAAAACTTTAACTTTCACTATTTATTTTACATTGATAATAAATATTTATTTACCTTATACACATGTTTTACATTATTAGTAGTTATTTAGAATATAAATTAATTAATAATATGATTAAGTAAAATATGAAGAGAAGTTTAAATTTCTGGAAATTCCTTATTTATTTTCTTTTGTTTGAAATGCTTGGAATGTTTGAAGTGTTTAAATCAAACTAAATATTAACATCCTACTTATAGAAATAGATTTCATATATATACCATTAGAAATCTAAGTCTATTTTGTCAAATTCTATCATAATAATTTATGACATAAATTAATAATAGAAATGAACAATAATAAATTTAAATGAGTGTTTTATGTTTACTCTAAAATTGTGATGATGATTTTGAAATAATCGATTACAAAGATAATTTTAGAACCTGCAATATTCAAATAAAGAATTTAGCGAATTATAAATTATGGCAAAAAGAGATTCAATATTAATAGAATTATCCCATTTAATAAAGATTCTAATTTGATACTCAACCCAATAATATTAATATACAAATAAAGGGTAAAAAATAAGATGCAGAACTAATAATTTTAGATAATAAAATATTTTTGAAAAATAATGATTAAAATCATATTATTTATTAGTTAATAGAAAGATAAATTATATAAATGGAAAAAGTGATAAGAATTAACTAATACTCTGTAAATTTTGATAAACAAAGAAAAGTTCTATAATTTAAAAATGGCTTAAATGAAGTTAGTTCAATTTAACTGACATAAAATAGATAAACTTTAATGATCAATGGAATTTGTTTTGGAGTAGTTTATCAAGATTCTAATGGAGAAGCACAATATTAAGCAAATTCAATGTAAGTGTCTTGTAAAATACAACAAAATGAATAAATTGAACTTTAAAACTTATAAAACTTTCTATTGGGAACCACTTAACTATATATAGAATACTAATTTAATTGATTCATATGTTTTTGTATATATTTTCACTTGAATAATTAACAAAATTCTTAAAAATCGACTAAATTATCTTAATTTTTGTCAACAAGTTTAAAAACAAGTGTTTATTCTTCAAGTGTTGATGTATTGTCCATAACTTTACATAATTATTAAAATTCAACAAGTTCTAACTTTTAGTTTTTATTCTTATCAAAATTTTAGAATATTTATTCAACCTTTAAATTATTCTATTTTACTATTCTCACTAATTCAGAAAGAATTTTCTATAATTATTATATATAAATACAGTTGCTTTTTCTTTGGCTGGATTAAACTATGAATCTTGATCAGTTCCATAAGATAGTTCTCTTTTGAATTCTTCAAAGCTTATTTTTTGATCATTATTTTTATCAAATTTTTTAAACACAACTTGAATCTCATCATTTTTCAATGCTGGGGCTACAGTACGACATAATTTAGTGAATTCATCAAAATCTAAATCTCCTTATTTATCTTTGTCAAAATTCTTAAAAATATCTTCTATTCTCAAATTATTTGCTTTAATAATTTCTTTAAGATCAACAATAAGTCTTTCAGCAATATCTTTTAAATTAGAATAATCATAATCACAAAACAATTTTTTAAATTCATCAATATTTACCTTCTGATCACCGCTTTTATCTACTAATTTAAATAAATGTTCCACTTCTTTATGAGTTACTCTTGAATCTAAAGCTTAAACAAAATTATTAAATTCATTTAAATCCAAATTACCTCCCTTATCTTAATCAAATATTTTAAATTATTATTCAACATTAAGATTCTTTGCTTAAATAATCTTTTAAATATTTGCTAATATTTATTTAGAAATCTCATCAACTTAAAAATTATCCTATATATATATATATTTTTTACATATTTTCTATCTTCTTAAGAAATCTTTAATACATCATGTTTAAAAACGTCATTCCAACTCACTCTTTAATTTTCATCAATAGTTAAACATTTTCTAATAAAATCTTTGAATTATTCTGATACTTTTTTCTCAATAGGAAATTTTAATGGAGATTATTTAATATTTAATAGATATGAATTGATATCTCTACAAGGCCAAGGTTATCTACCATAAAGTATCTCATAAGCCATTACTCCAATTGACCAAATATCACATTTTGCTGTGTAAGCAATATTTTGAAGTAATTATGGTGCCATATAAATTGGAGTTCCAACACAATCTCTAATTAATTATCTTCCTGTAATATCAGCTTTAGTAGCAAATCCAAAATCAGCAACTTTATGTACATTTTTATGTATAAGTGAATTTTCGGGTTTAATATCTCTATGAATATATCCACCCTTTATCATCTCCTAGAATCCAAGCATTAATTATTGCAAAACCTATTAAGCTAAAGCTTCTTCAAGCATTCCTCCATGTCTACTTAAAAAGTTTCTTAAATCACCACCATCACAAAGTTCAATAACCAATACCTAATAAAGAGATTAGATACTTTTTTACAGTTTATTTTGAATCACCAAATGTTTCAATAAGACGAACAATATTTGGATGTTAAAGTTGTTTCATTATTGCTATTTCTTTGTTTAATGCATCAATCATGAATTAATCATCAAATAAAGTCATATCCATAACTAAATTATAAATACTCCATTATACTTTTTATAGCTACAGCTTCTCCAGTCTAAGTGTCTTTTCCTTTGTAAACTTTTCCAAAAGAACCACGACCTAAGAAATCTTTCTCATAATATTAATATCTATTCTATAATGTTTACATAAAATAAATATTAATCAAATTCATTTAAAAAAATTGATAAATTCTTCATATCTAATAAATTAATCTTAATTTTTATCTGCTGTTTTAAACACTTATTGTATCTCATTATCTGTAATAACTTTAACAAGATCTCTGCATAAAGTTGCAAATTCTTCATAATTCATTTTATTTGTCTTGCTTATATTGAATGTTTTGAAAATGTTTTCAATTGTTAAATTTTTGTTTTTTATTTGTTTAACTAATTCTTATTGTAATTTCTATTTTAATCATATATATATTAAATACTTATAACTTAAGTTTTTCATAGTTTTATCCTTAAGGACAAATAATCTTTTTAAATTCTTCTAAACTTATGGAATTGTTATTATCCTTATCAAATTCAGTAAATACCTTAAATTATAGAATATAAATAATTTTACTATCAATATTTCTTTTGGTTTTAAAGCAGGTGCAATTCTTAATATAAGATTACTAAATTCATCAAGTTTTAAATCTCCTTCTTTATCTTCATCATAAAAATGAAATATTTAATCTACATTTAATTTATTATTAGCAATGATCTCCTTTAAATCTTATATTATTCTTTATGCAAAATTTTTAAGATCTGAAAAATCATTTCCACTAAATAAAATCTAAAATTCATTTAAATTGATTTTTTATTTTTTTTATTGATCTAAGAAATTAAATAATTTTGAAGTCTCATTTGAAGTAATAGAAGGATCAATTTTTAAAATAAATTAAAAGAATTCATTAAAATCTAAATTACCTTCTTTATCTATATCATATTTGTTAAATTGTTCTTAGATTTTTAATTATCTTGTTTAAGCAATATATTATATATTTCTAAGTATTTATTTAGTTTCATCATCAATTTATATTATTTTCTTAATTTATTATAAATATTTACAAAAGTCTTTTATGTTAATTATCTTGTATCAAGCAAAGAATGTTCAAAGAGATCTTTCCATCCTATTCTTTAATTTTCATCAATTTTTAAACATAATCTAACAAAATCTTAATATTACAAATATTTATACTTTTATATTATTCTGAAACTGCTTTGTCTATTGGAAATCTAAGTGGATAACATTTAATATTTTTTAAATAAGATTTCATGTCTCTACATGACCATGGTTATCTACCATAAATCATTTCATATGCTATAATCCCTAATGACCAAATATCACATTTAGAAGTATAAGGAGTGTTTTCTAATAATTATGGAGCCATATATAATGGTGTTCCAACTTATTAATCAAGTATTTCATTCATTGCTACTTTTGTAGCAAATCCAAAATCAGCCAACTTAAAAATTCCATTCTAAATTAAAATGTTGGCAGGCTTAACATCACGATGAATATATCCTTTAGCTATTACTTCTCTAAATCCATTAAAAATTTAAATTAATATTTAAGTGGCTGCTTGTTCATCAAGCATAGAACCTTTTTTATCTAAAAATTTTGACAAATCTCCTCCTTCACAGTAATCAAACACAACAATCTAACCGAATTTCTTATATTTACATTTTATTATGGATCCATCTAAAAGTCTAAAAGTTTAACAATATTTGGGTGATTAAATTCTTTCATTATACTCATTTCTTATTTGAAATTTTCAATCATCTATTAATCTTATAAACCATCTAAGTTCATAACTAAAATCCGAATTATGAGTACTTTTTATTGCTACAGATTTATTAGTCTTTGAATCAACACCTTTATATACTCTCCCAAATGCCCCTCTTCCTAATTCCTCATTCCCAGAATAGGAGTATCTATTCAAAATATTTTTCATAATATAAATTTTATTATGTAATTTGACATCCCCCTAAATCAATTTAAATATATTTATTAAAATTATATTACATCAGAATTTTAAAGAATCTAAGTAATTATTAAATATTTTATAGAAGGCAGAATTAAGATATTTTATTTAAACTTAATATACTGGTGGTATGGATCTGCTGAATATTAGAAATTAAAGTATATTTATATGTAAAATTATTTTATTGGAATTCTAAATATAAAATTATGTATTCACATATTAAATAATAATTTATAATTCAAATTATAGAGATATCTATAGGATAGAGAATACTTAATTAGTGAATAAAAAGTAATTAATTTTACTTATATTCTAATTTAATGAAATTCCAAAATTCATAATTATGGATAAGCCTTAAATTATAATATAATAAGATCTATTTCAAAGTCTATTTTATGTAAAAAAATAAGTTGAAATCTATTATAAATATTAATAATTTTAAATAGTCATAAATTGTTAAAACGAGGTTAGTATTTATCTTTACATTTGTATTTAATAATATCTAGAAATGCTATTTGAATCTATTTTGATTATCTTACACTATTAACCTATTTAAAATATTATCTTATTTTTATACTTTATACAATTGTTATAAGAATAATAAATATTAATATAGTTTCACTTCAATCAACAAAATTGAATAAACAACATTAGTTTTGAAATTGAGAATATAATATAAAAACAAAAATTTAATAATATTTAATCGCATTAGAGAAAGATAATGTGACAAGATAGTGAATTAAATAATTTAATAAAATTAAAAGTAAATAAGAAATCATAATTAAAGTTAATTTGTTTAAAATATATAATAAAGCGCAAATTTGTAAATAATTATTTGTTCATTCAATCTTGTAGACTTAAATTAATATTAAGATTAAATAGAATGATATGATTGTTAAGCAAAGTAAATATATAATCAACAAAAAATCTTATTATAAAAAATAATACAATAATATTATATTTCAAATTCACAATATTCCATAATTGCAAACATTGTCTAAAGTGGATAGTTTATATATTAATATATCTATGAAATATAAGAATATAAACTATTTCACTTAGAATTCCAGATCTCATTATTAATCAATATTTTAGTCAATGATATCATACATAAAGGAAAGCTTATATTTTATATAGATAATTTTTTAGTCATTATCACATTAAACAATCAATCAGTTTTCAAATTATTGCACAATTACAAATCTAAGTTTTTTTATTCATTTGGGGTTCTTCCAAATTATATTCTTTAAAATTTTCAACAATATGGATTTAGACTAATGGACCATTATTTGCTTGATCTCTAAAAATAACTTTATGGGAACTGTTGCCCTTTAAAATAGGATTATTGAAAGCATCCTTCCTAGGTTTTTAGGCAGTGAGTGGAGGACTTATTTCAGTCAATTGAATAGAACTTACATCAGCATTCATATTATAATATTTAATTTTTTTGTATAGTTCTTGTCAATAGATGATGAAATAATCACCTTAGTTTTATGAAATGCAAACTATTTAGATAATAATTAAATGATGAAACATCACAAATCACATTAAACCAAATCCTTCAGCATTATCTAAAGAGATTTTTAACTTTTCTTTTAAAGTTTCCTTATTTTTGTATTATGGCAATAATAGAACATTAAAACAAGTATGAGCTGATGGTAATTATTCAGTATCTATATATTAAAATAATAATATATATATACCTTCTCCATGTTTTTAAATAACAAATTTCATAGATTTTAGTCCTCCAACAGGTATTCTATCTGATCCTGTGCAAAAAAATAAAAATCTTTTTTGCATCTCAAAATTCAATGAAAATATTAAATTCCAAAAATATCTTATTTATTTATATTAAAATAAATACCTTATATATTCTGAATCACTTTCATATCCATCATATTTAGTTGATGCTTCCAAATCTCTCATATTAAAAGTTGGCAAACCTATAATCAATTACTACAATTCTTCACCTGTAAATAGCTATTGTAAATTAATATAATCAATTTTTACTTTTATACCATCACCATCAACAACTGTTTTAAATCCATCATTCAACAAATCAAATTATTTCTATACTAATTTGTTCAAATACCAATCTAAATACAACTATATATATTCTTCTCTATTTACTATTGTAACAGCAATTTAAAATCCATTAGGCTATATTTCATCTATTTTATAACTACCTTTAAATCTTCAAAATAATTTTATCCCCAAACCTTGTATGTACCACTAAATGTAAGACCTAAACTCTCGACCACTTTTGGATCTGTCTATTCTCTTAGAAATTAGAATCCAGTATAAGTCTCCATATCTAATTCCTTTATATCCTCCTCTTTAATCTTCTCTCTTTGTAATTTCTTGAATAATACTGTTGGAAATCTAACATCCAATAATACAGAGTTATATAAAGATAATCCTAAGAGCTTTCCAATCAAAGAATAATAGATTGGAATCTCAAAAGATTAAGGATTAAACCAAATTACTGTACCATTATTCTTTGGTATAAACATACCATAATCTGGAGTAACCAACTTTTCCATAATCAATCTAAAAAATTCTCTTTTTGGTCCACCTTCATCAACTCCTTATTCATTTACAAATTAAATTTTTAAAGGGTTCTTCAGAGAAACCTCAGTTTATTATAACTATTTAATAGCAGACTCAATTATATTATCTCTTTCTATAGTTAAGGATACAAATTAAGGTAAAAGACCATAAGTTCTCCTTCTATTGTCGTACTACTTCACTTTACATTCAATTTAAAGAAGTCTAGATTTAAATTCAATTGGCATTGCCCAAGGATATTGACAAAAAGTAAATGAATAATTTCTCCAAACTTTTGAATTGAACATTTAAAATTATGTGAATTCCTCTCTATCTGCATCAACTTTGTAAAATTATTGTATTAAACTAATAATAAATTCAGATGCATTGATTCTATGGTTCTATTGATTTGACATGTAAATCACACTATATAATTCAAAGAGTCCTTTTAATTTATAAATATCATCAATTTCTAAAAGTGGTCCAATGAGTGCATTTTTTTATAGATAGATTTATTATTCAATTAACTTTTTTATAATTTATTAAGATTATATTAGTTCAAATTTTTCAAGTCTATTAAACCATTTTGATAATTAATTTAATTATTATTAATTTAATCTTCTTATAATTGTCAAAATTATTTAAGATTTTTCATCTAAAATAAAATAAAGAAATTATTTAAATTATAGAATTAAATAAAGAGCTCTAAGTTAATATAAATTTGTTAATGGTTCAATATCTTGCACTTTTCTTTAAAATAAATTCTTTATTATTTGCATAAAACTTTCATTCTAATAATTTAGCATTATAACTGTATGAAAAATTAATTATGAATTTATTTCTGGATTTTCTTCATCAATCACATATGCTCCTTAATTTATATTGAAATTATTTTTAAATGAAACTCCAAATAATTCTAAAGATTAAGAGATCTTCATTAAATAATTAACTTGATCGTATTCTCTTTATTAAAATGGTAATAAGTTATCTATGATACTTTTTGATTTTGAACATATTAATTCCCATTTTACTTCTTCATTTTCAATCAAAATTTAACATATTCCTTTAATATCTTCTTCTTCAAATCCTAAATCTAAATATCCATTATTTATTTTGCATTATGGAAATTCACACACTATTTTACCACAACCTATCAAAGCTCTCTCTAATAAAAGTTAATTGTCATATTCAATAGTTTATTCAAATTTCTTAAATTACCAATCATTCAATTAAAAATCAATTATTAAACAATTATCTCTTTAACTTTACAATTGATATACCATAATATGATCATTTAAAATATCTCCATCTACTTTTTATTTTTTCTAAATTTATTTTATTAATAGGTCTGCATTAAAAGTCTTATGTCTTGGACACCATATTCGAATATTATTTATCTTTTTTAGGTGCAATTACTTTTAAAATGTATCTTTTAATAAATTTGTCCATGCCTTAATCTCAGAATTTTAATCTACTTAAGCTTTTATTTTATATATTTCTCTTTTAACTGGACATGAATAAATCAAAGTAAACTTTAATATAATTATATTAATTACTCTTGCCAAATTAGCAAATATCTACTTTCTTTTAAGGTTATCATTATAAAACCCTATTCTTATTTAGGGTTAGATTGATTAATAATTTGCGTTAAAATTTTCATATACTCCCTTCAAAACCTATAATTTCTATTATATAAATTACAATTTCATAATCCCATTCATTTTCCAAATAGCGAATGCTAGAATTATAAACATGACTCTCAGGAAAATACTAGAACAAATTCTCATGGTTTATTAAGTCAGAATTAATTTTATCAGGCTATTCATATTTTTTAAATTCAAAACTTTCTATCTAGCGTTCTATTAAAATTCTTCCATTTCTTCATCATAATCTACATAATATTTCCATTATTTTATGAATTTTTTAGATATCAAATAGTACTCCGTCCCTCCTTTTTCTTTCAGGGACTTTTCTAACATCTACTTAAAAAAAATTAAAATTACTCTTCTTCCATCCTCATAAATGGATAATTCTTTAAAAAATGGGCTTCGTGATTGTTGCAATATTTAGATGAGATTAATCATTAAAATAATTAATATTCAGTTTCATATAAATTACTTATATATTCTACAAACTCATTATTAATTTAGAATCATTCTCTTTTATATATTCCTCATTTTAACCTAATATATTATTATAATACTTATGTTATCGTATCTAAATAACAATCTTGATTTACTTACATTTTTATCATCAATCCATAGATAAATTATATAAAATATAACTCAATTTGATATTATGTTTTTACAATACTTATAAATTTACTTTAATTATTAAAAATTCTCTAATAAGATTTATTGATTTATTATTGTTATTGTTATTGTTATTATTATTATTAAAATTAATCATACTAAAAACTCTTATAGATTTATATTTCTTGTTATTAAAAGGAATCCTCAATAATAATTTTTTATAATTTTTGATTGATTATTGAAATCTTTAGATATAAGGATCTATTAATCTTTTTTATACTTCGAACTTCTTCTTCATTAATTAAATAAAGTTTTAGTATTTTTAATTGTATTTATTTTTATTATTATACAAATTATAAATATTCTTGATTATTCATTTACATAAATAAATCTATTCCATTATTATATAAATTTCTATAATTTTCTTTATTTCTATTAGTAGAATCAACTTTTAAACATTTTCTCAGATTTTTTCCCATTAATATTACTAATTTTATATGTTTATAATGTTAATCTATTTGATTTTCCAAAAGCATTTATCTTTATGAAAATGATAATTATTATAACTGTTTTATCATGTTAACATTTTATCCCATTTAATCATTTAACTCATATTTCCATATTAAATATATTCCTTATTATTATTTATAATCATATTTAGTTTATTTAGAACTATTTGATACTACAAAATAAATTTTTGAATTAAAGAAAACATAAAGAGTGATTCTTTTCAAGGATTAAAAGAGAACCTTTGCTAGGAAATTGTTGTCTAAAGATAAGATTTATTTTATATACATATAATTTAAATTAGAGTATTTATTATTTAATGTAACAGGACTAGAATCAAGGAATGGATCATTAAGTTGTTGATAAAGAAGTTACTGCTTAAGAATAGTTATTAGAACAATAAAAGAAATTTAGAAACTTAGAATCTGATAGAAAAGCATATGCAGAAGAAACTGTTGCTAACATAAAAAAATAAAGAGGAATTATTGATAAACTCAAGAATGAAAATTACATTCTGAAGGATTTAATAGCAAAGATGAATTCTTAAAAATTATAACTTAATTAGACTACATATTCAAAAGGACCTAATATTGATACAATAATTGATGATTTGAAAGTTGCAATTAATGAAGAGAAGAAAGTTTAAGAAGAAATTGATACACATGTTGCTGATTTTTAAAAGAAGATAATCGAAAAAAGACATGCTTTAGGTGGATACAATGCAGGAGCTGAAAATGAAAGTGCATTACAAAAACAAATTAAAATTTTAGAAAATAGATTAGACAAAACAAATTAAAAATTTAATGAAGCAATTGCAATTAATAAATAATTAAGATAATAAATTGATAGTTTACGTAGAGAAAGAGTTATATTTGATAATCTATATAAAAAATTAGAAAAGGAATTACATGAAAAAAGAAAAGTATATTTAATACATTTATTATAGGAAATGGCAGATATTATTGAAACTGCAAATACAGCTTATGAAGAAAGAGATAAAGCAAATGATTTAATTTAAAGTTTAAAATAATAAGCAAAAAGAGAATCTGCTGATTTTGAAAAAGATCTAAGAGAATTAAGTTAAATTATGGAAAAAAATAAAAAAACATTAGATTATATGAAATTAACAGAAAAAAATAGAGAAATGGATTAATAAGAAGTAGTTGATCCTGATAAATTTACTAAACCAAAAACAAGTAAATTAACAAGAGATAAAACTGTCAATTAAACTATTGTTGAATAAATAATGAAATATGAAGAAGACTTTGCTAAAATTTAGGCAGCTACATAAATTAAAGTTTTTGATGAATTAATCAAAATCTTTATTTAAAATGAAGAAAAAGTAAAATATACTCTAAAATTTATAATAGAATTTTTAAATGTTTAAATATGTTAATGAATTAAGTAATGAAATTGAAGATCTTGAAAAACAAATAGGAGAATTGAAAGATGAAGCATCTTTATATGAAGGTCAAGGTTCTAATGTAGATGTATAAAGAAAAAGACATCTTAAAGATTTAGAAGAGAAATTATCAAGATCAGAATAAAAATCAGAATAATATGAATTCAAATATAATGAATCTATTAAACTCATAAATAGTTTAACAGTAACTATATATATATTTCTATTTTTTTTTAGAATTGGATTGAAACACTATTCAATACAATTGAATGTGATAAATAGATGGCAACAGAAATAGCTGGATCTCATGGAGTTACTGATACTAATATGATGATTTATTTAGGATTAATAGAAAATAAAACTAATAAATTATTGCAATATTATTAATAAATTCATTAGAAAATATCAGAAAACTAAATCAATTCATTATAATAATTAGCTTAAATGAATGAAAAGAACCTTTAAAATAAAAATAGGGCAGAATTACCTTAATTTGGTAATAAATTTATGTTATTTTTAGATGAACATGAAGATGATGATATAGAAGGTGATAAGATATTGTCAGTTGAGGAATTCAAGAAAAAAGCTCTCGAAAAACTTGAAGTATTTATTTAGCTCATAGTTAGAAATAATAAAATTAAACTAAAAATAAAAGGGCTGGACCTAATAAATTAAGAAAAAATAAATGATAAACATTTAATTATATAAACATAATCATTTCGACTCTATTTTTATTTTGATATTTGGTTTTGGAGGTGGCTTTACTAATGGAATAACTCTTGGTCTAATACAATTTTCAATAAATTCATCTTTTTAATATTGAAAAGGAGGATGCATATTTACAATATGATCTTTATCTGGCTTCAAATCAACATAATGCATGTATGGATAGATTTTACACTTTTGATTGAAGTCTCGAAAATACTAATTTAATCTTTCAACACAATCAGGATGTATTTAATTGGATTACAGACTGAGTTAAAACATAAAATCCTAATGAGTCCATTCTGTATAATCACTCTTAAGACTTGATGACATAGTATCTGGCTATATATTTTCAATGATCTTCAATGATTCTAATAATGATGCTTAAGCTCTTAAATCTGGAACGTATTTGATTGGAATAGCAGTAGGTTTTTTTTTAATGATTTAATTGCTTTCAGGTTATTTAGTTTTTATCACTTCTTAGATTTTTGGTTTCTTCTTGATAGGTTCTAAGTAGATGTCATCATTCTCAACTAGAGATTGCATTTTAATAATTTTCCAAATAATGAAAAAAAAAATATAGTTATCTTAAAAAACTCAAGTATCAGATTAGATGATTTTACCACCATTAATCATAGAAGCTCGATCTGTAAGTTTGAAGAAATAAGAAATCAATCTAAAATAAGAAAACATTTTTACTAATGTTTTTAGTTCAAATCGATGTTAACACATACTAAATTTATAAAGGAAAAAAAAAATGCTATAAAATTAGTTACAAATTGTAATTGAAATATAATATATGAAAGGTGAACAAATCACATTTTACAAATGATTAACTATCAGAAATATATTATTTCAGAAGCAAACTAAATAAATAATTTAAGCTTGATTGAATAAATGTGTGTATATGTATTTTAATAACTGATATAATTGATATCATTATAATACTAAATTTCAGATCTTTTTAATGTATACAATAACATAAATATTATCAATCTTAAATTTAATAATATTAAAAAAAATATATTATAAATTTATTTCATCGTTAAATGTGTAAATTATAAATAAATATTAAAAATGTAAGAAATAGAGGCAAAAAAGTAATTAAAAGCAAGTGAAGGGGCACATTTTTTTTATACTTTAATATTCCTATCAGCATCAGGAATTATTGAGACTTAATTTATTGAATAAAAATGCAATTAAAATCTTCAGTTATTTGTACATTTAGTTTTCTATGGATTAATCATCTGGGGAACTTATATACTTATTACTTTAATCCCAAGGTAATATATTTAGATGAAAATAGATATAAAAATGCTGCAATTAATCTATTTTTTAATTTCTTGGATATTTGTTTTGGCATTTATATTATTTTGCTATTAATTTATGGAGGAAGAATGTATTAAACACCTAATGATTGCCAAATCGAAGCTCCAGTATTGTTTTTCTTCTTAGAAATCTTTTTACTGGTATTTAGTTTTAGGAAATATATTAGGTTAATGGTATCATTTATGCAATTTTGTTCTTAGCATTTATTTCATATATTCTTAAGAGATTTTCTAAATCTTAATAAGTTTATGATGAAAACAAAGATGAATTTTATGATGCTTGATATTATTTTTATTATATAAATGAATAATACGATCTAAAATATAAGAAGACCTGTAACTTCTTAAAATTGTAGATCCATAGAAAAGTTAGATAAAAAAAATAGTGATAAACTACCGAATTTAAGTGAGGTTATGAATTTGAAATTGAAATAAAAAAGTGAAAAGGATATATAGGAACTTATAACAAATTTAGTGAAAAAGGTTTAATAATAGAATTCTGAATTAGCTTTAAAGGAAAAATAGATTTAGCAATATGAATTTATGATAAAGTCACTTTAGATTGCAATAGAAAAACGAGATTGTATAATCAGTGCTTTAAGGGTTGAAAAATAGTAAATTGTTGAAGTTGTTAATCCACTAAAAACAATTGTTAAATCAGATGATTCTTCAGTATAATAGAGTTTTAGAGGCAAAAAGTCTTTAAGAACCAGAACCAAAGATACTAATTTTGATGAAAATCTATCTGCAATTTTAGATTCTGATTATGGTACATTGTATTGTCTAGATTTAAAGCTTTGTTAAGCTAATATGTCAAATGTTATGAAGAACTTAGTCATTTGACTTAAATAAAAACTCTAGTTTCAAATGAAGAATAATTTCTTGTAAATATCTAAAAAATGGAACTTAGTAATATTGTGAATATATTTGATGCTATTTAATTAGTATTACATGAACATAAATTGTTATTTAAAAATGTAATTAAGTAAAATAAACTATTTGAATCTTGTTTAGAAATGCATGATGTAAATTTATATAAAATAAATTAGCAAATTCCATTAAATGATTAATTAGAAAATTTGTAATCTTTATTAAAAGATTGTTTGAATTGTGATAAAGTTTAAATTTATGTATTGGACAATGAATAATAGGAATTGTGGACTAAGATGAAAGATAGAGTTCAAAGAATTCAATTAAGTGAAGATATTATTGGAGCTTGTTTTTAAGAGAAAGGAATTATTAATGTACATAATGCTTACAATGATCCTAGATTCAAAAAAGATAATGAAAAAGGATATAAAACAAATACAATTCTATTATGTCCAATTTTAGATAAATAATAGAATTCAATTGGAGTTATAATGGCAGTTAATAAAATGAATGGACATTTTAATAATGATGATTAACTCTATATAACAAAGACTTCAGAATTAACATCTATTTTATTAAGAAATCATCAATAATCTAATGAATCAATTAGTATTTAAAATGCACTTAGAAATGTTATTTATGTATTTAATAATTCTATATTAGGCATAATTATAACTTATATATATGAATGATTTCGAAACCATTTTATTTGAATCTGAAAACTTATTAAAGAATCTATTTCATACTCAAAAAGGATTAATTTATGTTGTTAATAATAATAGATTACTTAGAGTAAATGAAAAAAAGCTACTTGAAATTTCATAATTGGGAGTAGGAATAATTGGAGAAGCTCATAAAAATAAAGAATTTTTATGCATTTAAAATGCTTATAATCATAAATAATTTAACAGTCTAAGTTTGTAATTAATTAATTGATATGTTTAGTTGATATTTAAACTACAATGCCTATTTATTGTATTGAGATTTAAGGGAAAACTCATAGTCTTATATTATAAGTTATTAATAATAAAGGAATTAGATCTTAAAAAGTTTGTTCATTTGATCAGGAATTATTAGAGATATTTGGAAAATTAATATTAAGCAAAATTGATTTTATATAAATATGATTTCTTAAGTTTAGGATTTGTATTAACTAATTTACAATAAACTTGTAAATAAGGAATCTCTTGAATCCTCTTTGCTAACTAAACTACATACATAGATCTTCTTGTAGAATATGGAGAAAAATTATGAATTGGAAGAATTTTATTATGATATTCTAAGAAAGCATATAAAGAATCATTATTCGATTTCACCTGAACAATTAGAAATACTAATTAATATAGTGTACTATCTTGGTATTTTCATTAACTAATAGTCACTATTTACTAAGGCATTCCAAATTATTAAGGAAAATTTAATTGATAATCAACCAATCATTTAGAATTCTTTATATTTGCATATCCTTTAAGCTTGTGGTTCTTAAAATATCTATTTAAAACCAGGTCATTAATTTTTCAACATTGATATTAACAATAACTATTTTAAATCACGATTCCTTACACCCTATCTTGATTAAATAACTTAAAGAATACCAAAAGATAATATTATATAATTCATTAAGAATGAATAATAAAATATCAAATTACTTCATCCTTAATCAGAGGATTACATCATTAATGAATTAAAATTATTTATTATTTAGTAATAGCTAAAAACTATAGACTTTAAATAAAATTCTTAAGAATTATTTGATTTATTTTCATTTCTTCAAATTGAAGATAGATAACAATACAATATTAAATAAAAACTTATTAATATAGAAGAAAAAGATAATCAAATAAATCCTTTTTATTAGTTAGCAATTAAATATAAAGCATTTCTTTTACAATACCTTGATTTAAATTTTGAACAATTTTTTGAAGTGTTTAAAATAAATTTAAATAATATATAAAGTTTTTATTAAAATGAAAAGCATATGTTAATTGCATTAAATGAAACAATTGAAGAATATTTAATAAAGAATAATGGTTGTTTATAAAAATTAATTGAAATTCAAGATGAAGAAGTTGGTTATTTTTCATAATGTATGATTTAATCCATTGATCATTTTATTACTTTAATGATGCAAAATTTATTTAAATTAGTATCCCCTTACAAATCCAATTTTAATATATCATTATAAATTGCTAAGATTTCTAAAATGTCTAAGTACCATCATAAATAAGTAGATAAATTTAAACTAAAAGAATTAGAAAAATATTTAAGAATAGCTTAAAATTCATTTAGACCATTATATTTACCTTATCCTTAATTCATTTCATAGAATGTTGAAATAATTTAGGATATTCCATATTAATTATTAAAATATTTACCTAAGGAACAAAATAAACGATATTAATTATGTAATTATGGATATGCTGAAATTACATATAACGAGAATTATACATTAGTAATAAATACAAAATAATTGGTTTCTCTTTTTCATCTTATAAATAATAATATTAAATAGGTTGATTAAAATAATTTAATAATGTTTAAGAAAATAGGTTTAGTAAATATAGATGGAAACTTAAATTAGGATTGGTAACCAACTCATAAATGTTTGATATTATTTAATTGAGAGTTTAATAATAGAATACTATTTTTTTATTATTATTACATTCCAAATAAATTCCAAATATATTCTAAATATTTTAAATATTTTATATTATAATTATTCTAAATATTCAAATATATAGTTTAAAAATTCATATATTTTAATTAATGATGATAGGATGATTGAATTTAATTATTTAATTTGAACTATGAATTTACTAGGCCATCTTCAGTAAAATATATATAATAATTTAACTTATTTATCATTTCCTTATTTTCTCTTAATTATTTAATAATTTAGATTATTATTATTTTTTTTCTTTAGATGTAACCTAATGTATATATGAATGAAATAAGGAAAGAGAAAGAGTGGCTAACTAATTAAAGATAAGAAATTCATTAAAAAAAAGAATAAAATAAATTACCTAATGGAGAATTCGAATTTAAACCACCTAAAACAATAGAAGATTAACTTGAAGAATTATAGGTAGTCTTATTATTTATTTTAGTAATAATGTTTAATGGGTTTATATGATAAGAAACTTTCAATAAAAGGATATAAAGGAACATTCAAATTGGAACATTGGAAAATGATTGAATTACGTTAAAGAGGCAATTCATCAATATAATAAGTAAGATTCATTGATACTAAATTGGAAAAAGAAAATTTAATGATATTACCATTGTGGTTTAGTTGGGTGAAGACTTAGAATTTAGTTATTGAATTTTAACATAATGAATTAGATGATTAATGTGTTGAAGAATTCATTTTTTAAATTTTTGAAAGAAATATCAATTTATAAAAAGTAAAATATAGAAATAATAATAATTAGATGTTTTTAATAAGTAATCCTGGTGTTTATAAAGGATTTCTGCTTAGAAAATTAAAACATTATTTAGTTAAAAAATATGAGAATAATATGGATTTTTATTATTTATTATTAAAGAACAAAGCTAAATTATCTTTTGCAATAATAAAAATATAAAGAAATTGGTAAGTGTAAAAAATAAGAGAAGAAAGAGAACTTGCAATGAAGAAAATAGATCAAACATATTATTTTAGTTTTAATTTATCAAATTGTTTTACTCAAATAAATTGGAAAGGATTTGAACATCTAATAAGATGTACTTATAGTTTTGACAATTTAGAATAAATATCATCTTTAGATATATCTGATAATTATTTAGGTACTTAAAGTAGTTTTAATAATGCATGTTAAAGTTTAGCTACAGCTAAAGGATTAGTAACATTGAAATTAAGAAATCAACCATTATTTCACAATACAACAGCAATACAATAATTAATTGGAGATCGATATGATCGTTTAAGAATAAATCATTTAGATATATCAGATAATTCAGATATTTTTGAGAAGGCATTTCAATTATTGGCTGATGATATATTTTTAGAATGTAAAACAATTAATTTAAATAATTCATTAACTGAAAATAATAGTACTCTTTATAAATTGTCTATATTGATTTAAGCATTTGAAAGATAGAATAATAAATTTGAAGTTTAAGAAAAATTATAAAAATCTAGTTTAGGTATAATATAATATATTATTTAAGGAAAATATAAATATAAAAGTAAATTATAATCATTAGATTTATCAAAAGTTGAAAATTTTAATAGATATGATTAAATTGAGGCTTTATTAAAAACAGTGGTTTTTTGTGAATTTAGTAATGTTAGAACACATAGTAATAAATATTAATTTAATATTAGCATTATAAAATTTAGATGTTGGTAGAACTGAAATATATTGTAAAGCTTTGAATTAATTTTAATCTGATTTCATTTAAAAAAAATCTAAAATTCCTAAATATAAAGATTTTAAATTAAATTTAAAACATATTATTTTTACAGATTCAGAATAAGAATATACAATGAAAATTGATATTTTAAAGTAATTCTTTTTAGATTATTTTTTTACAAAAAAAAAATCTCTACTACAAATTGAGAGTTTTAAATTTATTAAAAGTTTTACTAAAAAAAATAGGAAAGAAGCATTCAAATTAGCTGCTGCTTATATATTAGAAGTAGTTCATAAGAGTCCAAATCTAGAATTTACTATAAATGACTTAAAGTTTTTTTCAGCTTAATTAGAATTAGATTTGTAAACATTTAAATGCTTGTTACTTATTCCAAATATAAAATTGAGGGTTTTTAAATATTTTAAAGACTCCATGAAAGTATTACTTTAAAAACATTCATATAGGGTGAAGGCAATATATATTTAAATGAACTTGAAGGATTTCTTTTATCTTAGCCAGAATGGTTCGTCCATAGTTTATAAATCTTAAAATTAGATACTATAACAGGAATATCTTTTGATGTAAGTAAATTAATTAAGCTTGTAATATATTGTCCTAAACTCTAACTTAAAGAATTTCATTTTTATAAAATTAAACTTACTAAATCTAGTTTAGCAGCCAGAGAATTAGAATTACATATTTAAAATTCTATTGATCCAAATAGAATAATTGGATTAAGAAGTTTAAAATTTGGTGATTTTTAAGAAGCAGGAGAAGAAGAATTCTTTAAATATATTGTCTTTAGTAAAATAATTAGATTAAAAGAATTGATTTTAAAGAATATTGATTTTAATTAATTAATTTAAAATCTATAATCAAATATAATACCAAAGAATATAAATACATTAGAAGAATTATAATCTTTAGAATTTGAGGATATCAATATATAATCAAAAGAATTATGGAATTAACTTTCTAAAATATTTATATTTCAAAATAAAAAATTGATTACACTAACATATAATTCAATTAATATAGATATCAATTTCAATTTAGGCATGACTTAATCAACTATACAATATATATCATAAGCTAAATCTAAATAAAAAAATGAGGATTTCTTATTACCAATTACAGAGTTAAAATTTATTGATTGTAATCTAAATAGTGATTTTTTATCCTTTTTCTTTCCAATAGCTTAAATAGAAAAATTAGAGATTATTAAATGCAAAAATGTTTAATAATCAATGCTTAAAATTAGAGAAAATTATATAGATGAAATTAATTAATTTGCTTTAAAATTATTTACATTAAAGGATTGTGAATTTACAGATATAAATATATTTGAATGGATGGTGAATTATTTAATTTTGAATTTAGATAGATAATAACTTGAAACTTTAAATTTAATCAATTGTAATTTAAATGATGAAATGATTATTATTATTTGCAAATAATTATAATAAATCACAAGTAAAATATAACAATTTAAAAGAATATTTTCTTTAAGATAAATAAATTTTTCTTAAAATAATAAAATCAAAGAATTATAATGGATAAATGTAAATATTTTATATTATATTTTTAATAGTTATTTAATACTATTTTGAATTAAAATTAGACAATGTAATATGAATTAGCAGCCTAAGATACACTTAGAAAAGATGAAGTCAATATTTTAATAAATGAAAATTTATTATTTGTTGATTAAACACTTTTAAATTTAAAATAAAAATTGTATTACAATCATAAAATTTTCAAACCAAACTTCCCAAAATAACTTAAGAAATTAGAAATTGATTTATAATTGATCAATTAATTTAAGAATTAAAATAATGAGTAAAATTTTTAATAATAAGAATTCAAAAGAAGTTTATATTAAAGAATCATAACTGGATTTATTATCTATCCTGAAAGTTAATTAAAAAAATTAAAATTATCTAATGTAGATTTAGATCTATTTATGTTATGTTGTAATAATAGTATTGAGTTCTCATAAAAATATTTGGAATTATCTTTAACTAGTACATAAAAATAGTAATTTATTAATATATAATAAATACATATAGATTAAGTAACAACATAAAGTAGAATAAGTATTGAATAATTTTATAAACTATTTCTTTTTAATCATTAAGTTAATTTGAAGAAATTATCAATTCATGGTTTTAAAGAATAATTTTTATAAATCTTTCTTAATTTAAGTGATAGTAGAACTAATTATGTTCTTGAGAAGGTATCCTTTGAAAATTGTGAAGATAAATTAAATGAAAGTTAAACTCAAAAATTTATTGAATAATTAATTGTTGGTAAAGTATTTCCAATAAAAGAAATAACAATTCCAAAAGGAGTTATATTTGATTAAATAAAATAATTTGATTTAAATTAAGCAAATGATTGTAAAATTGAAAAAATAAAATTGTCAATTGAAGATAAAGGTAGAAATCATATTTCAACTATTTATAAAATATTTTCCTTATTATTTTGTTAAATGTCAAAATTATAAATTTTAGAAATCACAACTTAAAATTCAGATAGTATATTTTAACATATTTATGATGTTTGTAAGGCTGATAAATTAATATTAAAAAGTCTTATAATAAATGGATCATTAGGTGTTGATATTGAATTTTTTAATTTCATATCTAAATCTGTTGAAACCTTAACACTTTTAAAAATAGAAAAAGTAATTTATTTAAAATAAAATGATACAAATAATTTATTGTAATAAATATACAAAAATCCTATATAAGGTAGTATACTTGATCTTAATTATATTGAACATGAAGATACTTACTTTTTATATTATAATTTAATTTTTAATGAGATGTTTGGATTTACTAATTTAGTTTTAAGAAATCCTCAAAGTTTTGCCAATTTATAATTAAGTTATTCAATATATAAAATCAAATATTTAAAATTAGATATGGGAATAAATTATAATTCAAATATTGAATTAGATAATGATGCTTTAACATTAATTTCATCTAAAATGATTTATAGTGAAGATAGTATATTAGAAGAATTAGTTTTAATGAATTGTGATTTAAGAGTTCCTGCAATAAAAGCAATTGTCAGTCCTGCTTAAAAATTAAGAGATAGAATTAATTATTCTAGTAGATAAAAATCATTTTATATGAGTATCAAAAGAATATGCATTTTATTTTCTTTTCATATAGGAGAAGAAGGAATGGACATTTTATTTAATAATTTAATATATTTTGAATATGTAAATATTGAAAGAATTGAATTATAAGCAATAGAATTAGATGATAAAATTGTAACTGATATGATAAAACATGCTACTGAATGGTTACATTTTTAGAGAAGAAATTAAAGACAATTTGGTAAAATATTTCCAATTCGATACTTAGATATAGGAAAAAATGAATTATTTTAAGATAAAGCAATATGGTAGAAATTTCTTAGAACTTTTGTTTTTACTGATAAAACTCCTTATTTAGAAATATTGAATTTACATATGATGGCATTGAATGATTCAATAGCAACTCATATTGCTTATAATGCATAGAAATTTTTGAATTCAAAAGGTAAAAAATATCAATTTCCATTAAAAAGATTAAATTTTTCTAAAAATAATTTTTTAACAGAGATTGGATGGGAGAATATTTTTAATAATTTTATTTTTCATCCAAAAGTTAATTTGATTGAATTGAATTTGACTAGTGCTTAAATAGATACAGATGAAAAATTAAATAAAATTTTATTATCAGCATAAAGAAGAGCTTAATTATCAAAAAATAAGAAACTCCCTTTACATACATTTTTATGTTATGATGTAATATTAAAAGATTAAATTGCTTAATATATATCACCAAAACCAATTTAATATAAACCTCCTGATGATTTACCTGTAAAAATAGATTATAAAGGATGTAGATTAGGTATTTTTGATGAAATTCCAATTCATTTAGGAGATTAAGTTGAAATTTTAAATTAATTAATATATAATAGAAATGAATTAATAATTCCAAGTAGATTAGATTTTTGTGAATGTTTCAAATTTTCAAAGTTTCATTTAAATTTTATTGAACATTATTTAAAAATTATAAATCATCTTTTAGGTATAAATTAAAATTCAATTGAATTAACTTTAAATTTAGCAACATTAAATAGTTTTTCTAATTTATTTAGATATACAACTGAGAAACCTGCAAAACCATTTCCATATTTTATGCTTTTTTAAAAAGAAGCTTATATATTTTTGAGTAAATCTTCAAATAAAATAAAGAATATAAATTTAATAAAAGCAGAATCATAATGTTTAGAAGAATTAAATTAATTTGATGTATTATAAATATGGGAGAATATTAAATATTATAAATGTAATATAGATTAAATTTTAATGGAATATACTTTAAATGATGATTTAGTAGAGAAAATGTTATAAAAAGGATATACTGAGAGAGATTTTATCTCATTATGTAGATTGATACCACCATCAAATGTTAGAATATAAGGTACATTAAGTATTTAGGCAATAAAAGGTTTATATTCAATCTTATATGATATTTATTACTTTTAATATTCAGTTATAGATTATAAATTTGATAATTTCTTAAATATTGGTATAGGATATGGATTAAGAGAAACAGCATATAAAAAAGTTGAAGGTAGTACTTGGTCAAACTTTTATAGAATGATTCAATATAACTTTTATAATATATTTGTAAAGCCAACACAAAAATATGTATTTGATGATTAAGTAATAAAATTAAATTAATATTTGTCCAAACAAAAATTAAATTTATTATTATTAGCTTTTACAAACTTTTTATTTTTTGGTGCAGCTATTGTAGCTCCAGTTTTCTTAATTGAATTTACAACCAAAGAAAATGAATAATAATGTTAAGTTACAAAAGGTTATTAATAATATTATTGTTATGCAGCATTTGCCTTTATTTCAGCATTGATAGAAGGATATCTTTATTTTTCTATCTGTGATATAATACCTGAATATATAACATAAATGGAACATGCTTAATAATTTAATGAATCAGAAATTATAATAACTTAATATAAATAATCTAATATTTCATTAGAAAGTAATAGAGCAAATTTAACAGATGATAAATTGGCTAATTCATAATTCAAAGATAGATACAAAAAGAAAATTGAAAAGTCTTATAAATCTTTTTTATCAAAAATTAATAGAGTAGGTAAATCAAAATTTGTTACTTAAATTAATAGAATTATTTAATTTTCAATGTCTTAATTATTTAAATTTGATCTTTTTGGTGATGTAACTTTCATTTTAGTTTTATAGAATTGTAATTACATTGAATTATTTTATTTGACATGTATTATAACTGGTTTTACATAAGGAATTAATTTTATTTATTTTCTATACTTAATAACAAAAGGACTTTTCTAATCTAATAAATCAATCTAATAATTATCATCTCAATTTATTAATGAATTTTATTCAATTGGATTTCTAGGAAGAAATTCTGCTCTATCTAATTTATTAGATTCTATTGCTCCTTATAATGTATCAGTAATTCCTAATAATAAATTAACTAGAGCTATACTTCCAAATTAAGCAGGAAAATCTATGAGTAATTTAGTTAAAGTATATTATTATTATTAATAAATTAAGGGATACTTTTTTTAATTTATTTTCGAAGATTTACCTCAAATAGTAATATAGACCTATTTTACTGTTAATTAAGCTTGGAAATAAGAAGGAGATTTAGAATTCTTAACATATCTAAGAATAGCTATATCATTATTAACAGTTGTTACATCCTTTATAAGGTATATAATAATTATTATAATTTAGATTCATGTCAATAAGACCAACAATATTAGTTTAAGATGATTTTGATAAATTAAGTGAAAGAAAGAAATTTAATTATAAAAATATAAGAAAAGATTTATTAGAAAATGAGAAAAAATAATTATAAATTTATTCAGATTTTAGTTCGCATCCTAACAATGAACAAAATGAACGTAATTTAGATGAAACTCATCCATTAAATTTTTAGTAATCATATTAAATTCCTTGAAACACATATCAATGAATTAAATATTATTTATTTATTAACCACCATACTCTCAAGTAATAAAATTTATTATTTTACATTTATTTAAATTATTTATTAAAAACCATTTATTTTTTCTATGAGTTTTTATAATATTCATAATTTATCTATTACTATTAATGAATAACAAAAATTATATTAAATTAAAATTTATAAGAAATTCTTACTATAATTACTTAAAAGTAATTTATCTATTAATTAGATATAGAATATGAATAGTTATTAACTAAGATTATTTATAAGATATTCAAATGAATATTATTAATGTATAAAAACTATATATTAAATAATCGTTTCTATATGAAAACGGATAGTTAATTTAAAGTGATTAAGTTGATTGATGAATGAGTATAACAATAATTAAATTAATGAAGATTGCCATATTGCTAGTTTTAGCTGTTTCACTCAATGCAGTCTCAACAGACCTAAATAGATAGGCATAAAAACATGTTGATGCTTTAATGAAAACAAATTGGGGATAAACAATTTTACAATTGGCTGAATTACATGCTCATACAGGAGGAGTTTTATAAGACTTAGTAGGAGCAATTGAAGAAATGATTTAATAAATGTAAGATGAATTAGATGAAGTTGAATATAATTATGGAGTTAGAACAAATGAACACAACTCATTGTCATTATAATATACACAAGAAGTTTAAGATGCTGATATTGGTATGTTATTTATATTTATATAAAGATATTTAAAGAAGTGCTGATACATTAGAAAATTTACTTTATCCAAGAAGAGAATAACTTAAGGCAAAAATCTAATAATTGATTGATTATTAAGAATTCAATAGAAAAACTGTAGATGAAGAAACTTTGATTCGAGAATAAGAACATGAAGCATTTGAAGCTTAAATTGCTGAATTTAATGATGCAGTTGGTGCCACTGATGATGCATTAAATTTGTTAAGCACATTGACTAATCCATCATTAGTATAAATTCAAAAGTTCTAAAACAATTTGAGAAAGATTGAAGCCAGAATTAAACCACATTCATAACACTAAACTTTAATTAAAGCTTTGATCACATTAGCTTCAGAATAAAACTTTTCAGATTAAGGAATCATTAAATAAATCGTTGATAAATTGAATGAATTCAGAAATGCTGTTGTTGATGCTATTAATGCAGCTACTGCTTAAGAAGCTTAAGATGTTCAAGATTATGAAGATAGAATTGAATAATTAGATGCTGAATATGCTGAATTCTAAAGATAAATTACTAAAATTACAATTGATTTGAATGCTACATAAGGTAATTCTATATTTATAATATTAATATAGAAAAAATTGAATAATTTTTATCATTCCAAGCTTAAAGATAATCTGACAGAAATACTGCTTAAGCCTTACTTGATTTGGAGAATGAACAATTTGCTGATGATACTTAAATTTATACTGATTTAAAGAATAAATTAATCAGAGATATTTAAGTGACTGAAGAAGCATTCAGTTTAGTCAAAAGTGTTGACTTTAGCAAAATCAAAGTTTGATTCAATATAATAATATTAATAATTATTCATTGGATATTTCTAGAAAAATATTTTAATTTTCTAATATAAAAGTAATAGGTATATTTTGATTAGAATTAAAAATTAATTTGAGGTAATTAAATGCTCAGCAAGTTATTCAAACCAACATTAAAATTGAACTAACACACTGTTAATGCATTCAGTAGTAAGGTAATGAAAGGAGAATATGTCATTGGTATTGATTTAGGAACAACTAACTCATGTGTATCCATAATGGAAGGTATCTATAGTTCTAATTCTTAATTAGCTGGTACACCAAAAGTTATTGAAAATGCAGAGGGTATGCGTACTACTCCCTCAGTAGTTGCCTTTACTGCTGATGGATAAAGAATAGTTGGAGCACCAGCTAAAAGACAAGCTGTAACCAATCCAGAAAACACTGTGTATGCCACAAAAAGATTGATTGGTAGAAGATATGATGATCCAAATGTTCAAAAAGATATTAAACATTTGAGTTACTCTGTTATAAGAGCTTAAAATGGTGATGCTTGGGTTAGTTTGAAGAGTAATATCTAAATATATTTCTCAAGGTGGTTAAACCTATTCTCCATCATAAATTGGAGCTTTTGTCTTAATGAAAATGAAGGAAACTGCAGATGCTTATATTGGTAAACCTTAATCAAAGGCAGTCGTAACAGTACCAGCTTATTTCAATGATTCTTAAAGATAAGCAACAAAAGATGCTGGTAAAATTGCTGGATTAGATGTTCTAAGAATTATTAATGAACCAACAGCTGCAGCTTTGGCTTTTGGTTTAGAAAAGAAAGATAATAAGATTATAGCAGTTTATGATTTGGGAGGTGGTACATTTGATATTTCTATATTGGAAATCAATGCTGGTGTATTTGAAGTCAAAGCTACCAATGGTGATACAAGTTGTGGAGGTGAAGATGTTGATTCAATACTTTCTAATTGGATTAGTTCAGAATTCAAAGCACAATCTGGTGTTGATATTTCCAAAGATAAAATGGCTGTCTAAAGAGTAAGAGAAGCTGCTGAAAAAGCTAAAATTGAATTGTCATCAACTACTCAAACAGATATTAATTTACCTTATTTAACTGCTGATGCTTCAGGACCTAAACATTGTAATCTCAAACTCACCAGAGCTAAACTTGAATCTTTGACTGAAGATTTTCTCAAAAAAACTATTAAACCAACTGAAAATTGTATTAAAGATTCAGGATTAGATAAAAGCAAAATAGATGAAGTTATTTTAGTTGGTGGTATGAGTAGAATGCCAAAAGTATAAAAATTAGTTTAAGATCTCTTTAATAAACCACCTAATAAATCAGTCAATCCAGATGAAGCAGTATCTATTGGAGCTGCTATTCAAGGTGGTGTATTAAAAGGTGATGTTAAAGAATTATTATTATTGGATGTAACTCCACTCTCTTTAGGTATTGAAACTCTTGGAGGAGTTTTCACTAAAATGATTCCTAGAAATACTACTATTCCTACTAAAAAAAGTCAAACTTATTCAACTGCTAGTGACAACCAAACTGTTGTTTCTATTAGAGTTTTCTAAGGTGAAAGAGAAATGGCTGCTGATAATAAATTATTAGGATAATTTGATTTATCTGGTATTCCACCTGCTCCAAGAGGAGTTCCTTAAATTGATGTTACTTTTGATATTGATGCCAATGGTATTGTTCATGTATCTGCTAAAGATAAAGCTACTGGAAAAGATCATTCAATCACAATTTAATCATCAGGTGGTTTAAGTGAAGCTGAAATTTAAGATATGATTAATAAAGCTGAAAAATATAAGGATGAAGATAAAAAGAGAAGAGTAATTATTTTATTCTATTTTTTAGGAACTTGTTGATTTAAAGAATGAAGCTGATGGTGCTATTTTTAATACTGAAAAATCACTCAATGAACATAAGAGCAAATTATAACCAAATGAAGTTTAAGAGATTGAAAGTGCCATCTAAAATTTAAGAGTTTTATTAACTGAAAATCTTACTGCAAATGATGTTTAAAGACTTAAGGATGCAGTTGAAGGTGTTAAAAATGCAGCCATGAAGATTGGATAAGCAATGTAATAATATTTAATTTATAAATTTTAGGTATCGAAATACTGGAGGAGCTAGTGAATAATAATAATAATAATCTTCTGAATAAACTGGAGAGTAATAAAACTAAGAAGGAGGAGAGAACAACAATAAATAAAATTGATATATTATTTTATTAATGTTGTACAAATTTATAATTCTATTGTTATTAATAACTAGATTTTTAATATAAATAAATTAAGAATTACTTTTAATTTTCATTTTTCTTAAAATATTATAAAATAATATTTATTATAATATAATTTATATGTTAATCTAAAATTTAATATATAAAATCTTCTACTATTAATTCATAAATTTAAACTACATTTCTATTTATTACTATTAACATTAATAATTACAATTGATTATATTTAGTAAATATAGAATGGTTTAAAATTTTATATCTTTAAAAAATCTTTAAAATAAGATTCTTACTTCTTTAGAATAATTTTCAAATACTTATTTAGATGTTAAATATTTTAAATGAACAACAAAAAAGTTTATAATTGAAATTTGAGAATGTCTTAACTAATTCTTAAAAAAAAGAATAAAAAACTAACTATCATAATTAAAAATTAATATTTAATCAATTTTTGTAAATTCTAATTTGCTATGAGATCTTCATTTTGCAAATTGGACATAATTACAAATTTTTACTACATTTGAAACAAGTAGAATTGTGCTTACAAGGAAGACACAATGCATCTCGTTCATTTTCATGACACAATGTACAAAAATTGTATTCATTATAATTTATACTTAATTTATCTAATTGACATAGATATTAATTAACTGTGCCAATTCTAATAACAGTCATTTCATCTTCTAAAGTAAGTGGATAAATTGAACTTGGTTTACCATCAGGAGATAATCTTAACCAAGTTCTAAAAAACAATTTATATTTTAATATACCCATTAGTTGAAGAATGATCTTCAATAGTTACATTCTTATCTACTAAATAAAATTTAGCATGCAAATTAGATAAATGATGATCCTCTGGAAATGCTATATCTGCATTAGTCTTTCTACCAAAAGTGACTGAGTTTTTATCTTGATTAAGATGAAAACTTATTTGTTCATCAGAATTTGGACCTTCCAAAACAAGGAGTCCCAATTAAATACCATTAGAGACTTCCTCCAATTGAGTGACTTAAAATAAATTACTACCTAATTCAATAAGCATATCTTGAAAGAGGTTCATTCTTTTTTAAATTTTAATATATGTTCCTGTAGTGCTTCCAATATCTTTGATATAAAACTATAAATAATGATAATATGTAGAGATACTTTAGAATCTTAATATGTAACTTCAGCATGGAATCTACTAATATTTTCTTCTAATATAAGAATCTAATTGCTAGAATGTCTTCCAATTTTTGCTCCAACTTATTTGATACAATAAAAATTATTTTATTAACTTTCTAAAGGTTATAGGATTAGTTAATTTTCAAACTAATTGTTCATTTTGTTCTAAGAATTATGTAATTCATCGTATTGATTAATAATAGATTAACATTATTTATCTTAACAAGCATTTACATTTTTTAAAAGTGTGAATTCTTCATTTGGTGATTTTTTAATGGTATTAAGTTTCATTTAACATAAATATATACTATATTCTTTTAATCCAGTTGTTATCCCTATTGATTAGATTATGATTACAATTCATTAACTTTTTTTTGATTATTTTTTAGTTGATTCCTAACTCTTCTTCCAAATCATTCTCTGTTATTTCTTCTAGAATCGATCCATCAATTGAACAATTTACTACAATAGAACTATGGAAACTACATACCAAACTTGTCCTCCATCTAACCTAGTCCAATGAATTGCAGCCAAATAATAACATCAGATACTTGCCATTTCTTGGGTTCTTTTGGCAATAGTAAATAGAGAGAATCATAATCCATTTATAAAATATTAATATTCCCGTCTTAATTCAATTTATTTAGTGAGAAATTAAAGATCATTTAATAAAGGCAACAACTATTGTAATATCGTCTATGACTTCATCTTCTCTTTGCCAAGCCTCTCTTGCTAATTAAATCAATTTTTAACAAGCTCCTTAACTATCATCTTTTTTATAATATTCATAAATAATCTCAACAACTTATTCATTTGATAGAAATCTAATTCATTATAAATATATATACTCCCAAATTCCATCAGAAGCAACAACTATAAATTTATCACATGGCAATAAAGAATGCTTAATAATTTCAGGTTCACAAATTACTCCAACTTAACTAGCAACATAATCTCCAAAACTCCTTGACATTGCTAATCCAGGTACATCTTCATCTAATTTCCAAACCCTTGCTGGTCCTATTGGATTCCCATCTTCATCACTATAGGCTTAGACTCTCCCTCCTCTTTATAGAATTCTAGCCTATTCCAAAAAACAATCTGGCTTATGATCTTTTGATAATTCAATAACAGATAATTTGTTATCATATCTTCCTATTATTGCTCTACTATCTCCAATATTTGCACAATATAACACATTATCAAATGACAATACAATAACAGTAGTTGCTCCAGAGTATGTTATATCTATTCCACTATCCATCAATTCATCACTTGTCTACAAAAAACAATTCTTTAACACTTAATTGATTTATCTAAATTCAAAACTTAAACATACTTATCTCTCTCATAACATGATGTCATATGTACAACACCTTATTAAACAAATTGTGGAAGTACTTCTTATAAAAATTATGCAACTTAATGACCATTAGTACCATGTCCATCAGATACTTAAATATACCAATCATTTTCTCTGTGACAAAATTTTGGAATTAATTTAAATATATCTTAATTGGTTTTAGTTTATCCATTGTATAACATACCTGCAGCACTTTAACCATTTGCTTTCACTATTTACAATTACATAGTAGAAATATCTGGATTACTAATAGAACGTGGTCCCTTAAATAATTTAGGTTTTAGTATTAACTATTATTATTATTTCGTCATTTCCATTAATTTTTAATACTTTTTTTGAATAGTTTCTTAGTTATAAGGATCTTTTGCTTATTAAATTTGAGATTGTTTATTTTCATATTTATCTTATTTGATTTTAAGTAATAAAGAAAGAGCACTTGTTGATAAATTCTAAGAATTCTCCTTTGTTTCAACTAATTTGCTATTTTAACGTGCATTTGTCTTCTTCAATAAAACCTTGCTCACATCCTTCAAATCCTTCCCACTTGCAGGTCTTGACTTTTTTGCTTCTATTTTTTAACTACCCCCACTATTTCTGTTACTGGAAACTAAATATCTAATTTCTATGAAAATCACATCTATACTTATTAGCAGTTACAATTGGAGATTTTAAACGAGCCTATTATTCTTATTCATTTTTCCTTTTCAATAAACTAGCATATAATTTATCTGGAGATATTTATGAAACCTTCTATTTCATCAAATATTTTGTTAGTTAAATATAATTTATATAATAAATGTTTTAAAATATCATTGACATAGTTGAGTCTCAAACTACTTTTCAATCTTTATTTTCAAAACAAACTAATTATATAATTAAAGGATCTGAAAAACATAAAAACTTTTAAGTACATCATAGATGCAAGAATTTCTTAGCTTTAAATAAACTTTTTAGCTCAACTATTGTTCTGAATGCTATATCCCAAATTTACCTGGAAAAAAACTTTTTAGAGGAAATAATAAAATGTCTATTATTGATAGAAAGAAATTCTTAAATGGTTTCTGTTAAAAATTTATTCTATTACCTCATCTGTTCCAAAAATAAGTTATTTAATAAATATTTTAATGATCTAAAAATGAAAAAATCTATTAAAAATTAGAATTTATTATAATGAAATCTACTCAATTTCTTCTTAAAAAATATTAAACTAAATTTATTGATATTCTAAATGTATTAATCTCATTTAAAAAAAAGGTAGCCATAGATCTTAGCACACTTAAGAAAATTGATAATTTTACAGATTAAATCAGAAATTTTAACAAAAATTAAAAAGAAATTACTTGAGGATGCTAAAAGCTAGGTTGAATAAAAAATAAATAAAAATAGAATGTTAAACAAATTTAGAATGTATTATAGAAATGTTTAATGTCTCAAAAATATTAATTATCAAAATTTCTATCATTTTATATTATCCATAACTTTACTATATTGATCTTTATTAAGTAATAAATTAGCGATGAGAAAATTCTATAAGAATTCTATATTTTCAACAATTTAAATCTAATATAATAAATAATAATAAATACATTTTAAGCAGATACTAATTTTGGTATTAATATAACCAAAAAGTCTTGAGTTTCTTCATTAATTTCAATTTGCAAAAAGAGTTGAAGTTATTTAATATCTTATTCAATAAATGGTTTTAGAATATTAATCATAAAATTAACTCCAAATTTGGAGTCAATGATATCGTAAATTACTTCAGATAATCTAATTTGAATTTGCTATAAGATTAATTCTTTAATGAAATCTTCATTTGTTTTTGAGTAAATTTTGTAAGCATACTCAACTTTTTAAGTATTATCAGAAGTTATTCTAGTTATTAATTTTAAATAACAATTCCAAAATGAAATTATTAATTCTGATTATTTTATTGAAGAATATAATTTTAATATTTCTTAATAATAGTCTTAAGTTTATTTGATTAAAAATATTCTTTCTAAATTAGAATGTATCTATTTAATTGTAGGTTATTTTTAAACTGAAAAATCATTTTCTTCTTCATTTATTAAATCTAAATTTTAAACATTTAATTTAATTGAAGGTTTTTATTTTAATGGTAATTCTTCAATATCAGAATCACTTGATTCAGAATTATCTATTTTCTTTTTAGAATTTTATTTTTTATTTTTCCAATTATTATCTATTTTTTCCAATAGATTACCAATCAATAATTTTAATCTTTATGATGAAACTCGTTTTTCAATCCAACATAATCTAAAATAATTCATTATTAATTTACAGAATTCTAATTCCTTTTGGAGAAAAGCAAAATTAATCTTTATTCCATTAACCATATTCTTTTTATTTTAAAAATGTAATGAAATCCTATTCTAATTAAGTATCCTCTCTATATTATTTAATAAATAGATCATTCTTCACTATAATTTTAATTATGGATACTTGTTGAAATAATATCAAGTAGAGACTCAACAATTTCATCGGTAAAGAATTGTTATAAATGTTGATTGTCTAAAAGAAAGATTAATCTATTTTGTAATTAGATGATAGAATTATTAATGTAATATATTTTAATAACTCTATCTTTATAAAGATGGACAATAAATTTATATTCTAAATAATAAAATATATTACTTCCAATAAAATTTTATTTTCTTTTAGTCAATACTACAATTTCGTCATCTTTATTATATGAATTTTGAAAGTCTTCATAATTTTCTTAATTATAAATAAAAGTATTTAAATAACTATCTAATAATTAATAAGAATTTGTATTTTTAATTATTTCTTTCATTAATTAACTATACAATTAACGAAATTTATTTTAATTTGCAGCTATATTAATTAATTCTTCAATGAATGTGATTATTTCATCTTTTCTAAATATGTTAAAATAATTTATTTACTATTTTTATGTAAGTAGTTCTATAATAATTTTGCTGATCTAATTATAATTTTATTATGATAATTGATTTAGTCTAAATTTAAGAGTCTTAGCAAATTCATTAGAGTTATTTTTTATACTAGCAAACCATGATAAATTTTTGAGGATTTCTCTTTTCTTTTCCATCTTAAGACTGTAAAAATAAATACATTACTACTAATGGATCTTCAAACTGTCTAATTAGATATTATTTTTGAATTGGTTTCCGATGTATCAGTGGTTTTAAATGCTATACTAATGGATGATTGAAGAAGTCTTATTTGACGAAATTTTTCAATTCTAATGATGTATAAAATTTTTGATCACTAGGCCAAAATACATGTACATTAGAATCGAAATGTATGATTGGTTATTTATCACAAGGAGTATTTGTAGGAGGCATTCTACCATTTAGCTACTCAAAAGAAATTTCATAGTTAAAATGTTTCTTCATTATATATTTATTTTATTATATTTGCTTGATCAAATATCTTCATTTTCAAGCTCTCCTCTTAAACTATCAACCATTTGATCAGTTTGTCTTTATAATTCTTCTGGTGATAATTCACTTTAACCTGGAGTCTTTTCATATGCAGTTTCTAAATTCCAACTTGGTGCTTATTCCATTTATGGAGTCTCAGTTTATTAGAATCTACTTTCAAATTAAGACATTTCCAAAAGTGATAATTCTTCTGGAAGTAATTAAAGTGGTTAACCATTCTCATCTAACAAATCTAATTTATCAATTGCTCTAACATAATCTAAATTATCATCTTATTGAATATAAACCATAGGAGGAGATGGAGAATCTTCAATAAGAGCTTATTTTCCCATATCAGGTGATGAACCATCATTTGTAAATAAATCTGCAAAATTAATTTCTTTTTTAGGAGTTTAATCTAAAGTTTCTTCTACATAAACTTAATTTTCATTATCACTAACTTATACAAAAGATTTATGAGATTTATTCAAAGCATTATGAATAGCATTTCTTTCTTTAGATTCAGCCTTTTCAATTCTGTCCTAATTTGTTAAAGCATTAACAACCATTTCTTATGAGGATATAACTCCAACATTATTACTTAAATCATAAGAATTTCCAACATTTTCAGATCTATAATGCAATTTTAACAATTTATTACTCAATTTGTACTAAATCTTAAGTATGCTTAGTTCCTTTATTTTGTTTATGTTTTCTAATATTTGCTCCATTCGTTAATACCAATACTAAGAGAAGGATAGCTATATATTTCATTTGTTTATATTATTAATCCGTTTTATATTGTTATTATATAAAAATTGCTGTATAATCAAAAATATTATTTTATCTATTTTTATTTACTAAATAATGAAGATAAGAATAAATATGAGAGATTAGAATATCTATTAATATTATTATTTATTAATATTTTTATATACTAAAATTTTTAAAGGACTAGATTATTTTTTATTTAACAATTTATAAGTATAAAACTTTTAATATAATATATTGTGTTTTATTATAAATATCAATAACACAAAAATTAATTCAATATAATTTACTTATTTAATTACAATAAAGAAGCTCTATCTAACTAAATCATCCATCTTTATTTATTTATATGATCCATAAGAATGTTCATTTTATCTGGTATCAAATTCATTATATTTTTTAATCCTTTTTCTATTTCACTTTTAACTTTATTCAAATGAACACTAAGTATTGTAACTATATTATCATAAAACATGAAACTAACACCTCTTTTATCGTAGTGTTCAATTAGACAATTTAATATGTCAATATGAAACTATATTAATTCTTTAGAAAATATTTGTTTTTTCAATTTTATTGGCTTTACATCAGGTGAATCATTCAAATCAAAGTCATTATGATAGATTTTAAATTAAGATCCGAATTATTCAAAATCTTCACAATTATTTATTGTTAAATGCTCTTTATGTTTTATTTATACTTATTAATCTAATTTCTATCTTAGTAATTTTATTCTATTCTCAATTTATTCAGATAATTATTTCTATTCTTAACTACATTTTACAATTGTTTTATTATCATTCTTGTTAAAATTATTTTATAAGGGATGCTAAATAACTATCCCATCCTAAATCACTTTCAATTTGTATAAATTAGGATCTAAATTTAACAATTGAAGAACTTAAATGATTTCTGTAAAATTATTTTGTACAGTAAACTATATTTAACATTAATTTCTTAAGTAATTCATTTCAATTCTCTTGCATAAATCTAAAAGACATGCATATTTTTTTGGAAGTGGATAAAACCCACCTTTTTGATGTATTCCAAATTTTTATCTTAAGCTTAAAAAGGGTATAAAAGATGGCTACTCTTTTTTAATGATAGCTGACATCGTTTCATCTTCAAATGAATTAAAAAGGTCTAGTTTTACCTTCTTAATAATAGGTTACATGCAATCACTTATAAATAAGAAATCCTACATATAATTTTATTATTTCTTCCTCTCTCATTAACCGCACTATTTTAATTATAATATGTGCGCCTAAATTAAATTTACAATTAAAAATTTGGTTATAAATATTTTAATTATTTTTACAACCTAAAATCAATAATATCCAGTAATAATAAATATCAATTAAAATTTACCTAATTAAAAAAAATAATCTATATTAGATAATTCTTAATCATTATAATTTATTAAACTGTAGTATAAAATATAATTCAAAAATTAAAATATTTTTATATTCTATTCTCTTTAATGATTATGATTAACAATTTTATTCATCATCAAAACCTTATTAATATATATATATATATGAATATTTAAATTTCTTGATCTTGAATTACACTAAAATTCTACATCCAATCACTTGAATTTCCTTATTATAATTTTAAAATTTATCCTATAATTAAACTTTCTAGTCTAGATATTCTTTAATTATTATTATACAATCGCATTAATTAAGAGGAATATATAAATTATAAGTTCTTTGAATACTTTAAACACTTGTTAATTTATTAATTGATAATTTGGTAACTTTCCAAAATTTTTGGACATATAAGTATTTAATATTAATTTGAACAAAATCTTATTATTTCATAATTCTTCATAACACTTAGATGATATCAAATATTTTTAATTATAAACTATATTCTGAATAAGGTTTTATTAAAAATAAATTAAAATTAATATTATTAATAGAAAACTCTTTATATTAAATGAATAAATATTATTTGAATTTTTAATTAGTTATTTAAATATTATTTAAGAAATGCTCAATAATTCTAGTTATACAAATTTCTCTAATATATACTATTAAATTCTATTAAAAAATATATGGTTTATAGAATTTTAAACTACTATTAAAATTTAAACTGACTGAACATTATTATTCTATTCTATTTATATTAAATTAAAACTTAAAATATTGATAATACTTAACTAATTCTATTAACTGTAAATTCTTGCTTTAATTAATCCTACACATCTAACTCAAAGTTTATTATAATTCAAATTATTGATCTGTTATATATTAATTAGTTCTATATTTTGATCTAATATTCTTTATTTACAAGTTCCTTAAAGAAATCTTAAGTCTAACTAAAATTGGACAGCAATTATACTTATATATATTTTTCAATACAAACAATTATACAGATATTTAGAATTTCTATTAAGATAGTAATTATAATAATATACTATAAATCTTATTTTTGGATAATTAATACTAACTTATAGGAAATCAAGTATATTTTAAATTAATAATTAAGATTAGGATTATTAAAATTATAAACTGATAATTAAAAATAGTATTATTTAAAAACTATTAAAAATTTTATGTAGAAATAAGTTAAATTTTGTAAATATGCATATTCATTTCAAAGAATTTAGGTTTTCTTGCTTGTATGGAATAATAAAATCTAAATTTTGAAAAACTTGTCTGGCGAACCTTAAGATATTTTTAGTATTTAGTACTATTTCTTCAACCTTTACCTTATAATACAAATCTTTGAAATAACTATCTTCTAGATTTTTGTAATATTGATGGTATTAAGGATCTATTTTTTTATATTATGGAAGGTATAGAACAACCCCAGGTTCAATCTATTTAATTTTCATTTTGAATTGATCAAGGAAATCTTAGGCTGAATTATCTTCGACTTTAACTTCATCTTAAAGTGATTTTGATCTTTAAATGGATTCTTAATCATCATGTTGATGATCCTTTTTATCATTAGATTTTTTAATCTTCTTCTTTTTTTTAAGTTCCATTGATTTTGGGTCCTTTTAAATAAACTTCTCAAGTTCTTCTACAAAGATTTTCATTTCCTCTGACTGTTTAAATTTCTATTCCTTAATTTTTTCTAGAAGACTTCTCATTTTGTGATAATGAATTGAATTGACTGTTACTAATGGAGGAATTTGATTACATAATCTCATCTATGTTGCAATTTACTTTGATTCACTTACAAAGTCTTCCCCTTTGAACCATTTCTTTTATTTTATCTTAGTTCCATCATCCTTAATTTCAATGTCTTCGACTTTTTTAGAATCTGATTAATTATCATTTGGTAGGATGTCAGGCTTAATTGGCTCTTTGTAAAAGCTCTAAAAGTCAAAGTTATTCCTTATCCTTTCTTAGCCTTCTATTAAAAATTTTGATGAGAATTTTTATTATTTGACATTCAACTCATTTATTAGAAACTCAACAACTTCTTGTTGCATTTCATTAGGTAACTCTAGAAGAGATTTCCATACAGATTAATTAGGATATGATTAAAGAGAGGCACATCGATTGATGCATCCTGGTTTAATGCTTACGCAAGTAATCAAGGGATGATATGGAAGTTATTTAGTGTTAAAATACTTGCGTAATGAATTTAGAGTTATTTTCATAAACAATTTCTTCAACTTTTCATCTTATTAATGATTTTTTATAGATTTTTCAGATTTTTGTGTTGACATTTATTTAGATTTAATTAAATTCAATCATTTAATTTTCTTGCAGCTTTCTACACCCCAAATTCTATCATTTTTAACAAACTTCCTTATATAATACTATGTAATTAACAATCTGATTGTCTTAGGGATCAATTATATAAAAGGATTTTTTTTAATTATTATTTTTTGACCACCATTAAAAATTATGCTTTATATAATATCCAAAATAGAGCTAAACAATGAAAATCAATCTTCCAATTATATATATTGCTGATATTCTTCATCTTACAATTCCTTTTGAAATATTGTATAAATTCATTATTGAACTCAATCAATTTGTTTTTTGTAATATAATTAATATGCATTCCAAATTTTAGCAAAATATAAATAACTTTGTAATAGATTAACAAATTCTATCCCTTGTAATATTAGACCTACTTTTTTAATTAAATGAATCTAAATATATTAAGATGACTTGTATTTTTTTGCAATACTATTTTAATTACTTTTTAATTTGCGATATAAAATCTTCAATTAATTACAAATTTAGTTTATTCTCTTTTGTTTACCACTATTTTTTAAATTGCATTAGTAAATTTTGATAATTATTATAATATTCAATAATTTATTCATAAATTCTATTAAATACTCTAACAAAAAACATTATTGATACAAAGAATTTATCCTGTTCTCCAAATACAAAGCAATTTACATTCCATATTTATTAAATAAAGAGTACAAATATTTTTTATCTTCAAACTAGTATTATAACAAATTTATAGTAATTCTATTAAAAATTTTATACATGATTTCTAAGTAATCGAAATTTCTATTTCTATTTCTATTTACGATATGAATTTGATGCAGACTAGGAACAAGTACAATTTATGATTATAATTTTTTATTAAAATGAATTTTTTTCTATCATTATAATATTCATAATTATCAAGAAGTTTAGATTTCTATTAGTTTTCATGGTGAACTCTTCTAATTAAATTTAATTACATCAAATAGAAATAATTTAAATTTTTATTACATTTACTCTTGTTCTATTCTAAATGTACATATTTCATACAAAGGGAATCCCGATAATATAATAAATTAGAGAAATTGTCAATATCAAATAAATGATTACATTCTGATGAAAAATAGAATTATAATAATCTAATTGGACCCCAGGAGAACTTATAAATAAAATATCTATAAAAGACTCTTGCAATACACCAGAATCTCAAAGTAATGATATTTATGTTTGCACTCAAAATTATGGGTTCCAGATCAACTGTTATAGATGGAAATATACATTCTATATAATTCTAATACTTGCAGCAATACTTTTAGAGTTATAGAATTCATATTTTTTTAATGAATTTTCCAAATTTTTGAGTTTTGTAAATTCTCAGCAAACAATAACAAGATATATCTTCTTCTATCTGCCATACTTATTAGAAATAGGATAGGATGCTTTAAAAATCATATCAAACTTTCGATAATCGATTCTAAGATTATTGATAATATATTTAAATTACATAATCAAATTATGTCTTTTGAAGAATGATAATTTCAAAGAGTAGATTATTTAATCAATTTTGTGTGGCTTAAGTTTGTCTAACTGAGCTCAAACAATTATATGTATTTATATTTCTTAAAATTATAATCTTATAAAATTATCTTCCATACCTTATTAACAGAACATTTGAGGTAATTTCAAATAAATTGATAGAGCTAAACAGCATATTAACTTATTTCTTATAATTATTGAAAAAACTTAGCAAATTGATATATATTATTATCTTTTTAATGGCATTATCAATAATATATAGGTAATGGAGTGATGCAAAAATCAATTTAGTAAAAAATATTTCATTAAATATAAATAATAAAATGAAATCTTTAAATTTAGACTTAATATCATTTTCTCATTACATTTGTTCTTAATGTTCCATTATTTAATATAGAAGAAGACATATTTTTAAAAACTGAAGGTTATTCATAAGTACCAGGTCCAGGAGTTTTATCATTTTTGGTGAAATCAGACTTGTTACCATATCCAAGTGTTATCTTATTAAATCTTGAAGGCTCAATAATTTAAGTTTTAATTTCATAAGTATTAGAGGCAGGAACCTTTTCTTAAAATGTAGCTAATGGCTTTATTCTAGCTCCAATAGTACAAGAGGGCTATAATTAAATTATCCATTTTTTAATTTACTTTATTTTAACCAATAATTTATGTAACATCATAGGAATTAGGACTAGGTCCTTGAACAGTTTATGACATTTTGAATCTCTCACTTTAAGACCAATTTGTTTTTCGATATTTGGTGGGTTATTTGGTTTCTTCATTGAAATATGCATCAGGAGGTGGATTCTGTTCAGCATTTCTTTGAACATATAAAGGAGAAATGAATTTATTGCCATATCCGAAACCAGTTTATCTGCCTTATGATCCTATAGTATCAGGAATACTGTAATTGAATTCAGTTTTGAGAGTTAAGTTTTTATCGAATCTATAATAATAATGATAATACTAACCTCTGAGCTTTTGAAAAAGATACTTCAGGTATACTGTGTCTGAGAGATGAAGCAGATTAATACATTGATGTTCCTTTACCTTATTCAACCAATTTGTGTCTCAATTAGGATAGTTATAAAGTTGATAGGGTTGATCCATTCATTACTGAATTTCCTGTTATTCCTTAAGTATTTGTATTTCCATTTCGAACTTTGAATGACAATGCAAAAGTATCTCCAGATTAAATAGGTTCTTAATTAAGTTACCCATTTTCAAGTAGCAATTTATATGTTGACTACATTTCAAGATTGTCTGGAAGGATTTCAGCATTGTAATCATTTACTTTAATTGTAATAGGTTAATTGCCTTCAATTACTGGAACTAAAATATTGATTGGTGATCGATCTAAAAGCTATTCTGGTATAAAAACCTGCTTTAGTAACAAGGTTGAATAGAATATCATCTTGTTATTTCAATTCTATTTTGACTGGTTAGTCGTCTTTAACAAGAAATAACTTCATGTCTTATAATCTAATGCTCATTATGTATTATTAATAATTATCATAAATTCCACGATTTCTTTAATATAGCCTCAAAAGTTTCATCCTACTGCACAGAAGATGATACATCCTATACTATAAACATACAGTCATTACTTAATAAAATTCTCCAAACTCTTAAAATTGTATCACTTTATCAGGATTAGATTTATTCCAATTAGATACAAAGTCCTAGAATACTTGCCTTTCAGTTTTATATCCTTTCAAAACATCTGGATGTTCCTTTACGTTAATCAATCGACCCATAGTTTCTAAAGTGACTTTACCTGCTCTTTGCTCAATCGATGCATATGCTCTTTATACATAATACAATCTTTTTTCATTCATTTATGACTTATTTAATTTAGATATTTACTCTAAAAGCATCCAAAAATTCATTGAACTCAATTTTACCATTGCCATTTTTATCAAATGTTTAGAAAATCATTTTGGTCTCATCTTCTGATAGATTCAATCCAAAATTCCTCAATCCCCATTTAAAATCATTATATTCAACTACACCATCTAAAATAATATTTTATATATTATAACTATTATTTTAATCCATTTCCATAAATATTTTTGTTAATCCTCTTAATCCATAGGCTCCTTTTCCTGTAATTTATTATTTTACTCTTATCATTAAATTCTTTACATTTCTATTGTCATCCATTACAGATTCATCAAATTGTTCACTTTTATTTTTAGCCACCTAAAATTTCCATAAATTTTATGGTCTATTAAAATAACCTATTCTGTTACTCTTGATTTCTTAAAGGAATATCAATAGTAGTTCTCCCTTCTTTTTCAGCAATTAAGTTTTAAGTTTTGTTTAAACATTAATAAGAATGCACAAAAACTTCTCTTTCTCTTCCAAAATCATTTTAATATATAATATCATCACTAGCTAACCAATGTTAAGTAAAAGAATGTTTAATCAAAACAGTATCATCTGATCTAACTGGTTATCCTTCCATTTCAAATCTTATTTTTGGATCAGCATATTCCAATTTCCAAACTGTATTGAATACATCACTCTCTATTGCACATACTTCCTATTTTCTAGATATCTTAGCACATCTTGTTGGTGTTTATGGAAGTGAATGTAGATAAAATGTTTTATTATTAGATATTCTAGGATTTGCCACAATTCTGAAATGTTATCCATAATGTAATATATCATCTCCATAGTAATTAGGTTCTTTAGTATAAGGAATTATAACAAATACTGATCTCACTGTAGGTTGTGAAGTTTATGCAGTTGTAATATTGTATGCTTCCTCTCCTATTTTCAATCTCTCTTAAATATCTATTGACAAAAATCCTTAAGTCTTTAAATTTTAAAGCATCAAATGAAACCCAAAATGGACGTAATCATCTTAAGGAAAAGATAGAGATGCTAATCTTAAACTGAAATTTGTCTTTGTGTCTTTCACTATGCTTGCCAGTTATCCATTTTATCTATTTTTTAAGTAGTCCTTTTTCCTAAATAATTTATACACATATTATCACTTTGTTTCATCTAATTCCCATTCTTCAAACCAATTACCTATACGGGTCTAAAACTTATATTTATGATCGACGTTGTAATTGTGCATTTATTATTATTTTTTTATATTTTGATAAATACTTTTAAAATATTCCAATGAAATACATTAACAGATAATATTCCAATTTAAACAAGACATTACTATTATTGAATTACAAATCCTAATTATTTATTCAATACAAAAATTATTCCAAAATTTATCACCAATAATTACTTTTATTAACAAAACTAATCATCAATATAAAGATAAAGAATTCTAATGATTTACAGAAGAGGTTTAAAAATGGTTATCCATTAATATAGAATCATCTCTTAAAAAATACATAGCTGCTAATTAATTTAAGTTCTCCTCTCTATATTATATTTTATTATTTAATCTACTTCAAAATTTGTATAATATCAATTTAATTAAAACATACAAAAACTTGTAAATGAAGATTAAAAAATAATGTAACACAAACAAAATTATCAATACTAATAGATTATATTAAAATTGAATTATAAAATCTGCAGATTTTATTTATAGTTACACATTAACTATTTATTAATGAATTATTAAATAAAATCATTTGAAAAAGTTGTTTATTCTATATAGTGATTTCAATAAATAAATACAAGTTTCTTATTTTACACAAAACATAATAGCTGTAATTTAGAAATAACATATGCAAAATAGGTTCAAATATCAAGGAATATCAGAAAAATGTATTAAGGATTAAATATTAATGAAGGAGCTCTTTTGTACTATAGTTTGGAGGATCCAAAAGAAGGAATAAAATTCAAAAAGAATTGATTATCTTTTAGGATTGATTTCTGAGTTTGATATCCGGATATAGGTTAAAAATTACATGAAAAATAAATAAAATTAATTTAATATCAATGTATTTTGAATAAGAATGTAGAAAATTTTTAAGGCCTCGTAGATTAGAATACCAAATGTTTGACTTGGGTACTAATCAAGAATATTTAAGGTCCTGAAAGACTCTCTCTTGCAAATGGAACATTGTTCAAACATGAAATTAGTATTATAAATCGTTAGGGTCATCAATTAAAGTGCTCTTTTTTTCAAATAAACCCATTAAGTGATTGCTGCATAATTTATTGTCATGGTTTTAATGGTTGTCAAGTAGAAGGAGTCAAATATGCTCATATTGCAGCTTAATATAATCTTAATTTTTGCACTTTTGATTTTCAAGGATGTGGTCATAGTTAAGGAGATCTCATAACATTTGGGTAACATAACTTATTTAAATAGGTATTTAGAACAAAATGACATTACATGCATTATTTTAGATATCAAAAAAAGATTCTAATAAAATTAGTTTATTTTATGGGGGAGGTCTTTGGGAGCGACTACCATCTAGTTAAAAAAACAACCTTATGTAAGTGGATATGTATTGGATTCATGTTTTACTGATCTCAATAAGGCATGTGTAAAGATGATTTAAAAGTCCACTTCGTTACCAAAGTTGATAATTAAAAGTGTACTATATCTTCTAAAAGGTATAAGTAAATATAAAAAATCTAGGAAAAATTGAATCATAAGGCAATTTCAAATTTGAAGATATCAAAATTTAAAGGGCTGATTCTAGTGTACCAACTCTTTACATTTGTAGTGATTAAGATACATTAATAAAATCTAAAAATACAATTGGATTATATTAGTAACATAATGGTTTAAGAGATCTTATAAAAATATAAGGAGAACATAATGATTCTAGATCAGTCTAATTGATTAACTAAATCTGTTGTTGGTGTAAAGAGAGATTTTAAATTAATCGTTAATATTCCTGTCATGAATCATCACCAATAGAGATTCGAAAGAAATATTAACATCTAGCAGGAAGAAGTAGTCTAATACGTACTCCCTCAGATATTATATCCAAATATGATTTAAACAAATAAAATCTTAATCATTGTCAAACCTAATCAACTTCAGTGTTCAAATACAATAATCAACACATCATCTAACCAAAACAATTATACTTTTAAGAATCTCCTTAAAAAATTTTTGGCTAATAAACTTAATTCTTATAATAAAAAATGAATTAGCAAATAGGGAACAGTATAAAATTTATTCGTAAACCCATATTTGATTGAATTAATTAATGATATTATATATTTATTCATAGTTTTGGTTTCTCTATGATTGGAAGTCTTGATAAATGTTGCAATACAGCATGATTAGATAGATGTCCAGCCTCATAAAAATTATCTGTCCCATCTTTTCCATTTAGTTTTTCTAATATTTCCTTCCCTCCTGGATGATATTCAGAAAACTCTGTTAAATCGTACCATTTTCCAAATAGCTAAACAATTATTTATTGCTTTTTATTATTCATAAACTTAAATAAATATAATAAGATTTTAGAATATAGAATTTTTTAATTCTCAAGATCGAATGCATAATTAATAAATTTAAATATTAAAGAATTTTATTGAATTAAAAAAATTTGGTTCCTTTATTTTTTAAGTTTATTTAGTCATATTTTTATTATTAGAAGATTTTGTGAATAAGTTCTAAATTTATAGTGATAGTATCAAGATTGAATTAATTAAGAAAATTTAATATTAAAATAATTGCCTTCATCAAAATAAATTATTTAAGTCAACAAATTTTATGAGTTTTCACATTATATAACAAGAATTAAGAAAAATAGGGAATAATTATTTATTTTTATTTTAATACAAATAAATTCTAGTTAATTTTATAAAGACCCAAAAAGGTATTCAAAAATCCCTTTAATTTTTACACTTATCTATTAAAGAAAATATTTATTTATGTGTGTTGATGAAAGCTTTATCAATGTATTTAATGCTTGCATTGTTTTTTCAACCAAAAATAACTATATCAGCCAGTTAGTGATTCTATTCATTACAATTTATCTTGCTTTTGGCTATAGAGATACGGCTAAAACTTTTATAGTTAAGATTCTTCTATCTTTACAATTTTTTACAGAATTAACCAACAAGATTATTATTAGTTCAATTATTTTATTGATTTGAATTCAAATTTAAAGAAACTGCTGTCTCTTACAAGAAATTAGTAGCTTTTTTTATGATGTTTTTCAATCAAATTTAATGTGTTCTCTTTTTTTTCATTAACACAACATTCTGTACAACAGGTGAATTATATTGCTCTATTTCAAGGATCATCTAATAATTATTGGTTTTTTTTCCTTAAAATTTTAATTGGTTACTTAAACATTTAAGTTGCTTATTACTAAATTTTTATTTTTTTTAGTCTTCCTAATAAAATTGAATTATATCTTTACTTTGATATCACAATTTCTTGTATTAATTAAATTTTTATATTTGTTTATTCTAAATAATCTTCAAAAAATTAAGATAATTATTATTTTTCTGCTGCAATCCCTATTTCTTCTATATTTTCTTCATATTTACCGCTAATAGATTATAAAGATGTTTATGAAGAAGATAATTCAAATAATTTTCAGAGTAATTATTAAATGATGACATAATTTTTAGAGATATGATGATGGAATATTTTAATTTTACTATTAGTGGCATATAATATATATTTTGAAATTCAAGAAGTAAATACTAACTAAAAATTAAAAACTGAATATCATCTCCCATAATATCTGCTGTATCTAAAATAAAATATTTTTAATTCAAATAAAATTCTAATTTAATATAGAGATTAAGAGCAAATGATTTCAATTTATTTATCATTAGCTCCTAATAATTTAATATATTTTTATTATGCTAATCCTAATTTACAATCATCAAGTCTTTTTGAATTGATGTTTTCTTCATTTAAACCACATCCATAATAAATCACTTCGAAATAAATATTGCTCTCAAAATTTTAAAAGACTATTTTAACTGATTTTTTCAATTCTTTTAAGTTTAGTGATCGAATTATTAAGATTTTATTGAGTTTTTAATAATAATTTTATTTTAATCATCTAAGTGAAGTATATATTTTTATAAATATACTTTAGGTCTGTTAATATATATCTATTTTTTTAATTTCTTTCCATTAATTAATTAAAAAGTTAATTTTTGAATTAGATCTACTTTCTTTTTATTAAATTTTATTTTGATGTGTTTAACTTACTTTTCCAAATCCCTAATTAAAATAACTATTATTTGATGTTAAACTTCACCTATTTCCTTAAATAAATAAAAAATATAATTTAAAAAAAAATAATTTGAACATAAAAATTGTTATTTCATTTCTTGCCTCTATATTACATTCTACAATTTTTCTATTTTTTAAATTTGATACTTCAATAGAACCCTAAATTAATCATATAGCAGATATGCATGATAATGATTTCTCAATAAAAGCATCCATTATTATCCAATTGGTTAACTAATAACTAAATTATCTTCAAGTCCTCTATTTTTAATTATTTATATCTTAAAATTTCTAAGATTTACAGTAAATAGTATCTAATTAAAAAGACTATTCTATTTGTTATCTAGATTAGTTGATTCATGTAGAAATTATTAATTTAAATTAGCTAAAAGCAAACTTTTTTCGTAAGTCTAAATAAAATTTAGCTTTTTGCATTCCTTAATTGATTATTTTTTTCTTAATTTCTATAGCTTTTTAAAACTCTTTAATTATTTAGATAATCAATTTTCTCTATTTTTAATTTAAGTTAATAAATCAGATAAATTAATAGAGGGATATTTTAATGCATTAGTTTTATTTTTTGTTTATTAAATATTTTTCAATTATTTTTTTATTTATTTCTAAAAGTTGAAATTTTATGATCATTATCATCTCAACTTATTTATCTTTATAATTTTTCAATTTAAGCAAGATATTATTAAAATAAATACGCTAAATTTTGTACATTATTTAAGGAAAAGTATCTATAAACTTCATTAGCTAATTTTTATTCTCATATAATAAAAATTATGTTTAATCAACGCATGTTGTTTGAAGAAGAGACTGAAGAAATAACAGAAGAAATGAAATAAGTAATTTAGAAATAAATTTTAGATCATAAAAGTGATAGATTCTTTTAACATTGAAGAGTTAAGAAATCTTGTAAATGATGGTAATAGGTGCCAGCAAATTATTATAAGTAGGTATCTGTTAAGATATATGTTGAATAAAATTGATGAAAATTTAAAGTAAATAGTGATAGAGATATAAAATAATTCCATATATGATTGCTCATAGATCTTGGATTTTATCAACGAATTCATAAAAAGATCTTAGCTATTTGAGTAAATATAGATAATAATGAAATTTTAGAGATTATTTTTCTTCTTAAGAGCAACTGCTTAAGATAATTGAATACACAGACAATTTAATTATTTATGAAAAGGTCTTTTAGATTTTAACTCTATCTATGATCCCTCGTTAAGAGATTTAAAACAATTATTTCTCAAGATTAATATATCTAGAAAAAATTTTATATGAACATATCAATTATTTATCCAAAAATAAGATAAAATTGGTTGATTATTATTAAGACGATCCAAAATACAGAGATATTAGAATGGATCTTAGAACCCCTTTATAATTTGATATTGAGTATAATGAACCAGCTTAATAAGAGGAAAGTTATGAAGATATATGTAAAAATAGAAATCATAATAATAACATATAATATGATTAATTCTAAAACAAAGTATTAATTGTAAATTTATTTTTGTAGATAGTATAAATAGTAGATGACGATTCAATATCAGCTCTCACTTTGTCAAGAAATCTATTAAATAAGCAAAATTAACCTTTATCACCCTTAATTGAAATAGTAAAATACAGAATCCTGATAAAAAGAGGATTAGAAAAAAATCCATAACAAACCAAAAATATAATAATCAAATTACATCTAAAAGCATCCATTATGATATGGGATCAAAGAAGACTAATTAATGGAATTAATGCATAATAAAAAATAGCAAAATTATTTAATTCAATTATTGGAGATGAAAGAAATATCAACTATTTTGATTTATTTAAACTTGAATCCATAGATCCACTTTTAGTAATAGAAGTACTTGAAACTATTTCAATAAATAATTAACATTTAGATTAAGATAATTAATTTGTAAAATTACTTTCAGATGTTTTATCTATGGAACAAATAGCATAAGATTAAGTAATTTAAGGATATCCCTTAAAGTATAACCCTCAAATTCTTTCTGAAAATTTAGTTAGAGATGAATCATTAACCTGTAGTATCTTCTCAATTCTCTCAAGAAATTTATTGATCAATAGATAATTTTCTTAATTTGATTATAATTAGATAATCAATAATTTAATGAGACCTCTAAATATTTAAGGCAATAGAATGTTGTTCACTCCTAAATAATTAGAGGCAACAGTATTATTCCTAAGTTAGTTGATTAGAAATTATGATCCACATTTAAATAACTAGAGATAAGATGAACTTACTAAAATTGTTGAATATTACATTAATCAAGTGTTTAGCTTGTAAAAACCAACTCAAAATGGTTATGTATAAATAAATGAGACAGACGCAGATCTTATTATGAATTCTTGCATTCGGGCTATAAATTTCTAATTAAATAATAACTAATTTCTTATAGATGGATTTTAGACTAATAATAATAATAATAATAATGTACATTAAATAGCTAAAAAGTTTGTAGATTCTCATGTTTTAGGCTATATTGCAAATAATTTGCAGTAGTCAGGATAATTTACTAAAACTGTCCGCCAAGCTTTACGATTAATTTCTTATTTACTTAATGCAAATTTTTAAGAAATTGATAACATTGTTAATTCTAATTTACCTGATGTCTTAAATGAAATTATTCTAAAAATGAGTACTGATAAAATAGATCCAGAAATAATTATGGATATAATATCTTTTTATGCAAATATAACAAAAGGAGAACAAATTAATAAATTCAATGATTATGCAAAAGTATTTCTAGATCGCCTAATAAATTATCAATTAATTGTTTAAAATAATATTTATGACTAAAGTTTTTTAAATTTAGCAATATTTATTAATAAGTTTAATTGCATAAATGATAAGAGTAGAATTTATATACATGAAATATTAGTAAAAGTATTAGGATAATTGTTGGAAGAATTAAATAACTAACAATAAAATTTAAACTTTAATTAAGATTTTGAATCATAATTTTAAAAAATTCAAAAGAAAAAAACAAAAACTTTATTATTTCATCGTGAATTATGTAATTAACAAAATCAAAGCTTATGTTAATATTTGAGATAGTAATAATATTTTGATATGTTAGCTAAATTATTTAAAATCCCTAACTTCGATAGGTTCATTATTATTCAAGTATTTTATTTGTATATTTTAGGGTTTTAACTCTAGTTAATGTCTAGAAAAAGCATTATAATTAATAGATGAATGGGAAAGAGAATTAGGATCTACTTTAGAAAAAGTGACATTTTTGCATTTCAATTAAAAAATGCTTATAGAAAATTGTTCTATTTAAACTTATTAGATAGCTTCACGTTTGTCAGAAATTTTACATTATTTATCATAACTTTAATTTTAAAATAATAATGTAGTCAATAATTAAAACTAGTCTGTTAAACTAATTGATAAATGTTGTGCATTATTGGAAATAGTTTTAGTCACTGAAAATAAGAATAGAGATGCTTCAATTATTTTGTTTTAAATTTTAAGTTAAGCGATTATATAATAATAGAATAATATGAATAATCTACAGCCATTAAGTAGATTATTAATTAGACTTATTATTGAATCAAATAATCATCCCACTATGACTCTTTAATTACTAAAAAAAATAAATAATAGTATTAATTTAGTTAATTTAAATTAAAATATTAAAAAGATTATTATCTACTCACAATTTGGAAATCATTTGTAAGATGTTATATAGAATTATATTCTAATGATTAACGCTGATAGCTCAAACACATAACTCATAAATTAATTAGGGGATGAAATTAAAAAAATTTTAGGATACTTATATAGAGTTCCTAATATTCCTACATAAGGGACTGATTTGTTAGTTATATCTAAAATAATTTCACATATAGGTTCTCTAATATAAATAACAAAAAATTCATCATAAGAGAGCATTAAAAAAATTCAAATATTCTTATTATAAGAAGCAAGTTTTATTTCTAGCCCAAGATTTTTAAAAAACTTTGATGGCATTTCCCAAAATAGGATCCATCAATAATTAATAAACCAACTCGAATAAATGGGGTGTTAAAGGCAAATAGTAACTTACATACTTAGGCATGATCCTCGAATAATAAACAGGGATTAATTTATTGAGTCTTTAATATTGAATTAATACAGATTTGAATCAGAAGGTACATTAACTCAATAAAGTGATGAATTAATTATCTAATAAATCAAAGTTTAATAAGAATCAATAAGACTACAACTTAAAGAAAATATTAAGTTATTTTCAAACTTTGATAATTTGTTTGGACTTGAGATACAACTTAATTAATCAGAAATATTAAGCATTTTATAGTTATCTGTTTAGAAGTTATTTAACCTAAGTCTACAATTTTAAGGAGTTGAAATTGAAATGTCTAACCAACCTGATTATAACTTATAAAGTATTATTTTAGTATTAAGCTTGCTTTATAAATAATAAATATAATAATAAAGATAATAATAATAGTTAGAATAATAATAATAATAATAATAATAATAATAATAAGAATAACTAGACTCAATAGCAAAGGAATTACTTAAATTACTTGATGTTTTATTAGATTAGGTTGCTGACGATTTAACAATTAAAGCTGTAAATTTTATATTAGCAGTTTTAAGTAATTTAATAACAAAAAATTAAGAATATTTGAATCTAAT